TATTACCTGCTTCTGCTACTACACCGACAATGATAGGCTGCAAGCTAGCATGAAGAGGAGGGTGCAGAGCGGCGCTGTCTCCGCCCACAACTTAGAGGCGAATTGCTATTAAGATACTGGAGTTCTGCAGAAGAAAAGCCCTTTAAAATGACCCAGATAATGTTATTTTGACTAAAAACTTAATAATAACAATTTAAAGACCACTGAAAGTAGTAAAAAAAAGACAATTGAAGTGGGACTTAAAATCACGGAAAAAAATCTGCTTCGTAACAGATGATGTGGGATGATTTTCATGTCCTCTAAAATAAGAGGGCTAAGGGTAAAGAAACACAATTACACAGTGTTCAGTGACTCTCTGCAGGTCTTTGGACTTCTCCAATCCTCCCAGAGAGTCAGTGAGCATTCGTCATCTCCAGAATGAACCACTTAGTGTTCTTGTACATGAGCTGCAAAAAAGAGTGGCACAGTTCACTGTTCACCAAAAATCTGTGTGTTTAATGGACTCTGTACAGGTGAAAATTACTGCTGGCTCTTGGGCTGCAAAGTCATCTTTTGTGAACGATTGGCCATCATGAGCTTGTACAGTGACTAATGTCCAGTGAGGTAAACAGAGATGCGTGGCAGCTAGGGGTGGGAGAAAAAATCGATACAGCATAATATTGTGATATTTTGTCTGGTGAAACATCATATCGTCTCATTGACCAAGTATCAGTTTCTCAAATTAATTACTAATATGAAGTCAAATCTATGATAATGGAAAATAAAATCAACTGTTTGCCCTGTGAGTTTTTCAGAGGTGACATCATAGAGCAGGAGAAAGTTAGTACAACAAATATATCAGCACCTGGGGAAAGAGATTAGGAATGCTAGCAAGGTATAAATGAGATGGACTTGACATAAGGTTTGCAAGATGTGCTGCATGAAAATAAAATAAATACGACAAACATAACAGAAAGACAAATGCTAAATTAGCTAAACAGTTGAAAAAAGTTGTTTAGATTGCAGTATATTGTATCACAATATTCACTATATTGCAAATGTTAAAAATTGCAATAATATTGTATTGTGGCCCAAGTACCGTGACAACATCGTATCAAGGGGCAGCTGGGTAGTGGTTTGAACCTAAGTCATTATATGATGTTACAATATGCTGGTCAGCTCCGCCCCTTTACTGAGACACTAAGGATGTTAACATTAGTTACATTAACATGATTTGGACAAAGGTACCCAGATGATAAAGCTTTGGACTCAGAATCAGATGGGTAACGTTACCATCATATTAATGCAGAATTGACCCAACATTGAGAACTGAAGAACCAGGTGTCCGAATATGATTAAAGGTTTTATTTGGATGGATGTTTTTGCAGTTGAGGCTTTTTCAGATAACATTTCCCTCAATCAGAGAGGAGAAAGAAGAGTCCAGTGCGATAAAGAAACCCTGATACAGAGAGGGATGGATGGAAAGAGGTTTAGAGAGAGAGATGAACGAGGGAAAGAGGGAACAGACGGGATGAGCGAGGGAAATCTGGGTTTAAGAGCTTTGCTCCGCTTAAACACAAGCAAATTATTCAGAGCCTGCAGACAATGGAGCCAAGAGAGGGAGAGGACTCAGCTGAGATCAACACCATGTAGGAATTAATGGAGTTCTCCGCCAACACACAGCCCAGAGATTTTACAGTCTGGAGGCTGGAGACGCTCCTCTAATTGTGTTTCTGATACAACAGAAAAGTCTCAAACTTCATTTTCCAATTATTACAGCTGCTCTGGGTAACACAGGAACCTTTTTGTCTGATTAGTTATTTTGTTATTTAAGGAGCAAAAGTTAAGAAAAATCTTTAGTTGCACAGGCCCCCTTTTACCGAAACACAACAATAGATTTTACCACTACAGCTGCTCAAAAAACAGACTAATTTAAGAGTCTGAGGATGTGACCAAAAGTGTTTGATAAAATAAAACTTGTTCTGTTAAGCACAGTAATTTTATTTGAAGTAAGTTTTCTTTAATTTTGTTGAGTGACACAAAAACGTTTTGTTTTTGCATCAATAGACATCTGTAGTAAGATGCTGCAGATGTTTTATCAGTCTGTGGTGACAAGTGTCCTGTTCTATGCTGCAGTCTGCTGGGGAGGAAGCATCAAACACAAAGATGCAAGACGTCTTAACAAACTGGTGAAAAAGGCTGTCTCTGTGGTAGGAATCAAGCTGGACTCAGTGGAGGATGTGGTGGAGAGATCTACACTGAGGAAGGTGGAGGCTATTCTCAAAACATGGACCTCTTCGCTGCAGGACAGAAAGATTCAGAAGATCTTTTGTACCAACAGCCATCAGACTGTTTAATTTTTTTGTAAATAGTAGATGACTTTTAGAGATGTGACAAATGAGACGACAGACAATTGAATTTCCTTTCTGGGATGAATAAAGTCATTCTTATTCTTATTCTTTATACAAAAATGTCAACCGCAAAAAGAGGTGCATGGTGCAAAAAGTTTGGGAACCACAAGCACGAGACAAGATATCACACGTATACTAGTTGAATAGAGTAAAATCAAAATTTTGTTTATTTTCTATGTGTGTACACTGTAACAGTGCTTTGTACATGTACATGGGCGTACTCTCACGCACTGAGTGTGTTTGTGCACAGAGCGACATGGATGTGGGTGTGATGTTGCTGCTCTGACATGATCATGTTATTGATCTGGAGTTCTTCCTTCAGTCCTACTGTGCCAAGACTTAATGGGCAGATCATGTCCATGTCTTTGTGGGAGTGGCTTTGACATTCATCTATTTTAAAAATGTGGCTCTAAACAAGCTCTAATTGGGACCTTCCTGTCCTGACACAGCCTTTTCTTTATGCAATATGCAACTCCAACTTACATCAGAAATTATGTCACACAGATTGAGATTGAAGAGGATCAACTCGGCCGTCCATGCCAAAAATAGATGTTCAGTGTGAGTTTAGTGGAGTTTACCCTCAATACAAGCTAATAATCTGAGGCTAAATGAAGCCGCTTCATTATGACTCTGCTGTTCACGCTACTATCTGTCTGTCTTTTTGTGTCTTTCTGCCGCTAATAATGAAAGTGTGACATGGCTGAGTGTGTTCCAGCCCTGATAGATCAGGAATTGATCTACCACACACACACACACACACACACACACACACACACACACACCAGCACACGGGTGCGCACACACACAAACACACACACTTTCTCTGTGCTGTCCTGTTCTGCCAACACCCCGATTAAAGCTCTAAAGCAGATTGCATAATACACACAACAGAAGCGGGGCAGTGGAGATTTGGATCAGCAACCTCTCTCTCCCTTTCTCTCTCTGTCTCTCTCTCTTTGATGAAGGGATTGCATAAGAAAAGGGAAGGGATGGATTCAGGTCATGACGGCTATGGAAGCCAGTATGAGTGATTAGACTAGACACGCTCAGGCAACTGGAGCTGGCCCCTCTGTCTGGAGAGGAGAAGGATGGAGGGAAGTGAAGGACAGACAGACAGACAGACAGACAGACCGAGAAAGCAAGGACCGGCCTCCCAGGCTGTCAACCCTTTCCACTTGACTGCTGTTCTATTCCTGACCAGCCTGTGTGCTGATCCAAAAATAAGACACCATGAAGGAGTGGGTGAGCACTTGCATATGCAGCAACTCCCCCCCCTCATTTCTAAAAAAAGACCCTGTATACACACTTACTGCTTAGGTACAGGACAAGCAGGCATATATTATTTATCCTGGCATTAAGACAGCCTAGTAATGTTGTTTAGACCCAAATTTTACGAAGTGAGAGGAAACAAATCTTGATAAAAGCTCCATACACTTGTTACTCTTCTTATAATTCAGCTCCCACCAAAGTCAGCAGAAGTTGATTTATCTATTAAACCTTTCCCATGCATTACTTTCATCATATATTGGTACAGTTCAACCTACTGTATTCAAAGCTCCAGTGAGGAACTTTTAACCTGGGTTGTTTTGGTGCCCCCTTTGGACAAAGTGTTTCTGCTAGCTCTTGCTGATTTTGATCGAAACGTACAAAATCTTGTTCTGCTTTTTTTTGACAGTCAAAGGTGAGAGAGTACTTGCTGAGGAAAGTTACAAAGAGGCTGTTCTTAAAGTATAACTATGTCTGACACTCACTCTCCAGGTGGCTGTTTCATGATTAAACTACTGAGATTGATGTTTATTATTCTCAGTGTGGGTTGTGAGAAGCCCATTAATATATAACATATATTTCTGAGGAGTGTTTAGCAGTATTAAAAGTGTTGTACTTGGACTGCAGTATTATTCAGTGCTTTTTGACCAAAAGTACCAGGAGCTTTTAGTTCCAGGGACTTCTGCTCAAGGTCTGCATTTCCACCAGGGCCAGAAGTCCTTGGTAAATAATGCAGGTCAGGCCAAGACATCCAGGACATTTGGTAGATGAAGTCACTTGCACAGCTCTGTATTGGAGTCTCAGCTGAACTTTTGATTTATAAATAAGCTGTCTCAAATCAGGTTGGCTGTAGGTAATCTGTATTAATTGTTTAATAAAATCTGGTTGTTGAAAGTTCTTGTGCTCTTGTCTTATGGTGCCTCTACCTGTTGAACTGTCTCTCTGCTCAGCTGGGGTCTGTGTGTGAGTTGTACACCAGCAGCTTATAAACAAGTATGTTTCATGATAAGACTGAACCCTTAAAGTGTTATAAAACTAAAAACATGGGATTTTAAAAAATGAATATAAAACGGTCGTAACGTGGCACATGAGCCGTGGCAAAGAGACGGCAGGAACCACAGTCCCAAAAGTTAATAAGATACTTTCTACAAGTTAAAATAAATAAACGGATAAAGAATAATTAGGTATGAGGTGTGTGATTTTGTCTTTATGTGTTTGAAAGTGGTGCTAGGTGACAAAAGAAAAATCTGATGTTTAATTATTATTATTATTATTTTTTTTTTTCAAATTAAGGTCTCATTTGTTTTTGTATATCTTAGGGATGTGTCCTTATTACCTCCGCCAAGGAGGTTATGTTTTCGGTAGCGTTTGTTTGTTTGTGTTTGTTTGTTTGTTTGTTTGCCTGTGAACAACTTTACAGAGAAAGTTACAGACGGATTGACCTGAAATTTTCACCAGAGGTGCGTCTCAGCCCCAGGACGATCCCATTACGTTTTGGTGGTGATCCGGATCGCCTTCTGGATCCAGGAATTTTTTGAAGGATTCTTTATCATTGTGAGATAGGGCACATTTTGTAATTTTTGCATTTAACTCTATAAAAATGGCCAGAGTCTTTAGTAAAAAATTACACAAAAAGATCTCAATGAGTTTTATGAGGTGTCAAAGGTTGATCCTGATCCAGACAAAATTCTGGATACTGTGATCCAGAACACACAAAAATAAGGGTGTCGTTGGAATTCTCAATGTTGAAAGATAACCAATGAAGATACAAGGAAGTGTACGCTTACAAATATTGCATAATAAATCATGCATTTATGTATCTAGAAACATTATGAACAGTGAACATACCAGTTTAAACACAAATAAAAGTTAATAAAAGACACGTAACAGTAAAAGTTTTGGTGTGAATCACAATATAAGGGGGGACATGAGCTGCTTGGCGGAGGTCTGCGCTCTCTGAGTGCTTTTCTAGTTCTTTATGGAATCTTAGACTTCTTGATTATTCAATGTCATGAACTGATTTTTCTCACTGAAAGTTGTCTTTAGAAGTGGATCATGGTCACTGATTTTTACATCTCAGAGTTGTGTGTAAAACAAATAAGCAGCTGTGCTTCAACCATCCCTGACCTCACATATTTTTTCTGGAATATCATCAAGAGAAACTGTGTGTCCAGGTATGAATTGATCTCATGTTGAACATAGATGCATAACACTAATACAATCACTGACTGTGAAACCATTGTTTATATATCTTGGTATGAACATGTCCATTGATGAACCAATTATTTGTTTGAATTGGTGATGTTGTTGACCCTTCACATACACACACAGACAGATCTTCTTCATTTAGTGATCAATCTAGGACCTCCTGTTCTGATCTGCATGTTTAATGTGAAACAAACTCTGCTGTTATGTAATGTTTGCTGATGTTACTCTCCTGAGGATCTCCACAGCACACAGTCAGCAGCAGGTCCTATTATTAAGAAACAAAAAAAAGTCATGACAGCAATGAAATATTCAGGAGCAGTCAGTCTAGAAGAGCGAGAGGCTGTGGAAGTGTCACCCGGTTATCTCGTCACCACTGGCATGAGAACAAATGAAGGGAGGAAGCACTTTCTGTCCTCTTTCTCTGCCAGTCAGTCACTGTTTCGCCTCCAGCGGTGAAACTTGCTGAGTGTGCATCCTGTGAATCAGTGTGTGTGTGTGTGTGTGTGTGTGGTTGTATGTCGTCCTGGACGTTTCATTATATAAGGACCACGGCAGCAGCAGCAGTGTTACAGAGTGACATACAACGAGCGTCATGGCCCGTGAGCCTGTGAAAAGCTTCATCCAGCCGCTGCAGTGGAGTCAGAGTCCTGCAGTCCATTTGCACAGCTCTCTTTAGTGTCTTCATTACACGCTCAATTATCTGGGCCTGAGATAAGAGCAGGAGGACTGGATCAGCACCAGGACCATTTTTTTCTCCATAGGGAATAATGACATTGTAAAGCGGTACCATCAGAGTCTCTTGTTGACAAGATACTTCATCAGTCTATGAAAAAATACAAATACAGGTAAATAATGCTAAGGTAACCAGCTCTGTTTGACACAAACATGATTAATTTCATGAGCTCTGCTACCCTCTAGTGGAGTTAAAATATTTCTACATCAGGATGCCTGATGCTCCCTAAAAACACAGCTACACACTTGATTTAAATGTTAATGTCAATTAAGTTGAGACGTTGTGTAAAATGTGAATAAAAGCAGAAAAAATGATTAATAAATCTCTTCCACCTATAGTCAGTTGAATACACCACAAAAATATTTAAAGTTTAAACTGATAAACTTGATCGTTTTCTTATAAATATTCACTCATTTTGAATTTGATGTCGACTGCAAGTTCCTAAAAAGTTGGTTCAGGGTCAACAAAAGTCTGGGAAAACTGAGGACTGCTCCAAAAAGACATGTTTGGTTCATTCCACAGGTGAACAGGTTCAGTGGAAACAGGTGAGGGTCATGACTGAGTACATAGGGAGCATCCCTGAAAGGCTCAGTCTTTCACAAGCAAGGATGGCGCCAGGTTCACCACATCGTCCACAACTGTGTGATCAAATAGTCCACCAGTTTAAGAACAACGTTTCTCATGGTACAACTGCAGGAATTTACAGATTTGATCACTTACAGTCCATAAAACCATCAAAAGATTAAGAGAATTAATCTCTGCATGTAAGCAGCAAGACCCAATACCAACAATGAATGACTGTGACCTTTAACCCCTCGTGCCCACATCATTCTGTGGAGGATTTTATTACTTTGGCTCAGGAGGACTTCAGAAAACCATTGTCAGTCAACATAAGTTTAAACCTTACTATGCAAAGCCAAAGTCAGACATTAACAACAGCCAGAAACAATGCAGGTTTCTCTGGACATGAGCACATCTGAGATGGACTGACAAAAAGTGGATAAGTCTGCTGTGGTCTGACCACTTCATATTTTAGATAGTCTTTGGAAATCATGGGTGCGGTTTTCTCCTGGCTAAAGAGGAAAACGTGGGGAGCATTATGATGTACAAATTACCTCAATGACAATCCTAGACTGTTGAGCATCTTAAGTGGTCCATCAATCAAGACTGTGAAAGAAATCACCTCCAAAGCCTCAACAGTTAGTGTCCTCGGTTTACAAAGGCTTACTGAGTGTTGTTAAAGGAAAGGTGATGTGACACAGAGAGAAACATGACCCTGAACCAGCTTTTTAGGACAATGTTCAGAAATGAAATTAAAAATAAGTAAATATTTACAAACAAAAAAAACAATCAAGTTTATCCGTATGAACATTAAATACTCTGTCGTTGTAGTGTATTCAGTTGAATATAGAAAAAATAACCATGTTTCTACAGGCTCATGGTGAGTTTTGTCTTTGGAAAAATGGTAATGTAGTAATAGAGTGAGGAGAAGGTGAGGTTTATTATATCGTACCAGGGAAATAAAAACAATAAATATATAGGATCAACAAACTCCGGTGTTCACAGAAAATAATTAAGACAAATTAAAAAGACTGAAGGTACTGCCTGCAGCATCTACATGTCAGTCTCTACCTCTTTCTGCAGCTGGACCTTGTTGAACACCACCTACATAATGCCTTAATAAAGGCTCAAAGATTTACAGCAAAGGATCAAACCAGTCTGAATTTTTCTCATCACTTGCTGCAGCTTCAAAAATATGATGTAGAGATTCAGTCAACACCAGAGGATGCTGTTGCACTCACAACCTCTCAAAAAAGTGAGCTGCACTACCTACAACCAACCTAAAGTCCAGAATAAACAGCAGGTACAATAATGAGAAACTGGTTATCCTAAAACTGTTTTAACGTCTCATCTAACTCGACAAATGATCCCAGTTTGTGGTCAGAGGTATCACAGACTGACATCACATCACATCCAGTGTGAATTTTAACTGTTTTCTGAGTTGGTCATCACTTCCCTATCGTCTTTCTTGATTCTAATGTCTGGCACCATACAGGGCTGGAATGTAGCAGTGAATACGTAGCCTAAAGCACCCCTCTTGCCAATGCATTAGTGGATTGTTTTACTACATGTCGTAGGAGGTCAACTGGGGCACAAATCATTGCAACTCAGCATAGCAGGTTTCATGTTGTGTTTAAGGACTGAGACCAGGACAGTACTCCAGTTTAATCACTTAATTGAGCCATAAAGGAGTCTCAGTTTTTGGAAGTATGTCTATGACGGACATGCTTTTGTTTTCTGCTTGGAGCTTGTAGACTGGGATAAAGACAGCAGTTGAGTTAAATGGCCTGATTGAACTATAACTACAGCTCCACTTAAAGGTGGAGTACGCAGGAATCCGTAAAGAAACATCTTTTCTTGTGGTGTAAATACAAAAAAGCTTTTAATATCAGTCAATAGCTATTAGTTATTGATTACATTTGGTAATATAACGATATAGCTGTGTTTTGTTATGTCTGTGTAGTCAACATTGTAACATTTTTCAGCAGCACGCTCTTTCTGACTGTAAACAAAGCCCTTATCCGCCTCCCCTAACCTGATTGGTTGTGAGGCAGATGCTGCTCCTTAGTGCTGATTGGTTGTGAGGCAGACACTGCTCCCTCGTGTTGTGAGGCACGCTCCAGGGGCCTCATTTATCAACCGTGCGTACGCACAGATGTGTGCGTAAAAAGTGCGTACGAACATTCCCACGCAGAGTCTGGAATTTATCAACCTGTACTTGTGCTTAGGAACCTGCGTAAATTTAAGCACAACTCTGACCATGCGTACACACAAAACCTAGTGGTAGGACAGTAAAACTACAAATAGAACCCATTAAAGGAGTCACAGCGTTCCACAATCTCAAACTCCACACATGTTCATGTTGCCTCTATACAAAATTTATCAATTAGTAATTTAGCAGACATTTTGAATGATTGGTGAGACAAGCTATAAAAATCTGCTGTGACAGGACAACCTCAAAAGAAGTCTTACAAGTACAAATACAAGTATCACGGTTTATTTATCAAGCTTGCATACGGCAGAAAACTTGTGTATACCCTGCGTACGAAAATTTTGACTTGAGGATCGGCATTTATCAATCTGCACGTAAGCGTACGCTACGACCAAATCTCACGTCTGACAGGTCTGACATCGTGTACGCAAGTTTGAGTCAATGTGGATCTGCGGTGCAGCAAATGTCTGTCTTAAAATAATTGATAAACAAACCTCAAAGCTGTCATTAAGCACAATCAGCCAGATTTCAGTAAAGATTAAGACGTAAATAAAATAATATAAATTTGTTATGTCCTTAGTGAATGGGCCTATTTGATAACTCTGCCCAGAAACACTGCCACAGAGCAGGAGCGCTGTTTTATCATTACACATACGCGCGCCACTATGGAGTGCTGCGTTTGACTCCTAAAAGACAGGTGTCTCTGTGTTGGCCCAGCAGCGGGGACGTTGTTGTACCCTCCTAAAAGGGTGTGGGACATCATTTGGGCTGTTACAGTTTTGCACAATGTTGCTCTGGCGAATGGAGTGCCGTTGGCTGTGCCTGTCCAACGTGAGGACCCGATGCCCGGAGAACAATAACGAGGAGAGACTCCACAAAGGTGCTGTACAGAGGAGACAGGACCTTATCGATGGATTCTGACATGTTAAATATAAGTTTAGAAGGTGCTCTTGCTATTTAATCGGTTACAAAAATCTAATAGAAATCCATTTAATGTGCCTCAGGGGCAGCAACACACCGTTTGGTGAGGTTAATAATTATTTTTGTTCAGCCAGTCTACAGTCTGCTCTACATTACAAAGACGCAACAAATTGAAACTACATACTTTCAACAATTGGAGCAACGTACCCTATGTCATGGCAATAAAAAATATGAGGCATGTATGAGATATTAGTTTGTCATCATAAGCAACTTATTGACTAATGATTTATTCAAACTTCAGCAGTGCTGTTCAGTGCCACCATAATCCTGCTCCAGACAGGATCTCTAGATCTCAGCGACCAGAGTAAAAAACAGGCCCACATAAATCCTGATCTAGTGTCTTTACACTGGTTCCCTGTACATTTGAGACTATAAGATCTTCTTATTCAGACACTTATTATTTGTCACTTTTAAAGCTCTCTATGGGGTTTCCCCCAGCCATATTTTAGACCTGTTAAAAAGTACATTAAGATCCTTTGGAAGAGGTCTTCAGTGTATTCCAAAAACCAGACTGAAGGTAACAAAGCATTTGCAGTGAGAGATGATCTGCCTGAAGGAATCAGGTCAGCTAAGTCAGAGATCTATTTTCAATCTATAAACATAGTCCATTTACAATTTAAATAGCATTACCCAACTAAGACTCCAACCTTTCCATATCTGACATCATTATCATTAATGCAGCCAGAGCCCATACAGAAGCTTATCAAAGAGCCTTATCATGGCAGGATAGCTCGCTGGTGTCAAACTGAGAGTGATTCGGGATGGTGACTTCATTTCCTTATCCAGAGAAATCGATTGAAACCACCCAGCCTCAGAGCGGCTACCACCTACCAGCTTCAAACCTTTAGGAAGTGCCGACCCAGGATGAAATACTGCCCTGGGATCCTGCTGGTTTCCAGTCACTGCGTGTGAGTGGCTACTGTATCTTTTCAATAGACGTCCCAGATGATATGACCATAACAGATGCAGGTCATGAATCAAAGGTCTTAAACCACCCGGCTAGCTGATGTCTTCAACATGTGCTTCAGTCAGATCTCTGAAACACATCATGGACACACCACATAGAAACACACTCAGAACAGAACAGACTCTCCTGTCCCAGTGTCTGCTGTCCGCTTTGTCCTCTCTACCTGATGTAGATCTACATCTGAATCTTGCACAGACCACATGGACGATCCAGCCTCGTGTGAACTGAGCCTATGAACGCAATGACCCCATCACTCCAACCAAACCTGCAAGAAAATAAAGCCTGTGCAGAAATTCGGCCCAGCCTTTAAAAGCAGAAGTCTTGTGGCTTTTCCTCGGCTCAGCTCGAGTTAGAAAAGCATCAAAGTGCCTGAAAATAAGGATCACATGTGTTTCAAATATGCTGAAATTTAATTGATAATAAATTTGTGCTTATGAAGACATCAGACGGAGAAGTGCTTAAAGGTGTGGCTTTGTTGGAGGTGCAGGAAATCAGAGAAGAAGAAAAGTAAACCATGTGGTTTCAGCTTGTTTTTGGAGGTTTGAGTTTACTAAACCAAACAGTCTAGCTGCACCTGTTTTTATAAAATTCACTAGTTGAACTCAATCCAAGCCACAGTGCAGGTGGTGTGTAAATATGTACCGACACTATCTGTAATAAAACCAAAATTTATAAGCACCAGTCTGCTGTTTTAAAGATCTTCAAAGCACAGAGCTGGAGGCTGTAGTTCAGGATGCAGAGCCAGAATTTGCTCCCAAATCATTGAAAAAAGCTTTAAGTTTGACTTTGAATCAACATTTATAGACTGTAAGGTAGTTTTTTCTCCAAGTGTGTTTGACTCTGTGTGGCCACAGTTATATTCCAGCAGATAGGCGTGTGTTCCCTCACCTCTTCTGTTTGTGTGGTCTGGAGCTGCTCTGAACAGAGGCACAAAGTTCAGCTCGCTGAAGACTCTGTGATCCAGTCCCATCTTAGCAATGATGATTCTGCTCACAGCCCAGTGCTGGATAAATTCATTGACAAATAAAGGCATCACAGACAAAAGAAATAAAAACTGTTATTTACAATTATGAGAAACAGAAATGCAGTGGCACAGATATTTCTGCACTGAAGTTGGTTATACACTCACCTTGGATACCCGAGTTGCTGCTGTTTTTTTTGTTTTGCAATGGTCACATGCTGTGGGTCAGGTTTGTGTTGTGAATATAAACATTTACTTGGTTTGAACAATTATGACTTATTGCAAGCAAAAAATCTCAAATACTAGAAAGTGTTTTTGTCTAATTTGTCATAAAATGATTTTTTTTAGGCTGAATTTGAGCAACTTTTTTCAGACAGGTCCAGATAAATGTCAAAATATTAGGCTACTGCCAAAATTGAAAAGTGCTTGAAATGAGTAAGAAAATAATTGAAAAATGGAAGAGGAAAAATGTTCTTGTCAAGGTCTGGAACTACAATGTTTTATTTCTCCAAGTGCTGCACAGTGTTCATTTTTCCATCTAATGCTGCAGCCCTGAAAGTGTCAAAGAAAAGAATATCAAGATTCTTTCAGTTCTTTGTCACTCAAAAACATTTTTCAAGACATGCGAGTTAATACATTTGCCAGTAATTGTTTCAACCACCTCTATGTATAACTATTATGCATAACTATGTCAACCACCTTTATGTAGAACTATTTATGTAGGACTACTTCAACCACTGTTTTGTAGAACTATTTATTACCTCCGCCAGGGAGGTTATGTTTTTGGTAGCGTTGGTTTGTATGTCTGTTAGCAACTTTACGGAGAAAGTTACAGACGGATTGACCTGAAATTTTCACCAGAGGTGCGTCTCAGCCCCAGGACGATCCCATTACATTTTGGTGGTGATCCGGATCGCCTTCTGGATCCAGGAATTTTTTGAAGGATTCTTTATCATTGTGAGATAGGGCACATTTTGTAATTTTTGCATTTAACTCTATAAAAATGGCCAGAGTCTTTAGTAAAAAATTACACAAAAGGATCTCAATGAGTTTTATGAGGTGTCAAAGGTTGATCCTGATCCAGACAAAATTCCAGATACTGTGATCCAGAACCCACAATGCTGAAAGATAACCAATGAAGATACAAGGAAGTGTACGCTTACAAATATTGCATAATAAATCATGTATTCATGAATCTAATATGAGCTTTGTTGTTTTAGGAACATTATGAACAGTGAACATACCAGTTTAAACACAAATAAAAGTTAATAAAAGACACGTAACAGTAAAGGTTTTGGTGTGAATCACAATATAAGGGGGGACATGAGCTGCTTGGCGGAGGTCTGCGCTCTCCAAGTGCTTTTCTAGTGTATAATTATAATTATAATTATTATATTATAATTATTTCAACCACCTTTACGTAGAACTATTTATGAAGAACTACTTCAGCCACCTTTATGCAGAGCTATTGATATAAAATTATTTCAACCACCTTTTCACAGAACTATTTATGTAGAACTACTTCAACCACCTTTATGTGGAACTATTTATGTCAAACTACTTCAGAGACCTTTATGTAGAACAATTTAGGTAAAACTATTTCAACCACCTTTATTTGAATAATGTATGGAGAACTATATCAACCACCTTTGCATAAATCTAATGATGTAGAACTACTTTAACCGCCTTTATGTAGAACTATTGATGTAGAAAAAAATTAACCTCCTTTAGGTAGACCTTATCATGTACAACTACTTTATCCACCTTTGTGTAGAACTATTTTAACCACCTTTATGTAGAAATATTTATGTTGAACTAGTTTAACCATTGTTTGTAGAACTATTTATGAAGAACTATTTCAACCACTTCTCTGTAGATCCATTTATGTAGAACTACTTCAAACACCTTTATGAAGAACTATTTATGCATAATTATTTCAACTACCTTTATGTAGGACTATTTATGTAGAACCAGTTCAACTACCTTTATGAAGAACTATTTGAACTACTGTAACCATTTTTGCCTAAAATTATTTGTGAAGAACTACTTCAACCACTTCTATGTAGAACTACTTATGTGGGACTATTTCAACCACCTCTATGTAGAAATATATATGAAGAACTACTTCAGCCAACTTTATGCAGAGCTATTTATGTATAATTATTTTTACCAACTTTACGTATATCTATTTATGTGGAACTATTTCAACCACTTCTATGCAGAACTAGCTTAATCATCTTTATGTAGAACTATTAATGTATAATTATTTCAACCACCTTTATGTAGAACTATATATGTGGATCTTTTTTAACCACCTCTATGTAGAACAATTTGACCACCTTTGTTGAATTATTTATGAAGAACTATTTCAACCACCTGTAGGTAGAACTATTGATGTAGAACTACTTCAACCACTTTAATGTAGAGCTATTTATGTAGAACCACTTCAACCATCTCTATGTAGAACTATTTATGTTTCATTATTTCAACCACCTTTACATAGAACTATTTATGTAGAGCTTTTTCAACCACTTTGATGCAGAATGACTGAAAGTTTTTAAGCAAAGGGTTTCAGTTTGTCATCTCTCGTGCTGTTTAGTCAAGAGAGAGGCATCAGTTTCTCAAGACAGACTTAAAGTCTGGTTCAGTCTAGTTCTAGGAAAGCAGGGTTTGAGTTCTTAAAAAGATGCACTTTTGTTTGATAACTATTCAAAGCCGTATTCTATGGTAAAATTGCCCCCACGTGCTGTCACTATTTCCCCTGTGATGAGAGTGATTGTAGCGCTCTGACATCTTTCATTGCAGTGATTAAAACAGTTTTGTCCTCATTGGTTAAAGAACAGCAAAAGCTTTATTAGTATGTGTGCATGTGGTTTATTTGTATCAACAGAAAGCTAACAAATGTAGTTTAAGTATTCTGTTATGAAGGAAAATCTGGCATATGTTGCAGCTGACCCCGGTCTCCCCTATTTCTCTGCACAAGAGTCTGAACAGCTGCTACATTGCAGGTCTGAACTCCCTGGTGGTTTTGCCAGAACACCGTGCACGGGCTGATCTCCGCCTCCTCGTCTCCTTTGGATGGGAGAAACAGAATCTCATCTGGGAGGGAGAACACCCTCGTCGAAGCCCACCAAGGCCTGTTCCCAGTAACCCAGAAAGGCCCGCTGGCACCACATGAAACACATACCTCTGCAGTGGTAGTGGATCTGAGGTTTACAACCTGGGCTCCTTACCCAATTAGACTGGATCATGGAGGCAAAGCAGAATTTTTTTTACAATGTCACGGGGGTCTGAAAGATGGGGGGATTCTGTTTACAGGGGCTGAGGGGCAAGTGGGATCTGCTATTCCCACGTCTCTTTTATCAGCCTGTCAGGGTGAGCTCACAGCCGCCCAGACCTCCAACAGGTACAGAGGCTCTGAAACTGCCTAAAATCTGCCAAATTTAGACATAAACAACCTTAAATCAATCCAGATTTAATCCATTTTTACAATTAAAAGAACAAAGATCCAAAAGACAGAGACCGATAAAAAATCCTAAATCTTTATTTTTCTTTGTACATTATACAATATAATACAAAAAGCAGCTTAATTTCAGAGAGAAAGAGAAGTACAAAACAGGAATAAGACCAGAAGCTTTAGGATAATAAATAGCAAAAAGTAAGAACAAGTAGATTAACAAGTACTCACGCTGAGTGACCGATCATTCAATATTTTACAACTCTTCTTTTTGGTAATGCAATTGTGTTTTTCTGTGATTGTGATGACCTGCACAGATTTATGGACATACAAATCCAACCTGAATACTGAGAGTTATAGTCTCAAGTCTAAAGAGTGTATTCAAAACTTCCAAGTGGAAATATGAGCAGCAAACAAAGCAATCACAACATTTTTGATGCAAAATGACGGACATCAACATGGGTCCCTGTCCTGTCTGTTTGGCACTGACAACAAGTCTGCAACCTCCATTTCTGCTGGAGGTGAAAGAGTGTACAAGGGGAGTGAGAGTCTGGGGGATTAAAGTAACAAGAGGATCATGATGAATGTCTCATGGTATTTCAATCAACAACCAACGACTGCACCACAACAGAGGAGCACTACTGCAAACACACAACACACGACATGTTTCATATACAGAAACATCTGCTGCACATTTAAAAACATTTTCAGATCTTTAATACTTTGAAAGAACAATCCTAGAAATCAAAAATACTTCTGCTGCAATCAGTCCAGGTGGTCAAGCTTCAACTTCTACATACAGATTGTGTCCCTGACCCTACTGAGGGCTGTTAGTGATGGCTTTGAGAATATCACATGTGTTTTTGGAGATGACCTCTCGCAGCTTCCGTATGCGGCGAGGACTGGAGGCACCAACATAACTCTCAGGTTGAAGCACAGCCATGCCGTCATTCGCGTTACCCATGATGATGACCTGGCCCTCTGCGGCGGCGCCAGTGATGTTCGGGCACGGGCAGTTCCAGTCCATGTTCTGGAAGGTGACCTCTAAGGGCTCCTTGCCGAAGAAGCGGAGCCCCATCTTTTCATCCTTGAGGATTTCCTCCACAGTAACGAGGGCGTGACCCGAGTCCTTCTCCTCTGTGAGCTCCGTCATACGACCCAGGATGACAAAATCGCTCCTGCAGAAGCTTGTCACCATCTTGCCCCTGGGCTTGCAGGCCTTGCAGTGGTGGTTTTTGGGGTAGGGGCACATCTCCTCGCAGGCTTCTTTGGATTCAAAGTTGTTGTCATTGCCGTCACATCCTCCGTAGATGAAGGACTGACACTGTCTCAGGGTGCTGCTGTACGCCCAGCGCGGCTCATAGGCCTTACAGGAGCCCTGCAGGCTGGGCAGCCCACATGGACCTGACACCTCAGGGCCACAGCACTGCATGCACTCCTCATACATGTCAAACACTTTCCTGGGTGGTGAGCTGTTGGTGTTGGTGTGGCAGTGGGTGAAGGAGAAACAGTTGTTAGTTTTGGGCTCATAGTACCAGCTGACCTTCTCCAGCTCGCTCCCACAGTCCTCTGAAACATCAGGGGGCTTCACACACTCCTCAGGCAGACAGCGGGTCACATTCTTGGGCCTGGGAGTCTTTGGAGGGTCTGAGGGTAACACAGTCAGAGGATGGTTGGCCTTGACTGTACCTGATGGGTTCTGAGCCATGCAGGTGTACACACCTGAGTCATGGGGCTGGGCGTTGTAGATGACCAGCTGTCCGATGTTAGTGACCACCATGTTTCCTTGCACGTGGTTAGGCTTCATGACCACCCGCTCTGCACCCTCAGGCAGCTGCCTCTCCCAGGTGATCTCAGGCCGCGGGCGCCCTGTGACATCACACAGGAAGCTGGCTGTGTCACCCACATTCACAGTCTGGTGAACAGGGCTGCTGACCACCACAGGAGGCTGGGGCTCAGTGGGAGGCGGGATAGTTGCCTGCATGGGGGCAGTGGTGGGACGGAGGGTGGTGGCCTGGGGCAGTGAGGGGCTGGTGTTGGGCCAGGTAAGGTGGAAGCGGCAGGTGACAACAGACAGGGTGATGCCCTTGGAGCATGCCTCTGCATCCATGTAGCACTTGTTGTAGTAGGTCATGCCATCTGAGGCGCAGGTGAAGTGCGGCTCCCTCTCACAGCGGTCTCTGCACTTACACACCGGCTGGCCGTCCCAGATGTCACACTCAGAGCCCTGCTGGTTGCACATGAAACTGGAACAGGTAGCCTCTTTAGGCATTCCTACTGGGGCTTTGGTCCCATCCACATACCGCGCCGCAACACAACTCCTATTCCCACAGACATTTTGGCAGCATTTCTCAAAAGGCTCACACTCCTAGAAGAGAAAAGACAGAGAGATGAGGTGCAGTGAAACTGGAGGGCACTTCCATTCATAAAACAGAGTTAGAATTACAAACTAGAAACCAGATGTGATAAAATGAAATAATTCTGAGAGGTGCAGGTGCATAAAATATGATCATACACAGAAACAGGATGCAGAAAGTAGCACACAGGTGTTAAGTCAACTCCTGTCTCTAAGTTTGCTGACTTTACCCGGTCAGATTCACATTCTCGCGTGCAGGTGCTCATTGCATCCACCCACAGGTTCGGGTTCATGTCATTAGGGCAGATCCCCGCGTGTAAATAAATGATCTCCGGCTGAACTCCGACTTGGGTCTCCATCCACAGTGACACACACGCCAGGAACCAGATCCAGCGTGGAAACAGCATCCACCACATCTTTACAGCGGAACGCGGACCAACAGGGAGCGAAGTTCGTGTTTTCAAAGTTTCAGGATGGTCCAGCGGTGAGCGCACTGCTCTTCTACGGATGAAAAAGTAGACACAAGTCAGAAGCGCATCACACGTGTGAGTCCGCAGGTCGACTCGATGTGTACCGGCTGTGTGATCCCCTTTGATAGTCCACTTCAGCAGCGATGGTGATCTATTTATACCACCGGTCCGCTGCCATCACCGTCACCAACCCTAGCCAAGTTAGCCGCAGCATGACAGCTCTGGGCTGCTCCTCAGATGCTGGAAGAACATTTTTCAGGAGTCAGAGAAGAGCTTTGGGCTGGACTGGCGGGGCACCTGCCTGATATAAGGACTGCTGGTTACCCTGATTAACCCTTTACGGGGTCGAGCGGCACCGGAGCGCACGGTGCGTAAAAGGCGCAAAGACAGAAAGCGCCAGAGGCTGTATGTTAAGATTTTTTTAGGGCTGTAAAAAATCAAACACGTTAAAAATTAACAGAGAAAGTTTGTATTTGACCGTAATGAAGCGTTAGAAGATGTTATTTACAAATGCAGAAAACGGAAAAGGCTCTGCATGTAGACGTTAATGAGCCGAGTCATTATGTGCTTTGTTAAACACGGTTCATTTTAATCACATGTTGAAATTGTAATCATTAATATATGAGTGTGTTTATTTTTCTAAAGATTTTGCTCTGGATTTTTCCAACTCATTTGTTTTTTCTGCATCGGGGTCATGATTTAACAAACACAGCACAGGTTTCTGAGGTTTTGCACAAATTCTTAAGATGTGTTCTTGCAGAGATTATCTTTTTTGTTTGGTCTCTTTTGTTAGTTTAAATTTGTTGAAACATATACAAGAGGGTGGAAAATGTGCAAAATCAAATTTGAGAAGCATTGTTTTGTCCTGGCGTTGTACATGCAGATTTGTCCTGCACGTCTCTCTCATAAGTTATAAAACTCCATCACTTATTTATCATCGATTTAATATATTTCCACTTGAAGAAAATGAATTTGATTTGATAATGAAGCAGATGTGATTTTTTTTTCAGATTGAACAGAACTATGAAAATAGTCAGATTTGATTCGAAGTGATCAAAATAATAAAGAAATATTTTCCCCTTAGTTTGATGCATTGACATGGTGTTGAAGTCTGACTGAATGCAGCTGCTTTTTAAAGTGCAAACTTGTCTCCAAAACTAATACAATCATGTGAAATCTGCTACTTTTTGAAGAGGGGATAAAAGTCAAATAAAAGCTGAATAAAACATATCTATATGTCAACTCAATTTGAATTTGAAGATGTACAAATATGTTGCACAAAATGTGAATGACCCTGCAGCAGTTTGCACGTACAGCAGATGTCATATTGATTAACAGTTTTTCCTTCTCCCCAGTCCCCGCATGTGACCAGTGATACGTGACTGTTGCAGCACAGCAGTTTGAACTCAGCTGTGGACTTACACATTACTGTATACATGCTCCACAATTGACAAAGCATGTCTTTGTGCACAGGATCAGTAGTGTTGCTGCAGCCGCTGTGTGTGGATTTAGAAAAATGACTAAGGCCAAAGACACACACATTCCTGAGACTCTCAGGCTTTTGCAAAAACAGGCACTCAGACATTTTATTGACAAGCAAAGTAATTTTTAATTGCACCATTTTCACAAGTTATTATCCAGCACTCACAAGCTTTGATTTCAGAGTTTGGCTTCAAAGCTGGGACTTAAGATAATGAACACACTTCCAGCTCTGACAGCAGCTGATGACAGGCCAGCAGAGGTGAAATAAGGATATGACTTCAAAAACTCATCTGACGATCAGGTGATGAGCTCCAGAGTGGGCGTGTGCATTTTTGGCAGAGGCTTTAATGAATGAAGGTGTTATTTTAATTTTCTCTGTCTGAGTACTTTCCTGTGTAAACTATTTCAACTGCTTTCCTCCATGGTTCAGCTGAGGACAGGGATCTAACAGACCGCCCTGCACTGCTTTAACTGCAGACTCCTGCTGTGGAAAAGTGTTGGTTTGTTCCTGATGCAGACATGGAGGTTTTCTCTTTGTGTGTGTTTGTGTGTGTGTTTGTGTTAGTATGTGTTCAGGACAAACAAATAAAGAAATAAACTGTTTGTCTCAAGCCTCCCAAGCTTCCAGGGCAACTTGTCTCAATCCGGTAAGAAGGATTATCTCTGCCCCATTTCACCAAAAGTGAACACACATGTGGCATGTATGAACTTTACATATGCTGCTTTTAACACATTTAAAGGTGTCTAAGATTATAAAGTGGCCTCTGTTCACTTCTACAGACACTCAAACATGACCCACAAAGTGCTGAGTAACTCATTATTTGCATAAATAGAGACTCAACACTGGCTGTCATCCTGCCAGGACCAGAAGAAGTTGGCTCATCTCTCACAGCCGTCACAGTCTGGACCTGTTCAGTACAAATGACATGTTTCATATACAGGCCAAATTAATAAACTGTTGTGCCGTTAAGACGGATGTATCTGGGGGCTACAAACACAGGAAAATGGCAGGCTTGTTCTTTTTCCGGCAAAACACATCAGCAAACAAGGCTTTTCTTCAAAACTCAATTACATTCATCAGAATCCCCGAAAGGCACAACATCATCGGCAGCACATTTTCAGACCAGAGGTTGTTTGAGGATTCGAGCTTCAAAAAGAGCGACAGGCAGAGGTTGTCAGATAAGTTCCTGAGTGATGTGGAGGAATAAACTTTACGCCAGTGAATGTCAAAATAAGACCATAGGTTTGTGTTTTTGCTACACAGTTACAGAAACTTTTATCATTAGGATAATAAGAACCTCTATTGTGAGCTCACTTGGCTGCATCTGAACACATGAGCCCGATAAGGGTTTAATATCTGCAGACACTGCAGGCAAACTGGTCAGTGGCTTTGAAGATATCATGTTTGTCCAGCAGATGATTTTTAAACGAGAAAGCGAAAGTTTTTCATATAAATCCTGTGGATATGCAGTTTGACAAAAATATCAACCATGCCCTGAAGTTTAAAGCATAACCCAATGTATTTTTCAAGCTCGTGGATCGATGGGAAATCATTGTAGAAGGCATCTTTAGGCATCAGCCGTTAAAAGCAGCATCAGTCAACTGCCACTGAAATGAACAAATGACACTTTTTGATAAGTGAGATTTTCCAATGATTCCTTTTACTTTTACCCAGAGCTACTGTAAGGAGATTTTAGTTTCAGCCACCAAACAGACAGATGTTAACAATGAGGCATTTATGTGTCCCCAAAAACCAAACCAGACCCATTTTCACAACTTTTTCCACCTTTAATATGACCTATAACCTGTACAATGCAATTGAAAAATGAACTGAAACCTTTAAGGGGAAAAATAAAACATTTGAAAAGTTAGAATAACCTGGTTGCATAAATATGCACACCCTTAAACTAGTACTTTGTTGCAGCACCTTTGGCTTTTATTACAACACTTAGTCTTTTTGAGTAGGAGTCTATCAGCGTGGCACATCTTGATGTGGCATATTTGCCCACTCTTCTTTGCAAAACCGCTCCAAATCTGACAGATTGTGTGTGAAAGATTTATGTTTAAATAAAAAGAATTAAAATTGAGGGGTTTTTTTTGTTGGAAAACACCATGTCCACATCTGCAGGATAAATTAGCCAAATCAGCCAAACCATAGAAGATGTAAACCTCTGTAACTTGAGTAACTCAAACTGACAGTTTCTCCCAGGAGCTTCAAGTGTCGCTGTTACAATATGCTGCCCATTGCTGTGGTACCATATGATACCATGTGGTTAAATACAATTCTATACGTCATGACGTGTCAAAATACTCTTGGTATTTTGATACAATATTGTCTAATATGTTATGATAAAATAAGACAGTTTTTGATACAACACAATATGCTGCTACAGTTTGATACAATATGCCAAACTACGTTTATATAATTAGATATAAATTCATTTTGATGCAATATAATACAACACTGTTTGATAACTTGCAATAATATGTGCTAATATTGGATAATGTGTAATGTGATATAATTGAATACATTTATATAATTGATATACATTGATATTTGATATCTTCTTCTATAAAATCGGTCATGGACTTCAGTGCTTTGTGTTCAGCTGCACTCCAAACACCACCAACACATAAAACAAATGAATAATAAAAAAATGAAAATATGTTCAAGTTTTTTTGTGTCTTCTCAGTGTATACCGCTGTATCATAAAACACCAGGACACACTAAAGTTTACCACTGCTGTCTGTCAATATCTGAACATAACAAACCAAGTAATGTTGTATTTTAAATGGAGGTTTTCTACTTCAGAGTTTATGATTTATACAGTTCATAAATTATGATTTTTTTTTTCTGGGAGACAAACAAATGGCTGGACTTCCAGTGAAAGGAGTACAGCTGACCATTAAAAGCTACAGGTTCAGAGTTACTCTCTAGTTTTACAGTTCCTGAAATGAGAGTGTGCTACTTTTCTAATCTTGTTTTGAATCTTCCTCTCACTTCTGGTTCCTGGGCCTGCAGTTTCAAACTGACAGGACGAGTCGGCAGACGGCAGAGCCAACCCTCCCTGCTGTTTCATGTGGCTTTGCCCATAGGCAGGGACATTACGAGTATGCAGGCTGCCAGCTGCACACTCATTCATCCCCATCTGTGAGTTTGGAATTATCAAAGACACAAAGAGTCTGTGCAAACACTGAAATACACTAACACCATATTCTATAAAACATCTAACTCTGAATAAGGCTGAATTAGTGCAATTAGTGTGGTGGAGAGTAAAGATGGCATCTTCCAGCAGAGGGATCTGAGGAATATGGTCTTCTTGGTCCTCCTAATATACTGCTCTGTGTTGGTCTGTGTCTGTTGGATGACATAACATCTGATTTCTCACCTCTGATGATACAGAGGTGTATCTGCTGAGTAAACGCTGTAGTAAAAATATGCAGAAGAAATGAAATCAATATCCTGCACCTTTGTGTTTCTGTTTGGATATATAATATTGATTTTAACTCCAGTTGTTTGACTTTTGATTTTCCCATCAGTGTCCACATTATTGAAGCTAAGTTGGTTTTGGAGATAGAGGAGCAGAGTTTAAGTGAAGGGATGGCGCTGTCATTGGTCCCTGATAGACTGAGCGCACTCTAGTGGATGATCAGAGTAATTGCAGCTGTTTTTTAAACTAATTTCAACAGGACTAATGATATTTCTGCTAGAAATCTGGTACTGAATGCACTGACAGAAATGAATGAGCATTTATATGGAAGTCTGTTGTATCATTTTGGTGAATTCAAAGTTGCAATTTTTTGAGGCATCAAATTCAAAATGAGTGAATATTTGCAAAAAACAATCAAGTTTATCAGTTTGGAATTTAAATATCTTTGTAGTGTATTCAGTAGGATATAAGTGAAAAGTTGATGCACTTCATAAATAATTCTCATTTGATATATATTCAGAAAATATTAGTGACCCTGTGGCAGTTTTTACCTCAATGAGCTACTTTTACTTACTGTTCAATTACTGTAACATTTTCTTTCAATATTATCTATATCTTATTGTGCAGTTAGCAGCTTTTGTACCTCTAGTCGTGCTGTCAGTGCTGAGCTATGGCAAACCTCAAGGCAAGTCCTTTATTTCATTTTCCAAATTCAGCCATTTAAGCTTTTATTTTGGTGTAAATGGTTAAGTGCTGGTGCCAATACATTCTAAATTTTTAGGCTGCGGTTTAAGTTGAGATGTTTCAATTTGACATTTATGGCACGATTTATGTGCCGTGTTTTCGTTCACTGTACAGATCTCCAAATGTATGGATACAACATGTTATTTTGCATGATTTGGAGCAGAGGTGAAAAAAACAGAGACCAGAAGAATCTGCTTTCTTTATTCTTGATGAGTTATTTCTTTTGAAATCGTTCAGATCATAGACTGTATATAGAATGGACAGCGTCTGCCTCCTTGCTGAGTGAAGCCACTCCGAGAACAGCACCCTCTGCTGACTGGCTGCAGTATAGGTCATAAATCCCGCCTCCACCAGCAAAGCTTATGAAGCTGTGGACGAACTTTAGAAATTAGTTACAAAGAACATGAATTTTTCTCCCCCCTGCTTGCGGTGTTGCCATGCAGTTAATGTGAGACTGGTTTGTGCTCAAGTCCTCTTTTTTCTGTGAAGGTCCGATTTTAAAAGTTATTAGGGGGTTCATGTTTTCTTTGATTGACACCTGATACAGTCTATTGGCGTTCACGGATTGCGTAGCTCACCTGGGGGATATGCTGTTTGAGCCGAGTGTCATCACAGCGACTCGGCGACTTTCCCGCTGAATGCGCACAATGCTACTGCGCAGCTCTGGTTTCAGGAAATGGAGCATTTTGGCTTCAAATCCGAATACAGGTGGGAGGCGAAACCAAGTTGTCCATAGTATATACAGTCTATGGTTCAGATATATATTTTTAGTTGATCCAGACAGGAGGCTTTTTGCATCGTCCACTAGGTATCACTGTTTTACCCACTGAACCTGTGTTTTCTGCGCCACCATAGAGGATGAGTGTCTCCTCAATACCATCCAGGTCCAGTCATTTAAAAAAAAAATTTTTTAATTTTTTGTAGTCATATTTCTAAAAGACTACGCTAGACAGAGGCCACCGCCGATCAGTCCATTAGCCGATCAGAAGCTGTATCAGTGATCTGCTGACCTGTAAAGATCCAATTAGATGCCAGGGCTGCTTGAACTAGCAGTGCTGGTCTGCTCTCAGCTTGTGGGTGGTCATGTGTGTGTGCTTCATTTCAAGGTGATTGTTTTATCTAAAAAACTAAATTGACCAACAGATTTATCTTACAATAGTTAACACATTCAAGAGTTTTTAGAGACAGGCAAAGCTTTTTAAGCCAACAAACTCAAAGAGCCAAGCTTTGCCTTTGAGTACCTTATTATTCTCAAACTCTAAATGAGAAAAGAAATTTGAGCCTCTAAAACAGGTAGTCAGTAAGCTTTAAGAAAATCAAAAGGACACTCCCCCAAGCAACCCATGGCTTCCCTTTTAAAAAACCGACAGACAGACAGACAGCGCACACATGTTGGTCTTCTTTTTTTAAATAAAGGCATCATATTTCATTTTTTGGTGGTACAGAATTCAAGTTTTTATAGATTTGGTTCACAAAAGAATCACATATTTAACTGAGCGAACTTCCCTAAAAGAAACAATTCCTTAAAAAGTAGCTTAAATAATGGTACAGTACAAAAATAAGTGGGTTTATCACAAAGGATGTTTTTTTTCTTATGAGGAAAGTACAGTGGCACAGTATTTTTCTTTGTAGAAAAAATAAAATAAAAAAGTTCCTCCTTTTCTTGATTTTTTGTTGTTTTGCAGCAGACAGCCGGTTACAAAAGGATACATTCACTGGCTTTCTTCATCCCACTGGCAGAAGGCACTAAAGCACAGAGTTGGATCAACTAGTTCTTGCACTTATGGCTTGTTTTCTTTGAAGATGCTAGAAGGATGTTCTCTGCCACACAGGACAGTCCGGTCAGTGCTTCAAACTTCAGAAAATCACAGAGGACTATGTACAGCAGATGTCCTGCTCAGGGTTCAAACATTACATGGTTGCAACTTCTAATTGATCCAAGTCTGCGGAGAGAGTCCAGGCTGTTTTAAAACCAGCAGTAAGGGCCCTGAAAAACCTGTTTCCACTGCAGTCAGACTGAACCGAGCTGGTCCTCCAGGCTGGTTTGTAACACGTGGACAGAAGGCGGATTTACTGTGTCAGTCCAGCATCTTTAGCCATACTGTAGAAGATTCCTTTCTGGGCTATGAGGTTTGCTGGAGTATCAAACTCTGCTATCTGTCCCTTGTCCAACACCAGCACTCTGAAAGACAAGAACAGAGAGAGAGAGGGTCAGTTTTAAAGCCTGTTGAGTTTCAGACACTTCAGTTAGTGTTGTGTCGTTTGCGAACGATTTGTTCAAAAGAACCGAATCTAAGTGAACGCGCTGATCCGAATCACTTCCTCAAGTGATACATTCGTTTCTCACTTCAGTTGAGCTGCCAGCAGTGCCGCTGCCACAGCACATAGCATTGCCAGGCAAGCAGCCAGCGAGCGAGGGACTGCACGCTCTGTTGCCTGAATTACTTGGTGAACAAATCACTAACTAAACTAAACTAAAACTACACTCTCTGGAATCATTTTTGTCTGAGGGATACACTTTTATGGCAACTGTTGTTCCCTGTTGTTTTAATAGCAGTCATGAGAAGAGTGAGACTCATCAGCTGGAGCAAGCTTTTGACAGGAGTGATAGAGGTAGATAGGGATGTGTTGTGTTCCAGTGTACCTCGGGCAAAACTAGTTTTTTTTTTTTTTTTAAACTGCTAAATTGCCACCACAACAACTTGTAAACAGTAGGACACAGTATGTAACAAGTAGTGTATAAAACCTGCAGTTTGAGAAATGCGTGACTGTCTGATCCTATCATTGCGGTGATTTGCGAGGGAACGGTGCATGTTCAGTGTGAAATCTTCACTGATTGTACTGTGGGGTAAACGTTCAGTGAACGAATCACTCACTGAGCCCAATTTACCGGGTAGATCACATCATGAAAACAGAAAACATCATGATTTATAAACAAGCTCATTTTTACAAACTTGTTTGTCAAAGCAACACAGCCACAACACTCTCATCTCTCGGTCCCAGGAGCTATGAATTGTACTGAATTCTGAACCGTTTATCTGTGTATCAGTTCAGGAAGTCGGAGTCACAGGCTCCTCCTGCCAAGCACTGAATGATTCGGTGATTCGTTGAACGAATCTTTTTAGTGAACTGATTCTAGTGATTCAGTAATAATAATAATAATAATATCTTGCATTTGTACACTCAATAGAACTGCCGTGCCCATCACTACCTCCAGTGTGTTACTTTAACAGGGAAGAAAAGCTTCATTCTTTAATTGATAGGGTCGAAGGGAGACCTGATGTGTTATAAATGATATTGTACAATAGAAAAGATTTGTTTTGGATAAAACTATAAAAATATACAGTATTTTAGATCCTGTACAATTAATCTTGTGTTTGAAAAAATGAGACAGTCCACACAGCCATCTAAACTTTCTTCAATAAAACTCGTAAGACTGCAAGGCTCATTTCTCTGCCTCCATTTCCCTGACACGGCATCCACCAAAGTCAGTGGTGTGAAGTGGTCAGTGGTGTGCTTGTGAAGTGCTTGAAGTATTGTATATTTCACTATCAACAGCCTTTTTGTTTCCCATTGTGAGACCTTTACCTGCTCCAGGCTAACAGCTGGAGGTGCACCCGCCTCTCTCATGTGAACAGCTGCTATAATGTCATTGTTCATTCACGCTCTAGAGCTTAAATGTGCTTTTTGGACTTGAAGACTTATTTCATGATAGAGTGTGACATGCAAGGGGTGTTAGGCCTGTGAAGAAAGAATGCTGTGTAATTCAGTTTAATAGTCTACAGCTGTTTGACTGAAATATTCCCTGCCTGTTCTGAGTGTGTTTGACCAGTTTTAGGTTATTAGTGTTTTGTTCCAAAAATACAAAATAAACAAATAGAGGCAAAGACAGACTATCTGAGCTCTCTCCTGTTGTTAACGGACAAAAAGGCCAGAAAGCATTAATGTTTATAATCTTATACTGAACCTTGTGTAATCCATGATTGTGTTGAGTCTGTGAGCAATGGTAAAGACAGTGCAGTCCTCAAACTGGGTCCGGATAGTGGACTGGATAAGATCATCTGTCTCCAGGTCAATAGCAGCTGTAGCTTCATCCAGAATGAGGATTCTTGTCTTCCTCAAAAGAGCTCGAGCCAAACACACCAGCTGTCTCTGGCCCACACTGAAGAATCAAAATCACACTCAGCACATCAAACATGGCAGTACAGACAAACTTGATTTCTTCTACATAGAAACAAACTGCTTTCATTTTTTCCCTCTAAGCAGACCTGAGGTTCTCGCCGCCCTCTGAACACTCCAGTTCCAGCTTGGCCGGCTGATTGGTCACAAACTTGTGGAGGTGAGAATGTTCAAGAGCTTTCCACACCTCCTCATCGCTATACTTCTCAAAAGGGTCCAGGTTCATCCTCAGAGAGCCTGAAAACAGGACGGGCTCCTGCAGCAGAAAGAATATGAACAGTGTTTTGAGGAAAGACTCCTTGTGCTTGCTCAGACGTTAGAAATTACAACATAGAAATCCTCCATCTCCTCGTTGATGGTCTTTATTACTTTCAAAGGTCATGACAAGACATTCAACATACCATCAATCTGTTTTATAACTGGCAGAAAAACTCCTTACAGGGATAGCTCAGCATTTTCCAAGTGAGGTTGCATACGTGCGTTAAATGTCACTAATAAGTGTACCGGCCAAAACAGAGGTTGGGCAGCTCGGCCCCTTTAATGAAACACTGTCAGCAGAAACAGGACAGGAGGTCTGATACCCAAAGGCACTAGCTTAGAAACTTCTGAGCTAACCAAAGGGCAGGAGAGATCTCAGATGACCTGAAGGTTCAGGTGTGGAAACTGTGAGCTAATGTCCACAAACAGAGAAAAACTCCTGTCTGTCAGGACGAAGACTTGGTACCAGCAGCACCTCTGGATCTTTGAGAATCCGAATCTAGCAGCAGTTCACTCAAGGCTGCAGTCTGAGACCATCACCAACCAGAGTCTTCTGCTGTACTGAAGACTGAATGCTGTCTGTTTCCCACTTTCTTCAACATTCAGGAGTTCAATCAGAAAATAACTAAATGTTAGAGCGTCTTCAGAGTCAGAGTTCAGCTCTCAGTGTTTTTCCAGCATAATGACATAACCCATGGACCACAGGATCTGTTTACCTGAGTCTTTCAAAATGAGCCGAATTACATGGCAGAGCTGGTCCTGGATGCAGGAACCTGTAGCCTAGCTTGTATGCTGGTCCAGCTGTTTTTATGCCCAGATGTTTTTTTAAGCACAATGAAGATTTTCATAAGAAGCTGCTTGTTAAAGATATTGACTTTTTTTGTTTTAACTGAAAAATGAATCTGTTATGATTTTGGTGCAAAGACCACATTTATTCTTCATGTGGTATTATCTCAGAGAGAGGACGATCACCACTATTTGAAAAGAAACGTGGTACAAGCTTTTTTAACAGACGAAAGAGGGGACATCACACTGCTGCTGGCCACTCATAAACATTCACCTCCCACCTGTCTTGTGTGGATGTGTTGTGTACCTGTGGGATGATGGTGAGCTTGGACCTCAGGTCATGCAGACCTATCTCAGCTATCTTCACCTCATCGATGGTGATCTCTCCAGCAGCAGCTTCAAGTATTCGAAAGAGGCAGAGCGTCATGGAGGACTTTCCTGCTCCTGTGCGACCCACGATACCAATCTGCAGAGAAACAAGGATTACAGAAGCCACCCTGTTGACTTTGTGTTGATTGATTCTGCACACTCTCTCTCGTCCTCACCTTCTCCCCTCCTTTGACGCTCAGTGTGAGCTCCTTCAGGACCAGGTCCAGTCCCTCTCTGTATCGAACGCTGTAGCTGTGGAAGTCCACATTCCCCTTTATTGGCCATTCAGGAGGAGGCTTCTTGTCATCCACGTCCCAGGGGGCCTGTGAAACCAAGCAAAGCACTTCTGACCAGGAGAACTTTCTGAACAACTCATTAGCCTGCCTGGCTCCAAGCTGAACTGATTTCTTTATAAAAGCTCTCAGAGTTGGACCTCTGTGTGAGCAAAGTTACCCAGAACTGCCAAAGATTTACATCACCTCTGGGACATCCTGGACGCTACAAACAAAGGCTTTCACTAACAGCTCTACCAGCTTTACACGGGACACACGCTGTGACTGTTTGCTGAGAAAGTACACCGTGTACAGTACAAATACCCTGTTTGTCTTATGTAACAGAGGGGCCCTCGCTGGCACCAGGTGATCCAACATTTCTGGAACTAGTTAAGGTTTATAGGTCCTGTGTTGTTTGAGAACATGTCTTGGCAGCAGCACAGTCTGAAGGCATGTGGGTAAATTCGTATCTTTTAATTGCAGCAGCAGAGAGCCAAAACTTTTTTACTTTTGAATACAAACACATGCACAGCCTCACTTCAGGTTTCATGAAATATCTAAAGACACCTATGATGTTCAAACACACAAAGCTCTAGATACCTCCGTCTTGGTCTCAGAGTACTCCTTCACTCTCTCCACTGCTACGATGTTGTTTTCCAGGTCTGAACACATTCGCACCATCCAGTTCAGAGACATGGTCACCTACAAATACAAAAACATGCATGAAAAGGTTTCCAGAGGAGTTCATGTTTAGTCAAAAGTAAGTGAAAACACCAGAGTGTATATTCAAATAATAAACCATAACCATAAACTAGTTTAAGCTAACAGGCTAATGGTCAGAATGGCTTTGCAAAATGTTAAAAAACAGAAAGTAATGAATTTTAAGTGATTCAAACCTTGAGTTTAATAGAAAAAACTGTCAAGTCAACATATCAAGTAAAGGCCCATTTTCAATCATTGCATTGCCTGATGCATTGCCTGCAGCACATACCAGGTTACCATTGTGTCCTCTTTTAACAAGTCTGTGTGAATGACTGGGAACCTAGAAAAGCAGTTTCTGCAGTTCTGAAAGTCAAGTGTCTCATTCTTGCCGTATTAAAGATTTTAGCTGCCCAACATCTTTTTTTTTGTTGTTGTTGTTTTTTATAATCATCAAATGTTTTCAATGGGGGACAAGTCAGGACCTCATCAGTCCAGTTTCTCAGCAGGACTCTTCTCCTACAGAGCCATGCTGTTGTAATCCCTGTTGTCAGAATGTAGTTTGTCATTGTCTTGCTGAAATATGAATCTTCCCTGAAAAAAGTCTCTGTGTAGATGGCAGCAGATGCTGCTCCTAAACCTGTAGATATTGTTCAGCATAAACAGAGCCTTCACAGGTGTTTAGTTACCCATGTTACAGGGACTTTTGCAGGGACGGAACTGTGCACAACTGATAATCCAGGTGGTCACCTCACAAAGATTGCTTGCCAAAACGAAATGTTAAGTTTTCATCCACTATACCTTGGCCAAGTGAACATTTATGTTATATTGTAGTTATATGACAGTGGTTAATTGTACCTGTAGAGCGTAGGACACCGACAGACCCACAAGGCCAGGATTCAGACTCTCCTTTCCAGTCACAGCAAACAGAGCAGCAAACAACACAATGCAGTTCCCAATGAATTCAATACGCACACCCAGCCACCTGAAAGGCAGAGCGTTACAGTCAGAGGAGATCAGACTTTATCTGGAACTGATGAATGAATGATTCTTGTATAAATGTGTCAGAAAGGCCAGAAATAGACAGTGAATAAATGACTGTTTCAGATATGGTGTACACAGTCACAGCTGTGCTTTGGTGGCTGACTGAAATGTCTATGACCACAGCGGTGCTTTACTTCTGATTTTAACTTCATTTTTGACTTTCTCCTCCTGTATTCAGCAACCAGTCTGAGAGGACTTCAACTTCACATCAGAAGCTTCATTAAGTAAACATCACAGCAAGTCAGAGTTTTACATCCTCAAATCATCAGATCATCTCTGTTTTATCAATTCTACCACTTTTACAAAACAAAACTATAATCTGAGTTCACATTGTGGACAGATGTTAAATTCACAGAGCTCCACATTTCCCAGGTATCTTTTGCTCGTCTGGTTTAGTAAACCTACTGAGATTCAGTTTAACAGTCCCATAAGGCTGGTAATCAATCTAACAAGTCCACCCTGAGTTGTCATTGTTCACAAGTACAGGGTGGGGTCAGATACATCTGGTCAATCACAGACATGAACAAATCTGCTTTCAGCAAATCATCATCATTAACAAACACAAAGTAAACTATTAACGTATGGTTACATTTAAATTCAAATGACACCATATTCATCTAGACATACAATAAAGAAAACGGTTTCCATGTTTTATTTCTGTTTTTACCATCCAAACACTAAACTGAACATCAGTGTAAATCAATCCAGAGAAACACTAACTTTGGAATTATCATCACTAAAACCTGCAGGATTATTATCAGGAGAATCCTTCAGCAGAAAATTCATCAAATGTAGCCTGAATGACACTGAATCTAACAAACAGGGAATGTAGGCATAATTAAAGTCCTTCTATTTGTGCAAATAGGGATTAAATAAAGATAAACATACATTGAGGGTAAGTTTAAAAAACGCCGTTCACTGTCAGTCCAATAATGCAAAATAAAAACTTATGTTATTATTCAGAGAACTATGCTGAGGAACACTACGTCAGTGCTAACCTACTACTTTAAGATGAAGAGAGGAAACAGGACCTCTGTTTCTAGACATGTGGAGCTGTCCAAACATTTCACTATATGTGCTCATTTTGTTTGTTTTAATGCTCATGTCATACTGTAAATATTTGCACGTCTTCATCACTGCCAGCACATGCAGCAGAGTCCTTTTCACCTCTCAGGGCAGTAAACATTTCCTTTAAATGTCATCTATCATCAGTTTAGGGGAGGCTAATGCCAACAGGTGCACACAGGGTGTGGTTACACTTTGGGTGCAGTTTTTATAATTCCAGTGTAATTTTAATATATTAATTTAATATAAGTAAATGTGCATCTGTTAAATCAATGAATTTAGAGTATATTTTTAGGAATAGTAATCAGACAGGATAAGATAATCACTGATTATTACCACAACAGGGGAATTCTCATTGTTACGGCACAAAAACATTTGATAAAAAACTGCTTACTTATTCAATTATTCAGTTAATTACCAGAATACTTGACTACTAAGATATTGAGTCACTGCAGCCCTACTGTGGGGCTGGTTCCTGTTCACAGTGTGAAAATAAACAGATGTTAGATAAACGAATAAACAGTTATCATCAAGCCTGGTATATTACAGCGGGCCTATAATGTCAGTCCCTATCTGTAGAAAGGCCTGAGCTGACAAACTGGTGGCTGAGTACAGGAGGATAAAGACCACACAAAGTCTCTTTGTCAATACTACAGCACAGCTGCTGCTCTTCTGTGCTGGAGCAGGACACTTACCTGTTGGACACTATACCAGGGTAGTAACTCTTTTGGTTCTCATCCACTTTCATATCACTCATCAGAACAAAGGCAGAGTTTCTGCCATAGGCTCGGATTACACTAGAGCCTGTGACGGTCTCAGAGAAATGGGAATATATGGGAGAGCGGCTGACTGACTCCAGACGCTTTAGCTGCCGAGACGTGGCAACATAAAATCTCTACAGGGTCGGGGGGAGAGAAACAAACACAACATTACAATTCAACAGGTCACCGCAGATACTCAGATATTTAAAAAACAATAATGATGAACACAGATGAGCCCACACACACACACTCACACACACACACGCATTTATACAAGCACGCAGAGAAAGCCTGTGTGAACAAAACACCTGCAGTGCTCATTTGATAGTCAATTTTGCAGGTTTGATAGGATGCCAGCTAATCTTACATAAGCTCCTCAGAGGAGGTTTGTTCAAAGTCTGCATGTAAATCAGCTCTGCTGCATTAACCACAGAGCTGTTTGATACTGCAGGCTGCATGTACTGCTGTTCATTAAAGGACCGGCCCAGAAAAAAAAGGCCAGAAATCACTTGTCACTTCATAAAGCTTTGTTTTTTTACAGTAAAAACAGCCTGGGTCAAAACTTGAGGGGTAAAAGTGCAGGTGTTTTGTTTCATCACACATATTTGTTGCATTAAAAATGAACTTTAAAACAGTTTTATAGTGTTTACATTAGTTTCTCCATGTGCTGTCATACTGATACTGTGAGTGTTGACTTTGTTTGAACATGTTTCATTAAAGAGGAGCCCCTCTGAAGGACAGATTAGAGACAGATGATGCAGGACAGACAAAAGCCATGCTGGAGACATGCAATGACAAAGACACAGGAGTCACATCAGGACTGCTGATTTAAGTCATTAGGAGGTTGAGTTAGTGTTAAGATTGAAGGAGAGCACACAGACACTTAATGCCCCATTAACTTGATTCAATTTAAAGACTTTCAATTTCTGACTGCTCATTTCTACTGATACTGATTCAACCCTCTTTGATTATGGAAGCATATTATAAATAAGGGGGCCTCTTTTCTTCTCTTTGGTTGTTTGACATTTGGCCAAAACAAAAAAAAAATTCAAGCTCCTATGAGGAGCTTTAAATTTGTACTGATATACAAAAGCCAACAAGATTAAAGGTTTTAATATCACAGTTTTTAATGCCTCAAATCTCTGAGAGGGGGTAGGACTCAGCTTACGAAACAGCCACACATAAATTGGACTGTGGGAAGTCAGCAGGGGGAGATTTTTTTGTCAGAAGACACTGGTAAGTTATGTAAAGGACGGGATAAGCAGAGACTGCTTTATCCACAGGGGGATCCACACAGGAGATTTAATACACTCCTCAGTAAGATTCATAAGCCTCGTTTATACTTCTGTGTGAAATTGCCGGTGCTGTCGTGAGCACAACATACGTGTGTTGGATAGTGTGGGTAGCTTTGGTGCAAAACTGGGCCTGAATGCTTAGAGGTGAGTCTATTTTCTCTGTAAGTCGGATCGCCTCTTGCTGTTGTTTTCTCTGCTGATTTTGCGCAGGGATAATTATGATATAAATCACAATCGCTTTAAGGGTTTGACTTCTTTTGGTGATAATATATAAAGTTCATAATAAAGCTTAAAGTCAGAGCCCATTTGTAGTAAAGTGTTTATATACTGGGTCATATAAACTGAAAGATTTTAACTCTTCCAGTGCTCATATTTGAGCACAGGCTGCAGATCAAACTGATCATTCAGTGTAAAACATCTTTAGAGTGATATTCTGGGTGACTTTCTGGTGTTGTTTTAAGTTTGTCACATTTGTTGTGGGCACTTGAACAATAAAAGGATCTAGTGGCTGAGTGTTTGATCCAGTGTTGTAGTCTTAAGTTTACTTGGTTAGCCTCACATCTCACATGTATGATCTCTGATCAGAGGGGTCAAAGAGCTCCTGTAATAACTTCAGGCTGAAGAATAAAAAAGGATTCCTAGTTTTGAGACTGATATTTTCTTGTATGGGTTGAGTTTCAAAGGTCCTACAACTCTTCTTCATTTCTAATATGGGTTTTATAGTCAAAAGTGAAACAGCACTTCTGTCATCATCAGTTTTTTGTTGTTTGCTGGGTGGTTTTTCTTTTCCTTATCTTCACAGGCTTACATTCTTCTCAACAGGCTGAAATTGGAGGAGAGCAGTTTTAATCAGATGTAATCGCAGTAATATGCTTAACTGTGCCATCTGGAGGTCTGCTGAAGGAGTGTGTTTTTACCATTATATGGGCCCTCATTTATCAATAGTGGACACTGGCTGAAGTTTGAATCAATCATTAGTCAATAAGTTGCTCATGATGATAAATTAATATCTCATACATGCCTCGTATTTGTTTATTGCCATGACATAGGGTACGTTGCACCTATTAATGAAAGTATTTAATTTTAATTTGTTGCGTCTTTGTAAAGTAGAGCAGACTGGAGAGTCTGACAGAGGCTGAACAAAAATAATTATCAATGTCACCAAACGGTGTGTTGCTGCCCCTGAGGCACATTTTTATGGATTTCCATTGGATTTTTATCACTGATTAAATAGCAAGAGCACTTTCTAAACTTATACTTTACATCAGAATCCATCGATAAGGTCCTGTCTCCTCTGTACAGAGCTGGCACAGCCAATAACACTCCATTCACCAGTGCAACATTGTGCAAAACTGTACTAGCCCAAATGATGTCCCACACCCTTTCAGGAGTGTACAACAACATCCCCACTGCTGGGCCAAGACAGAGTCACCTGCCTTTTAGGAGGCACACGCAGCGCTCCACAGTGGCGCGTGTGCGTGTGTGTGTGCAATGTTAAAACAGCGCTCCTGCTCTGTGGCAGTGTTTCTGGGCAGTTATCGAATAGGCCCATTCACTAAGGACATAACAAATTTATTTTATTTTATTTTATTTTATTTACGTCTTAATCTTTAATGAAATTTGGCCGATTGTGCTTAATGACAGCTTTGAGGTTTGTTTATCAATTATTTTGAGACAGACATTTGCTGCACCACAGATCCACACTGACTCAAACTTGCGTACACAATGTCAGACCTGTCGTGAGATTTGGTTGTAGCGTACGCTCACGTGCAGATTGATAAATGCCGATCCTAAAGTCAAAATTGTTGTACGCAAGGTGTACGTAAGTTTTCTGCCGTACGCAAGCTTGGTTAATGAGGGCCATGGTGTTTACTAAAATCTGAATATAAAGTAGTAGTCTAAATACCTAACAGAAATAACACCTGCAACCCTTTTTCCAGAAATAAAAGTGAAAGTATATAGAAGCATATGTTTTTGCCAAACACTGAAACTCCATTTTCAGTTGAAAATAGCACAAGCACAAAATGTCAAATGTTCAAATTTGGTAATGTCATTATTCTTGAAGATAAGATGTCCTTTGCAAGGGACAAGCCAAAACTGAATGAAATATTAGAGGGTTGTGATCTTCAGGCCTTTAGATGCTGCTGCCTTAGAAACAGACATGACTCTGTAGTGGGCATCACTGCATAAGCTAAGAAACACTTACAAATAAAACTCTGTCAACACAGTTTACATCTGCATCTGCAAATGCAAGTTACAGCTGTACCATGCAAAAAGGACGCCAGATAGAATCATGATTCAGAAATGCTGGTACGCTCTCTACACCTGAGCTGACCAAAGATGGACGTAGGTGGGATTCATTTAACCTGAGGGTCTGATGAATCAGAAGTTTAAGTCCTCTTTGGGATCATGGATGCTGCTTCTGATAAAACAATAAATAATCTTGCTTGTTTTAATAACTCTGCTCTTGGCATCTGCTGCCAAGTAAACAACATTTTTGATATTTCAGCAAGACAATGTCAGGACATGGTCTGTATTAAATGCAACAGCATGGCTCAGTACTATAAGAGTCCGGGTGCTTAACTGGCCTGTCTGCAATCCTGACTTGTCCCCCACTGACCGCATTTAGTACATTATGAAACTTACAAAACCACAAAGGAGCAGCTGAAATCAAAGCCATGCAACAATAAAAACATTTGCTTTGCAAAAAAAGGAGGGCTGCTTTTCTCCACATCTTCACAGGTACCGCAGCAAAGCAGTGTTATTTTCTACACTGGCATTCAACTTGATTCAAAGATTTTCAGCATCTGACATTTTGTTTCTCTGCTTTAAATTAAATGTGGAATTTCAGTGATTTGCAAATCATCACATTGTGTCATTTTCTCACAGCCCAGCTTTTGAATGGGTTGAAGATGACCAACTACTGTCACCGAAGTTCTTTAACTAAACATAACATAAGGAGAAGTCAAAGAAAACCCCAACACACTGGTCTTACAGCTAGTCAGCATCAAATCCTCATTGTCTTGTAAAAAAAAATTTGGTTGGATAGTTTGTAATTTTTCACAGGAATGATATTGCTTAGGGAAATCAGTGTTGCAATGGTGAATGCTGCAATCACATTCATTAACATTTGCTGTGAGGCAGAGCAGCTCCTGTGGCACAATTAACCAAGGTTACCAGCTGCAGGAAGATTCAGAGGTTTTTATCAGTACTGTGGATCTTTGCAAATCAGAAAGGATCCTTGGAGGAGGAAGACTACATGGACCATAAACAGCCTCTGAGTATTAAAACAGTAGAGTGACTAGTGGGATGAATTCTGCCTGCAGTGCTGCCCTGCCTTCAAAGATCAGTGTCATGTCACGAAAATTAAAGAGGGATGCATGATATTGGATTTTGCAGGATATGTGATATGCCAATAATTTCTATGTATTAACTTTATTCTTTTGTGTAGGCTCTCCTGCACTAATATGTCCCTCTAATACAGATATTCAGTAACGTTTCTGCTGTCTGTTTATGACACTTCAAAATACTCTGATACTGCTGATATGTGTCAGCTTGCAGTTGGTGCACATAAACTGCCATCCCATAATCTCATAGTTATTCCATTTCTTTATGAGCCATACAGATAGAAATGTTCATAGCTGCAATACCTATGATGAACAGATACCCATATTATGCTGATATCATGCATCCCCCCCCCAAAAAAAAGGCTGTTTCAAATGCGACTCGAGTCGATCTCTGATTGGGATTGTGATCTCAAAAGATGATTGGTGTTACTGCCCTACATGTGGCACTGCTGACTAGAGCTTCAATTCTGAAACTATGGACCAACCACTGGACCTCTACAGCCGTCTATGACTACAGACCAGCACAGACCAAAATACACTGCACCTACAGCACTAGAGCGGCAGTGATCTCCACTCCAACCACATGCAACAGTCTACCAGCACACACACTCCACACTCCAGACATGCATGTTGTATTAATGAGTTAGCAGACTTGTTTCCTATTTACCTGAACCCACCAATAGAACACCATTAATGGGGCTATGACTATGAGGAACATTGGGGTGAGGGCAGAGCATATGAGCAGCACATTCAGTGTGTACCAGAAAGTGCGCATCCATATGTCAATATTGTCTGGGATGTGGGAGTCTATAGCATCCACGTCTTTGCTGAAGCGGTTTAGTAGCCGCCCAGTGGGGGTGCTCTCGAAGAAGGTCTGCGGAGCTCGCAGGACCCCCTGAAGCATGTTGCGGTGCATGAGCTTGGCTGCCTGCAGCATACTGTAGCCCCGGCACAACAGGCAGTTAACCAACAACAGCACACCTGTGAGAAGATGAATGAAGGTAGGGATCAACAACACCTGCGGTAAACTGGTGAGCCATTTCTGAAGACTACTGAAACGGCAGAGTCAGCTGTAGATACAGATTTCACAAAACCAGGTCCTACTACTGAGACCAGAAACAAGGCAGTTAAGTTGTGTGTGCTTATGTTTGTGTGTTTCATGCTATAGAGGTTCCTTCTGCTCAAGCTTATGGACATTATCAAGAAACTTTTGTTTTAAGTGGCAGAAATCTGCCCATGCTAACAGTTTCCCTCACATCCAGCTGAATCAGCATTTTAAATGTAGCTGAAACCTAAGGCTTCCATCTATACAAACCTTCGATACAGGCTCAGAACCACAATACTGTGACAGCAGCCATTGTAACAGTAGGGGGTGTATGCTAGGTAAATGGGTGCTAAAAATAACCTCAGACATTTTCTATAAAGTCATAACTTTAGAGTTTTTCTCATGACGACACAGCTGTGTAAAAAGTAACACCCACACGCTGTGTCCAACTTTAAACAAGTGAAAAAGCAGATAAAACAGTATATTTCAGACACTGTGATTAGGATTTAATGAACCCTTTGACTCATTATAGGACCTGGCTGATCTTCAGAGCTGATAGTTTGCACTTAGTCAATCTCTGCCTCAGTGTTTTACAGCTGGCTGATCACATTAAGTGAATAAAAAATATGCTATTTGGGTCTGTTTTTACTTTCCACTTTGCTTCACCTGAAGTCCCACCAACAACACTATCTGACTGACTAAACGTCCTGAGACGCTGTGCCTTTAAGTGTAACTGGTTATCTGTGAACTCATGTATGTGATGTTGAAAGCTTCATTTTTGATGAAAAGCTCTCTAAAGGCACACTAAGTTTTGAGTCAGAGTTTTAAAAACTCTTTCTCACTGTCTGTGTACATCGGTTCCAAATGTTTGGACCTTGTCTCTAGATAAATAAATATTGCTCCCTTAATGAACACCAGTTTAACAAGGTGTCCTTTATACACTGAGCAAGAACTGTGACTTGGACACAGGTGGGTGGGGCTAATCCAAGCTGCTGCTGGCCTGTTGACTCAGACTACAGTGTAGCATGTTCGCCTCAGAACATGATCAGTACCACAAGCAGCATCTGGCAGCTGAAACTAAGCTGTAGGCTAAAAGCTAGCTGCTTTAGCTGAACTAAAAGGCCTCCAGCTGCTCTCTCCGAGTTCATCTATACTCCACTATGAACACAGTGCTCTGCATTTGTATTTCTGAATGTTTAATGCAAGATTGCAGATTCAGTCTGTCAACATGTTGTGGAGTATTTGATGGCCTCAGAAACCACCACCTTCTACAACTCTGCCTCTGATTTGACCCTTTTTGAACAGATGCATTTTGAATATCTCCTCTGCTGCTGCTGCTGCTGCTATGTTTGTTGCTGTCAAAAACTTCTCTTATTCTTATCTGGGGGAAACTGCTGACTCTGAGCAGCAACTTCTAGGGGATGTATTATGAAACATTCATTGCAAAATACACACAGAAGCATGAAGGCTGTGACAATTACACTGTTGAAAACACACAGATCTCATCTTTGTGTGTCAGAGGAGTTTATCCTTCCATTTCAAAGGACATACGACACAGACAAAGACAAAATATGCCTTCCTCTCTGGACATGTAAAATACAGAATCAAAACACGAGCGAACATGTGGTATTGTTGGGTGTTATAAACCAGTTGTCTACATGTACACGTCCTTTATGTTCTAAAAGATCTCAGATGTAAGGAGGTACATCCAAACTGAAGATGGAGCAATTGATCATTCAATCAGGAGTTCAACCAGAGCTTCCTAAAGAGGTCCTGATGCCAAAACGCACCAAAGATACAGTTTTAAATCCTCTACTACTCAAAGCTTATATTGGCATGTTAACGTTTCTTCAGAGGACCAGTGCCCAGGTTTTCCTCCTGTCTTTTGTCTAGATTGGCTCGTTCTTGAGGTGGGATTTTGTTAAAATGAGCTGAATTTCATGGTAGAGTTTGGCCCATCTGCAGTGGCTGATAACCTAGTTCCTATTTACATTCTCAAGCTGGCATCTAAATAAAATGATGTCATACTTCATAGCTAATGCAAAAATACCTCATACAATCTCCTACCAAAAAAAAGCTGAAACTGTTGACTGTTTTTAATGTGGAGTTGTCACATCATGGCTGACAACTACAAGGAGGATGAACTGAGAGCATCCTTTGTCTGATTCTACACTGTTACACATATGCAAACATCAGAGATGACAAATATACTGTATACAAACTGAGCCCGAGAACATGCTGTATACATTTCCTGTAGTAGTAGTAGTAGTAGTAGTATTAAACCTGATAAAGAAGCTGGCACTCTTATCCTGTTGTTTTAACCTCCATCCTCCACTAGAGGGAGATATAACTCACTGAAGACTGAAAGAATCACTTTTTGTAGCTGACTTTGCTCTCAGATAATGTTAACTCAGTTTCAGTAAGATGTTGGGGCTGGCTGTGTCACTCATTAGTGTGCACTTCCTTTATATGTGTGTATGTGTGTGTGTGTGTGTCTTTGTGTGTGTCTTTATGTGTGTGTAAGGGTGTGGAAGCAGGCTGCAGGCAGGGCAAGAACAGTGTTTTCTGCGGAGAGAAAGGAAAGTGAATTCCTGATTGAAAAGGAGAAAATCACTGCAGGCTGCACAGGCTCATCGCTGACAACATCGCAGGCTATGGAGAAACAAAAGCAAAACTGGGGGGTTAAAAGCTGCTTCGCCAACATGCATGATGAACGCCATTCCAGGAAGAGAAAGAGACTGGTAAAGAAAAGGGACAGAGAGCGTCATCAGGGCCATGAGTACCTGGACAAAGACGTATATGAAAGCCAGGGGAGCTATGACAACAGCAAAGATAGGTGTGCTGGAAACAATGACTATCATGGTGGAGAGAGAGACGAAGACCGTGCCCAGTAACATGAGCACGGTTGCTGGAAGAGCCTCGTCTATGACGTAGATGTCCTTGGAGAAACGGTTGATGACGCGTCCTATTGGCGTGGTGTCAAAGAAAGACTGAGGTGTGTGTAATTTGTTGTCGAGCAGATTAAAATGCAGCTTCTTGGCTGCACCGATGTTCCCCATGGCTAGTGTGAAGGAAGAGATCATGACCAGGATACCTAGGAGGGACCAAAAGAGGTGGAGTGGAGGGGAAATATAAAGAGAGGGAGTTTTAATGTGAAATGAAAGGTGATGAAATTATTGGTAGACATGGATAGTGTCTACCCTGAAGGTAAAGAAGTCAAAGATCACACTAAAAAGAAATCTGAAGTCAAACATGTTACACATCCACAATCTCAGAGCATTCAAAGGCCCAAAAAGTAATCATGATGTGGTCTTGTGTGTTTGTGTTTCAGAGCCATGTTTGTAGAGTAAGTTGTGAAAAAGAAAACCTTCAAACTTTCTACGCAGCAAACAAACCCAGCTAAACAAATAAAAACAAAGGCAACATAAAACTGTGCGGGCAGAACCGGCTTTTCGATCCATGAGGTTAAAACAGCTGTTGAGTCTCAGCACCATGATGTGGCAGCACATTAAACACAGTCTCTTTGAATAGAGAACTTCCAGTATATCAGTTTTAAAACAACACATGCCTAAAAGTGTCTGGTGTTAAAGTTTGAATCTATTAAACACTTCATTTAGAGCATATTGTGTTCATCTTCTTACCTTGTGCAATGCCCAGCGCTGCGTACACCCCCACCCTCATATTAACATTCTCCTGAGTCTGATTTCTGGAGGCATCGTTGGTCCACTGGCTGAGCCAGACGTTTGCTCCAATGGCCGCTGCGCTCTGACAGCAGTACAGGAAACAGATGAAAACTGACAGCAGAGGTCCCACAGCCTTTGCGTACTCCAGGTACACCTTTGATTTCACCTGGAGACAAGTGACAGAACTTCAGTTACAAAGCCTGTGACACAGATAAAAAACAACGTTTTATTTGATCAATAACTAAGCTGCCAAAAATCAACATTGCACTGAAGTCTGCAGTGGACACAACTAGACTCTACAAATACACACTTTCATCAGTGATAGCTGATGGAGGGCTGGAGCTTGCTGGCTGATCAACACAACAGTGGACAAGGGTCAGCTTGAAACCATATTAGAGTCATCACTGCAACCAATATCCTTTGATTCTTACATCAAGATGCTAGTAAGACTCACAATGGACTTAAGCACTGTCCATACACTGATGGCAGAGACTGCTATAGTAGGGAACCATCAGTATCAACTCCTCCCCTTCAAATGCATTCACAATGTGTTAGCACAGACACTGTAGTGTGTGACTGAAGGAGCTGAGATTTAATTGCCAACCCTCCAAGTGAGAGACGACTGACTCTACCACTGAGCCACAGCACCCCCGTAAAGATCTGATGGACTGACCCTGCCCGTTTCTGTCGTCTCAGCCTGGATGAGCTTCTCCCCATCATGTGGTTTCCTCTTTTCTTGTAGCTCACACTGTTTCCTCTGGTTGCAGGGCTGCCTCCTCACCGAGCGGCACCTGGGGTTCTCCCCATCAGCCGAGATGACACTGATCTGCCTGTAAAGGAAGAAAAAAAACGATCTCAACATTCACTGTGATTTTTCAGGTTCACCATCACATCAGCAGTGGCTCCTACAAGGCCAACATCATCACTGTCCTTTCTTAACTGCTGGAAAGAAATCCAGAAAACCCTGGCGGCAATATTTTCCTGGGCCAAATATTGAGCATGGCGGCGGTTCAGGCAGGACACAAAGTCAAGCTCGGCCCATATCAGCTGATAGCTCAGCTGGTAACCTCCCTTTCATCCAATTCTGGCCACTTCCTCCTCCACCCCAGCTACTCCTTTTCTTTTGGGTCTGATCTTACCAGTATCACATGTCTGGCTCTGTTCTATTCTGGTCCTAGAATTTAGTAAAAAAAGGACTTTTATGTGCAAATCTAAACACAGATGAACCCATGTTTCATGAATGAAACCCAGTGGACTCTGAAATACTTTCTTTATGGAAGAATAAAGAGTCACACGACTCTTAAATAAATGACTTCTTGAACTATTTTTTCATGTACCTAAGCAGAGTGTTTCTGCCACAAGAGGGCAGCAGCTTGTGCTCTGTTTTCAGGCGGTGAATACAGTCAGCCAGAATAACCTTTTGTATGGAAGTGTAGGATCTTCAAAACAAGTTGTTAGCAGTTCAGGGAAAAAGCCCTCCTGACCTCATTTCTGTCTTTAGTTCTCTTTATTTATTTTTTTACCTGATGAACTTTCTCTTTGCTTCATTTATCACCGGCTCGTTGTCCACCATGTCTGTGTGGTTGCTCAGAGCGTCCTCAGGAAACAACTCTTCATCTTCCAGTAAATCCTCTGTAAAACAGCACATTGGACTCATCTTTCCTCTGTAACCACATATTAAATGCTGGTTTATCAGAGTAAAGACAGTATTATTGTACCAGTGGCCTCATCTTCCTCTATGACATCTTCCAGAGCGTAGTTCCTGAGAAACTCTGCGAAGGCTCCATTCTGCTTCAGTAGCTCCTGGTAGGAGCCCATCTCTGACACCCTGCCGTCCACCATCACCATGATGTTGTCCACCTGAGGCAGGAAGCTGATGCCGTGTGTCACCAGGATACGTGTCTGTAGTCAAGCAGGAGAAGAGTGTTATTTAATGAGCCACATGCAGAAGAGACGTGCAGTCAAACATATGATAACACCCTTTATTACAAGACCAACCTCAGTGACATGCTAAGTAGAGATTTGGGGTTATAACGCACCTCAGTGAATCAACATGTGGGAAATGATTTTGAAAGTTTGGATTCAACAAAACTTATGGATTAAGCCCTTCAATAATATCTGAAGTCTATTTTGCCCCTTTAAAAAAAACAAATGTGGCATTGCATCGGGGGTCCAGCCAGTCAAGCTACTGTTAGACATCAATAAATATGGATCCAAATGCCAGTTAAGAGAAATACAATGTTTGTACAACTGCATATAGTAGACCACAAGCTTTTAATTAGAAGCCCGTTAGAGGTGAAACTGATGCAGCTGTGAAAAGGCTGAGTGTTCATTTCAGCGTTCATGTTAACAGATCAGACCAAAAGTTTTCCCTGACTTTCTTCACCTCATGTTGACCTCACTGTCATAAGTACCAGGACTCTGAAAAGTTTGTGAGAGAAACTGAGACTATTCTGCTAGTTGCACTGTAAATGTCTAACCAGGGACCAGGAACAAAACCCGCTCTCATCAGAAGCTGCGGTCATAAATGTGGAAACAAACAAATACTATGCTGACATAGCTTTATTCTTTTGTCATAAATCAACCCTCCACAAACAGGCTGTGCTGTAACAGACTTTCCCATGTTTGGAATGATTTATTTCTTTACAACCATATGTCCCCAGAAGGCCACCATAGAGCTACAGCAGTTGTTTTTGCTGTATCCTGAGCATAGACTGTATAAAGAATGGACAAGTGCTGCTTCCGAATTGCCGAGTAGTAGTCGAAGTAGTATGTAGCATGTCCGAATTGGCCACCGGAGCGAGTAGCATGCTACTTCAGATACTACTTCAGATACTAGACACGCCCACATTGTAGTATGGTCGCGGTGCATCCTACGGACATGCTACTGACCCAAAATTCACCACGGGCTTCTTCTTCGTCCTCTTAAAAGTTGTAGAAGCGCATGTGATGCTAGCGCCACCAGCTGCTGCCTATTTAGATGCGTCACGAACGCCAGCTGGGCAAAGCAGCGCGCACCATGGCGGAGCAGCAGCAGCAGGCAGGACCGCAGCAGTACAGATGTAAGTTTCATGTAACTTCACACACTGTCCTTAAAAATGTGCGGTTGTATCTCTTTGTCATGTCATGGTGTCATATTTGCCCAAGTAATCATTTTATGAGCAAATATGTGGCGACATCATGGAGGTAAAGCTCACTTATTCCATCTCATTAAACTGCACAGCTGCAGTAATCAGGCAGATCTCATTGAACAAACGATCACCACGTGAGTGAATGAAGGCTGAAAGTAATGGAAAAGCTACTTTGTGAATTTCTAAAGCAGTGCAGGAATATAATACAGCAGCATCCATCACTTGCACAATTACTATTCAAAGAGTCTAAAACTGTCTGCACGGGCGCAGTACCTACTCACTGCTTGCGGGGGTCGTCTTTCCCCACCGCTCGTCTAGTGTGTCCGAATTGGGCTAACGTGTTTAGTATGTAGGAGTAGGATCTAGCAGTAGTATGTAGCAGTAGCATGTAGTATGCGAGCGGGCAATTCGGACGCAGCAATAGTCTGCCTCCTCGCTGGGTAAAGCGACTCCGAGAACAGCACCCTCTGTTGACGGGCTGCAGTATAGGTCATAAATCCCGCCTCTGCCAGCAAAGCTTATGGGGCTGTGGACAAACTTTAGAAATGTATTACACAGAATCTTAATTTTTCTCCCCCTGCTTGTGATGTTGACATGCAGAAATATTGAGAGCTATTTGGCTTCAAATCCGTGTACAGGCGGTAGGCGGAACCAAGTTGTCCATAGTATATACAGTCTATGATCCTGAGCCATTACACACCAAAAAAAGATGCTTTTACCCACTTATCAGTCAATTAAAATTACTACTGTCAGGATTAGAGCTCACAGAGCAGCTCTGAGCAGCAGAAAGGGAAGATGCTGACAGTCAGCTACACAAAGGTGGTCTGTGATGTAGTTCACTATGAATCTGAAGTTGTTGTATCTGTACAGAACATCTGGATGGAGTTGCATGATCATTGTGTTTTCACCTTCTTAATCAAAAACAGAATCAAACACAGAAACTGGCACTCCTCACCTTGCCCTTCAGCACACCCTCTGGGCCAATGAGGTTGTCAAATATGTGTTTGGCTACGTGGGCGTCCACAGCAGACAGTGGGTCATCCAGCAGGTAAACATCAGCGTCGCTGTACAGAGCTCGAGCCAGACTCACCCTCTGTCGTTGCCCACCTGAGAGGTTGATGCCCTGCAGGATGTGATGTCTGTGTCAGTTTCAAATTTCTTGAAAGCTGCATATCAGATCAAACTTGATCAATTTAAGAGAAAATGTCTTGGAAATGAAAATTCAAAAGTCTGGAGATAGATGAACAATAAGAAGAACTGCTAAATGGAAACAGGAACCAAAGCTAAGGAAGGAAAACTAAAGAAACCTTCTCTCCTATCTCTGTCATGTCTCCTCCGGGCAGCACTTCCAGGTCAGGAGTTAAGGCACAGGCGTTCATGACACAGCAGTACTTCTGCTCATTGAAGGGTCTCCCGAACAGGATGTTGTCCCGCAGGGTGGCGTTCTGTATCCAGGCCTGCTGAGGTACGTACGCCACTGATCCCTGAGAAGAGAGGACAACACGTGTCTCTTTAAAAACCTCTAAAGACAGATCCTACAGTTATCATCCAAGTGTCTCAGACCTTTCCCATATTTGATCAGATCACGTTAATTACATTGTTTAAAGGAGAGTGCATGATGATGATGTTTATTGTGACGGATCAGAGAGTGTCCACGGTCTGCACATTCAGAGAGATCAGTCAAAGGTGCTTTCTGTGACAGAGGGATGCTGGTGCTGTTTACATTGCACAAGCTAAGCAACAGTGAGCCAATTTACTGCATTATTACACTGAGCAACTGTGTCTGACAGCACTTTATTTGAAACACTTTCCTGTGAGTTGTCATAGTTTTGTGATGACATGTGTACATGCTGACAGTGCATGTGCAGACAGAGAAACACAAAACCAGAGTTTTACATTTTGTTAACATCAAAATACTGAGAAGCTTCAAATCACCTATACAATTATCAAAGTGCACATGTCTATATCAGGGATGGGAATGGAGAACTGGTTCCAGAGGGTTTGCTATTTTTTGTGTTCAAAGGTTCCCTTCTCCATGCCTGACAAATAACTGCTGACAAAAACACGTCAGGAGAGGCAGAGAAGGAACTGGAGGAATGATCACTACCACAAACTGTTGACTATAAAATCTACGTGCTTTGTGAGACCAGCAGCTTTCTCTGTTTTTATCATCCAGGTGCTTTTAAATTCCACAGAGAAAACCAGTGGACTTTCAGAGACTGTCCAGATCCAGTCACTTCAAAACTCAGGTCATCTGTGATGATTTATGCATCAGTCTTAGTGAAATAGTGTCACTTTGTTATGTTAACTGATGACAAAAGTTACAGGCCGCCATCTTTGTTTAACTCTGTCAGCTAATCAGCAGCAAATAACCTGTTTAGGTCCAATCACAAACTAGGCTTCCCTGTTTCAGAAGAGCAGTAATGGCAGTATCATTTTTGAGAAGATTTGTGATGTTGACAAAGAAAACCTGGAAAGGCCTAGTTTTATTCCAAATACGAGATGCATGGGAATTGATATGGGAAATTTGAAGGATAAGATCAATAAGAAGAATCAATAATGGCCCTGGGTCTAATAAAATGGTATCATTGTTCACATACAGCTGCCCTCTTTTGTATTCAGCTCTTATTTTAGTTACTAATGACTCAATGAAAGCTAAATTCTTACTATGTCTGCAGACTGTTTGGTGTTGGCTAAATTATGAAACCAACAACTGGACAATTATTCAGAGCATGGGAACCTACCCGGATGGAAACCTCTCCTTCCAATTTCTCCATCTCACCAAGCAGCGCAGAGATGAGAGAGGACTTCCCACAGCCAACATGACCCACCACAGCCAGCAGGGAGCCCTGGGGCACCATGACATTAATACTACAAAAACAAAATCAGTATCCACGTGTCAAAGACAAGCCACAGGTGTAACATGACAAACATGTGGGAAGTGAAGACAAACAGTCTGCAGCTTTTATTGACATACTTGTGCAGAACTGGAGGATCTTCCTTGGCCCAGGTGAATTTCCCATTGACGACTGTGACTGAAAAATCTGTTCAAACACAAATAACACAGTCTGACAGAGAAACAGCTGAAAGGCATAAGCTCTTAAGGCACAAAAAGTATTAGGTCCAGTTTCTCTTGTGATAAAAATCACGTTTTTTCTAAAGGTTTCACTCTCTGCTACAAAGTCAAAGTCAAGGTCACGGTCAAAACTCCTAATGCTGCTCCTTAAACGGACCATAAAGGACAGGCGTCATTTGGGAGTCAGTGTTAAAATCCTGGGCTGTTTTCTTAGTTATTTTATTTTACTTGAGTTAGCTCTGCAAACACACAAAAACACTTAAGTTTTTATTATCTTGTTAGTCTCCCTAAGGACGGTGACCTTGGCTTGTGCATTGACAAAAGAAATGACTGCAGTGTGAAGAAGAAAGAGTGCTGTTTCATCTTTAATCAGAGGAGTTGCCATTTTCTGGTTCACCTGTGGCTGTGTTCTTTCTGTCAACTGAATTTGGGTCCAGTTCATCGTGACTCAGAAAATTCTGGATACGCTTCAGTGAGACGCTGGCCTGCGATGCAGAATAAACATACAGGTTCTCTATGTTAACAAACCCATGCAGAGAGGATATGAAATAAAGGAACACTTCACAAAAAGAGGGAAAAGTTCCTACCTGCACCAAACTGCTGATGACTTGAGGAAGCATGTTGAGAGGAAACCTGAGGATGTTAAAAAGGGAGAGTGACACGAAGGCCCTCTCCGCATCCAGGATGTTGTTCTCATCAACCGTCACGTACACAGCAAATGTTGTCAGGGCAACCTGGAAACACACCAGGAAACAGGCCTCTCAGACACCAGGACTCATCAATTGACTCCAGAGGTCTAAAGCAGTCCACTCTGTGAGATCTAAACACTCTCAAACATGAATCTGAGTCCACCAAAAACTCAGGAATCACTTTGTTACTACACAAAGTTTGTAATCACCGACAGGCACCAGCTTTGACTGATGGTGTGTGCAATTATCTGACAAATATAGCATAACTGTGACGGATTGATCCCCCCAAAACATGTCAAACTGAAGCAAATGAATCAGGTGACCTGCAGACCTCAGACTGACTCAGTAACTGATGTGAGCAGCAGCCAAAATGTCAAAAAACTGCCGCCGTTGGCTCATATTCCAGACTTATTTTTGTCTGGTTGTCATGGCACATGCACAGAGGCTCTCTGCTCTAAATAACACAAAACTCACAGACCTCCTGGATCAGGTCACACTTTTCACCAAGTTCATGATCTGGGTCAGAAAACAGGCAGTCAGCTGATGCAAATCGTGCTCCTATGTGGCATTTGCACTTGGGCTTGTCCGGTCTTGCTGCAGAGTAAATGATTCCAAGCTTACCTCTTCTGCTCCAAAACACACTGGGGCTCTGAGTAACAACCAAATAGTCTAAAGACAGCATATCAAAGGTTGAAACCGAAATACTTGATTTTTTTGGTTAACAAATTCATGCGCCATCTGAATGTGATGCCTGTAATAAGCTTGAAAAAAGTTTGGACAAAGACAACAACATGCTGAAATAAGTTTTGTAATGCTAGAAAAATACCTGGAGGAACACTTCCAGTTTCAGAATAATGTTCCTGAGAGTCAAGTGTGAAAGAATGAGTGGATTTCATCATCTATAGTACATAATATCATTAACAGATTCAGAGAATCTGGAGAAATCTCTGTACTAAAGGGACAAGGACCAAAACCAAGACAAGATGGTCCTGATCTTCATGCCTTCAGGCATTAAAAACAAGCATAACTCTGTAGTGGAAATCAAAGCATGGGCTCAAATTAGTTCCAAAATTAATAATGGTATCCACAGTTTGTTGCTGCACCCACAAATGCAAGTTAAAAACTGAACCATGGAAAGAGGAAACTAGACGTAGACATGAGCCAAAATTCTCCTTTGGTCTGACAAGTTAACATTTGACCTTCTTTATTTACTATTATGTACACTACCGTCTCTGCTTTTGTTATCAACACAGTTGAAAAGCCAGCTGTCTTAGCAGGATTCTTAATCAAATTTGGGTTTAAATGAAGTGCACAACGTTAAACCTGTTTTATGTTCATTTTACTCTGTGTCACAACTCTTCTGGCCTTTTATACAGTTAACTGTTTCAGTAAATTCCTTAGAATTCTGAAAGACTGAGAATAGGCTTGGTACCGCTTCATTTCCAGAGTTACAAGCCAAACACCTACAGCTGGTAATCTTAAACCATTAACTCAGTGTTGGGGCTGTGTGACCTTAAGCTCTGTGCCATAACCTAGTGCTAGTTGTTGGGATCTTGACTGGTGTTGCACATAAAAATATGATGTTTCACTTGCAGTCCAAAACAACATGAGATAACTCTGTCCTGTTCTTCACTCACCTACTGATACGAAGACCGGCAGCTCAGGTCTTATCTTTTCATATCTACATGTTATGGGTAGTGTCTATGATAAGAGGACTGATATTCTTTCAGGTCACCAACCATCTGTGGCCGACTGTAAAGAGCAACTGACGCTAACTGCTCAAGCAAACACAGACATAGCGGGGGACCACACAACTCGACAACAAAGAGCTCTAAATGTTCAGCAGGGCTCAGACTGAAGCCTTTGTTTTATTATAGGTCTTTATTTCTAATCATGACAAAAGTTAGCAAAAACTGCTTCAGTGTCACAGACTTTAAAATGTAGAACCTCTAATGGATCCATCAGCAACTTCATTCAGCCCATTGGCCTCATTGGGATCTCACACATTCATCATCGTTGACCTCATCAGGTCAAATTCTTATTCTTTCACTGATTGTGCACGCAAAGCAAGTTTCAGGACATCATACCAGAAAAGGGGCACTGGTCCAGGCCATGGTGGACAGCGCTCCCAGGTAGGCTGTCTTGCGCAGCACGTTGAGCTCTTTCTGTCGAATAGCTAGGACCTTTTCTTTGAAGGAGTTCTCCCAGGCGTACAGCTTCAGGACTTTGATGCCATTCAAGATCTCGTTCATCAGCTTGATACGAGCGTCTTTGTACTGCATCTGCTCCACCTGAGAGAGAGGAAGAGGAGAGTGGAGACGGGGACAGGAAGTCAAACCGCTTTTCATTGAGCATGAACATAATGAGAAGCAGGTCAAATTCAGACTGTAGATGAAGACTTTATCAGTGCAGAGATAAAGGCAATCTCAGACAAACAGCTTTGTTTGTTCAAAGATTTGATGTTTACAGTGAATTTCAGATGTCAAATGATTTGTTTTTTTTATTGGCGATTTAAGGCAACCCTAACTCTCTATTTATCACAAATGTATTCTTCTGTTTTGTTTTGTTTTTTTTTTCATTTTTTTATTAAATGCACCTTAAGGGGTATTATTTAGAATTTCAATACTCTCATGGAAATGGGCAAATATGCCTGCTTCATGATTTCAGTGTGATTCTTTGGTCATAAACATCTCAGCATCTTTGTATGTATTTTCATGCTCACTAAGGCTCATATTAAAAAGTTAAACAGGTATTGATCTGTTTATCTATATGCACATTTATTTTCTATTGCTGGGAATCACATAACTCCTCCATAATAAATTGATTTTGTAAGAGTCTAAACCTGAAATTTCTTCACATCAAGATGAGGTTTTATTTACATTTGCTAACCTGACTTGGAACATGTCCTCAAGTAACCTGATATTACCTCATTTAGTTAGCTACTAACTCTATCCTGCTAATTTTAACACAGACTTCAATAGTTATGAGTTTGGGTATCATTCCCATGGCTTCCTCCAGAGGAGGGTGACTAACTTTCTCCAGCAACCAACTGATGACAAAGTTTGTTTTAACCTAAAGACAGTGGAAGGTGCCAAAATATATAGTAAATGCTCCAAAGGGCCTCCCTGCACAGCCCTGGTGTGACTGCTGTACCTGGTAAGCTCTTGTCTTCATGGCAATAACGGCGTTAAAGGGGATCAGCATGATCATAACAGCTACACCAGCCAGCACTGATGGACCCAGGTTCTGGGGAAATACAGTCAAAAGAAAAAAAGGATTCAAATATCGTTCTCTCATATTTTACCATCTACAAGAATCACAAGTATAATTGGTGTTTGTACCTGCCAGAGGAAATACAGTGCCAGCATGATCTGAAGAGGAGCAGACCACAGCATATTGAGGAAAGTGGTGAGGTCCATGAATCTTTGTGCATCCACAGACATCAGGTTCACTATCTCACCCACTGTGGATGAACGCTTGGCTGCGTTTGTTATCACCAGCGCCTGCGGGTCAAAGATTGGAGGACACAACACTTCAGTTGAAGTCTTCTTTTTTTTTTTTATTATGCAAACTGTGATAAATCATCCCACGAGTCACTGTGATTTCCTTTTCAATACAAATCAAGCTCTAATAAGGTCTCTTTCACCTCATAAGATTCACATGGTTAAATATCTCAAATAAGAGCGTCTCCTACCTTCCTGTAGATAGCACCTATGACAGCTGTGCGTACATTCATGCCGGTGACGAAACAGTACTGAAAGTGACGATGGAGGATGAGCGTCTGCAGGACGGCTGTGAAAAACATGAGGAAGGCCAGAGAGTAGCCCCACCAATCAGGAACACCTTTCTGTTTGGTGAAGGAGATCAGCATCCTGCAGGGTGGAGAGAGATGAGAAATTTCACTCAGATTAAAAAGTGAACCAAGTTTTCCTTGCATGTTTACTACTGTCACTGTATCAGCAGGTAAATTACCAATTATTTTGTATTTAATCACTCAGATTACATAAGATTAAGTTCATCAAAAACACTAGGTTCAAATATGAAGCTGCTATGTGTTTAACTTGATTTCAATTTGTTGCTAGATTTGAACAATAAAATTATACATAGCTCTGTTTTTGTTTTTGTTACACCCTAATATTTACCTTGTGTTTTTCTATAATCATAGATGGTTGGGACAGAAATGAAAAGTCTTTAATAGTCCTGGCTGCAGTGTGTATGATGTGAAAACAGCGTTTAATGTGATTGCTGATTTTGCCTCTAAAATCAGAAGTTCATGAACATAATTTAAAAAATGAGAAAAAAAACTGTAAATGTAAAGGCATCCTGAATATGGGATCTTTGCTATGACTGACAGAGCCACATTTACATTCGTTTTATTTTAAGCCATCTCTGTTACTTCACACAGAAGATGCTATCACTAAATTTCCACCTTGGTTTTGGAAGGGCTTAAAATACGCATGATTACATGTTTGGATATTTGCATCCCACACAACAACAGTGTTCAGTTTACACGAAGACACATACTATATTTGATAAAATGCAAAAATGCATGGCAATATGCAAAAATGTATCCTGAAAATGTCATCCAGGGACACTTAAACAATAGTAACTTGTTTTGCTGTCTGGAAATATGTAAATATTCTACAGTGAGGACAGTGAAGAGAGCAACATAAGACCTCTCTTTTTACCTGAGCAGCTGAGGGTTGACAAAGGTGATGACGTCCTGCAGGAGCTTGAAGGCTGAGCCAATCAGAAAGTATGGTCCAAAGGCTTTGATGAGCGATTGCAGGAAGGACGGCTGGTGGGGAGCAGCTTTCTGATTGGACAGCAGCACCTCCACTTCCTCCGGGCTGCTTTCACCTCCTCCAACGTGGTTGGTGGTGGATGGCGACGGTTTGGAGTACAAAGCGTGGCTGGACAGATTCTGATCACTGGAAGATTTGGAGTTTGGGAAGAGAAAGAGAGGGGGGACGGTTCAATAAGTCAAATACTGGGTTTATCTGTAAAACAGGTTTATTGATTGATTATCTCAGAAGATTTCAGGAGTAAGAATTGTTCAAGTTCCTCAAGTGGACAAATGTGTAACAATCCAGACATGATTCAACAGCGTACCAGGGATGAACTGTGATCAGAGACTGGAATTAACACCCACCCAGTCTTTGCTGTGTTGCTCTGATGCATGCAACCATCAGTGAAGTATCACTGTGTACTGGTACATCTGCTGTCCTGCTGCCAACTTTTTGTTTTTTGCAAAATGGCTTCTCAACTAGCGACCAGTGGGCCAAATACAGCCTGCTGAACTTTTTCTGATGCATTTGCTGTTCTGGAAACTTGCTTGTGTAATATGAACTTGTAGTTGTTCAGTAAGTGCTGCTAGTTTTTATGAAGTAAACGTATTTTAGCCACCACTTTGATCAGAGATGCCTGATATTCAATTGTTGCAGACACCTGATAAAAGTACAAACACATTTTTTTTTATTATTGTCCTGTGATAGAATTGAACCTTGTCTCCAATTGCAAATGTCTTTATGTGTTACAAAAATGAGACAAACATTTGATTGTACCATAAATTATGAATGTTTTATTTTAATAGTACAGATCAAGTAATGAACCAGCTGTTTGTTTCCATCATGTGCAGAATTTGAAGTGAATTCATGAGAATCATGAGTAAATGTGTTCAATAATCTCATGAATAAATATAATCTTGATTAGTATTGAGTAAATCTACAGCGCCAATATGGAAATTCTTCATGTATTTCTGTGGGAACTAGTGCAGTGAAAGCAGGAGTACAGGGGGCTTCAAGCACAGAAAGGCAGCTCAAAGTCATGTCTTCTATCTAAGTCACAACAGTTTTCATCACTGTCCACAGTCTTAATTTAAACAGCAGTAACCTTACCACAACTTTGCCCCATGGTCTTCAATAAATTATATTTCTTTTTTTTTTTACTCTGGACACATTATCCTCTAACCATTCTGACACAAAAATGCTCATTATACAGAATAATCAGGAGAAAACTGAATTAATTCATATATCAACACAGACATCTCATCTCTGCAGCATCTATCAAAAGCTATGGATTTAAATTCAAAGTGTGACACTCTGCTTTCAAAGGTTATTCTGGTCAGTAGGTCTCATTCTTCAAAGGTCCATAAATCTGTTCATAGATTTGCACATAACAGTCTTTGGTGCTTAAAACCTAAACCAAATGCCAAATGCTCGTAAATTAGCTGCACCCCCACAAGTCAGCAGTCAGCATAAATGAATAGCCAACAAACACCATAAAAGGAGGTGTGGATATGTTATTCCCGTGGGCCTGTGAGCGGGATCTGGAGAAAAAGGAAAGAGGAGGAAAACTTTAAAGATGCAAAGATTGAAGTTATTTTGCGTGAGAAGGAGTGAAGAGAAAAAGGTTTAACTTTCCCCAGTGCATGGTGCTGTGACACTCAGTAACTCCTGTCTTCTATGAATAGGTTAGGCCTTTACATAAACACATGAATACAGCCCCTGTGTGCTAGGTCAAAACAAATGCAAATCCATGTGTATGGATTTGCATGTGCACAGGTTGTAAATGCTTGAGCACATATCTGCATGTGGCTCAGTTTTACTCCTGTCCACATGCTGGTATACACACAGGCTTGATTCTTACATGTAAGTCAACCATGTCTCACTGACTGCTCCACTCTCTGAACCAGCTCACTGAGCCAAAACATTAAGCATTTACACTACAGGCCAAAAGTTTGGAAGCAAGGCCATTACAGGCCGAACAGTTGGGAGTAACTTCAAGTTTTTGTTCACAATGCTTTTTTTTAAATCCAGCATGAGGTTTATGTATTTTGGGATGTATTTACTCCATGATCAGATGCTGCTTTCATGGAAATGCACCATTTTACTCCATTTACCTTTAGATATACATTAATGTGAACACACCATTGCTAAATATATGTCAGCAAAAGAAAATAAGGGCTTAGTTGCAGGGTTGAAAACATTTGCAAGAGTCACAACTTCAGTGCAAAAGCAAAAAAACAAATCACAGTTGGATTATTCACTTCAACTTTGTGGCTTTTGAGAGTCTGCAGACAAAAATTCTAATAAATCTGAACTGTGTTCAAACTACCGCAAAAAATGGCTAGAAAGAAGCAACTGAGTAAAGAAACAAAAGTAAATATTTGTACATTGAGGAAAGAAGGATACACAGAAAGAGAAATTGCAAAACACCTAAAGGTGTCTAACAAAGGAGTCCACTACACTCTGAAGAGACTAGAGGAACCTGGAAGTTATGATGATAGAAAAAGGCCTGGACGAAAGAGAGTTACTTTAAAAGCAGAGGATAAACATAGCATTGTCACCAGGAAGAGAGATCAGCAAAAGACAGCAACAAAAATAAGGGAGGAAATCAACATGACAAGGTCCAAACCCATATCTCTGACAACCGTGAAATGACGTTTGAGAAAGGCTGGTCTGAAGGGTTGTGTATCTGCAAAAAAACCCACTACTTCATCCACAGAACAAGAAAAAGAGATATGAGTGGGCAAAAGCTCACAAAAATTGGACTTATGATGACTAGAAACAAGTTTGCACTGTTTGGTTTAAAACGCAGAGTCTATGTCCGCAGACGTCTGAAAGCACCATGTGTTACACCCACAATTCAGCATGGAGGTGGTAGTTCCATGATATGGGGATGTTTTGCAGGTGATAAGGGTATAATGAAGAAGGAACAGTACCACTCCATCCTCCAGCACCATGCTGTTCTGTATGGACTCAGACTTGTGGGTCACAAGTTTATTTTGCAGCAAGACAATGACCCTAAGCATCCTGCCAAGCTCTGTCAGGGTTACCTAGACAAAAAAGAAGAGGAAGGTGTTCTTCAAAAGATGGTTTGGCCCCCTCAGTCTCCAGACCTTTCTCTAATTGAGCTTGTGTGGGATGAATTGGATTGATCGGTCAGAAAAACGAGTCCCACAAATCAGCAGTCTCTTTTTAATGAACTTAAGAAAGCTTGGAATGCGATCCCTGGAACATACCTTAAAAAACTTGTGGAATGAATGCCTGGTATATGCCAAGCTGTTGTTAAAGCCAGAGGAGGTTACTTTAAAGAAAGCAAAGTCTAAGCAACAATAACTCAAATACCTAATAATTATAGTCAAAATGTCTTCTGATAAGTTACTCTTTACACAATAGTCACATTTATTGTGTTGCAAATTATATATATGAAACTATGATCTTTTTTTTTTGTACAAATCTGATCTTGCTTCCAAACTTTTGGCCTGTAGTGTATGTTTGTTTTATTTAATGATTTGCCACTTTTTACGATAAAAATGTGCAGAATACACACATATATCTAGTTGTTTAAATCACTCAATCATATTCTAACCTAATCTGAAGCTCCATCCTGCAGATTACCAACTCAATTCACTCAATGTGTTGAATTTTTTTTTTTTTTTTTTTTTTTTTGTCATGTTAAACCCACAGGTTTCAAAGCCCTGTGAAAAAACATAACAGATCACAATATAGCTGCCAAAGTATTTCCACACATTTAGTATGCTTGCATTTCATGAATGTGAGCCATTGTTTTTGAGACACAAAGTCCATGTGAAGGTTTATTTAAACCTTAGATAGAGTGCATGAATCATCATCATGGTAATAAAGTATATTTGACCTTCTTTAAAGTGTAATTAACCTGCTTACAGTCAGTCATATGAAACAGAGCCATAAAAAGAAAGATTAGACGGCCTTTCCTCTGAACAATCAGTTCAGGACTTTCTGTTGACAGCTGCACAGGTTAAACAGCTGCCCTTAATTCTCCTGTGTTGGGACAGAGCTAGGTAAAGTTAGAGAAACGTATGGACACGTAGACAATGAGGGTTGTCCGTGCACGTATGTTACCACTAGAATACAAAAAGTCACCAGCCAAACCTGCACGTGTTTGGCCTCTTGGGTTGTTTTAGTGAGTTGTGCCTGTAAGATCTTTGGCAGCTTGCCTCACTATGAAATATTTCCAGTAAGAGGTGTGTTTAGCAAACTAAACAACCTCCATTGTAAAACCAGCTTAAAGGAGTCGGATTCCAGCAGTGAACTAACTCTTGTCTGCAGCTGTAAAGGAATTCGGCTTAACACCAAACAGGTTTCCATAGCATGAGTGAAAAGACCTCGCTTTTCTATATCACTTTACAAACTGAAAGCACAATGAAACTCGGACAGAGAAACTGCAGCACAAGAGGTCAGACTGCTCAAAGCTTGTCAAGTGTGTTTGTTCAAGAAAGTTCTTTTACAGAAACATGCAGCTCTGAGTCACAAAGCTACCAATCCCTTATCTCTCTTTTCTGCAGGCTGCATGAAAAGCATCATGTTCTGCAGCAGACTGAAGAGAGCCACAGGGATGGATTAAGAGCTTCAGGAGGGTAAACAGCAATAACAAACAAACTGAAAGCTTAAAGGCAATATTCACGTAGACTCTCTCTGATGTCTGCAGACCCTGAACTAATACCTTTTTTCTTTATATTTATGTTTACCAGTCCACCAATGCAAGCAGTGAAGTGAATTAAGAAGATTAAATGAGGGTTTTCTGTCGTTTGAATTTGAGAGAAAAAAAAAAAAACTTTTTACTGTCCACTTGTGCAAGTGAAACCAAACAAAGACTGTGCACAAAGACACATAGAAACTGTGCTCTGCACACACTCGTGCATAGAGCCCTACCATTTTAAAAACAACATCCTCTCTGCTCTCACAAAGAAGAGGGAGAGGGAGTCGTTGACTTTAACAGGATAAAAACACAAATGTTGTCATACAAAAGCAGCTGCCACTGTTTGGAGAACATACTTTAATTTCACTTTAGACTAGCTCACAATACAGACTGTGATGATACCAGGATTTTCATTTCCATACCATAACACCTCTTTGGAAACCAAAGCAACAAAAATGACTTACAAGCTGCTCAGAGTGTTGTAGAGAAAAGTCACTTCACAGTCACTTCACACAGACAAACGTGACGGACTGTAAAGGAAAGGCAAAATAATACCCCAAAATAAATACTTTCCTTTAATTTGGGTTGACCAAATTCCGAATCCCCAAAAAGAGAACACTATTACGTGGGGCGGAGTTGTGCGCAAAATTTTGAGTGTTTTTTGGGTCAGGTCAAGTGTTTTGTACATGCTTCTAACTTAGTTAAACGCATATACTGAATTCCCAAAGACAACACGTGTGTGTTGCATCAATGGCTTTACTTAAAACTGAGCAGAGGGGCAGAGCAGCAGAGAGCTCTGATGTTTGTTTTACTGTTTTATGATAAATGACACGTTCCGGGTTCTTCATTTTTTTTTAAATAAAATAAAATAAAACAAAATAAAATAATATAAAATAAAATAAAATGAAAAGACAATGTTTTATCTCATCTTTTTTTATTTTCACTGGTGGAAACGGGCTTCCATACAAAACCCCAGTCGTTTGAAGGATTTTATAAACACCTCCCAGACAGGCCGGACAGCCCCAAAAGAGGACATGTCCAGGTAAAAGAGGACGCATGGTCACCCTACTTAATTATAATCATTCAAGGACTAAACAAATCTTAAGTCATTCAAATCTGTTAATGAGGAGCTTAAGTAATAGTGGCTGTGACTTCAGCTGCAAACAAACCAAATCCAGAACCTTCCTGCATGTTTGTGTAGAGATGTGGACATGTTTGGAGGCATGGCTCAGTTCTGAGAGCTCCACAAGCATATGTGGATCTCAAAAGCTGGGGGCAGGGAATCATCAAAGACCCGAGGTACAGCACAGGGCAAGTGTCACCCCAATCTGACTTTTGCCAATTGGATGCATAAAATCCTGCGCTTAAAATCCTTTACTTCACAGCCTGCCTGGACTAGCTCTGAGCTGTTTAATAAAATGTGTATCTTTAAAAGTGGACAGGAAGTTTTAAAAGGACCAAAACAGAAGACAGAGAAAGAATCACTGCGGCACTTCAGACTGTATGTTAACACTTAAACTGGGACTTTAATGCGGATCGTGATCTCTCTGTTCTTGAATCAGGCTTGGCTGCAGCATCCTTTGTGAGTAATAAGCTTACATTAAACCAGCTCTAATTCAAAAACATGGAAGAGGATAATGTGTTTATCGACCAGCTGTGCCTCTGAAATGAATCAAGAGTTGCAGCAGCTCTCAAGTTCCCTGTCTTAACCTCATTTTTCTCAAATACCTCAGGGTGGGGGTGGGGGTGGGGTTATTTCATAGTGCATTTTGCACTTTATATGAATCAAACCAGTGTGTCTGCTCTCATTCACTTGAAGACTCAGGTGTACTTATCCATCCTGCTACTTACATACACTGAGCACAAGTAGGTAGATCAAACTGACTTTCTTCCACCATGCCTTTTAATACACTGGTCACTGTACGGAGTGTGTTTCTGTATGTGTCTATGTTCAACAGTTCCTCTGAGCAGCAAAGTGACCAAACTGACAAAAACAGACTGTATTTGGACACAAGGCACAGCAGCATTGACATCTGTCCCTGTGAGTCTGTTTCTGCATATATACAAGTGTGTGCATGATGGACAGCTTGATGATGGTCCTGATCTGGAGTATCCAGCCCGTGTAGAGCTGAGGTGTAGCTGTTGCGTGAGTGTCTTTATTCTTATGTTGAAATCAACACCCTACTGTATAATGGTGCATGGAGATGAAGGGAAAATACTGTAGTCTCCAAACCCTGGGCTCAGATGCTTTCTGTGCGCTCATGACAGGAACACATCATCTTTGCACCTGATCACACCCTATTTCAAAACCAACACACCCATGGGTGCTTATTTAGCACACATACCGCCTATTAGCATTCATGCATAAAGTAAGGCGATAGCTTCAATATCAGCAGGGCAGGCTGGGTTAGAGCTGTGACCTTTAACAATGTCAGATATTAAAAATGTGAATATTCAGCAATACCCAGCGGTCACATTTCAGACTGAAACACCCCCTTGCTCACCACTCCTGCTGGTGAAGCTACACAAACAAAGACAAGAAGCTCTAGTGATGCATAATGACTATAAATCTTTATGCCAAGATCTGAAAACAAAAAACTCTCATCACTTCAATCATTTGTGCACAACAGCCACCCGCTCCCTCTTCTCATTTTTCTCCTTGATTTTATCAAACCTACCTCTTGGCTTTGATCTGCTCCTTCTCCCACTCTTTGAGGAGTCTGGGCACCATCACCTTGGATCTGTCACGCTCATTTAGTGACCACAGATCTTTGGCTTCCAGGGGCATTTTGTAACCTTTGATGGCCATACTGAGAGAGGAAAACAAAGGGTTAATATAATCCGACACTTCACCTGCAAATAAATAACACATGATGGGGAGGTGAGCCTCCTCCTGTCTCACTGCTTATTGAACCTTTAAATGTTTACCTTTAACATTTTGTAATAAAACTATAATTCAAAATATGAAATCCTGTGTCTCTGAAACATCTCTCTGAAAGCTCCCCATGAGACACTTTATTGAGTTTCCCGGATTTTGCTAATCATCATTATGGACCAGTGGATACAATTTCACTGGAAATTGGTTTAATGTGATTTCTGGCAGAGGGAGAGGTTACAGAGAGAGAACGGAGAAACGATGTCGATCTCTCAGGAAAAGTTCCCCTAACCTTTTTCTAGCAGGAATCAAAATAACAGAAAATATCATAGGTGTTGGCTTTAACTCAAACATGCTTACATTTGTTTATAGTTTATATTAAGCTGTACCTCTACAATTATCTACCGGTAGTTAAAACTACAACAAATACTGCAGACAGGTTCAAGTTTTCACTCTAGTGCTGCAAGAATAATGCTATTGTGATCATGTGTGACATTTTAACAGTTCGGGATTTAAATGAATGTATGTCTGCAAACATTACAACCTCTCCTCTGATTGTTTGGAGTGTTTAGCTGTATGATCAGCAGTTCAGGCAGTTTGTGTATGTGCAACATGTTTGTGCAATCAAATGACTAGCAAGTGTGTAGAACAACCAACATGTATGTCAATGAGTGAGTCATTTACAATCAAGCTGAAGCTGTTAGCCAAAAAAAAAAAAAACTGTGAATGAAGACCGAGTTAAGTGGAGACAGAAGAACACAGACAGCCAAAGGTTGTCAGAGCCAAATAAAGCATAGCAGAGCAAAACTACTGAGTCTCAGGGGTCACTTACACCTGGTCAATCAGATCAGATCATACATCAGTAGCTGTGCTCATAATTTACATTAACATGCTTCTCCACTAACCCTCAAGTTAGCGGCTGGTTATAAGCTAACATAGTTAAACGGGGAACTAAGTGGACAGTAGTAAGTTTTTTTTTTTTTTTTTGAAAAACGATCTGCTGCACAGATGGCTCTTTTTGACTTTATGATAAATATCATATAGGTGTTGAAGTTAAAGACATAAATAAAGACAAAAACATGCGGTTATTCCTTTTTTTCTGGACTTCACAGTCACTGCAAATTATCCTATTTTCCTGAGTGAACCCACCTTGTGAACCACCAAAACGTTACAGTGGAGAGAAAACCTGCGGTGCTTTCAGGGCAGGGATTCTGAGAAGAAATGAAAATGTGCATAAAAAATAGGCCAGAGGGGTTAACCAAGGATAAAATGGACATACTTTTAAGAGCAGCCAGAAACAATTGTGCTGTCAGTGCTTGTGTGTGTGTGCGTGTGTGTGTGACCTGCTTTATCAAGAGGACCAAATATTACACTGTACAGTGTCAGCAGCAAAATAAGAGGCTCTCACATACAAAAAACAGACACACACACACAAACAGACTCATGCTCTGTGAGGTCCATTGAAGCAGATTGTCTGACTCACAGGATCTGTGACCACATTGGAGAAGAGCGGAGGTTTCTCGTTGAAGCAGCAAAGGATCAGCTCACACACCACCAGGGCGAAGTAGAAATAAAAGGTGGTGAATCGCAGCTTGTCGGTCACTTCGCTCTGAAAGGTCAAACGAGGACACACGCAGACACAGACACAGACACACATACAGACACACACATACACAAGGAGAGGTTAGTTAAGACAAACAGTATTAAGGACTCTGGTGAGATTTTCTGCACGGGGAGTTCATAATTAGATTAAAATTAAACTTATGTCTGAAAGAACTCACACCGAACAGTCATTAAGGACCACAGGTAAGTTCAGTTAAGAGCAGTGAGCCTCGTTCACCAACCTTTCACAGAGGGAGCTTGCTCCTAAAACCCACTAACACAGTTTTTAAGAGGATTCTGATACTGACCAAAACTTCACTTCTTGTTACACCCCACCATGTTACTCCCCTGTCAAAGATGAAAGTATTTAGTTTGGAGATGTTCCTTCAGATGGTTTTGTTTTAGGTCTTATAGAATATTTAACTCTTTTCTTTTCCCTGTACTTACTACTTTAAAATTCAAATAAGTGTATATTTCATAACTTAATAAACACTTAAAAATGTTTTCTTTGCACTATTTTCTGTAAATTACAGGGTTAAAATGATTTGCCAACCTTAAAAATCTCTTTATAATCCACATTTCAGCAAAGTCTCAACTTTTCTAGATTTAGGGTTGTCTGAGGTCACGGGCAGGCGGGGCACACTGATGTGATCAGTGAGCTCTGATCTAACAGAGTAGCCACTGGGGCTAAATTTGCAGGATAAGGTGACCCATGGTTCTCACAAAGAGGTGTCAGGACATCTTTTTTAACCAGATCACAATCGGGCATTTGTAGGATTTGCTGGACAAAAAAGTCTGATCCATGGATCTGCCCTTTATGGGACTCAAAGGATCTGCTGCCAGTGTCTCGGTGCCAGATACCACAGCACACCTTCAGAGGTCTAGTGGAGTCCATGTCTCAACAGGTCAGGTTAGGTTAGGGCTGTTTTGGTCCTGAGGGGTGTGTACACAGTATTAGGCAGGAGGTGGTGTTTTGGCTGATCGGTTTATTTGTAAATAAGTTTGTAAAAAAAAATATCTGGGTTACAAAGCAGAGAGTTTACAGCAGTGCTACCATCTGTGTGAAATACCACACTTAAGAAGAGTGGTAAGGGAAACCCTGACAACATGCTCACAACGCTTCATTATCTTCATACAGCACTTGAGTTTGCTTACTACATGTGACACTAAATCTATGGACAGTCTGAACAGAATGCTGAGAGTTAGAAAAAAAAACAGATTACTTCAGATCCTCCTGATGTACCATGCCCTCTCCCCCACTCCTCCTTGAGCAGCTCTCATCATTAGGTCATCATTATGACATGAGCTGAGATTGATGTGCAACAGAGTTTGGGAGCAGGAGAAAGTCAGTAGTCATTGATGGACTACCTCAACATGTCATGCTCTCATACAGGTGGAGAGAGGAGAGCAGGCAGAGGAGTAGGAGGAGGAGAGAAGACAGCAGGGAGAGGAGCAGAAGGAAAGAGGAGAGCAGGAAGAGGAGCAGAAGGAGAGAGGAGAGCAGGGAGAGGAGCAGGAGGAGGCAGTTGTGTACATAAGTGCCCGTATGTCTGAAAAGCCAAGGGACAGGTTAAGAATGCCAGGGTGGCTGTGGGAATCACTGACTGCCAGGTTAAACTGTGACATTGGTCCTAATCATGATAAATTATTATCCTGATTCTCGATGTTATACAGATGCAGGTTGTGGTGGACGAGCTCAGATCCTTTAGTTTTCAATAAGACTGTAAAATTCTTAGTTTTGATGATGATGATACTCACTTAACACTTACAGGGGACTAAGTCAAAGCTCTTCAAACGGAATAGAATGAAAATGCTACATATGATTTGAATTAATATGTTTTATCCAGTTAGACAGACAGACATGCTTTAATAAACAAGATAAACAGTTTTTCCACTTACTTCCGTTCATTTTTTGGGCTTGTGAAAACTAAGAGTTAAAATTTGAGAGAGTTTAGAGATCTTTAAATGCCTTGGACAGCTTTAAATAAATGTCACCTGCAAAGCCCTTCATTTGGCCCTCTGCTAAACTTTTTATGTTACCATTATCCTTTTGGCTCTCTAACATACCTACATGTAGAAAAAAAATCACTATTACAATTATAAAAGAGAGCAGAAGTAGCACAGCCACTGTGATCACTCTTAATGCATACACAGTTTAAATATTGAAACTTTAATGTGGTCTATCACAATCACCAGCATGGACATTTTAAGCCAAGATTCTCCCATTTCAATTGGTTATTTACCACCCCTAACTCTCACTCTCACTTTTTTTTTTTTTTTTTTTTTTACTGTTTTCAGGATCCCTGTTTTTTTAAAGACCAAGCTGTCAACATTAACGGGTCCCTGCGAGTCTCCATTTATCTGGTCTTTGATTCAAACACAGCAGGGACAACATTTAATGATTTTCTCAGGGGGTAACAGTCCATAAGTAAGAAGAAACCGCCTGTGCTGTGCTGTCCTGTCTGTTCAAGTTTATTGAGGAAATGATGCAATTAAGTCAACAGGTCATTAAATCTTTATCACCTTATTGTGCACATTCAGAAAACTGATGCAAAAACACTACTGGTCAAAACCCATTCAATCCAAGGAGCTCTTACAAAATCACTCCCTCCTCCTTCCCCTGCTCCTCCTCCTCCACCTCAAACAATCCTCAATCCACAATCCTCCAGCTGCACAAAACCAAGAATAGAAGTAACACCTTTCTCACTGCAAATCTCTTTAATTTCTCTAAATCATATTTGGACTAACTTTCTGGATCAAAGTGATTATAGCAGCTCAGGTCTGCTGTGGCCTGGACTGACCTGGCTGGACTCACGTTCACCCGCTTCACCATCTAGCTTTCTCATAACCTGACCCACTGACCGCCTGAGGTGCTGCTCACATGTCGGTGTGATGTGTGGTTGTATGAGGCCGGAGTTGCAGGACAAGTGATTTCAGTGAGCTGAAGTCTTCAACGCTGGTTCAATTTCAGGTCTGACAAATTCTATCTTTTTAGAAATAAAGGCTGACACAAGCTTTTAGGAAAAACATTCAACAGCCACAGACAAACAGACAACAAAGCAGAACTTAAGGTACGTAATGACAGTTGGACATACCTTCCTTGGTCTGCACCTGCAGGTACTACAGCTGTAGTCTGATTATGAGTAAAAATTAAAGAAGCTTTGCCCACACAGGGATTTACTAAACAAACACCCAACACTTGCAAGTCATGTCAGCTATAACGTTTCACGATGACTTGCATTTCTCATACATCTGTTAGAGTAGGTGCATACCCACCATATTCATGATGTTAAGGCCTCCTGAGAAAAGTGGCTCTCATTCCAACAGGTCTTGGGACTTTTTGAAGAGGAACGATCCACTAGAACCTTTTTTTCTGTTTGCATTCACACTGCGATGACTATGACTACGAACCATAGACTGCATACATAATGGACAACATGACTCCACCTCCTGTCATTGTGCGAATCTGAAGTCATATTGCTCTCTGTATTTCCAGGAATTTTCTCCATTTCCTAAAACTAGCGTATGTGCTGTAGCTCTCGGCTGGAGAACATTGTGATGACACTCTGCTCAAACTGCGTACCCCCAAGATGATATACGTAATCTTCGTTCACCCATTGACTGAACGCAAGTGTCACTCATAGAATATATGATGTCATATCCTGTTGAATCTTTAAACCTTTAACCTTTAAAAAAACATAAGGTGTCCAACAGTTGATCACACAGCATCACTAATCCAACGCAATAAAAAAATACAGGCTGGAGGACGCTGTGGTGGGCACTGGGCAGTATGTTTGTTGTTGTCGTCCAGTGGCTGGGTTAATAAACATCACTGAGTTAGAAAGGAGAAACATGAGCTAACATGTCTATATTGCATTTAGCTTATTTCACCTACTCTGTCTTAATATAGCCCTCTAACAAACTGGTGATGACTGTGTGCTAAATTAAGCAAATGTCACCACAAGCTACAACTTGTTACGACTTTCATTAACTTTTTATTAAGCTGCATAACGGCTTATTTTAAATGACTGTAGACTCTAGCACCGCTAATAGCAATAGCCTTTAAAATAGCCAAGAGCTTAATCCTAAACCAAGGATAACGTCCAGTGTAGCAGATCACTCACTGTCAGATCCACTCTAGTCGGTTGTGGTCATAATTGTTTTCAGTCTCGTGTGCGTTTCAACTTCCCACAGCATGACTTTACTGTGTAACAGATACCTGATGAAGCGAGTTAGCGAGAAATACTTCAAAGATTTAAATATCCTACTTTGAATCAAGATAAAATCTTATCTAATTCTCTGAATCAGGAGCTAAAAAGGTTCCTCCAAACAGGTTTTTAAAATTAAAAAGTTAATTTTCAACTGCTAAATGACTCCAACTTTGTAGTTATTGTCTGCTACAGTTCTCCTCTGTCCCCTGGCCCCAGGTTTTCTAATATGATCTGTGAAGAGATCTGCACCCCAAAGGGTCAGTTTTGACTCTGGACTCTCCCCTGGTGACCACAGTTATGCAGTCCTGCTTTGCTCAGCTGAGGCAGTAAACTAAACTCAGGCCTGTCCTTTCCTTTCCTCTTGTCAGCTTAGAAAAAGTCACACATACATTTTTTTTCTTATTATATTTTATTTCACTTTCGAGCCACTTTACTCTGGAATCCAAAGACTATAATCAATTCAAAATGCTGCTGCCGGGCTTTTAACACACAGCATGAGACGTGATCATTATAGAATGTCCCTTTCTGCCCTTTACTGGCTCCCTGAGAGGTGTGGAGCAGATTTGAAAATTTTACTGCTTGTGCTTAAAGCCTTGAATGGTCTGATAACTGTCTATGAGCCTGACCCCTGCTTGAGGACACCCCTCCTCTCTCTACCAATGAATTACAGTTGGCTTTTACTTGCTGTCATTTCAGGGCAGGATATTTACGCCCCTGTTGAGACTTGTCTGCAATTGTAAGCTAGTATATGTAGGGCTGCAACTAACTGTTGTTTTGATAGTTAACTGGTCATTGATTATAGAAAGGATCATTTGACTAATTGGATACTGAATTGCACAATAGCTGAATTGCTCTTATTTAACAACAGCACTCATGAAAAGAGAGGTTAGATTATGATTATTAATTATCAGTGATTAAGTTTTGATGTGCAGCTTTCTAAAGGAAAAGAAATGAGAAGGAGGGTAAGGGACTGAAAACATAGAATTCACACAATGTGGCTCTAATGTTGGACTAACTGCACTCTCTCCTCACACACTGGTGCATCGCAGATGTACTTCCATGAAAAGCAAGTTTTTGTCTCCAGGTCTCGCAGGCAGCTCTTTTCTTTGCTGCACGTTGTGTTTTATTTACCAGTTGTTTCCAAGCCGCTGAGATGTCTCACTCTTCAGTCATTCAGCTCCAGAAAACGATCTCATGTCCTTACACAGCATGAAACTATGTGTGATATAGTCAGCGACAACTCATTTGTTTTTTCTTTTGTCTGCCACTAATTTTGTTGACTACCTAAATGAATGATTTCACCCCTAAATGCATGGAAGAGAACTAGTGGGGCAGAGTAGTTGCACCTCTGATCGTCCCTCAGGGGTAGTAACAAGAGGTGTAATGGAGGGTGAAATAAAGGCAACTCTATGTAGTTTGTCTGTGAAGCTCCCGAGGTGCAGGCCGTGCTCCTGCAAAGCTATAATGTGATGTGTAACACCAGGACACCAGTATACTGAGGGTGTTTCATACTGCATGGTGTTAGCACAAAGGTGTTGTGATGGTAAGACCTCATTAGAGTGCTGTTGCAGAAATGCTGTGTGTTAGTGTGTGAGGGTAGCACGTCTGTCAGTTTTTCAGAAATCAACTTTGGACAAAGATCAGACATGATTTGCAAATGTCCACAGACATTTGAATTCTGCTGTCTTATTGGTGATGACTTTTCTCCAGTTCTCTGGAAATGCACCTGCTGTAAAAAAGGCAGTCACACAGGTTAAACACTTGTTGGGGATTCTTCCTTCACCACTGGAGCCTCCCATAGATGCAGACATAAAGTGAAGCTACAAATTTGTAGTTGTTGACAAAGTTAGACAGCTACTTCATACAAAGTGGACATAGAGTCCTGTCTTTGTCCTTTATTATGAACACTTTCACACAGAGCTTGTCAGGTGTGTTGGTGTCGTGATTGTCCACTCAGTGCATCCTTCCCTGACCATGTCCTCCACTTTTGTCGACTAACATCTCTGTATTAGTTTACTGAGGTCAAGGGGGCATGGACAGGTCAGTTTACAATGAGGGCGCCCTCTAACAGATCATACAGAAGCTTCTTCACTGGTTGTGTTACTATGAGTTTGAATTATTCATTACAGTTCAAAAAGGAACTTTTGTTCAGGGGTGTAAATGAGGGTTTTCATTTCAGACAAAGTGTCGAGCACCACATCTTAGGCCCGGATCAGTGCACCTGGTACCCCCAGAGAGGGACTGCCAAAAAGGTAGGACAATACAGAGCTGTTATATCGAGGAACCTTTCCATACTTTTGCACTGAGCTGAACCAGACAGTTTGGTGGAAACACAGCTTTAGAAAGATGATAAAAGTGACAGTGAGCTGGATGAAAGAGTAAAGATGACTATTCTCTTTGTGGTCAAGGGACAGCTTCTTAAAATGTCTCCCTCCACAGGAAGCCATGATGTGCTTTTGTTAATGATTAAAGATTTGTGTACAGCCGCTCTAAGGTAACCTTTCTTTGCTATAAACCAACACTATTAAACATTATTTCAAGTACTGGAAAAAAAAACACATTTTAAGTGCATCTCCATAGGGTTTTCTGAATTTTTTGGCATTAATGGAAAACTGTACTGATTCAATTTGCATGATATAATCTGATGTGACTGAGTTGGATTTCCAACAAACACTGTCTTATCATGATGCCTGCAGGGTTTGTTTGCTGCTGCTCTGTTCGAAGGCTGTGTGCAGCACTGGAGGTGAGATAAGTATGCCAGGAACAACAGCTCTACTATTCCCTCTCTGTTTAGCAGTGGCCTGGTATGAACCCTTCAAAACATCCACTCACTATAAGCTCCCAACTAACTCCTGAGACAACAGCGGGGGCGGGGAGGGGCTGCTGCAGTGTACTCTAATACGCCAAGAACAATGAGGATGAGAACAGGCAGAAAACGGGAGGATGGCAAAATAGAACAAGAAGAAAGATAAGGTGAAGAGCAACTAGGCGAGGAGACAGGGAAAGAGAGGATAAGAGTCTGGGGCAGATGTTGAGGGGGAAGGATGAAGTGGCACCTGACAGAAAAGACAGACATGAGGGGCATTTGAGGACTGAGGCGTGTTCTCACCTGGCTGGAGGCCTGGAGGATCTTGGAGCGGAAAGGCACAATGGCACACAGCACACACAGGAACCAGAAGATGAACAGGACCCCTGAGGACTGAACCCCACGTAACCTCTCAAACTGGATCAGAAACGTGGCCAGGAGCTGAGAGAGAAGTGGGTGGGGGAGGGGACAGGAGGGACTGCGTTAGATTACTGAGGTCATGCAAGGTTTGCCACAGTCTGAGTGGGTCAGTCTGTCATGTAGACTGTTTCTCCATCAAACAGCAGCAGGAGTTTTTTAACCTGATAGACTCCAAAGAGAACAATACACGACTTCTCTCTCCTCACACAAACCACACGGTCTGAGGCGCTCAGCAGATTAGAAAGGGTCACTAAAAAGAAAAACACGCGCAATACTTGGATGGGAAAGGATGTGTGGTGTGAAAAGTGCCATACTCTGGTGTGCCCTCTTTTAAAGATTTTTCCCTAGTGAGTAGATGTCAGCCAAAAGATGTGCCACATTGAAATAATTCAGTTATTATTTAAGGTGGAGCTGTTAGCATGAACGTGTCAACAGTGATATGATAACAAGAACCTCACTATTCAACACCTTTAAACCTGATATTGGGATGAACTGTTAAAATTCAGTGATTCATTCGGATTTGAAAGAAAGAGCTGTTAGAGGGATCCTTTTATTTTAAGTTTGCAGTCGAGAAAAGGTGAAGTTTTGCAGGGATAAAATTCTGGACAGAGTCCATGTTTTAAATGGATTTGAAACCCACCTAAAGAAGATGCAGACCACACACACTCACATGAACAATGCCATGAATACTCATATAATCTGTGCAGAACTTTGTGGCAAGTCTTTCCATTTTTGCCAGGATGTTCCAACCAGGACAAAAGAAAAGACCACCCGAGAGCTCCAACACCAGGGTGGCAAAAATGACTTTGGTAATTCATGTGAGATTTTAGTAACAATGTTCTGGTATTACTCACGGCTCTGTTCACTTGTCTGAACCTACAATCAGCAGAAAATTTCATTGTGGAAATTTCAAAAGCTTCTTAAAGTTCAGGGAGTTTCACACGAAAATTCTCCCAAATGTTTCCAATCCAGTCCAAGACCTTTACAACCTCACAAAACATATGACTTTTCATCTGCTGCTGCTGTTCGACCTTTTCATGGGAATGACTCCTTACTGGCCTAAAGCCTCCTGCACTCTAGTTTGAGTTGAAGTCTCAGTGAAAACAGGACACTTTAATCTCCCTTTTCCTTGCTAATAAGAAACCCTGCAACAACATGGACACATATATTTCCTTTAAGTGGAGGTACAGACTGTGCTTTGACTGCACATGAACCAAACCGGTTTGACGGGAAATAACCCTGGACCACCTTGTTTGGCTAGGTTTGTGCAGAAATCAGTTCAAGTGTTAAACAGACAGAAATCATGAGTCATGGTGTGAGCACAGCATGCAGCTTTTGAAACTGGAGAGGAGGAGGAATGTCTCTATCCTGTGTAACAGGAAGAGGGTCAAATATCTGTATTTACTCAGGCTCTAGTCCGGCCTCTGTCGTCACTGGATTAACTCTGTGCACTTTCTATGAACTGATGTTTTTCTGTTATCTATTTGAAATCTAATTGTATGGTCCCCTTTATTTAACAGATTCATGAAAAAGGAAAACAGAGCATAGTTAATTCAGCAGCTGATTTAGGCACTGTCATGTTACCCTAATAATATATGGATGCTAATTCATTGCCGTTTTGGCTTCTACATCCATTTATTCAGGGACTGCTGACAGCACTTGAAGAGGCTCTCTCTCATCCGTCTGTGTCCTTAGATAACATCTCTGCTCTGTGTTATGCATCCGCTTTCATTTGCTCATTTAAAACACGTTTGAATATTTCCACTGCAAAATCTATATTCAGCTCCAAGCCATGACTCTTCCAAAAAACTACTCTGTAGAGGTCTGGAAGTCACACATGTAATCCTTATGGTTCGGTCCCAAAGAAGCACTCTTTCCTTCAAAAAGAAACTGTACTCTTCACAGGGTGGGAGTCCCTGTGCAACTGTTTTTTATATCCTCACCATGGTCATGCCGAGAACCAGCGGGGTGATGAAGAAAATTGGTGGCTGGCTGTTTCCCTGCCGCAGCTCGTGGAATGTGTAGAAGAGGTCGGTCCAACACACAATCCATAACAACAAACCAAACACCTGAGAGCAAACAGAGAGAGAGAGAGAGAGGAGGGCGGAGAGGTAAGAAAACAGTGATTAAAACGGAAAATACAAAAGGGGGGTAAGAGGAAACTGGCTGACAACCCATCTCATTATTGCAGGATAGAGGGGACACATGATACTGGAATTCTGCAGATAACTGATAAGCTGGTATTTTCCATACCAATACATACAAACCTTTAAACCTGTTAGTTACTCCTGCTGTTTGACTTCTATTCTACCTTCAATCACAAAGGTATTCTTCAAGTACAGACATGAAGTAATATGTCTGATGTCTGTTTCTGACACTTTCAAAGCACATGAAATACTTATATAGAGGCGACAAGTTGGCCTCAGTGAGTGGTCATTTTGTGCACACATGAGTTCAACCTGATGTTATGTTATCAGTAAACTTCTTATCTGGTTTAATGTAGATTTTATCAGGTAAAACTCTCAGGCTGTTAGGACAGGTACTTAATCTATTAACAGACAGCAGCTGAGCAGAGACAGAGGGGTACAGCGATGGATACAAAGGGGGAGAAAATATTCCCCATAATCTGACATGATTTAATAATTGACATAGTGTACCTGCAGCTGAAAATTCACTGCAGGCCCGAATAAAAAGAGTCATGCATGATACTTCACCAAACAACCACTTCTAGCTACCTAAACACAACCCTAACAGTTGATTTTCAACATTAGCCATGACTGTTTGAGATTTCAGGGAGATCAGACTTCAGAGGTGACCATGGCCACCCCTTGGTTCTGCTTCTGGACAAGGAAACGAACTTTTCAGACCAAACCCATTTTCTAAACCAAGCTGTAGATGTGTATGTTTGTCTGGTGGTTACTGCTTAGCTTTTATACATTCTTGAGACCTTGTAGAGCAAAATGTGAACAACATGTAATTAACTGTGCTGGCTTTACATTCAGCATTGTTCTGCCCTGTCAGCTTCACTTTTACAGACTCTGATTGGTCTGTGTAACACATTCGTGGCTGTCTCCACTGCAGAAAAACTCCACCCCTCCTCCATACCTTTGACACAGAGGGTGAGGCCTCACAGTGGCTTAACATTCCTTTCCTAAACATATGTGATGGTTCAAGGACTGAGTGCATCTTGATAAAATACTTAAGAGTCTGCACTCACCGTTTTGAATCTGTTCATTATGGACATCATGATGTAGCCTCTGTTGTTCCTCTTGAGATAGAAGAGGTAGAAAGGACTGACGACCCACAGGTAGACGCACGGCAGCCATGACAGGACAGACAACTGGAAACATTCTGGAAGGTCAGGCCGATCTGTGTGGAGCGTCTGATTGGCTACCTGCAGGAGGGAAACAACATGGAGGAAAAGCACTTTAGCTTTCAGTCCTTCATCATCTCGGATCAAATAACCTCAGAAAGAGCTCTGAGAACCAGGCAGCACACACATTACCACATCTCCACCACCCACACAAACATGAACACATCCCAGCAGATGCTTTCTTTAACTGGAATGTGTAAACTTTTGGAGAACATCTTCCCGTCTCTGTGGTCAGGAGGGTGGAGAGACACGAGGAAACTTTTGCAACATTACAGGAGCATGAGAAGCAAAAGTACCAGCCCTACGGGGAGCTCTGGGAGGCAAGTAAACAGGTCAAAGCCACAGTGTATCACTCTAACCTTTAGTTATCAATACTAGATGCAAAGCTGTTAGGGTCACCCTTTTAGAAAAAAATCAATGAAAGTGCATGAAAAATACTTCTGTTGAGATCATGTGGCACAGTGGATACACATTTATCAGTTTGTTCTTCCTGAAATAATTTATGAAGATAACATTCAGGCCCTAAGCTAAAGAAGATGCTAGAGAGTACGCACTACAGAAAAATCAAACACACATTCATCAGCGGATCCAAAGACATAAAGGTTTACACACCAGGAAGCATATGTTAAAGGGTTAATTTGTCAGGCGACATTTTGAACAAACATACTCATTAAAAAAAAAAAAACAGTTAACAAAATACTTATCAAGGCTGAACTGAATTTGACCACTGTGACTGCAAACATCGAATCACAGGAACTGGGATGTCAGTCAAGTACATCATGCTGTTACCATTTCCTCTGTTCATGATAAGCCTGTGATAAAAATTCTGTCTACAATCACTTTAATGCAGCCACTGGTTTACACAGAAACTGTGCAGGCAGAGTATCTGTATCTGTGTTTAACACAGCTGTAGAACGTAAACATGCACATGAGTGTCAACACTGACACTGTCACACAGAAGTGTCAAACACTCCATGGAGCAAGAAGGATTTTCAGACATTGTTCTCCTGCTTGTGCCAGTGCTGGCTAAAATTTAGAGCACACATATGGACTGTTAATCTTACAGTACAACAGTGTTGACTTTTAGCCCTGCAGCTGGAATACTGCATCTAAAAACTTATGATAGAAAGCTGATAGTGTTGGACTTCATTTAAGCATTCACTTTCAGCATGCTGATTTTTTTCTTATCTTCCAGTTCTTACATTTTATAAACTCAGAGTTTGTGTTTAACTTCCTCATAATTCTCTAATTTCATAGTAATTCTGAGTTGATCAATTTTGTTCATCTTTGTGACTGATCATATTGGTCGTATGTGAATAGGCTCACTCTAACTCTGAGCTGATAACCAGCTTCAGCATGAGCTGGATGGTCCAGGCCAGTTAAGATGGGTGTTTAAAAGTTACCCCTGTATGTTGAACTCATTTTGTCATCTGGGCCCCCATGAGCATTATTGGATTGTCTCAGATCCTTGAACACAAGGTGAAGGCACAGGTGAGCGACTTTCTCATTTCATATGTAACTTAGTGAACATGAGCATCACTGAGTGCCTTCATCACTGACTAGCCTGCTCTTCCTTGAAAACCAAATATTTGATCTAATAACTACCTGCCATGAAAATATTCATACAGTAACAATGGCATTTCATTAAAGCCGCTTTCAGTTAACAAATGGAGTCTTTATCCAACTAAATTCTCGGCTTACTGAAATATCCTCAATTGGTTGGGGTAATTGGATTGGAGCAGCTTGTACAGGAAACACACTGACATAAAAACAACAAATAGGCTGTATAATAGAGCTTAAGTAAAGAAAACAATCTCAAATTACAAATGATTTTCACTATGATAACGTAAAAGAAAAACGTACAAAGACAACCCATCAAATGTATTTCAATTTATAAAGAATATGCTCATCTTGAAATGGATGCCAGCAATACACTTCTTTCTCTAAAAAAAGGATGGGAGGATGTTCACCACTCTGTAAGGGACTGCGTGAGCTAATAGTTCAACAATTTCAGAATAATGTGCCTGAGTGTCAAAGGTGAAAGAATGAGTAGATTTCATCATCTACAGAACATAACATCAGTAAAAGATTTTGAGAATCTGGAGAAATTTCTGTACTAAAGGGACAAGGACCAAAACCAAGACTGGATAGTCCTGATCTTCAGGCTCTCAGGCAGGACAGACAGGACTTTGTAGTGGATTAAGAACAATGTTTACATACACAAGCTTGTTCCATTCACTAGCACTGAAATGTGTCTATTTTCAAACTTTATGAAGAGATCTGTAATTTTTAAAACTATTTTTGTATTTCTATAGTTTTAATTTACACATTTTTCATTATTTTATCCAAGGCCGTCGAAAAATACCAGAACCGATAATAAGTGTGTTTTTTAAAAAATGTATTATTGGTATTGTGCTCAAAATTAGCATACACTTACACTGTGACGTGAACATGGTGGTCCTTAAAGCTGTTTGACACAAGCCGACAACGACGACGGAGCCAAGAAACAGGAGCACATCTCACCGGTGCTCTCCTCACTTCACTGGCTCCCAGTCAAGTTCAGGATTGATTTTAAGATTCTTTTATTTGCTTTTAAGTCTTTGCACGGGCTGGCCCCAGAATATTTATCGGACCTTGTCAAGGCGCACCAACCCGCCAGATCCCTGAGGTCTGCTGACCGGATGGTCTTAGATGTGCCGAGAACCCAGCTTAAAAGCAAAGGGGATCGGGCATTCGCAGTTGCTGCTCCCACACTGTGGAATGCCTGCCTCAGTCTGTGCGTTCTGCAACCAGCCTCACCTCATTCAAAACGCACCTTAAAACCTACCTGTTTACCCTAGCTTTCGGTTGAGTTGTCACTTGCTTTTACTCGTGTACGCTTTTCTTTTATTATTGTTATTGTATGTTTCCCTTTTAATGTTGCCATACTTGTAGCTTTTATTATTTTGTGTTTTTCTCCTGTAAAGCACTTTGTCTGGCCTGTCCTATAAATGTGCTATATAAATAAACGTGACATTGACGTGACATTTAACAATTGATGATTTGTCTTGAATCCAGCAACAACATAGAGTTTGGAATAATCAATAAAACATTTACATTTCCTAACTGTTTATGGAGACTGTTTTCATTTAGCTATGTGAACTTCAAAAATTTGACAATGCAGGAAACAAAGCAACCTACATGCTTGACAGAAAAACATCAAAATAAAAGCATGAGACATTATTGTTAAATAAAGCAAGTTTCCCTTCAAAGAGGTATCAGTCACAGGGCAGGTGATGTGGATAAATTATACATATGAACATCATTAAAAATGAATAACAACATGCTAGTTAATTGTGTTTATTGGTTGAATAAATGCAATTAAGAAGTAATGTGTTGCTCCATCCTTGTCTTACCTTTCCTCAGTTTGACTGAGTTTGGCACATTGTTGTTGGTGAGTGTTTTGTGTGTTATTGCTGTTAATGTAGTTTAAGTACGCATACGATACTTGACAACTTCATTGAGAGTTCCTGCCTGTCATTGTGTCCTGTTCACATGCAAACAAATGCCATCCAGAGCGGTTCAGCGAGTCATTTCTTTAATGCTAAAAACTGACCCATGTAAAAAGGACAGAGCACAAATACTAGCCCCTAACAGGTAGAGAAGAGCAACTTTCCTGCTCTGTGCAAAAACGTCTCCACGTGCAGTAATATATCAATATCAGATTTTTCCATGGCATTGTATGAAACAGTATGATCATTTATTTTCCTGCAGGAGAACAATAAGTGAACATTTCAGAGGACATCCGTAGAAGAAAGGTAAAGTAAACATCAGTCAGAGTTGGACACAGCCTTGACACGACAGTTACAGTTCTCCCCAGGACAAACAGAGTGAAGGCCCACCCACAGACAGAACCAAGATAAACACAGCTGCCAGCCGCCGGCCACTACCATTCATCACCACGCCCTCCTTCTGCCTGAGCATGTGTGTGCGGCTACACTGAGTGTGTGTGAGAGTGGTGTGGTGGGTAAAAGGTGAAGGGTAATTGCGCTTGCTGGTGGTTTTTTAAGTGAGCAGTGAAGAGGCAGCTGGAAAATGTCTCGCTCTTCAAAAGTTCTTCACTTTTTTGGCTCAGGAATCCTAAACACACGAGCAGCGTGTTCAAGTGCTGGTTTCATAACACTTCACAGACCACAAGCACAAAGGCTCTGACCACTAAAGGCTCATTTCACCCAAACTTGAACCCTGTAATCTTTACCTCTTAAAGACTCATTCCATGAAAATCCTGTTATTCTTGTTGTCTACATGTTCGTATGGCAAATTTTCTGATTCTAAAGGACATATAATGAGAAAACTAAATGCGAAATTGCTTTTCTGAGTATTTCTTCATTCAAATTGCTGTGAATCTCTGGCAGACCCAAATGGCAGGTTCAGAAACAGAGAGATTTCATACGTAACTAATCCAAGTTCCACCCCAGAAGACTACTATGCAGGCCAGACTCTGCATAAAGAGGAGAAATACAGAGGACAATCGCAGAACGAGTGTGTGCGTTCCCAGATTGCAATGCTCAAAAGAAGGCTAATAATGATATTAGCTTTCATTGTGTCCCTAAACACATTAGTGTCCGAGAGCTGAATAGCTCCTATGTTACCTGCCACTTCTACTACACCAGCCATGTTAGGCTGCAAGCTAGTGTGAAGAGGAGTGTGCAGAACAGCGCTGTCTCCGCCCACGACTCAGAGGCGAATTGCTAATGAGCAACTGGAGCTCTGCAGAAGAAAAGCCCTTGAAAATGACACAGGTAACGTGATTTTTGGTAAAAACTTCATAATCACAACTGATAACACTTGAAGTAGTAAAAAAAAATGATTGGGTGGGACTTCAAACCTATGTCTGTCAACTATCCAGATGACATTTTACACTCATCCCAATCACAGATACACCAATATCTCTTGTAACAACTTTAAAAACATTAAATAAAACACTACAGTTTGATTTTTACAAATCTTATTATAAACTATAGCTCAGTCAAAATATCTGGATAGTTGTGCAAATAATAATTGTGCTACACGCTTTAGTCCAGAGCACCTTCATCTAAAAAATTATTAGCATGCAGTGGTGATATTTGGTGGCATGGCTCTGTGTTGGGAGTTTCATGCCCTTCTACATGCTCCCTGCCAAAGCCTAAGGAGCACACCTCCCCTCGGTTTCATGTGCAAACACAAAAAGTCAGGAACCACAGTACACTTCAGCAGACACTGTTACTCTAAAAAATCTTTGAAGGATTATCAAATATGATGTGCAAACGTGTGTATATAATTTGATTTTGCAGTCTGATAAGTGACAGCCTTTCTTTGAGCCTTTGGCTGCCTGTGTCTATTTTTCAAAAGGTCCAAGTGTTCCACCAAAGTGATGACCGTGCAACCGAGGGCAAAGCCATCAAAAGCACAAACACACTGAAAAGAGTGTTCATATGGAAAATCATCCATTTGAGTTAAACTGAGACATAACCCTGGAGCCGAACTGTACATAAACATGCTCCACTGTAATTATCACTTCATTTCTTTCTGCTAAATACTTGTTAAAGAGAGTGCATTCTGCGGAGGTTGCATTTTACTGTGTGCACAGCCTTTCATTCCTCTTTTCCTCATCAAGCAGCTGTATGGTATCTGAGCCTGAACCCTGTATGACTCAGGCTGGATCAGAGAGGTGAATAACTGCATGTCAAATATTCAAGCATTCAAATATCCTAGCCACATGTTGGGAAAAGGGCAGCATGTAAACATCAGGTCTAACGACTAACAAACCTCAAACACATCAGAGTTTTTCTTATCTATGGATTAAAGGCACTAAGTGTACATAAGATGTGGTTTAATTATTACTTTCTCAAACAGGGTATTCATGTCAACATGTGATAAATGTCTGCAGATATTAACCTTTTGTATTCCCCGAAAGAGAAATGTAAATAGAGTTTACGAGAGATTAAGATGTGAATACACACAAGCTGTTTGGTTGCTATGGGAGAATGCATTTTCTGCATAATCAGCCTTCCTTTCTGAATCTGACACAGAAACTGTTCTCAAGTTTGAGGCCTCAAGCTTTCAGTTTTAATCTAAAATGAACTTTTCACAGCTTCACAAGAGCTGGATGAGCCTTGAAAATACAAAATAAATTCATATTCATTAAATAAAGGCAGCTATAGTAACTCATTTCCAAACAAGGCTGATAACCATCACGCACACTACACCTCTCACTTAAAGACAGAGGCTCTAGCTTCATTCTATTCACAGGCTTTTACAGGCAGTTATCACCGCACTGGAAACCTGAAACTTCAACAAAGGTGAGATGAAAAGAGAGAGGCGCTCAGTGATAACAGCCAGCCAGCTGAGACGAGGAGCAGCAGATTAATTCACCTAGTGGGGTGAAAACTGAACAACACCAGAGCAGACAGTCTGAAGCAGAGGAACAATAAGACGGAGCTGATGGAGCAAACCTGGTCCATCATCTTCCTCCCTCGTGAGGTTCATCACTGTGTTTGATGGTTGCATAGCACCAAGTCACTGTCCCAGGATGGTTTCAGAACCAGAGGGATCCATTATTAGATCTGACTATAGAAATATCACAGTAAGTCAGGGGGGTTCATACCACAGTATGCTGTTTTATTGCACTGGTCTGTTTATTGGCTAACTGGTGTTGATTTGAAAAATGATTATCAATGCTTCTGTTTTAGTTTTCATCAACATTATCATGTTACCTCACTGCAGAAACACAGCACTTTGGCTGCACAGTATCTACACTGAAGTGGGAAGTATGTCAGTCACCAAGGACTTGAGTACAAAAACAGGCTCTAAGACCCTTTTGGGAACTAAAAGAGTTAACCTTCATGAGCCAAACATCATAAGATTAGAAACTGTTCGAAAAACACAAGAAAATTCAGCTCCTGTCCTAGAAAAAAGGTAACAAGGTGACCCCCATACCGGCGGGGGAGGATTAACTGTTGTGGACACCCAAACCACGTGTGCACACTTATCAGCATTAGTTTTTCACAAGTTAGGAAAAGTTTACGGAAAATATCATCACACTATCGACTCTGCTGCTTTGAAAAGTAAACATGGAAACAGCAATGAAAACAAAGTATTTTTTTTGTAATTCACAGGATGTTTACGGTTTGATTACACTGACAAATGAAACAGACAGGAAATGCTTAGACAGCTCCACAGCCAAACATGTCTAGAAACAACACTGGTAATGCCTGAGCAAAGAAGCATTTCTACCTAGATCTGAACGCTAGATATTGCAAAATATTCAATTTCTAGACACAAGTAATGTGATACACTACGTGAGATTTCAAAAGATGGTTTCGCAAAAAAACAAACGCCGGGTTCACAGGAAAAAAAGCAACCTCTGTGAAAAAAAAGAAAAAAAAAAGAAATGAAAGTACTATCCTGGGACTGTTTACCAAACTAACATTCAATCTTCCATTCTTGCTTGTCATGTTTAATCAGTCTGCTTACAAAACATCTGGCTGTCCTTTTTGTCTGCATGGGGAAAAGAGAGAAACAGAGCAAGAGACAAAAAGAGAGAGAGAGACAGAAAGAGACAGAAAGAGAGAGACAGAGGTGTGCTAAATCCAGAAGGAGGATAGCAGACTGTGATCTCTGGTTTGAGAGTACTGTAAAGGTAAATTACAGGTATTAAATGAATGAATTTGAACTTCCAAGTTAAAGTTCATGTTTCTTGAATCTTAGTTGACACTGAATAACAGTTTAAGTCGGACCAACAATTTGGGCAGAGTGCAATACTCCAACACACTGTCCAAACTGTTTATATATGCTGAGCTTTTCTATGACTCATACTCATATACAAGACTTTATCCTCTCCATCCCTGCTCCTCTTCGTCTCTCTTCTTTTTTTTGTTGACACAAATTAACTGTCGAAAATGTCAAAAAACACCCTGTGAGCTTCTCATTTTTAGAGCTTTTATTTTATATGTTACATGAAAGAGCTCTTCAGTATCTCACGGGGACATAACCCAAATATCCTCATACACAGCTATCTCCTCACAGAATGATGTATATCTGTTCTATACATGAGTGGGAGTTGTACAGGATAATTGACTAAAACAGCATTAGTGGTAAAGCCAACGGCAGCAAGTGGCGCCGGGTCAGAAACCATCCAGTGGACCATGGAGACGCTGAAAACATCTAGACACAACTTTGACTCATGCAAACGAGAAAAAACAAATATTTAGGAGACATGTTAAACTGTGACACTGAAATATAAAAATGCAAAGTGTTATGATCAGTATTATTGGAATATTAAGGCAATATGACAAGCTTCCAACTCTTACTGCACACTGACACTGTTTTTGATTTCCTGACCTGATATCTTTCACCTCAACAAGAGGTTTGAATGTTCAGTCAAACAAATAATAAAATGCATGAGATTTACTGCTCTGTTAAATAAGTTACAGTTATGTTTTAACACTGTCATGTTATAATGCTCAACTAGCATCTAAACAAGCAAATACAACAGACAACACTTCATATTTTGATATAAACAGTGAGCATTAAGTTGCAGAGAAGACTAAAGGTAGAGATACTCATCCTATGTTTAGCTGTGTTGAATAAATTGACTTTTTTGTTTTTATAAGCACTTGTGGGTTGGTAGCACCTTAAATCCTTCTGTTAAAAAAATCTGTGAGTACTAATCTCAGCATTACATCCCTAGTCCAGTCCATGGGGAACCAAAAGCTGATATAATATCCTTATCAAAAGCTGGGGGACTGAGTTTAGCCTGCTAAAGGATCAAACGTCGTCACTCTCACCACTCAGCACCAGAATTATCAGTCAGTTAAAATGGCGTTAACACTTTATTTTACACTGGCCTAAAATGCCAATCATATGTTGTTTCTAAGCTCCAGTATAGCCGCCTATAGCTCTAGACTTATAGCTCTAGAAATTTTCTTTGGTCAGATATATTTGATTGAGCCCAGAACAGACAGCAGCACAGGACTGGATCTGTAATGCTAATTTTAACCACCGAAACGTCCATTTAACAAAACAAAAAAATCATATATTGATTAAATACTGATTAAATAGTTCCTTGCCTGCCCTGCAGCATGTCAGCCATGATTTAAAAGTGAAAATAATGCAGCTGGTGTGAGGCTGACAGACTTGTCTTGTTTGTTAGTGTATTTAGAGATCTGAAAAAATGCTTTGCAGCCGGCTGTCCATCTGTTCTCTGTTACAGAAAAGCTGTGTGGTAGTATGAATGAAGTACCCACAGCAGCAAAGACTGCAGGAGGACAGGAATCGCTGCTGGCCATGTTTGCTGCACTCACCCTTGGAAAACACTAGTAAAGTGATTCATGGATCTGTGTTCCTCATGGTTTTCTGGAAGCTGCTGAATTCCTTAAATGCGGATTATAGGATCGACATTCCTGTCTGTCTGTAGTGGACTAAAGCTTATGAATTGGAGGGAGTTTTTCTGTCATACTTGGAAATTAAAACTATTAACATGCAGAACACACAGGAAGTGAGTGTGGGAATGATAAATCACAGAGCTGCCCCCTGTACAATATGGATGTCATTAAAGAACTGTGTTGATGTCTTCTCCTGCTAATCTAAAATAGATTTGAGCAGCAAGTGGGACTCTTGCCATTTTAAGATTACCTAGATTATATACAGCAGCACTTTTTTAGCGACATTTCCTCACATGCAGGGTCGTTAGAGCCTGCTCTCTGAAGCGCTGATGAGGCAATTTCACAATTCTCAATTCCTGATTTTATGCTGGGTCAGCACTCCAGAAAACAGGCCATACGTTAGGGGATTTTCTGTAAACATGCTGGTGCAGTGTTCCAATTATTTGAAAGGGGATAACCTTTGGTTATCGGGGTTATCGGGGGTTTCAAAATTTGATCCCGCAAATGAGCGCTGTCTTTGGTGTAAACATGGTAAAAGCTCTCTTTGCTCATGGTGACATTGATATTGCTTCAGTATCTTCTTCCAATCTCAACAAGAAAATCCAACCTGCACAATTAATCCACACAGAATCAAAACACAGCACCAGGACGCAAACAACAGAATCCCAAAAGCTTAAGAGCCCCGTATCAATACTTATGACCAGTAGGCCAGGAAGATGTGCAATAGTGTAAAGTGATAAATGTGATTGGAGGAGAAAGAAACACTAAAAGGGGCTGCTAAAGAGGCACAGGGACAAAGACCAACAGGGTAAGACAAGAAGGTCTAAACCAGAGCTGCTTCATTATGACAAAAATTTCAATCATGATTGTTTTGATTGATACTGATATCATGATAAGTCTTGCTTTTACATGACGTCAGGACCAAGACTAAATCTAAAGCAGCTGTCAAATTTAGTAATGCCTTGATCTTGTGTTGTTTATTAAAGTTGAGAAGAAAAGGTCTGGGTGTTGACTGGACTGGGATAAGTAATCAATAATAAATGGATAAACAAATGAAAGTGTAGAAAGAGTGAGACATTTCACTTATGAAGAAAATCTGGGAGCACAGAAGAGGTGTCTGAGTCATGAAGCTAAAAGCAGAGAGAAAGGATGGCTGGTTTCCTGCATGATATAGTCATTACTAGTGTTACTATCTTTCTCCTACAGTCAGGAAGGCTTTGACCTTATAGCTATTGTAATTCTCAGCATTTCATTATTCAAGTAACACACCCTAACAAGTCCACACACACTCCTGGGAACGTAGTTTTCTTTGAAAATCTCACATGTCATCTTGTCTCTTCAACTACAAACAACTTCCTCTTCCTCAGATTTCAGTTTCCATTCATCCAAGCTCCACCCTGCAGTGCCCAACCTGACTAATGAAGACACAAACTATCCCAGACTTACGCAACACCTCATTTCTTCTGCTCTCCCTGACGACACAGTGCATTTGAGGTAAACTCTGCTCCTCCTGCATGCCTGTGCTTACCCTCCACACACTGATGCAACACAAGCTGCTGCTACCGCCGCTGACAGGCTCGACTGCTGCTTTGAAATGTTGCCATGAAACAGGCTGGAGTTCAGGCTGGTGATATGTGTCAGACATTTTACTGCCTCTGCTTTACCTTTCATAGGTGTATACTCCATATGAAAAAGTTTTGTTTTTTTGGCTCCATAAATGGGCTTTTTTGGACTCAGTGTACGTGGTTTCCACTGCTAGCTTCAAGGGGGCATCTGGGGAGTTGCAGCTTTTAGCACTTGAGCATCGGCTTCATTTCTCCAGACAGAGGGCTGCTGCTTGGATGTTCTTCCTAACTTGTGAGATATCTGAATTATACCCGAAGCTGAATGATGATTTCAGACTATGATTAACAAAACCACTGAATGCTCAGGGATTTTGGTAAGACACCAATTCTCAGTAATCAGCCATTCATATGGGTAAATGCCTAAATCTTGTGTGTGCAAAAATGTTAAAGAATTTAATGCAGATGTAACAGAATTATTTTGATATGAAAAGCATATGTCTAACACTGTGACGTGGTAAAATATATGTAGATACTAACTAAAAACATACAGATTATATAAGGAAAGCATACCTTTCAATGAACTTTCTTTATATCTAACATAGATATATAATGTGCCATGAGGCATACTTAATTCTTAGAAGTATGCTGTATGAAGAAAAATACAAAGGTGGCATCATGAGTAAATCTGAGACATATGAGCCTTACAGTACATACAACACATATAAAATACAAATGTTTAACACGCAGGTAGTGAATGATTCTATATGTTTTGTTTTTGTTTTTTCTATTTCTTTTCCATATTCGCAGTTGATATGCAGACATGGTGAAAACATCACTTTGTTTTTTCATCATTGCAGTCCAAATCTGAATGTTGACAGCATATTTGATAAAACATGGTGCAACACACAGTCTCAGGGAGGTCTGCCATTATTTCTGAAGCAGAGTTTTGAAGTCTATTGATGTCAGATGTTATATTGGAAATGCTGACCCCAACTAACTTCTAGTCAACGTGACAGCAGGCACAGAGCCTCATTATCTCCAAAATGAATTGGTATACACAGTGTGTGCAAACAGAGAGGTATGCGATTCAATTGCATGTGATTTTTGTACCATGCTGTAACTATGATGGTGAGTGGATACAGTCTTCAGCACCTCAAGAAGACACTCAAGGAACTGCAGGCTTACAACACCTCTACATCAGCTTCATTTGTCAAGACTTGAGGTGACTGATGGTTTGAAGAAGGGATGCAACAATACAGTGAAGCCAATGTGCAACACATATGATGACTTTTTTGGTTTTCAGTTTTTTTTTTTTGTTTTTTTTTGTGCTAATGGCCCAGGCTCTTAATCAGAGTTGTTGAACTGCATTGTTTTTGCGATGCATTAGATCAAATCAATCTAAGGTCACTGAAAACATTAAAAAACATTAAATTACTGAATTAACTTTAAAAACTTTCTGCTTTAGGTATTCTTTGATTGGAATGAATTTCCCTCATCATTATTAATATTTTACAGCAGCAGAGGCTAATTGGCTTTTTGTGTATCTGCTTACTTATGTTCTGGGGCAAACACGCATCTAGTAAATCTGTGATTTGATCTTCGATTGATTGCAAATTAAACCCTTTGTGAGGGCTTAGTGTTAAACCTAACTCGCTCTAATCATGCACTGTTTAGCACTGGGGGATTACAACTGCCACCAGTTCGTTTGAAGTGGACGTAAACAGCAGCATGGTTTATGTGTCCCTGGGCGACCTCTTTAATTGGCCAGCCCTGCTGTAATTTTCAGAAAGAAAGAAATCAGGTGCGCAGACTTAACCCTTTTTAGACAACAAGTTCAGTGACATGTGAGTGTGTGACGTAGAAGGATTTATTCATGACAGAGTGAGCCTAAGACACAAACAATAAAGACGCACAGTGAATCAGGCTGGGAGGTTGTTGGCCAAGTAATGGAAATATATTAATATTAGTTACCATTCTGAATATACACATTTAACTGACAAAAAAAACAACTGATAAAAGTTGTTTGCCTTTTTTTATTCACATCAGGACACCATGACTCAGCATTACCACTTGCCCGCTGACCTCGATGCATAATTGACAGATTGCAGGCCAGCTGATAGAACATCATTTCCCATACTTTCACACTGTTTTCCAGTGGTACTGATGGATGGTCATGGCCGAAATATACAGAGAAATGATAAGACGAGGGCTATATTGGCTTTGCATCAGCTAAATTTTTGTCACAAGCTGCATTTGCTCCATTCATTAGGCAAATCTAGCACAAAAGGACAGGCTGCACAGTAATTGATCTGTCTCAATCATCACATTCTATAATTGCAGGGACCAAAGAAAAAAATATAACTAAACATGAAATCAGGTCATTACATGCATTTACACAACTTAAAACCTCTTCAAACTAGGGCTGCACGATTTTAGCCACAAATAAAATCCCGAGTTTTTTTTCTCTGAAAACTCAATTTTAGATTTTGATGTTTTATTCAGTGACAACTTCACCAAACTTCACTTAAATACGTTTTTCGATCATCTCTCAAAACGAAACCACTGAAAGCGATGTAGTGCATATGCAAAGCCAGTAAGTGGTGCTGTAACGATGAACAGGAAATGCACAAAAGACAGAAGAAGAGTACAGAGCATGCGAATAAAGGTTGTTTTGGATGGACACGTGCAGGTGCCAAAAAAAGCGTTACGCTGTGTGTCACATGATCATTCCAGGAGAGATGCAGACAGGCATCCACACGGAGATGAAATGGTAGTTGTTTACGGATTTATGCACTCTCGTACCCATTTTCAAAAACTACCGTTTACAGTCACCCAAAACACTGTTTCTGTGTGGATGAAATGCCGATATGACAAAAAAAAAATTTAATCCTGAATTTGTTTCCGTGTGAACAGGTTGAAACCGCCTCCAGACAGACTTTGCAGCGGGAGTGGTTTGCTCTTCATCTGAAACTGCGAAGCCGTACCAATTCCACACAACTGATTGCTCTTGCCTCATTTAGCCATAAAACTATTGCCTTCTTTTGCAAACACCATGTTTGTTTACACTGGTGTGTGTGGGAACTGGGGAGTGCTTCCGCAGGAAGGGGGAGCCTACGATGGCCTGGAGGTGTGAGACATGATAGAGAGGAAAACTGATTTGACAATTTTAATTTTTTTAACATCTTCATAATCAAATAATCTGATTTTGATTTAAAATCGATTAATCGTGCAGCCCTACTTCAAACCTTATAAAAATGTTTAATATTTGGGGTCATGTGACCATGGAATGTAAACATGCACATGACGCTGCTGCCTATATAGTTCAAACTTGGACAAAAATTGGATTAACAGAGATGGATTTTAAGACAGAGTTTGCCGGTCTCAGTGCTCCTTACCATTATGTGCACACATATTGAACACGAGTGTGACCACAAAGTTTACCTTCAGATTGTACACCTATAGCATGCAGGCATGAGAGCTGCTGTCAGAGGTCTGGGCACAGTCAGGGTAAAAACAGGAGGGGGATTTTACTTTAGAGCAGGTCACAGACCCAAAGAGTACAAATAACATAAAAGCTCTTTTTGTGTTTTGATATTAGCATATGATATATTTTCTCTTTATCACCTAAAGTGAACAGCAATGATTTACAACATTAACACTTCCCCAAAAGACTTCCTTAAAGTCAGACTGAGAAAAACATGACATCAGCTATGACCTCTCAACATCTGAAATATGTTCAGTCATCAGGGGGTTTCTGCTGTGTTTCATGGTTGAAAGAATACACAACACGGAACTGCAACAGCCAAATGTAAGTTCAGTGCCAATCTGAGACCGAACCCACATGAGAGTTTTATACACAATAAAAAAACGACTGAGCATGATCGTAATTAACTACAACAGCACAACATCATCTAGGTAAGGTGTGGGGGAAGCGCTGAGGAACAAGACACTGGGTGTGAGGCATAGACAGAAAGCCGACAATAAAAGTCAACATTTGGCAATGACTTTGCAGGATTTGAGAAGAGCTGAACTTTTTAATGTAACCTAAAAGTCTATCTGGTCAGTTTGGATTTTATGTGGGACCTAATTATTTCACAATTTTAACATTTTATATTGGTTTAAACCTTTTGTACTGGTGTTACCATTGTTTCATTGTAAGGAGTGTGATATTATCTGCACAATAACAGGATCAGTAGATAACAGCTCAAAAAGGTCATTAGTATCAGCCGACATGAACGTCTCTACCAATATATATATATATATACAGCAGTTACCTTACTGCATAATTTATGCACAGACCATGACAGCTCACGCACTCCTACAAGCTTCAACAGGTTGGCCATATGGAAGCTTTTTAAAGAGTCTGAAACAGACAGCAGACGCATGACTAAATGTCTATGCTGGTTTTTCTAACAGTTTTTTAGTTGTACCTTTAATTTACTACTCATTTACTTGACAGCTATTTGAGTGCTTTTATCTCTCCTCAATTCCAGCCTTTCATTATTTTTTATTTTATTTTTTTTTGTGTGTGTGTGTGTGTGTGTGTGTGTGTGTTGTTTTTTTTTGTACTTGAACTTACCTCTACATTTCCTTTCACTGTTTTAACAATGACTACCCGTTACATTAGGAACACCTCTTCAATCCAATCCAGCTGCTCTACCACAAAAACTACTTTCAGGAAAGTTATAAATTCTCTGTTTTTGTTCAAACGATCCAACGGGAGTTTACTGCAGTTTATGTTTAGTATCAAAGACAAAGTGTACTGGAGCGTGTTGTTGTGAAAGGTGTTCCTTATATTTTGTCCTCTTCATTTACAAATAAAAGGGGAGCAAAATACTAAGAACACCTTTCAATATGACACAATCAAGCACACCAAAACTTCACAACAGCTTTAGCAATTCATTTAAAGCTCCTGTGAGGAACATTACGTTTTTCATTCATCTTTGGCGCCCCCTTTGGACAACGGAGTCTTTGCTGTTCTTGTCCTCTACTTGCTTAAAGCTCCAGTGAGGAGTTCTTAAAATAAAAAGGGGTACATCTTTTGATGTTTTGAAGCAAATGAGACCATAGATGATTAGATCTACAATTTCAACATCGATATTTTTTGTCAATTTACACATAGTAAAAGTGTTACCACTTTGCCCAAAAAGGGTGCCACAGTCAATAGAGCTTTAAGTTATGTCTTATGACTAAAATATCTCATTCTACTGACTTCTGGAAATCAAGTGAATAATTTTTGAGAATACTTAATGTATAAAAGTAAAACAAGGCTCCATCCTTAGAAGCTCTATTAATACCGTCCCCCCCCCCCCCCAAAAAAAAAAAAAAAAAAAAAACACTTTCAAAGAATTAAATAATAGTACTTACATCATTAATCTTGTTGCATATGGTTTTGTTAGCTTTTGTACATCATAAAAAGACATCATTATGAACTATTTCATGAACATTAACTCCACACAGGAGCTTTGTGATCAGTGAGCAGTTATGATCTGTCTGACTATATCAACAAAACTTGTAAATTTTGAAGCATGTTGAAGTGGAATTTATGGTCATTAGGATGCATTAGATTTCCAAGTGTACCTGATTTTTTTGCAGTTAAGTGTAAATGTTATTTCTTATTTTAAATATGTACCATGTTTTTGACATTATTTTGTACTTTCTTCTTTCACTTGCTGGAGAAAACTTTGAATCGCAATTGACTAGCATGAAAGGTGCTATACAGCCTACATAAGGCTTAATTGATCGGTAATATTCCTATTTGGACAAACATTATGTCTTTGATACTAATAAGTGGTAGCATTTCTGCTAGTAAGGCGTGTCTGAACAGTTAACTTGGTTTTCACTTTAGTTTTCTGTATTGATTGGCCACCGTGTAAACAACTCTTGCTACCTACGTGATATTACTTCCACAAAGACAACTTCTCAGTAGGACCTGATGTGTTTGTCAGGCTGTCTAATGTTAGATAGTCCAGACTCTGGGGGACGCTGCTGCTGTTTACTGACGATAAGTCAAGTTTCTGTACCGTAAGTGTCGAAGGAGCAGCCTGTAATAAACACAACAATCACTTTTATCCGCCTTAAGAGCCCCATAAAGGTGTGATTTTCTTCGAGGAAAGAGCAGCACAATGTACGACTTCTTAATACAGCACACGAAGGCACGTCATTCAACACGACATTAATTGGGAGCTTGTTAACACAGTAAATGCTATTAAGTGGGTTATTTATAGTTGGTCGTGGCCGTTTATGTGCTCCTAAACGGCTGCCCGGAAAGGAAAACAGCTAATGACATAACATTGTACAACCTTGTGAGAAGTATACACACAGCCATGGAGTTACAGTATCTTGTGACATACACGGACATTCATGGCAAACCGCCGGGGTGAGTGACATGTACTCACCCAGAAGGGACGCTCAGGTCCGCACAGTCTCTCCATCTCCGTCGCGGCGGGAGACCGGGAGCCACCGGAGAGCTCTTTATCTCCTCTACAGGTCTCTCGCCGACCTGCTTTCCAATTCCTTAGCTTACAAAGCCGCCCGCTGACTGTCACATGCCACAAAGGCAGGTATGTCTTGTCTTCTGTGTCCCCCCCACCGACAGCGTGGACGGACCCGCGTCAGTTAGCGCTCAGCTTCTTCCGCTCTGCCAACAGCCGAGAGACGGGAAAGAAAAGTCATACGGAATCAGCGCAGAATCATTTCTGCAGGAGGCTGTCGTGATGGCAGGGTGGGGCGGGGCGTCTGCTCTTCTAAGTCCCGCCCCCTCACTGTGTTTCCTCCCAGCACACACGCGCATCAGACCTTCACATTTAAGCATACTTAACATGACTCAACAACATTCAGGCATGGTTTATTGCTGAGTCACGGTGGAAGGGTGAAACGTAATGGAAAATTGACAATTTATTTTGATTTTAGAACAACAACAAAAAATCTTATTCTTGAGCCGAATTTCTAAGATAGAAATTTGTGATTTATTTCTCACACATCTATCATTTGGATTCATGTCCAATTTCTTTGGAAAAAGTAAAAATTCCTATTTTTCACCAAATTTTTAAACATCAGAATTCATAAATTAAAGTCGAAATTCACAGGGACAAAAATCCAGTGCCCTGTGTTCAAAGATGTTTCCAGGAAAAAAGTTAGGATTCTGACTACTGTCTCTGAGATGAAAAGTTGAAAATAATATGTAAACTCAAAACTACTTGAGGAAAATTACGTATAAAAATGTGGGGTAAAAAGTGAAACAGGTGAGATTTGGATTTAAAATTATTAGATAAGACCTCAAAAATGTACTGAAGTGTAAACAAATTTGTTTTTCATGATGATAACCTCAGAATTATAGTCAATTATATGGATACATTTACTGTGGTTTTCAAAGATAACTCAATAATTATCTTTGAATTACCTGAAATGCTTGTAAATTGAACATTTTTGCCCTGATTTTCTCAAATTAGTGAGATAATTATTTGGGTAAAAATAGGAGAAAAAACACATTTTTAAAATGTCTGTTTCTCTGACTGACACAACAAGAAATATTTCCAGTTAATTCAGAAAAAAAAAGCAGAAAGTGTTAATGTACTAAACTTTCCTTGTAATTCTGAGATAACTATTTCATAGTTTAGAGAAAGAGAGCAAGCTTTTTTTTTTCTCAATTTAATGTAATACACTTCCAGATATATATGAGAATCACTCATTATTATGAAACTTTAGGGAAAAGTTTGTGAGATGAAAAGTTGAGTGTTATGTACTAGAGGGTCTAATAATGAGAAAAATTACATTTATGAGATGACAAAACTAAATAGATAGATAAAAGGTCAAAATTATACATTAAAATGTCAAAAAATGAGATTAAATTTACAACAAATTAGAAAATAAAGACTTAACTTAACTAATTCAAAATAATAGAACAAAAGTGAAATCATGAGATTCGAAGTCAGAGTTTTAAGATTTAAAGTAAAAATTAAAAGTTACACAGTCTTTTCTGTGAAAAAGATTATCAACATTATCAATCTGAAAATAATAGAGAACAGGATGAAATTATTAGATTAAAATGATTATAAGAAATGAGAAGTCAAAACCATGGAGAAATACAAAATTGTGACTTGATCTTTGATCTTGATTTCACTTTTAAGAATATAGTTCTGACTTACTTCTCATGTCTTTGACTTGTTATCTTATTATTTGGATTTTTACCAGAAAATCTAGTTACTCTTTAATTATAACTTAAACCTTTTTATATTATTGACTGTGTATCTCAGAAATTTGACTTTGTATCCCACAAAAAATACTGTATACTTAATGGTCAGGATCAGTGGTGTTTCTGCTGTCAGTAAGGGACCACACATATCATACTACACTCACACTGTGCACTGCAAAGATGGTATATGCAAGGACAGAGTCTTCTGCCACTGCCCTCCAGATTGTCTCCATCAATATTTGAAATCCACTTTTGACTCATCTGTGCTCCCTGATCTGGCTCATGCTGGTTTGATCACGTCATTGATTGTTCCAGTTTTGAATCATGGTGAATATAAACTGTGACACTTGTGGTTTCTACTTAGTAATGCAGCAGACTGCAGAATGTCTCTAAATGTGGTTTCCTTGGAGAGTCTAGTCAGGGTTTTGCTGAAAGAGTGAATGAGGTCTCCAGTGTAAGTCTGACTGGGTGGTTTTGCTGAAAGAGGGATCAAGTTGACTTGTCCTCAAAGGCTACCATCACCCAACACTGTGTAAGGGAGCGCTTCCATCCAGAATCTGACCATGGAAAATTACTAAATATTCCCATTTCTGCACCATGCCCTCAAAGCAGCTTCAGATCAATAATTCTCAGTCCTAAAGTGTCAGATTTTTTTGTCATTGGGAGCAGAATATTTACTTTGCACTGAATCACAAGCCCCTGCAACAAGAGAAGCATCCGTCTCATCATGACCTCAGCTGATCTTTCACCCTAAATTAAGTACCTCCTGAGGTTAGCATTCTTAAATTGGATCACTCGTTGCCAAACCAAAAATAAGTATTTTCAGCAAAAACAGAACTGTGGCTTCAAGAAGCCAGAGGCTATCTTAACCTCATTTCACTTTAGAGAGAAAGGGTTTGTGAGGGAGACTTCAAAAAACCCACATCATGTGACCTGTTTCCTCAGCAGAGCTGGCCTCCCTGCCCGAGTTCACTACCCTGTGGTTACCAACTCCTTTTTTATGTTTTTAATTAGCCAAATGTCCCATGTTCCCTCTATTCTTCCACTCAGCAGTCTGATTACATGACCAGTGTATGCATTTACCTTGAGTAATGACCTCTGGGTGATTGTGGCATCCACACCCTGAGTGAATTTTATCCATCAAAGAATTGATATGTGCCATTACAGTTCAGATAAGGCACAAAAATGCAATCCATGATGGTTAGGAAGTAAGCTGGCTTTCCTTCTTCAGTGTTGTACAAACCTCTGTACTATGAATAAGTCTTTTCATCAGCTCTCCAGTGCATTGAACAGCTTGAGATATCCTTCATGTGCAGATACACCTGTTAATATGCTCTTCTAAAATGGGTTACACAGACATTATACTGACAAAAAGGAAATTTATGACATTAGGCAGGTGTGCCCTTTTATCATGCACAAAACATACTCATCACAACTAATCATTGAAGTCCCCATAGGAAATATTTCTATAGTTTAAATGGCACGTGCAATTTATCTTGCATGTACAAGAAAATAACCCTCAAGACATCTTCTAATACCACAGTTTGGAAAGTTTAATAGCTGGTTGCTGTTACCTTCAGTTATGTATTGCTATCCCAGCAGGTGATCATCCACACATGGCTCACCTCTGGTAAAAACAAAACAATCAAAATGAGAGTTGTGTTATTTGGGGTCCTGCTGATGAGTTTTCCTAAAATATCAGACTCAGAGAAACAGAAAGAAACCGTAGGAAGGTCACAGAGCTGCTGAAAGAGGAGAGATGATGGTGTCCCCAGCAGATTCAGGATAACCGAAGGTTGCCCAGGCCTGAGGGTGCCCCCCCCCCCCCCCATCTCTGTTTGCGTAGACACCCCAAAATCCCAAACCATGATTGTCTATTTGCCTTTTCACCAGCATTTAGTTCATAAAATATTTAAATGTATGTTTCCATAATTGCCATAAAATCATGTTTGACTTGTATTAAGTATGGCTGCTGCACTTCAAGGCATGAGACTCACCTCAAAGTAACTCCAAAGTGACTTGGTATCCTCATATATTTCCCATATATTTTGAGGTGTGACACTGTGGCAGATCTGGATAACTTATTCAGTGTGTATGTAAAATCTGAAATAGCTGGAGGGAAGCTCTGCTCAGTATTTATCCTGATATAAAGCTGCTCAAAATAGGAATTTATGCTCTAGATTCTGGCAAGAATTGAAATATTTCTCTTCAAACGGTTTCAGATGAAGTGTCTACCAGCTGCTCTGAGCTCCATTTTATTACAGTGACGAAAAGAAGATGCAGGAGACAGCAGACATGTCCACCTATTCTACATGTTTCTTGTTAAATAAAACCAAGTACAGATGAAAATATAATCTAGAATAACACAGAAAGTACTGGATGCATAACAAAGTCAGACATCCTCTGTTTACATACTACAGTGATGTGCAGAGAGAGCATGCAGAGAGCAGCAGCAGCTCCAGGGTTGTTACAAAGATCAGCTCCTCTGTACTGTTGCTCTGGTGTCTCTCATTTTTCAATGGATGATACTCCAGAGATCCTCTATGGGGGTCAGGTCAGATTAGCTGGTCAGCAAATCAAGTACAGTAACACCATGTTTAGCAAACCAGTTTCTGGTAGTTTTGGTGCCGTGGGCAGGTGCTAAGTCCTGCTGGAAAAGAAAATCTGTATCTCTATAAATCTTTTCAGCAGATGAGACATGCAGGTCTCTAAAATCTCCTGGTAGACTTTAGGCTGAGCTGACTCTGGACTTGATAAAACACAGTAGACCAACAGCAGCAGATGACCTGACACCCCAAATCATCACAGACTGTGGAAACTTCGCGCTAAACTTCAAGCACCTTGGATTCTGGGCCTCTGATTTTCAAATGAGATGTTAAACTGACTTTCATCTGAACACAGGACTTCCTGGATTCATCTGTGTGAAGAGGTTCTTGGTGCTTTTCTTACTCCAGCCTCCATGCAGTCCTTGTGAAAGTCCTCTAAGTTCTTGAATCTGCTTTGTTTGATGATCCTCTCAAGGCTGCTCTCATTCCTGTTTTTTGTCTCCTTTTCCTCCTTTCAGTTGACTTTCATGAATTTGCTTCATACAAACTCTGTGAACAGCCAGACTTTTCAGCAGGGACCCTCTGTGGCTGATCCTTCTTGTGGAGGGGGTCAGTGAGGGTCTTACTGACATCACAAGTGTGTTTAGATAAAATAGGCTTCAGGTCACCTGGTGTCATGCTGATCAGTTGCCTTCATGCATGGTTGAGAGAGGTGCAGGTGTAAATACAGTATTGTAAACGATCTAAATAATGGTCATGTGTGTTCTATGCAACAGAGGCCCTGCCCCCTGCAGCAACATGCACAGTAGGACAGAAAGAGAACAAAGAAGGGAGGGGCACATAAAACCCACAACAAAACTAAAATAGAGTTATTTCCAACATAACAGAACCATGTATCAAGTCCATGCTGCTCAACATCTCTGTATGAGAGAGTTGCTGCCCACCGCAGCCATGTCTCTCTTGTTTTTGCTGTGCCACTGAAGTTTCTTCTGTCTGAGATAAAGTTTTGTTTGATTCTGAGCTTTAAAGTTCTCAGTAATCTCTAGTCTGTGATTGTGGTCTATGTGATAGACAGATATAAGAAAAACAAAGATAAATACCAAGATTACCCTCTTTCCTGTATGAAAGTCAGCTCAGCTTATCGAAGATTGAGCTGAGCTGAAAACAAAGTGTTGAGTGCAGCGCATGACTTTGCTTCTGTGATGTGTTGTATCTATAGTGATGCATGTATTGGATATATAGATATTCAAAGCATAAATGAAACAAAAGCTATTTGGCAAAAAAATGTAATACTGTAATACATATTTCATGTGATAGCATTTAAAAAGTATTTCAACAGAAAATTTGCCCTACTAAGGAGCAAGACTGGGATGCATGGATGCAACTTCAGAGAAATACTACCAGTTCAACTAACAATCCATGCAGGGCTGAAGAAAACATAACTTTAGGGAACTGAGATACAAGGAGAGATAAGTTAAAAACAAGCCAAAATTAAGATTAATGCATGCAACTATGTAACTCTTTGGTTTGAGGCTCCATAGTGCACACATGCTGACTGAATCTACTTGTGAGTGAGCAGGAAAATACTGAGTACAGGGAAATCAGTCACTTACTTACTCTGCGTCTGCACATGCTTAAACCAGAGTCTGTTCATTACCGGCTGTAAAACTGCAGAGCAGAGAGATGTTGCCACACGCACCATACTTTGCAAAGATAACATGTAAATGTGGGGTTTGCATGTGAGGCTCTTCTTTCTGCTCCGGTGTGATTTTCAGATGTTCTTCTGACCTTTTGGCATCCTACAGATGCCACACTGACAGTGCTGTCCTGTAAGTCCCCTGGTGTCCTGCCACAGGAGTCACCACTCTGTCTCCACCAGAGGACCCGATTACCACATATATCAGCCCTTCTCCTCCCTTGCTATAGACTCTGAACCAATGTCAGTTGATTGAAATGACATGGTTAGCTGGATATCCTTTCTGGTGAGGTACAGGTTAATGAAATTAGCCATTCGGATTCATGGAAAGTGTGACTTTGGCATGGCATTGAGGGAGGCCCTGCAATGTGTTAGCTCTGCAGGAGCTGCCACAAGTCCTGAGCTGTCAGTGGTGTGACTTTGTACAAGTAAAGCCTATACAAAGAAGCCCCACCTTCTGGCCTGTAAGTCCAATTATCTCTCTCTATAGAGGCCAACAGGGATTTCCCTTCCACTCACTATATGGTGTTTGATTTATAGAGGGGAACCAGGGCTGCATTCAAGTGGGCTTTAACAAATCTGAAACTTTTTTTAAACCCTGAGTGAATGAGCTCCCTGCAGCAGTGAGGATGGTTTCATTAAAGATGCAGTTTTTAAAATCACAAATACTGTCTTTGCAATTAAACTTCATTGCTTTAGCTGAAACTGAGGAGGTGGTGGAAACTGTTGGGCAGTCTCACCTGGGTCAGGTCCCTCCAGGACTGATCACACCATCTAGTGGTCAACCAGGATTAACTGTGACACAAATACAGATGGCATTAGGCTCAGGATTATGTTTATTTTTGGCATTAGTGCAGAGATACGTTTTAGTTGTAGGAGCAGAGGAAGCCGATATCAATGTCAAGACAACAAGGTTTGACTTGGGATCATAATCTGATTTAGCATTAGCATTACAGCTCCACCAGGAAAAAAAAGCAGGTTCGAGCCATTGGTCCTGGTAATCAGAGGGAAACTGAACAACCAACTTCATTAACTGACTTTAAATCCATGTCAGCAGGTGAAGAATCTAGATTATATTATTTGATCAAAGTCTCAGTTTTGAGCCTCAGATAAGGGACATTATGACTGACCGGACATTATGACAGGACTGACCACTGTAACACCATAGAGACAGCTCATTACACCCATTCTTTCAAAAATCGTATTCATCTGAGTAGATTTCAGATAGTGAACCTGCGAGAGGTCTTCAGCTAGTGGTCTTTAGTGGTGCCAAAAGTTAGTTCAAAAACCCACAGTGATGATTTTTATGATCACAGCCCACATCTGCAGAACAGACTGAACACCTGAGGACAGCACAGGGTGTCTCTAAAATCCATCACCTTCCTTCTTAGTCCTTTGGCTTTGGTTTGACTTAAACTTAGTTTGGGGTTCTTATTCATCTCTTAACTTATCCACTTATTTGAGTTTTCTTTGTGTGTTTCTTTTTAAAGGATTTAATCTAACCTTAGTTTATTTGTGAATTTTTGTCTTTCCTTAGTCTATATACTAAAATTTTCAACTTTTAACGTCATTTCTAAATTATAAATTAATTCATTTATTTAGCCAACTTGTTTGTGTGTACAATGTTTTCAGTTTTAGTGTTATATTTTTATTACTATATTGTTTCATCATCTCAAGTTTATGTTTTTATATTTATCATTTGTAACTTTCATTTATACACATCATTTTCTCTTCAGTTTGAACATTCAAATCTTTCTTTAAGTGTTTATGTCATATACTGATCACAGTGTTTTATTAACTCCCTTTTGAGTGAGCTTTAGGTTTTAATGTTTAACTTTTTGGTTTAGTTTGTGTACAACCTTCTGTATAAATCATGGTTTGATTGTTTTATTAACTTTCTGTTTATGTAAGGTATTATGTAAGGTTTGCTGTACGAAATGTCTGACACAATCATATAGATAAAGTCTGATCTGAGCTATTTTATTAGTTTTTTATTGATGGATTGGGACTTAATCTAACTATGAGTAACTCTAGAGATAGACTCTGATGCAGTACTGGCATTGTTCTACCTGACAGTGAACTGATGATACCCACATATGGTTCTAAAATAAGATCTGCAAATTAAAATCTGGTTCATGAAGACATCATAAGTGTCTGTCTTCGATTATTATTACAGTTATTAACATTATTATTACTATTATTGATGTTGTTGTAGTTATTATTATTGTTGTTGTTGTTGCTGTTTTTTTTTATCATCATTTTAACCCATTAAGAAATAAAGTGCGGTCCTTATGACCCAGCTTGAACAGTGACAGTGGGCTGAGGCCTCTGAACTATCCCCTCCTTTAAATCACTGCCTGAACCCAGAACTTCTTCAACCTGTAAAAACCCCTTCCTCAGATCCAGGTTTCTGTTCAGTGATTTATCTTCCCTGCATGTTAACTTTGCTTTCATAATTAGGATCACAAAAGTTATTTGTTATATTGATGTTACTGTAATCAAAGATGATGCAATCAAGGTCTTTAGGCTTGATGCTCTCCAAACTGTGAGAGACCGTCATGGTAACAGTTTATTCAAAACAGGCATGACTTTCAGAATCACATAAACATAATAAACACATTGCATTTTTGTATCAACAAAAGCAGATCAAAACTTTTACAAAGAGAAGTAAAAACTTGTGCTGAGGTCTGTTGAGTCAAAGTTTGGTGTTCATTTTGGAAACCATGAGTAAAAGTGTCCTCCACTGAAAAGAGGTGAGAGACTGCCAGGTTTGTTTTCAGTAAACAAATCAAGAGTCAGCTTTAGATGTTGGAGTGTATTTATTGAATTTCTTATACGTGTGTGTGGGACTAGACTTGGTCAGGTTTATAGAAACATGACTATTGCCTCTTCACTACCACAACCGGTAAAAGTGTACTCTTATACTCACATCACTGCATAATTCTAAAAAACAAAACAAACTACAGGAGTGTCAAAATTGAGTTAAAACACTTGTTTGGATTCATGAGGAGCTGTCATTTGGAAATGTATTCAGAATGAGAGAGTTTTAAAAATCAGACCATTGGTAGGGTCATCTGTCCATGACCACATAACTCAGAAATCCTGCCTTCTCTGTTGTAATCTCTCTGTAGCCAGAAGGTGGAGTCCTAAGCGCATGTTTGTTCGGTACTTCAGCCCCTTTGGTTTGAGGCGCACTGGACCGCCTCTCTGCTTCTGACTTTAAACTCTCCAAATTCAGTCCAAATAGTTTCTCAGAAGAAGCTTCTACGGAAATAAAAGACCCAATGAAACGCCATCTTCCAGACTTTATTTTGAAAGTCTTTTTTTGTCGGGGGGCGGATCTGTGCGCTTGGCACCTCCAAGCACTTGCGTCGTCGCTGCACATCTGGAGAGCGGGTTCAGTCTGAATTTGAAACAAACTTCCCTCCGACAGCAACAACAGGAGCAATAAATTATGTTGAGGAAATATTTCGCGCGTCTCTGACCTTTACCTCATCCTACGTGTCAGTCTCCGGAAACATTGTTTGGTAAAGCTGTGACTGAAGCCTTCCTCGGTGGATGAGCAGCCCGGCTACAGCAGCCCCAACAGCTGGATGAAGTCTGGAAACATCTGCTGCGCCTGTTCCGGAGTGCGTAAAGATGAAGCAGCAGCTGGATGGCTCCGTGCCGCTTGTCCTGGTTGAAACATCCCGGGAATGATTGCGTGTTTATCACAGACTGAGGGGACACAATAACAGAAACCTTCTTTATTTACATGGAACTTAATGAAAACGCTTAAACAAAGCAGAACCAGGATACTCTTTCCGATCAGACAGGGATGAACCAGATGAAGCTTTCCTCTGAGGAGCTGCGCTCTCTCCCACCAAGACCTCCGACCTTACCTGTAGCTTCACCAAAGAGACGGTTTGTCAAGGTTGGAAGGAAGAGAAGTGATGGATCCCAACAGTGAGTATGAAAACTACCAGAAGCACAAATTAATTGTTAAAATAAAGATTTCTTTGGTCACTTTTTTCTCATTTTTGGATAATGTGCTGGTTTCTACTCTGAGAAATTCTTTGCCCTCTGCTAGTTTCAAAATCTCAGACTGTAAGTGAACTAGTCATAGCATCCTTCTGAGAGATGATTCAGCACTTAAAAAAAATGATGTTCAGTTTGAGCTTTTTCAGGCTACTAAAAGAACGGAACATTTATACTTTCTAACAGCTCTGTGACTTATGATATCCCAGTGCAAATAGTTCACTTCAAAGTAAAAGCATAATTTGACCATGCAGGATATTAAGCAATCTAAATGCAGGACAGAAAAAAATATCAAAATAAAAGCACGACAAGCAACCACTCTGTGATGCAATGTCTACTCCAAAGAAGTTTCAGTCTCAGGGCTGATGGTAAAACATACATTCATAATCATGAGAAATGGATGATGACATATAAGTTGATTGTATTCATGAAGTAATGTGATGTTCCTCTCTTGTCTGACCTTTCCTGAATTTGGCTGATTTTGTTTATCTTAAAGATTTCCATAACTGTTGTGATAATACTGGTAAATGGATACTTCATGGCCATGGTGACAGAAAGGTGAAAATCTGATATTGTGGTAGTGCTGTGACCAACAAAATAAAACAGTCACGTAGCAGTGACAGTCACCATACTTGAATCACGTAATGTCTATGATAAACATCTATCTGAATCACTTAAATGCAGCTCCTCATTTAAAGTGCAAAGTGCAACACTGCTACCATCCCAAATAACCAGAAAATACATAATTCAGTGAGACAGATTTGTAGACAGTGTTGTCCTGCTTAACCAACATTGAAGGCATATGTGCAGACTGCTAGAGTAATGGGATCACAGAGTCCTGACTTTAGCATCTACACTTGTAATCTACATACTTGGTAGTGATACAAAAAATCATGTACAGACGAAGACAGTGAGATTTTGATTCATTAGGAGAACTATTACAGGCTGAGTAAACATTATTTTCAACTACAACATAAATAATTTGATGATGTGTTAGCCTATTACCAGGTTGGACCTCCTTCTTCCCTCAGAACTGCCTTAATTCTTGGTGGCATACTTTTAACAAGATGTTGGAAACCTTCCTCAGACATATTCGTTCATATTGACCTGAGAGCATCACACAGCTGCTGCAGATTTGTCGGCTGCACATCCATGATGTGCATCTCCTGTTTCACCACATCCCAAAGAGGCTCTACTGGACTGAGATCTGGGGACTGTGGAGTCTACTGGAGTACAGTTAACTTATTGTCATGTTAAATAAACCAGTTTGAAATGATTTGAGCTTTGTGACACTGCATTATCCTGCTGGAGATATCCATCAGTAGATGGGTACACTGAGGTCATAAAAGGATGGACATGGTTAGCAATAATACCCAGGTAGGCTGTGGAGTTTCAATGTTGGTTAGTTCGAACTAAGGGGCCCAAAGTATGCAGAGAAAATACCCCTTTCAACATTACATCACCACCAGCCTTAAGTGTTGATACAAGGTAGGATGGATCCACGCTGTTATAATATTTATGCCAAATTCTGACCCACCATCTGAATGTGGCAGCTGAAATCCAGACTCACCAGACCAGGTTTCTGAAATCTTCTATTGTCCAATTTTGGTGAGTCTGTGTGAACTGTGGCCACAGTTTCTTGTTCTTAGCTGATAGGAATGACACCTGGTGTGGTCTTCTGCTGCTGTGGTCCATCTGCTTCAGGGTTCAAGGTTGTGAGTGAAAATCCCAGTAGAGGAGCAGTAAGTAAAATATTCAGACTAGCTCGTCTGTACCACCAACTGTGCCATGTTCAAACCCCCCTTTTCCCCTGTTCTGATGCTTGGTCATCTTGACCTCGTCCACATGCCTCAATACATTGAATTGCTGCCATGTGATTGGCTGATTAGCTATTTGTGTTAACAAGCCATTGCACATTTGTACGTTATAAAGTGGCAGGTGAGTATATATACATTAAAACCAGTATAACTGTGTTTTTGAAAATTTTGCACTTTTACACAGCATTTATCTGGTGAAAACTTGTGTATATTTTCATAGTGCATTATATTTTCCTGATGGGATAAACTCTAATAGCAGTATGTTCACTATCCTGCAGCCCTAATTGCGATACAAAGAAGCCATATGCAGCCTGTTGAAACACAACCCCAATAGCTGACTTCAATATTAATGCTACCACTAAGAAGGTAAATAGCCAATCACAGCTTAGGATTCCAGGGTGGCCACCAGGGCAGCCAATCAAATTTTAGGGGTGGCCTCACTAAGTGCTAAAATTGTGCGCTGTTTCACCATCAAATGTAGTCGCACTTACCCTGTTTTACTTCACCCCATTTGCAGTACCATGCATTTTATGTCTAGCCAAAACCAACTAACAGCGTGAAGTTAAAATGTTCCCATTACCCTTAGTTCATCTCAGCTGTGTGATGTATTATTTAGGATCAATCAAAACTATTCAACCACTGTCTGCTCATAGAGATAATATTCCATCATGGCTCTCTCAGTCCTTTTTCCATAGATTTAGCCATTTCCAATAATATCGTTGTTGAGAAAACCCAAATATCTTAGCCATTGCGTCATTGTAAAGAACCTTAGAACTGCAGCAGTAAGAAGCTTACGGGCTTGGTTAAAGTAAAACAACACCTCTTTATTTCATCAATGTGCTGAGGGAGCTGAGAGAGGCAGACTGAAGGAGACTGACTGTTATTGTGCTGAGGACAGACCCACAGGTACATATTTCCTTGTTGTTTAGTTAACAGCTTTGGCCACACAGAGATGTCTGTTTATGTAGATGCTTGAAGATTATGTAGTGTTTGAAATACCTGCTGTCTGTTTATTTTCTTCATATTTTATGAATACACTCCTTATTTTCTTGTCACTGTTATGTTTTTATCACTAAATCTAAAACAAAACAGTTCTTTTTGTTCATATTCTGGTTTAGCTTCTCTTCTGCTATAATTCCTGTTTGAACCACTTATCTCCTTCCAATTTCTTGATTTGACAGTGACAGTATGGGCTCCAGGAATGCAAGACTCCTACACACTAGCTGACTTGCAGAAAACACAATTATTTGGTCTTAAACCTTCATCAGGCAAGATCTCAGACTGGAAAGCTGCAAATATACATGTTTTGCAAGTCAGTGCGTGACAGTTTTGATTTTACAACTGGCTCACTCCTTTTGCATGTGCACCTGTCCTGTCAAATGACAAGCTCTTTTCCTTGGAATATCTGTGCATAAAAGAGTCCCCCTCGCTCTCCTTCGGCCTTCTCACCAGGGTCAAATCAGACATGGTGATTACGTTTTGCTGTTGTTTGCTCTAAGTCTTCTCTAAAAGGATCCTGTCTTACTTTCCATCTTCCAGATCCGCTTCGTCCACATCATCCAGCAGCAGGTCAGCTGAGGGTGTGACCATCAGACAACCTAGCAAAGGCCGCATCCGCCGACATCCCAACCGCCTGTCCGGAGTCTTCCTCCGGGTCCCTGTCTCTAGCTCAGGCTCCATGGCACTGACAGCAGGGATCAGGTCCTCACTGAACATCCAGCCCAGAAAAAGCAGCGGTATGTCAGAAATACACCTCACATTCCTGTATGCGTATTTGTCCTATGACTTACTTTGAAGTATACTCATGGATCAAAGGTTAGTGGTGCTTGTTACCAATCATTTGGATTTAATCTTTAAATAGGCCAATCTGGGACACTGAGGAAAGCTTTTTATGACCTGCAGTCCTCCTTACTAATCTCATCCAATAAAAACCATTGTTTCAGCAATGTTCAGCCTCTGCCTGAAAAACTTTGTTCTGGTTACTTTTCTGGGGGTGTAAAGTTAGTTACAGCTTGTGAGTGTTACTTTTAACACAGCTTTACTGTGCCTTATATGGGAGAAGACTGTAGTGAAGAGCTAGGAATCACGAGTTTAGCCTGGATACAGATACACTGTACAATGTGCAATGAAGCATATGATGCAATACAATTTTATTAAAACCCACTTTTCTTACTGGTTTTATTGTAAGTGATATATTTTAAGTATTTCTTCTTGCTCTGTTTTTCCTACTGGGCTGAGGATAAATATCTGTCACTGAAGCTTGTAAACCTAAAGTGGGAGCCAGGCCTTGAAACTCCTTTCTTGTATCATCACAGTGATCTCTTCAGATGTTTTAAAAGCTGACGACCCTGCTGAGCTGTCCAATCAGATGACTGCGCCAGGAATCCTGAAGATCTTTGGAAATGACATCTGCGAGGGAGCTCACTACAAGAGCGTCCTCGCCACCACTCACTCTAGCGCCAAGGAGCTGGTGAAAGAGGCCCTTGAACGGTGAGGCCATGTGTTACATCTGCACGTGTGTGTGTGTGTGTGTGTGTGTGTGTGTGTGTGTGTGTGTTTGTATGTCTGCCTGCCATATGTGTCTGTTCTGTATGTGAGTTATATTAAGTCTATCCACATGCTTCCTGCGCTGTAACACACCTTTATGCCACATCATTTGATTATACAAGCAGTCAGAAGAGTCCGCGGTGGACAAAGCTCTGGCTGCTGATGAAAGAGAAGCACGCTCATGTTTTTATGGTTAAAACAGTCAGGGAAATGAAGCCAGCTTGATTTTCTGCTCCATTCTTCTTAAATGTAGCTCAGTGGATAAAGTCTGCAATTGAACGAATAGGTCATGTAGTTGCTCTGAAAGATCTTGAACTAACCACAGATCCATGTGAGAGGCGTTCGGTGTCAGCCAGAGCTCTGAGGTTGTTTCTCTCCGGAGAGTTGGTGTCTGTCAGTGCTGACGTTTCAGCCAAAAACATGATGGAATGATTAATGTGAGCGGCTTCCAGCTTGTAGAGGATAGAGTAAATCATTTTTCATTTCACTGACTGAAAGTTTACTCTGTGGCGTGACATTTAGCTCTGTTGAGATGCCACAATTCTCAATATTATTGTTCTGTATGTGATTCGTGGCTTAATACCAACTTGTAAAAGTCACTTTATGTATATTATTTTTTTTGTTGCTTTAACCATAGACTGTATTAAACATATCTGTTTTAAACTCATTTGTGTCATCAGCACAATTTAAAAGCCAGGGCCGTTCTCAGGCTGTTTGAGGGGCAGGGGAAAAAAATTTCAAAGGGGTCCTCCTGTATGCTATGAGACACCATCACACAGAGAGTTGAGATTCGTGAAGATCTGTGTCATCACCATTTTGAAGACTGATTTGAATTTATTTTTGTTTCAGCTAACAATAATGTTTTTAGCATTTTAGTTTTCATGAGTTCTTCAGTTTTTGTGGTTTCGTTAGTTTTTGTGATTTTGTTAGTTTCCATGATTTCACTAGTTTTTGTGGCTTTTTTATTTTTTATGGTTCTGTAAGTCTACATGGTTTTGTTAATTTCCTTTTTTTCTGTGAGCTTTTGTGGTTTCTTAGTTTATGTGGTTTTGTTAGTTTCAGTGATCTTGTTAGTTTTTTGTGATTTCTTAGTTTCCATAACTTCATTGGTTTTCATGGTTTCATAAGTTTTCATGGTGTAGTTAGTTTCCTTCTTTGTGTGTGTGTGTGTTTTTTTTAATGGTTGTGTTAGTTTGCATTTTTTCGTTAGATTTGTGGTTGCATTAGTTTGTTTGTGGCTAAATTGTTGTATCCCATTACCTATCCTTAAAAACACTGAGACTGATGATGAGGATAGAGGAAAGCCTCACTCTTGTGATTGAGGCTTTCCTCTATCCTCATCATCAATCTCAATTATTAGAGTGTCTTTTAAGACTAAATGCTCTGATAAACCCATCGTTTCTTCCTGGCTGCCAACAAATGTCAGGCAGAGAGAGCAGCTCCCTTCTTACTACTTTGGAGCATTAACATTAGCTACTTAAAACACAGAGATGTTTCTTCTACCAGGTCCCAAATATCTAAAGTGCTAAAAATCTGAAGAAAACAAGGTGAACCCTTTCTTTTTTCCATGGACTTTGTAGGCAAAATGAAGAGAAAACTTGTAAGTGGAGGGCTGTGTTGGCTTTGGATCGGCTGTATTTCTGTCACAAGTACAAGACATCACCTTTAGCTTGCTGACTATAACCTAATAAGCTGTCCTGTTGGATCTCACTCACTTTTCAGAGTGTATTCTGGACAAATGTGTGTTTTAGTTGGAGCTTCTTTCTGTCTTCTCCTTAATATTTCTTTTACATATTAGACATGCACTAATAACACATAATATTGCTGCTTCTAGCCTTGAAAGAGAAACACCCAGAGGTCTCCAAAATAAGAAACTTTTAAATCAATCTCGTAGAGTTTTTAAAGAGCAGAATTTTGAAGTTAGAGTGCTTTTTTTTTACAGTAATCTTTATTCATTGTGAATCTCATATCTACCCCACCTGTGTCTCCTAGATACGGCCTGGGTAAGAAAGAAGCCGAAGCCTACGTCCTTTGTGACACCATCGGCTCCATCGCTGATCATCAGTGGAAGACAGAAGGTTTCCGGGTCGTGGGAGATAATGAGAAGCCCCTACTCCTGCAGTCGCTATGGAAACCCAGAGAGGGCATGGCGAGACGATTTGAACTCCAAAAAAAGAGTTCTGTGGAGGAGAAGACATCTAAAGACCAGGACACCATCACAGCTGGTACAGAGTCTGACTGCTTTGATTACCTATAACAGGTTCTCCATTTGTACAAAACCCTTTCTGCCACCTTGATTCTTTCTCATTTTCATTCATACATTTTTCCTGATGCATGTCACTGACAAAGACAATGAGTTCTCTGGGGACGTCAGTGTAATGTTTGATGCTTGCTCGTTTTGCCATGATCACTGTTAACACCTCTGTTTCAAAACCTCAATTCATCCTGTTTTGGAGTAATGTTGGAAAGGAGATTTGGTGAGATGTTAAGTTATAATGATCTTCTCCAAATTGGTGGAAGAGTCCAAACCATAGACTGTATATACTATGGACAACTTGGTTCCGCCTCCCGCCTGTATGCGGATTTGATGCCAAATAGCTCTCGGTATTTCCGGGATTTTTCTTCATTTCCTGAAACCAGAGCTGCGCAGTAGCGATGCGCGCATTCGGGTGTGCAGTCGCAGAGAGTCGCTGTGATGATGCTCGGCTCAAACAGTGTATCCCCGGAGAGTTACGCAATCTCTGTACGCCCATAGGCTGTATCAGGTGTCAGTCATAGAAAACATGAACCCCCTAATAACTTTTAAAAATGGAGCTGTACAGAAAAAGAGGACTTGAGCACAAAACAGTCTGACAGTAACTACATGTCAACATCACAACTAGGAGGGAGAAAAATGTTCTGTGTAATAAATTTCCAAAGTTTGTCCACAGCTCCATGAGCTTTGCTGGCGGAAGCGGGATTTATGACCTTTACTGCAGCCCGTCACCAGAGGGTGCTGTTCTCGGAGTGGCTTCACCCAGAGAAGAGGCAGACTCTGTCCATTCTTTATACAGTCTATGGTCCAAACTACATTATCAAAATAAAGTAAGGCATCCTGATATTAGCCAACACAAGTCACAGTGTCAAGAGAGTCCTGAACTTAGGTGGGCTACTAAAACACAACTACCTGCTAACACGAGGACGACAGGCCTCAGTCAAGATGATTTCACAGACTGTCACATTTTGACTCAGAATGTCTGCATAGTCTGCTTTTATTGTAAAAACAGCACTTGAAGAGTTAAATCCAGTTTCAGGGTAAGAGTGTGGTTTGTTGGCACGTTGTTTTTCTTGTAAAAATCAGCCAAGCCACACAAACCAAACCGTATTTAAGAGGTCTACAAACTCCTCTTTTCTTTCTCTTAAATTTCTGTGACAAATTTGGACTGTTTCATTCTTACAGCCATTAAACGACCTCAGAAAGTTCAATTTAATGAACAATGCTGACAGACTGTGAGCTAATAAAACTTTTTCCAGTGACACACCCTTTCTGCAGAAGCTTTTACATCCAGTGGTTTTTAACATAGAGAAGGAAAATATCCAGAACTTTCCACAGGTGCCATAAAGTGTTTGTTTCCACATGCTGGAAACAAACACTTTGTGGCACTATAAATGTGTACGGTGGACCGCCCTGTGTCATTTGTACAGGAGGCCGAGCCGTGGTTGACACAGCTGTGGTCATGGTGTAGAAAGCGTGTCCTGTTTTGTTTTTTGCTCTTATGAATGGTGCAGCCTGTGATAGCTGGCTCTATCAGTGTCAGCGCGTGGATCCCTGCTCAGTGGGTGAACTCACTCTTTTTATTTCCATTAGCTCTGTCTTTCTTTCCATGAGCTCTGTTTCCTGCATGAGGCTCCTCCATGTTGACTCTGGCATAAACACACCATGTACAAATGACCAAACACACACAGACTCACACACATCTCACCTTTCTCCAGGAAAAAAATGGCTATCACTAAATTCCATGACCTCCATGCTTCATGTGTTTATGTTTCTGCTCAGTCAGCACACACTGAAGCTGCAGTTTTCAGTCTAAACAGCTTTATTTGTTGATTCATCCCTCTGTCCTGATAGGTATCAATGCCCAGGCTCGAAAGCTGCAGAAGAGCCGCTCCAGAGTGACCTCCACCTTCATGGAGAGGACGCTTGGACGAAACTACAAGATGTGGAGGAGCAAAAGCGAGATGGACCTCTTGGATTCAGATGCTGAGAACCAGCAGGAAAACTGTAGAAGTGAAAGTCTGGATCAGAGTCTAGAGCAGCCAGAAACCAGCCCTGTGCAGAATCACACTCACAGTATCACAGCTCCCTCTCAAGGGGTCAGAGGGTTGCAGGCCAAGACAGAGGAGCTCTGTCCATCAAAGCCCAGAGCAGAGCGGGGAGGAGAGGAATCAGAGAGGGAGGAGACGGAGAGCAGCGACGATAGCAGCACACAGTACTCCATTCACCCTCCTCATGACTGTCCATACCTGCTGCTGCTGCAGGGCTGCAGCCCCGCACAGGTATCTCATTCACACACACACACACACACACACACACACACACACACACACACACACACACACACACACACACACACACACACACACACACACGCATACACACACACACCACAGCTTACAGCAGTGAGGTCTATATTAGGAGTCACTGATGTTTGATGACTCTGACCAGCATGAAACTCCCTCTTATCACCCTTACAAATCTTAACTCCAGATTAAAAAACACGCCACAGTATTTCATGGATTTTAAAAAAAAACAGTTAAAAATACTGAGGCAGACATCAACTTCAACTCTCAGGGCTCTATTTTCGTTCGCGCCGGTGAGGCGGCGGAGGGCGGCGAGCCCCGCGCAGTTGTATTTTCGTCTGGCGGAGCCCAGCGTAAGGCGAGTTTGGTATTTTCGTGGACTGAGTCGCACGGAGGCGAGCCGAGATCCGCCAAGCTGGGCGTGGTGGCGTGGCAGGGGGAGGTGTTGACAGAATCAGCTGGCGCAGTGACATTTTCGTGCTCGCCACCGGCGTGTAACGTGCGCTGAAAGCTCGCCGATTCAAACCTGGTCAGCTTTCAGCGCAAGGCGGAACGCAGCTGGTCTTGTAGTATTTTGGTAGACCGGCGGCGTATCGACATACGTCACTGATGCCTCACCGGCAGGTTTCCACAGTGTCAGGCACATTTCAGTGCAATAAATAATCATCAACAACTATTAATCTGAGTCAGCACATACATTTAGATCTATATCGATATATTCTGATCTATATCTGATCTGATGAGCGCGTTTGGCACGCGTTTGGGCACACAACCTGACCGAATCAATACAGCTGAAACTGCATCAAATTAAATTAAATATCTAGTAAATAAACACACATGATGAAGTTAACAAGATATGTAATGTGTCTCCCTCCTTTTCTTTCTTCCTCTTATTTCTCGCACAGCTCGACCTGGACACGTCTCCGTGTCCTCTGTCCGTCTTGCTGCAGCTGCTGCGGCTGAACAGATGATTTGTTTCAGTGCTCAGATGCGTTATCTACTTTAAGCCGACATACGGATATTATAATATTCAGTTTTGTGAGTCAAATTTATTTTATATGCCAACATCTATGAAAGAAAGAGCCAGGCCACTGAGCGCGATGCGTCATTTACGCACAGATGGTTCCAATTTTAATGCCATTTTTGGAGTTTATGTTGTGATCTGTGCGCTAAACCCACCTTTGTCACGTGAGGTTTGAATATATGCAACTTTTTGTGAGTGTCTTTTTTGTGGAAAAGGGTGTTTGTCTTACCAGTGGGTCCAACATTACACACACCAAATCTATCTGTGCTCAGATGAGAGAGTGTGGAGGAGACTTGTTGAGCAGCTGCCCTCTGTCGCCATCGTGTGGCATAGCTGTCTTCAGACATCTCTTGATCTCTTTGACTACTTCATGAAAATAGTAATACGCCTCGCCGGTGGCGGATTTAAAGGCAAGGAGAGGAGCTTATGTGATTGGTGAAAACAGGTCTCGGCTGTGTTAAACCCCTATACGCCCTCTCTCCTCCCCTTCTATGATTTATGCTGCCGGGAGGAGCTGAGTTAGGGAGGGGGGATACTTACGCCGGGCTGCGCGGCTCACCAAAATACCAAAATGTGCTTGGGAACGCCTTGTCAGCGCGGCGGATCTGATTGACTCTGCGCTTGCGGCACGTCTTCGGCGAGGCACCAAAATAGAGCCCTCAGTGTGCTGGAGCTGTTTATCCATGGAGACCTTCATAAAGACTCCAAAACCATAAGCAGTGAATTCAGCTAATGTATACTGAGGAGCTGAATAAGAGCTAACAGTAAGCCACAGAAATTTTCTGCAAAGGCATATCTCTTCGGCTGATTGTAAAAATAAAGTTTGATTGATTGATTGATTTGTGACCACAAAGCTGTGTAAAAAGTAACACACACAAGCTGGGTCAAACTTTATACCAGTGGAAAAGCAGCCCAAACAAAGTGTTTCCAGTTGAGGCTGATTAGAGCTGAAATTGATTTATTTACAGACCTAGAAGATTAACAAGATAAGAGGAACTTCATTTATCCTCAAGGGGGAATTTGAAAAGAGCTGTGTAACACGTTATGACCCACCTTTGGTACAGACTGTGACCTCTGTTTAAGACTATCCTCCTCTCTCACTGGACCGCTACAGTTCAGCTGATTCCAGATGCAACTTCTGATTGGTCAACAGACCAAAACAAAGGTGGCAGCCTTCATTAAGTATGATCCACTAACAGCAGAAATGACCCTATGTCATTAAAAATCAATGCAGAAATCACTGCAGATTACCTTAATTTGAAGGGTTTGGTCTAGACAGTCTGTGGAAATTCTCTGATCTTCCCTGTGGAATAAAAAAGCTCTATGACAAACACACACCAGAGAGCAGCTGGTCTCACAAAGTATGTGGATTTTACAGTTAGGCACAATAACAAATTGTGTGAAAAAACAGCTTCAACCCCACTTTTTACTTAACCCTGAATATAAGATGATTCCACTTTTTTCAGATGTAGTTTAAGGACTACCTTTAGTCACTCTGAGCTGCTCAGAGGAAGAATTGGGCAGGTTGATCCTCACTAATCTGATCAATAGTGGCATGATTTTTCACCTCTAAACAGTGATTCTTATTTGGAGACATGGTTTGACAAACTTCTTGTACATACATAAGCCTTTGTAATTAATTTTAATCTCTATAAATCTGGCTACTGTTGCCAAGGGGGCAAAGCTCAGCAACAGTAAAATCCACCTCTGTACAAATGCTGTCAAAGGCTGATTCCTGCTTTAGCCAGTATACATGTGCTCCCTCTGCTTCCTACAGTAATTCCTTTGCTTATTGTTTTAATATTCAGACTAAGCTGTGAAGTAACAGCCCTTTAATCTCTGTAAAACTTGCTCTGCTGGCACCTTTCCTCAGCACTCAGACAGACACAGAGAGGAGGTTCATTTTTCTAAGGTCAGCAAACTGTACATAGGAAAAGTGAGTGTCAAAAACACTGATCAGGAAACTGAAAAAGACAAACCTGGCACTGCTTCCTGGTGATTACACGTGGTTTCAACAAAGGGCAACTACCACACACATCCACACATCCACAAGGCTAATCCTGATACAGTGCTGTGATTCTGACTGTGCGTCACACTTGTTTTCCCAAAAGACCTGTCATAGGACCATAATCCACTGCCAGAAATATCATTATGGAGAAGATTTATGGAGTTAACGCAGTAATTCAGCGTCTGGTCAGCCTGGAAAAGACTGATAACACAACAAAATGTCCAAAATGATAAACCCTGCAGCACATTGTTCTCTCTCTGTTTGTCTAATCAGGCTTTAATTCTAATACCTCCACATGATCAGGCTGCTCTCACCAAGAGACTGTTGTGACGCAGCTGCTACTGGTGATTGGTTTATTCATTTAACAAAATAAAGATTAGTTTCAGCTCAGGCTTTATATGGCTAGTATGGTCTGTGTGTTTCAGACCAGGACACACTGATAAACAGAGAGATTAAAATCAGAAATTATTGACTTCTTTGCAGTGGTGGTAGGAGTTCATGAAATATTTAGAAGAGTAACTCAATGAAACAATCCACTTATAAAGATGTAGGGCCTGTTGCACTGAGTTGTGCACTAACTATATTGTAGGGCTGCATGATTAATCGAATTTAAATCATAATTGGATCATTCAATTATGACGATGTTAAAAAAATGTAAATCCTCAAATCAATTTTCCTCTCTATCATGTCTTGTGCCTCCAGGCCACTGTAGGCTTCCCCTTACTGCAGGAGTGCTCCCCATTTCTCACACACACCAGTGTAAACAAACATGGCGTTTCCAAAAGAAGGCAATAATTTCGTGGCTAAATAGGGCAAGAACAATCAGTCATATTGGTAACGGCTTTGCAGTTTCAGCTGAAGAACAAACCACTTCCCACTGCAAAGTCTGCCTGAAGGCGGTATCAACCAATCCACACGGAAACGAATTTAGGAGTAAATGCAAAAGTTTTTTGTCCTATCAGCATTTCATCTAAGCGGAAACAGCGTTTTGTAAATGTTTGTAAACGTTACTTTTTGAAAATGGGTCAGAGAGTGCATAAATCCATAGATGACTACCATCTCCTTGTGGATGCCTGTCTTACATCTCTCCTGAAACGATCATGTGACTCACAGCATAACTCTTTTATGGCTGCTGCGCGTCCTACCAAAACAACCTTTATACACATGCTCTGTACTCTTCTTCTGTCTTGTTTATTTCCACGGCAGCATTACAGCGCCACTTACTGGCTTGGCATGTGCACTATATCATTTTCAGTGGTTTTGTTTTGGGAGATGATAGAAAAACCTTTTATTATTAAAGTGAAGTTTGGTTAAGTTGTCACTGAATAAAAAAATGAAAATCGAGTTTTCTGTGAAAAAAATCAGGATTTTATTTTGGGCCAAAATCATGCAGCCCTACTATACTGTATTTAGACTACATTAGCATTACCTGGTGCAGCTCTCCACTCAAGGGAAAAACAGCAGCAGTATAGATCTATGTCCATGTATTTTAAATTGATGTTATCACAGTTAACACACTGCCTGCACAAAATAACCAGTCAAACTCTCCACTCCTTGTCCTCTCCTTTGGTTTTCCATCTATAAAAATGATGTGCCATGACAACTGGGATTTGCAGAGAACTTCACACCTACTCAGACCGAGGTGTGAAATTCAGTATGTAACTTTACACTTAAGCTTTCTCAGCCAATGCAACCCAAGGACACTAATAGCATATACACTCCATGCTAAATGAGAAATTTGTTTGACCGAACCAAGAAGATTCAAATAAAGAAGATTCAAATAAAGGACTCAACAGGCAAGATCAAAGTTTGAAGTTCATTTAAGCAGGGATTAGTGCATGATAGATCAGCCATAACAAGCAGAGGTATCCAAATCAGCAGGGAAGAGATAGAGTCCAACTAACTAAACAGGTCGAACACTTACTAAACACAGACGAGGAAATGCTGGTACAGTAAAATACACACAAGGAGAGGCGGTAACATGACAGGTGGAGCACATTAGGGTATCAAGGGAACAGGAAACACAAGGGCAGGAAGTCAGTGGACCTGAACCAGGAGACATCACCAGGTAAGTCACAAAAGGAAACTTACTGCCAACTCTAAATTGCCCACAGTGGGGCCCACAATGTCCCTCACTGGAACCCAGGAGCATGCTATGGGTCCACCAAATAGTGATAACTATGACCCCTGCACTGAAAGGTTAGCAGTTCCCATACCCTGTACACTGGACCACCATTGATGAACAAGAGAGGAGGAGGAGGTTTGAAGAGCTTACCTTAACAGGCTTGATATGGCTCACATAGAAGGCAGGATGCACATACATGGTCTCTGGGAGCTTGAGCTTCAGGGAACAGGATTAATAGCTTTGGATATAGGAAATGGAAGTCAAACCTGTTGTCCACAGGGGTAAGAAGGTGAAGGGGTAAATAGAGGGTCCTAGTACTCCATTTTACAAAGGAGACATCTGCCGAGCTTTAACCCAGATCTGCCAACAATGATAGACCAGAGCTATGGCAGATGGCACAGAGATGTGAAGAGAGGGGGCTAGGAGCCAAAACACTCTCAAAGGATAATAGAGCAAGGTTTTATGTTCATATTCAACCCTAATAAGGTGTTCACTCCAGGAACTGGGATTCTGGGAAGCCATGCATTGCCACATAGACTCTCAGTTTGTGGGTGAGCCTCTCTATTTGTTTACTGATTTGTGGATAATGACCAGGCTGACTATAACCCCCAGGAGCAGGCAGAATTCACTCCAAAATCTTGCCGCAAACTGTGGACCCCGGTCCTAGACAATATTTCAGGTGAAACTATGAACATGGAGATCATGTGACAGCAGGACCTTGGGCTGTTTCCTTGTCTAGGAGTTATTTGGGAAGAGGACTCTTAATCCAACCCACCATCATCTGGACAGCAGTGTTACCTTCAGAAGAAGGAAGTCCAGTGACAGAATCCACTGAGATGTTAGACCAGGGCCTGTAAGGCACTGGGACTGGATGTTTTGATACCTGGGTGGCAGAACAGTTGAGAGGCATGGACCCAGTGTATAACCTGAGCCTGTCAATGTTGGGGCACAAACGGGAGGACACTCAGTGGAAATTACAGCATTAGCATTAGCTCTTCATACCTTTGTTCAATCAGGGTTCAGTACAGTAGATCAATCAAGAACAGACTCAGATATCAAATCAGCGGAAAAGAGTCAGAGTCCATCTAACTAAACCGGTGAAACACCTACTGAACACAGACGAGGAAATGTTAATACACTGATACAGAGAACAAGACAAACTGGCTCAGAGGGAAGGAGAAAATGAGCGAACAAAATAGGTTAACCAAAAGTGAAATGTGCTGATTATAGATGGTGCAGCCATGAGGTCTATCACTTAAATAGGCAATGCCACTTCAAATGTTTTACACTTTTTCTATTTTTTTTTTCTCTGCCATTGGCACCTCAGTATATTGTAGTTTCTCCCTGAATCTCTGTGATCCTGGATTGTAGGGCTGGGCAATATGGCCTCAGAATTATTTCTCAACATACAGTAGGTGACAGTATAAACAAAACAACTGTGAACTACATTTTAACAGTGATGGCATTTTGCAGTCAGCAACATTTGTTGTTGCAAATAAAGGAAGAGCATTGTCTATAAAAGCATTAGCTTCTTTGTGCACCTTCAAATGTGGGTTTACAAATCTACCTGCCAATCTTCATGATATGGCACATGTGAATAAACAGGGCTAAGAATATTCAGGTAATAGGTTATATTAAAAAGAAAATATTTCAACTTCTTGATGAAGTACTGCAAAGATCATGTTAAAATGTGTTCATGATCCCTGAAGCTCCACGCAGCCTCATTTTCAATGACCCTGTAAAGAGTTATTATATTTAAAGTTGCTCCTTTGATTCCCTGTCAGAGTTCCAGCTGCTTCTTTTAAACATTTTCAGCTTTTTTAAAGGCACACGGTGAGTATTAGAGACTCTGCCTTTAACTGAAGTTACATGCATGTTATTGCAGTTTTTTCGCCACTTCAATATCTTTCTCTCCACACAGGACTTTGTCATCTACCTTCTTGCTGGACAAAACATTGTGCTTGGACGGCAGAGTGATGCTGCAGACGGATCAAAGCCTGATATCCCCCTCTTTGCTGCTGACATCCTCCCGAGACACTGCTATTTTCACCACTTCAGCGCTAACAGCCCCACCATGCTGGGCCCCTGTCGGGACGCCATGGTCACAAAAAATGGCGAGGTTCTGAGAGGAGAGGTGCAGCTTAGCGCTGGAGATGTCATCGGGCTGGGCCAGAGTTACCTCTTTCTCTTTAAGGATCCTTTAGACCTGACACAAAAGGTAAGACTGAGATGATAAGGGACAAAAAGGGGATGGACTCATTAATAATAGTAATGATAACAATAATTATAATGATAACTTTATTTTAATAGATAAAGAAGAAGCAGAAACTCAGATGTATAACTGAGTGAACAGTTAACAGTCAGGCCAGACCGAGAGAAGTATAGAAAGTTCAAATGCATAAATAGAAATGCTTCACCAAGAATTAATGAGAAAAAATGCAAATAAACAGAATAACAGTCATGAACAGAGGCAGAAGAGTGTAAAGCATCAAGGAACTAAAAATAGAGGTGAAAATAAAAGAAGAGAAAAAGGTGTGAAGCAGTTAAAACAAAAAACTATTAAAGCTCCAGTAAGGAACATTTTCCTGGTTATAAAACCAACTCATGTTATAAATACTTATTCTATCCAACGTACTGAATCATAGCAGGCTTATAAAGAAGATTATTTATTTATTTTCAGCTCTTTTTAAAGCCTGGTAGGAGGTAGGCACCAGGTAAAGTGATTGACAAAATACAGCAGAAATAGCCACCTTTACATTTCCCACTGCAGGGTCCCTGATGCATACAGTGATGGTGATTCAGAGTTGGTCTTTTTAGAGGGTCCCTCGATAATAGTTTTTGTGTCTTGAACAATGTCAGTGTCAAAATATTCATAATGAACAGATGTAATATCAGGTATGTTCAAAATGTAGCAGAAATGTAGTGATGGGATATGTGCAGAGGTCATCTGAGATGAACGGAAACGCCTATGCATAGGCGTTTTTGCTTATTTTAAAGATATTTTAGATTGATAAAGAATGCCAAATAGTCAATTTTGGGTAAAAGTGAGTAGCTCATCCTTTTTGTATCAGATTAAACTGTTTCCAGCATCCTAATACCAAAAACATGCTGAAGATGAATGCTTTATACTCCTGTCTCCTTCAATGTGACAGACAGAGTCTATTTTAAAGCTAACAGCATATAAACAAGGTGGGAACTCTGTGCAAGAGTTTCTGATTATGAATTTTGAAAAGAAGAATATTTCCATAATTACCTGTTTCTTTCTGTAGCTGCAAGTATGATTTTGAGAATGTTAGAAGTGATATTTTATACAGCAGAGAAACCCTCAACAAGGTAAAAATCTGGATTAATTCAGTTTCCATGTTGTTTTTGTAAGAACCAGGGTGATTGATGTATGTGACACCAGAGAGGAGGGAGTTAAAGCAGAGAGCATGAATGATATCTTGAGTCTGATAAAGTCATCCCTCATGATCTTGTGTCTCTGTTTTTAAAAGAAGGAAGTGAACTCTTCTGGTTTTGGACCCATCTTGGCCATCATCCCCTGGATGCTGGATCATACCATGTCTACCCCAACAAAAAGCAATGATATGATCCTCTGCAACACCTGCATCACAACCTGCACTGACCTCCAGAGCTCCAGCAGCAAACAGTCTCTAAACCAGGGACAACCCTTTTTAAGATCCCCCAAAGGCCATATCCTGACAGTGAAATATGAGACCGTGGACGAGTATCGAATCATTAAGGAGATTGTGGGGATGGGAAGAGGCAGCACCAAAGACAAACCACCGCTCACTGTCTCCTTCCTGCTGTGTCTGTGTGTTCAGTTTTCATCTGCAAACCTTCACACAGCTGACCTGCGCAGGCTGCTGCTGCTCATCGCAAGTGGAGTCCAGAGTGCCATGTGGGTGAGTTTTGGGGCCAAAGAGTCAAAGAGAGCATCAAGAAAAGAAAAGTTTCTGAAGAATACCACAGAGCGTAAGCAAAATGGAGGTTCAAATTCACCTGAGACAGCACAGCGACCTTTAAAAGTTACAGGTGCTTCTTTTGTGCCTGAAATAACAGGCTTAAACTTTGTGGGCTAAAAGACCACTCCTACACTCCCTCTTTGCTGCAGGGTTATTGTATTTATCATTCAGGGACAAACTATATCCAACTAAGATATCTTTCACTGTTTGTTGCTGTCCTTTGACAGCCCAGATAAAAACTGGCTGATAACAATTAGAGCTGGGTGATGAACCGGATTTCAGTCCCAATAGACAATCATTTCATTGTATTAGAAATGTGTAAAAATGAGAGGAATGCACATTATAAACTCTCAGAATATTTTATTGTCTAATAAATGTGCCCTCGAAATATCACGAAAGCTCCAGACTTTAGAACAGAGTTTTGCTGGTCTATGGTGCAGACTCTCTGTGCCCCCATAGGCATAGATGTGAGTGCAAGTTCATTAACTGATGAGATACAGTCATCTGGATCATAACAAACCTTAAGTCCACAGAGAACACAGACTTTTCAGTTAATAGGATCTGAATAGCAAAAGGTGGTCATGTGAACCATCTACCATCAAAGATATGATACATTAAAGTTAGATATCCTAAAACTAGTAATGGGAGATGATAAGACAGTCCTGATGCAGAGAGTTTCAGGACAATCTGATTAACACTGTGGGATTCAATGCAAAGGATGATACTGTACTTCAGTAAGTTCACTATTCAGATAAAATGAAGACCATACTATCTGTCTGTTTCAGGTGTAGAGTACAGCACTCCTAGAATCCACTTCAATTAATGTAGACTAGGTCTATCAGTCTACAGCTGGATATCTTTGGCTAAAGTGTCAGTTATTACGTCAGCAGGGCATAAAAATAACACATAACCACGGATACTTTTATGGACAAAGATAAGTACCTTCTTCTTCATGTAGAGAGAAAATTTCTTTTTTGATAGATGTGTCAGGTGTGATTGAGGCATAACCTTTTTTTGTGTTTCTGCTGTCCTTAACTTGGACCAGACACATATTTATCTAACCTGTCCTTCTCACATGATAAAGTTTGTTTGGTGGACTCTTAAGGGTTTTATTGTTGTCATGCAGGATCACACAAAGGAACTGGCTGCAGCTCAACCTGAACCGTAAGCACACTAAGATCATTTTCACCATCAGTCAACGATGTGACCGTTCAAAGACGACTTCACAGATCTCTGTTTCTGTGTTACAGTCAAAGTAGTGAAGGCTTAAACCACGAGGACCTTCAGGATCTCGCTCTGCATGAAGTGATGTCAGGACTGCGCCCCCTGGTGGTGTGGATGTCAAACAGCCTGGAGCTACTGCATTTTATCCAGTTCCAACTGCCTCTGATTCTTGAGTGGAGGACACGAAAGGATCTGGGACTGGAGGATGAGGAGAACAAGGAGGATGAGGAGAACAAGGAGGCAGAGAGCTGGGGTTAGTTGGCTACTGGGTTGTAAATTTGATACAAAGTGTAGTGGTGTTACTTTACGAAAAGCTGAGTTACACCTGAGCCTCTTTATATGGGATACAGTACAGGCCAAAAGTTTGGACACACCTTCTCATTCAATGTCTTTTCTTTATTTTTTTATATGAATATTTACAGTGTAGATTATCACTGAAGGCATCAAAACTATGAATGAACACATGTAGAATTTTGTACTTATAAAAAAAGTGTGAAATAACCGCAAACATGTTTTATATTCTAGTTTCTTTAAAATAGCCATCCTTTGGTCTTGATGACAGAAGTACCTTGTCAGGGTTACTTCAGGCACTCCTGTGAAGTAAAAACCATTTCAGGTGACTACCTCATGAAGCTCATTGAGAGAACAGCTAAAGTTTGCAGTGCTATCAAAAAAGCAAAGGGTGGCTACTTTGAGAAATCTAAAATATAAAACATGTTTTCAGTTATTTCACACTTTTTTCTTAAGCACATGATTCCACATGTGTTCATTCATAGTTTTGAGAATCTACTATTTAAATAGTAATGAAAACAAAGAAAATGCATTGAATGATAAGGTGTGTCCAAACTTTTGGCCTGTACTGTATATTGAAATATATGTTACTGCAGGTTGTGGTGGCTTAGGGCTCCCTATTGAAAATGTTGATCACAAACTTTGACTCCCAAATAGGGATACTAAATTCAAGGTTTTAGGGATGTAGAAAAAGGTAACACACGAAACAAGTTATCCAAATTTAATTTTTATTTTTATTAAGAAAAGGTTTATTTTCAAACATTTATCCAATTCCATTAACATTAAGCAATACAATCAAACATGTCGATTCACATCAGAGTTGTGTGGCATCCAAATCAATGATAACATTGCCTGTTAGGTTTTAATCGGAGTGTGTGTTTTTTTCTGTGATTTTCAGCACTGTTGGAGCTTCGTCTGTCCTGTGTCCGCTCAGCCAGTGAGGAGACGTTAGCTGTCCTGGAGGAGGTTTTGTTGCTCGCCTTCCAGCAGTGTGTCTACTACATCACCAAGGTGAGAGGATGATAAAGCACACAGTAACAAAGTGAATGTCAGTGACTTAATGTTGTGCTACATGCCTTAAAACAGACTGACCTTTAGCAAACCAAAGGGTAGAGTAAGTTACCCCAACTGAAACTGGACTTTCAACATACAGTGCATCTGGAAAGTATTCATACCACTTCACTTTTTCCACATTTTGTTATGTTACAGCCTTATTCCAAAATGGATTAAATTCCTTTTTCCCTCAAAAATTCTACACAAAATACCCCATAATGACAAAGCGAAAAACCTTTTTTAGAACATTTTGCAAATTTATTAAAAATAAGACACTCAAATGTTGCATATACGTAAGTATTCACACCCTTTGCTATAAAACTCAAAATTGAGCTCAGGTGCATCCTGTTTCCACTGATCAGCCTTGAAATATTCCTCCAACTTGATTGCAGTCCACCTGTGGCAAAATCAGCTGATTGGACATCATTTGGAAAGCCACACCTGTCTATATAAGATCCCACAGCTGACAGAACACGTCAGAGCACAAACCAAGCCATGAAGTCGAAAGACAAAAAGTCGAAAGTTGTATCGGCACACAGATCTGGGGAAGGTCACCGAAAAATATCTGCTGCATTGAAGATCCCAAAAAGCACAGTGGTCTCCATCATTAAGAAATGGAAGACGTTTGGAACCACCAGGACTCTTCCCAGAGCTGGCCGCCCAGCCAAAATGAGCAAGCAGGGGAGAAGGGCCTTGATCAGGGAGGTGACCAAGAACCCGATGGTCACTCTGACAGAGCTCCAGCGTTCCTCTGAGGAGATGGGAGAACCCTACAGAAGGACCACCATCTCTGCAGCACTCCATTGAGTAAAGGGTGTGAATACGTATATGCAACATTTGAGTGTCTTATTTTTTAATAAATTTGCAAAATGTTCTAAAAAAAAGTTTTTTTTGCTTTGTCATTATGGGGTATTTTGTGTAGAATTTTTGAGGGACAAAAGGAATTTAATCCATTTTGGAATAAGGCTGTAACATTAAAAAGCAGCATTTATCTAAAGAGAAATGGAATAAAATATGGATGGTGGTGTAAAATCATCTGAATATAAAAATCTTTATGCTTTTAGCTCAACATGAATGTTTTTGATCCACACAGGAGTGGGTTTCCTTCTAAAGGGGGGATATTCACCACCATTTCTCTACCAAGGATGTAGGGATTATGGGATTTAGGGTTGAATGCAATGGTTATAGTATAGTGTAGCCCATAGCTGATTTCAATATCAGTGTTGTTTTACACATTCTTCATTATTCTTTTTGTCCTTTTTCTAATGAGCTGAGATTTGATGTATTAAATTCTTTTCCAGCAGACCTTAGTTTTGAAATTGTCACAGAAACAAAAAGGCATGTTGCTATTAAAAGAAAGTTTTCCCTCTCCAATTTCCTCGATTTGCCAAGTGCTACAAAGCTCCAAACCAGCTGTTTTTGTTAGAGCCAGCAACATAACACTTGTTATGGTTCAATATGAATCAACAGTAGGTGGTTGGGTTTGTGGTTGGTTGGTTGGTTGGTTGGTTGGTTGGTTGGTTGGTTGGTTGGTTGGTTGGTTGGCTGGATTTTTAGTTAGTTGGTAGTTTTTTTTTTTTTTGGTTGGTTGGTTTCTTGGTTTGTTCTCATACACTTCTACTATTTCCTTGATTATTTTAGCATAAAAACAAACCAGACCTTATCCCACAGGTAACATCTTTTGCCAAATACAAGCCTCTTCTTTTGAATCAGCAGTTTGGTGTACCAGCTTACAAGCATTCAGCCACTGTGACACACAGAATAAACTGGTTCCTGATGTTAGTCAGAGGGCTAAATATTAGCAGATATTTATTACAGCACCTTAGTTTTATCTTTGTTTTTTCACCCTTCAACTGGTGGTTACCTCAGACATCTGTGTAAAGAGTGAAGAGCAGTAAGAGCTGAAAATAAACAAACAAACAAATTATTTAAACCTTTTCTTTACTCTCAAGATCATCAGCCCAGACTGCAGCTTCATGTGAAAAGCAGTACAACTGACTGGCATCCAATGTGGCTAATACACTAACATGTATGTGATACAACCTAACCTCAAAAATACTGAAATATCCCTTTAGAATTAGCCATATTCACCTGGCAGGTGAAAACAGATGTCTGGTTTTGAGATATAATACACCAAATTTGAGACTTATCAGGTGGATATGTTTTAGATTAAGCCAATTGAGAGAGTTAACTTGAAATAAATCAAGGACACTGGCTTATTTGAAATGTTTGCAGTGTGGCTGAGCAGTCTCCTGCAACAAACCAAACACATCCATAGATTAAAAAATAAACAAATGGGGTCCAGGTTTTAAAAAGACAGAATTACCCTTTAAGCCTCACTGTCTCACTGTTATGGCCAATGGAGAGCAGACAAGTCAGGCTTGTTTAGCAGCTCTCTCTGTTTGTCTGTTCATGATTCTGATGTGAGGTTCAAGAAAAGAAAATAATCACAGAAGAAAGAGCCCAGTGAGCCTTTCAGACAGCTTCCTAATGGACCAACCAGCCACTGTGTGAGACCACAGTGAGGGCATTATGGCACCAGAGGGACAGGACATCAGTATGTGTGTGTGGTGTGTTCAGACTTAGAGTTATGTATGGGGAAGACCAAATTGGGGATCTCCACTGCTGAATAAGACCCAGCACAAGATCATTTTTGTTTTACTTACTTGAAGATACGGTAAGACCAACTAATGAAAGTTAGAGTAAGCATCCTTTTCGACTAGAAATCGGAAAAAAACTTTGGATATTATTTTTGTGACACTGATTTCTTGAACAGAACCTGAACTTGAGTTTTGAAGTCCAACAATGGTGGTCTCCAGAGAAGCTGGTCTTGGATAAGTTTTAACATTATTTCCTCTTTGTATGGTTCAGTTTTAACCTGCATTTGTGGATGCAGCGATGAAGTGTTTTGATACACACAATGTTTTTGGGAGAGATTTCAGGCCCATGCAGAGTCTTCCACTTGAGAGTCCTGTCTGTTTTTAATGCAGTGCCGCCTGAAGATCTGGACCATCCAGTCTTTGTCCCTTTAGTACAGAGATTTCTCCAGATTCTCTGAATCTTTGAATGATATCATGTTCTGTTGATGATGAAATCCACTCATTCATTCACATTTGACACTCAGGAACAATATTCTGAAACTGTTGAACTATTAGCTCACACAGTCTCTCACAGAGTGGTGAACCTCTTCCCATCTTTCCTTCTGAGAGACTCAACCCATCTAAACGTCCTTTTTATACCCAGTCATGCTACTAACCTGTTGGACATTCACCTCATTATTAGTTAGGAGATGTACCTTTAAGGTGTTTTTAAACTTTATACAACTGTTTCAGTGTTCCTTGGATCTACACTACAGAAATACTTTGGGAATATAAAAGTTTGAAATAAGCAAACATTAATACAAAAAAAATGTATATTTGCAACACCTGATATTTGGACTTTTGCACCATATCCAATTCATTATCCAAAAAGGAGTTCTTTTTTTCTGGTACTTCACTTATTATGGTAATAACAACATAATAAAGTATTTATTAATCCTTACATGGTATAAATCTTAACCTTTTATAGTCTTAATTATGTTTAAAAACCATCTTATCAAAGTTGATTAGTGCTCTTTTGATTTTTTTCCGGAGTCCAGTGTCTGCTTTGGGGCTGTTAATAAGTAACAATTAATGACTGTTATGAGCTAAATAACTGCTCGTGAAAGTTATATTAATACTGATGAGCATCTTTAGAAATCCTAAGAGCTCTGTACTATAATGTAAATGAGTTTCCCACATTTGCGTTTAGAGCTAATAATACATTTGTTAATTTATCATTTTTTGACTCTTAAAAAGTCTAATTAATGTTAATTAACATTCTATTAATGTGTAGTACAGGCTGATAAACCTTAGACAAGTTATTAATGAAAACCTTCAAGTGCATTTCAAGAAATAATGAATAATGCTTTTTAACACTAAAGAACAATTATCCATGTTTTTAAGCATCTCACCTGGCCCTAAATATGTTTTTATTCATGCTTATTACAGAGGTCTTAAAATGTTTTCTTTCTGGATGGAAATTTTTGTTTTTTTGGGGAGGAGATTAACATTGCTGCCACACTGAGAGGCTGCCTGCAGTGTTCATAAATTAGTCTGACTGATTGATTGTTCGCGCTCTATACAGTCACTTCTCTGTTGGAGGTAAACTGTGAGTGATGATTGGTTGATATCCATCCATCAAATAGAAGTGAATATTCTTTCCTGCAGCACCTCATCACTCCCCATAATGAGAAAAATACTTCTAGGTCTGTTAAGTTCAAAGGTTTACTGACACCACAGGGCTTATGGGTAATGAAGTCCTTGAAACTCCTCTCATGTTTCCTGTAAAGACTCCCTGTCTCTTTAAGTTAATATCATGGCTTTGTTTCTTTATTATATTGTGCAGTTCCTTTTCACTGCTCTGTCTCAGAGAGGTTTCTGGAAAAAGAAAATTGGATTTCATCGTAGCCACAGATTTTCACTGCAGCACCACACCCATTACATGGAAGTGTGCCGGGAAAGTTTCAGACACATTTTGAGTCGAGCTGGGTGGGTGTGGGTGAAAAGACCATCCAGAAAACTGTCATGAGGAGATTGGCTTGTTTTTTGCTCAGACAATCTTACATTTCCTCCTCAGACAGAGGCTGAACCAGACATGATAGCTGTGCTGCATGTCTCTCAGACTCTCTGCTGTAGCCCCGCCAGTGACCTGGATGCTCCAAACCACCAAGGCCCTGAAGTCAAAGGAAGCCATGTTTAATATTGAGCCACATCAGAGACCCCATTATTGCAGCACTGGCCTGTTAGCAGCAGCCAAGCCAAGGTCTCACATGTCCTGCCAGTTTAATTCAGCTGGACTTTGCCCCTGATGTGTCAGATTTGGGGGCAACTTTTCTGTGAGTTTCCCATCAGGAAGGATGTCACTGATATGGCATTTATGTCCAAAGAGGAAACTATAGGAATTCCTACATAGCTGCAGCCCTGTGAGTTTCAGACAGCTCATTTTTTACGCATACTCAAGGATGTGGTCGTCTAACTACCTGCCTCAAAAAGCATTCGTTTCTCTCTGCAACTGTGCCTGATGAACCAAATGACTTCCAGATGTGGTTTGTCAGTTAATCCATAAATAATCCTAAAATTAAAAACAGTTTGCTGTGCAGGGTTTTTACTTGCTACAACTAATAAAAGAGACATGTACATTACAGTCTAAGTTCAGCAGGTCTGAGATCAGGGGTTTGTCTCTGTGGGGGACAATAGATCAACCACGTCACTGTGAAATGCCATACAAGAGGAGATGAAAAAATGAGAAGTGTTTTAAAAAAGGAAAGCTGAATTACACCCTTCGCCTCCCAGAAGTTGCTGGTCTACTTCTACATCAGTGAGGTTGTCTGTGTTTTCCTCGTGTTGGCCCAGATCTCAATCCTTAACGAGAACAGCTTATCACAAAACTTACACAAACTAACCGGCTGAGGCAGTGGCTCCTTTGTTCTGTAAGATTAAAGAATATTTGTTGTCTGTGGAGTTTGGCTGGTTTTAAAAAAAGCCATGCAACACGTGTTTCTCCTTAAAATAGATGAAAGATCCATAATCACAGAAGTATATCTTTGTGGGGTTTCTCACTGAAGTTGTCGGTCATGATTTTTAAAAAGCTAAACTTGTCAGGGGCAAAAACAGGCCTTCTAGTGATTAAACACTTCTGTCTTTAAAGATTAGACACAACATTATGACCACCTGCCAAACAGTGCTGAGGCCCCCCTCTTTAGGTCAGGTCAGGACCAAAACAGTCCTGACCTGAAGGGGTGTTGGCTCCTATGGACCTCTGGAGAGGTGTGTTGTGGTATCTGGTGTCAAGTCGTTAGCAGCAGACTCTTTAAGTCTCTGAAGTTGTGAGGTGGATCAGTCTTGGTTGAGCAGCACTTCCTTCTGATGCTGGATTGGATCCAGACCATATAGCTGCAGCCTGGAGCCTCCCCCAAGACACACTTAGAGCGAATGTTTTCAAAATAAAAACTTGTGTCTGGTCCATTTGTTGTATATGGAATAAGAATTACAAGGACCCCAGACAGACTCTAAATCCATAATGTATTCATTATATTTTATCATATTTCATATTTTTTATATAACATAATAAACTTTGAAACCCTCTGAGGAAAACCTATAAGGGAAGTTTTGAGTATGTAATATCTTTTCATACCTATTTGACTCCAAATTCTGCTAAACTGGAGCCTTGGTTTATACAGAGCCCTGTTCACATGAAGTTGGGATGTTGTGTAGCCCAGACTGGTCTGCTTGCAGTACAGACCTGTCTCTTCTCCCATTGAAAATGTGTGGAGCATTATGAAGCGCAAAATACAACAGGGAGCCCAGACTGTTGAGCAACTGAAGTGGTCCATGAATCAAAAATAAGGTAAGATAAGACAAACCTTTATTCTTCCCAAAGTGGGAAAATTGGCAGTGTGACAGCAGCATAGGATCAGCAGAGCAAACATAGAAGAAGAATACGTACACTCATCATGCAAACAGTGCAGAGATAATTACAGAAGTTAACTCAGACCTACACAAAAGAAATTTACTTAAAAAAGGAGAAATCTATCCTGTTGTAGATATGGTCTGTGCGGCACCAGAAATGGAAACATGTAAAAGAATTCATACAAATCATTGTCTCTTTTATTTACATTTTGCACAAACATCCCAACTTCATAGAGGCTAGGGTTTATACCTTTGGTTGCACTTTAGAGAGCCACTGTGTTCAACAGTCCAAAAGCAGAGTGTCTGCTGTGGGATGTTGAAATGTGAAGTCTCTTTCTTCATTGCCAAAATCAAGATGATTTAGGGGCAGTTTTTTCACCAAAAGACTCAACAACCATGATATGTTCTTTTGTGATGACACAACATGAACTGTGTCATCACTGTGTTTTATTTTGCTCACGAGACCAGATGTATGACAGAGGACAAAGTAGCAGTTTTTGGTTCTTTTGTTAGTGTGTGTGTGTGTGTGTGCGTGCGTGCGTGCGTGCGTGCGTGCGTGCGTGCGTGCGTGCGTGCGTGCGTGCGTGCGTGCGTGTGTGTGTGTGTGTGTCTTGGTCTTGCAAGTTAATCCAGGCGTGTCGTGTCATCCATCATGACTGCCACTTCACAGCAGGCTCTAATCCACATCTTTCCTGGACTGACAGAACAGAATTTGAGAGGAATGTGGAGTAACCTGGCTAACGCTAGATGATTTACTCAAGTATTCATCCTTTCCTTTCACTAGTTGACATGTTGATTTATGTCTGTGCTCACTGCAGCACAGCCAGTCCGACCAAGAATTTTAAGGGAAAATGTAATGCTCCATGTTCAGGCTAGTCTTTCTTTCAGTTTTTATTAAGAGCTTTATAATAGAAAAACTCCTTCAATCAAAAGTATGCTCAACCACTATAGTGAACGTTCATGTTGACATGTTGTTGCTTACCCCAAAACCTCATGGCTCATGGCCCATTATAATCAGAAATCAAGACTCTCAAATTGTCAGAATATTCCTCTTAGAAATAAAGAGGGATTTCAAATAGACAAATGTCCCATTTCTGAGAAGTATGCTTGCAAACATACTCAATATTTGACTGGGACTCCTTTACCACAAATTTCTGCATCAATACAATATTGCATGGAGTCAAAAGGAGGTCTCACCAACAAATGATGGGGTCACTCTGGCAATGTTCACACTTGTTACACACTTCTGTCAGACATGGTAGGAACGCTGGGCTTCAATGAGAAACTCCCGTGATCCTCCTGAAACCTTAGCAAAACAAATATGTTTTTCCTGTTTGTTATTTTGCTCTCATCTAGGACAGAAAGTGACAAAGACCTTATAAACCCAAAGAAGTGACTCAGGTCCTGCTACTGTAAGAGCAAAATCAAATCCAAATCCTCACAGAATTAGAAACATTATCCAAAATCTGTTTGTTTTGGATATCTTATGCTAATGTGGGTGTAATTTGCTGCAGGATAGGAAACAAAAGGCGCCACTGGTGAACAGCTATTCCATCTAAAGACATGTCATGATGAATACAGAGGCACTGTAACAGGCTTGTGGTCAGACTGTGTGTTTACTTGTCCATCACAATGAATGGATGCACAAATAAGCGTATAAAAAATACACTCTTTTTGACTCTGGAATAAAGCATGCCATGAATGCATGTGGTGATCCCAGAATGAATGAATGCTCTGGCTTGGCTCTGCTAAGTGATATTTTCCAACCATAAAGACTGCAACAATATTTGACTTAATGTTTGCCCATTTCCATTGTCTCATGAGCGATGGGAACCTTGGCTGTTGTGCTTTAATGTTCATGTTCTGCCTGTGGCGTCTTACAGTAGATGTAAAACGATCCTCTCAGGGTGGATTCCTTCAGAAGTCCTCACTCAGCAGCCCTGTTGCAGCACCATGCCAAGCCCACATGAGCCATATTCAGCTTTTTAGGAATGTGGATCTTTGGCTGGCAATGGCCTCAGAGGTTTGGTGGGTGTAGGAGTGAGATTGAAGGGGAAGGGGGATGTCTGTGCACGATTAGGCCGAACAAAGCTGTCCTTGTCCAGGCACACTCTGAAGAGCAGTGAGGACCTTTGGCTGCAGCGGAGGAAATTACAATCTCTGCCACTCGTATATTTGGTTTCTTCGCCTAATCAGCTGAGCTGTAGTGTGAGAAACACAGAGAGACAGATATGCAGAGGCAGTATGGGTGGTCTAAAATCTGCATTAGAGGATTACATATTTAGTTTATACCCATGATCAGAACTTCTACCACACGTCATTAACTTTTCCAACCTCAAACTGACCCACAGGAATCATCAACCATCTCTAGTTCCACATGGATGAGTGAGTCACCCTCAAACTGAGCTGCAGAGTTCCCCCTAAACTGCATTAATTCTTTGTCATCAGGTTCTCTATCCCATCCTGCCGGGCCTTCTGGACTGTAACCCATTCAAGGCAGGCTCTGAACTGGAGGTGTCTGTCGATGCTACTCAAGTCCTGGGAAAGAGTAGACTGCAGGTTCCTGCTGAAATCCAGCAGCTCGTGGAGGTTCTGACTGAGACCTGGAAACTACTGTCAGACTGTCAGCTCCATGCAGAGATTTCCTCACAGCTGATTGGCTATCTCTTCTACTTCATCAATGCATCACTCTTCAACTCACTAATGGAGAGAGGTACCTGTGCATCACATTCATGCAAGCTCACTGCAAGAAAACAAGATACAGATTAAGAAACAAAATCAACGAGACCACATGTTACCAACAGGACTCGCTTCCTTGTTTGTTGCATTGATGCAAGACTAGGAGGTTTCAGAGATTACACAATGGCCCCAACACCAGCTCATACTCCTTTTACAGTAACCTGTAAAACATTTCCCCAATGACAGATCATATCTATCATTAGTGTAAAGTTTTGTCTTGATACAGCAGACTCAGTTATATTTATGCAGCCTCTCTCTCCCTGTTATGACTCCAGACAACAAGAGTAAAAATACCAAACTTAAGTTCTCAAGGACCACCCAAGATGATCCTGCAGATCTATGACTTGATTAACGAGCTGACTGTAAAGATGACTCTCTCCTCATGTGAACAAAGGCTCCGAGCGAAGCTTCTATCAGTGGTCCAGGGGCTTTCATATGCGGTCCAATCTCAACTTCCTCCTGGACTGGGCCCACACAGCTGGACTGGGAGAACTGGCCTTGAAGCATACGCACACTCTTTCATCCGCAATTAATCTGCTGGCTACACCCCGAAAGAATTTACTACAGGTAAAACAAACACACACGCACACATAGACAGGGAGAGGAATTAACCAATCGCAAAGACTCACAGTCACATAAAAACCTGATGATTAAGAGGAGGGATTTGACCTTTACATGGACTAGTTACCAGTTTGGAGGTTCTCCACTGTCACACACAGAGTCTGTCAGGGGTAACTTTAATAAAAAACTTTTTACCGGCATGAGGTCCAGACACATGTGGTGGTTGATGACCTCTGTCTGACCTTGACCCTTATACAATGAAATGCTGGGGCTGATGAATCAGGTGAGTTAGCATGCATGATAGGAGCAAATGCAGGTTGGGATAAGTTATGCAGGACTGAGCATGAAAAGATTTTTGTTCCTGGGTGAACTTAAGTGATGTTTCATGCATCTGAAGGACTTTTCAAAAGCCAGCCCCCCTATTTATGGAGCAACGGAGTCCCCCTGCTGGCCACTAGACAAAATGCAGTTGGAGGCACTTGGGCATTGTTTTGCTGTTTCCATGTTTTTGTGATAAGACAGTAAATGGAGTGGGAAACTAAAGGAAAGGGTGGAAGATGACATGGGCTGAGGGGCCACTTGCTTCAATGGCTTAAGCCACATTAACTGCTAAAACCAGTGCCACAACTATGTTCACCTCTATGTGCAATCTATGAAGCACACAGCACAAGTACAAGTAAATTAATCAATTATCTCTGTGAGGTAGAAAATCAGTCAAAACTGATCACTAAAATCCAGAGAAGTTTTAAGACTGTTTGCTGAGTATAAAGGTCCCACCCATCTTTACATTCCTACAGAGTAGACAGTTTACCTGTGTTTACCTGTGCTTGTCTGTGCAGAAATCATGGGTGACCCTGCGATCAGAGCACCGTGCCCTGAGCCCAGCCCAGCTAAACCACCTGCTGAGTCTGTACAGCCCAGCATCCCCCTTCAAACACACCTGGACTCCATCACTTCTGGACCAGGCTGCAGCACAGAAAACTGGTAAGTGATCAAGATACTGGCTAACCGTGATCTCTATAATCCGTCTCGAGAAACCAGAGGTTTCTCATCTATATTTTCTATTTGTTCCTTGTTCTTCTGTTTGAATGTCTTTTCTCAGATGACATCTTGGAGAGTTTTGACACCCATCATCCTCTGGTGCTGCCAGACAGCAGTTACCAGTTCCAACTGAGGAGTGAGATAATAGACTTGTACTTGACAGAACAGTTGGACAAACTCAAAGAGTTTATCGCAACCCTCTCTGGCTCAAAGTACGACGTGGTCAATGCAACTGACGAGGAAAAGGTATAAAAGTGCCTGCCGTGCCTTTAGATTTATACCACACATGAATTGTTGTGTGAACAAAAATAAAATACTGATATACTGATGTTTTTATGCTTGCAACTCAAACGTTGTCCAATCAGCAAAGACAGTACCATGAAGGCTAATAGACCTTTGATTTCCTCTTTTAAAAACTTCGACAGATGCATTTGTAAAAACAACAACTCACATTTGGATGGTATGAAAAGGTTAATGCACCAGGAGAACATTGTTTGTGTTTAGTTTCAAAGCCCCACCCTTCTTGCACTTTTACAATTTTTCACTCAGACACTGAGGAGTGAGGGGAAAAGTTAAATGACTGGGTATAAGAAGGACCTTCAGAGAGGCTGAGTCTATTAGGAGGAAAGATGGGAGGAGGTTCACCACTCTGTGAGAGACTGCAAGAAAATTGTTCGACAGCATCCCACAGCGTAAAGTTACAGGGAATCTGAGGGTTTCATCATCTACAGCAGACAAAGCAGACATGACTTGGAAGTGGAATGCACTACACTGGCTATATATATATATATATATATATATATATATATATATATATATATATATATATATATATATATATTTCCTGTAAACAGTTTGTTAATGCATTCATTAACACAGGTTAAAGCTGTGCTACACCAAGAGGAAATTTGTAGCTCTGTAGGAGAAGAGTCCTACTGGTCATCACCCATTAAAAAGATAGCTTGGTGCATCATAACAAAAAATAAATGAAGAAATACAATCCTTCCATTAGGCGGCAGGAGTCTTACTTAAGGAAACTGTTTTTTAAGTCACAGCAAAGATGTTTCCTCCAGCTAAGCTGAATTTCTTGATAATGTTTTCTCTCCAGGTTGGTACCAGTCCTACAGAGGTCAAACTGGCGAAGATGGACATCCATCCAGGGATTATTCAGGAAACATTGGATAAATCATCCACTGAGATATTCTTGTCTCAGTCTACTCTCCACGACTTCCAGTCCCCCTCCTCTCCCTCTGCTGCCTTACCTCCCTCACCCCCTTCACCATGTTCTCCCTCCTCCACCCAGTACTTTAATGAGATCAGCTCCTGTGGTGCCCTCCTTTTGTCCCATAAACTCAAAAATCTGGAGATACAGGGCAGAGAGACAGACTCAGGTTCTATACGGAGGTCAGCTCTGGACCCGTCCTGTCTACCCACTCCACCCAACACCCCCCACATCATTCACCCCATAGATCTGGTTAAGGCAGATAAGTGGGTGAGGGGTGAGAGTGAGACAGTTCCCTGGTCCTCTGGTGCAGATTCTCATGACAAAGGTAAAGTACAGAGATAAATCACTGCTCAATGTTTATAAGAAGTATAACACAAACTGATCATGCCCTGTTTTCTTTCGTGTTAGGGGGACTGGTGTTTGAATGTCTCTCTGCTCTGAAAACGGACTCTTTTCGATCAGAGTACCCAAGTTTGAAGAGATTTGTTAAACTTAAAGAAGAAGAGGAGAGGCAGGTGGAGGAAGAGGTTAGCAACCATTATGATGACGATGATTACGAGCTTTTCAGCGTAGAGCTGGAGCGAGGTGCATGTGGAGTTGGACTTGCTCTGATTGACACAAGGGTAAGTGAAAGAAATGTATACAAGTGCACAAAGCAATGTCAGTCCTTTCTGATCTAATTCTGTACTAATGTAAGTGGTGTTTTCAGATGACCAGTTTCTTTCTCTCAACCTTTTAACCATCACTTACTTGAACGCTAAACAGGAGGTTGTTTGTGCACCTCTGGCTAGTCAATGCACAAGCCCCCTGTACGGAGGTTATTCACAAGTCGTTTTTGCAACATGCAAGTCATTGCTTTGACTGACACTAACTTAATGAGTGTTATAACAGGCCTCAACTACATAGTTGATCATTGAGACTCATTTGTTTTCTATATGTTGGGTCTACTCATACCCTGAGTATGAGTAGACCCTGCAGGTCTACATAGCCCTGCCTGGAATGCACCTCCTTAAAAATGTAATAATGTGTCGAAACAATGAAACTCCCTGATTGAGCAAGACAGAGCAACAGAGCAAGAATCAACAACAATACAGATGATACTGGTAAGATCAGGCACAGTGTTAAAAGGAGGAGCAGGAGTGGAGGTAGGTTGCAGAGGAAGTAGGGTAGGCAGGCCAAAGCAGAACATTCATTTCCACATTTGCCAGTTGAATGCGTAGATGGTAACCTGTTTAGTTGTTAGCTAATATATGCTGGTGTTAGAATCAGCTGATGCCTTGTGAGCTATCATGATAATTAGTTTGATAAATAAATGTTAAAGAGTAGAGGCTCAGCTTAAAACCTCCTGCTGTTGTCATGTCGTCTTCAGGACACGTCTTTGAAGGTGAAAGGCGTCTTCATCCGCGCAGTGGTCCCAGACTCACCTGCAGCCCACAGTAAGAAGCTGCAACCAGGAGACCGGATCCTAGCTGTTAATGGAGTCAGTCTGTTTGGACTAGACTACCAGAGGTGTGTATTTTTTCTGATATTAACCCAACTTTCCTACCAATCACTCAGCTGTATCAAATACTTGGTTCTGATAGGTCAAAACCCCTTTGACGATGTTTATTAATTCTGAGCTCACTCCAGAGGAAACTTGTTAAAACATTACACATATTATTAGTTCATCATTTCACCTCCTCTTGTTGACTATGTGACAAAAATGTTACTTTCTCAAAGCATTAGTCAACACATGGTAACTTTTTTGCCCACAAAGTTCATCACTAGAAAGCTGCCTGTCTCACAAGGAAGTAGAATTTACAGCTAATCAATTTGTGGCACGGTTTAGCTTTTAGAGCTGACATTGTAAACATGACAAAATCATATAAAACAGCATATTAGACAGCTGCTGTCATATATCTGCTATTATTGCTAGCCCTGGCTGCCTTTTGGTATGCATCACATCAATGCTTTGCAGGGTATGCTAAGCATCAAGGCAAATGATATTAATGGCTCAAACTCACTGGAACCAGTTCTTGTCTGGGAGTGGTTCTCAATTCCCATCCCAATTGGTCACCAGTAATAAACAGGATAATGTAGTAAGCCCACATCATTTGATTTCACCTCTACATACATGATTCCATGTATATGAGCAAACGTACACTATGTTCAAACATCAAATACCAAAATAAACTTCAAACTTTGTTAACATTTAGTCGTTATTTTGCTATCTCTCTCTTTACCAGTGGAAAGGAGCTGATCCAGTCATCAGGTGACAGGCTGCGGTTACTGCTGGCCAGATCTGAGTGGATGGCAAAGGCTATCAAGGCTGAGTGCTGACAGCGCTTTTTAGACATTGATATTGAACGCACCATGAGCGCAATTTTAGTCAGATGATTGAACACTAAATCATCTCTTGTCACTTGTTATCTGACATCACTGTTTAGAGTGGAGCTTTATGTTTGAAGCAACATAATCAAACTCTTAAACCAGTTACTGAAGGTTACATGTTCACTGTCAGGCTGCTCCTGATCACAGTCCTCAGTACAGACACCATAAATGCAGCTACTAGAAGATCTGCATGAGTGAGACACCATTTGCACTATAATAGATGTTATTATAAAGAAACCCTGAAATGAGATCCGCTAAGCTGGGCGTGGTGGCGTGGCAGGGGGAGGTGTCGACAGAATCAGCGGGCGCAGTGACATTTTCGTGCTCGCCAGTGGCGTGTAAAGTGCGCTGAAAGCTCGCCGATTCAAACCTGGTCACCTTTCAGCGCAGGCGGAGCACAGCTGGTCTAGTGGTATTTTGGTAGACCGGCAGCGTATCGGCATACGTCACAGATGCCTCACAGGCAGGTTTCCACAGTCTCAGGCACATTTCAGTGCAATAAATAATCAACAACTATTAATCTGAGTCAGCACATACATTTAGATCTATATAGATATATTCTGATCTATATCTGATCTGATGAGCACGTTTGACACGCGTTTGGACACACAACCTGACCAAATCAACACAGCTGAAACCGCATTAGATTAAATTAAATATCTAGTAAATAGACACACATGATGAAGTTAACAAGATATCTAATTCGTCTCCCTCCTTTTATTTCTTCCTCTTCCTCTTATTTCTCGCGCAGCTCGACCTGGACACGACTCCGTGTCCTCTCTCCGTCCTGCTGCAGCTGCTGCTGCGGCGGCTGAACAGATGATTTGTTTCAGTGATCAGATGAGTTATTTACTTTAAGTCACATACGAATATTATAATATTCAGTTTTGTGAGCCAAATTTATTTTATATGCCAACATCTAAGAAAGAAAGAGCCAGGCTACGGAGCGCGATGTGTCATTTACGCACAGATGGTTCCGATTTTAATGCCATTTTTGGAGTTTATGTTGTGATCTGTGCACACAACCCACCTTTGTCACGTGAGGTTTGAATATATGCAACTTTATGTGAGTGTCTTTATTTGTGGAAAAGGGTGTTTGTCTTACCAGTGGGTCCAACATTACACACACCAAATCCATCTGTGCTCATATGGGAGAGTGTGGAGGACACCCAATGCAGCGCTTACAGTGACACTTGTTGAGGAGCTGCCTTCTGTCGCCATCGTGTGGCATTACTGTCTTCACACAACTCTCGATCTCTTTGATGTCCATACTAAACCCCTGTTAAGTATTAAAACATCATACATAGATGGAAACATTATTCTTGGGGGTATTTTGGGTTCTCAGATTTTGTCTTTTTGAGATATTTGAGCAGCAAGAACAAATTGGTCTGACACCTCAGTTTTTACTGAACCCAGGGGCTGTTTGACCTCTAAAGACCCTCATTGAAGACTCTCCAACCACAAGCTGTTTGTAATCTTCTGTAACAATAACTAATGAATGTTAACGTAGCTAAATTAGGTCTTAACATGGATGTTAACATCTGATTATAGACGTTTTCTGTGAAGGCATCACTTTTGAGTTGTTTCAAGAATACAAAGCTGTGTAAAAAGTGGCACCCGCAAGCTGTGTCTAACTTTATTTCGGTATTATTCTTTTGCTTTTGAAGGACAGTCACTGTATTTTGTCCTCCTTAAGCCATCAGTGCAAATAGTGCAAGAGATGCTATCAGTACAGGGGGGAGCTGCTGCATCCATGTGTGCCACCATCTTGGGTGGAACAGTGACATTATAACAGCAGCTAATGTAACATTTCCTTAAGGCTAACTGCTGGGTCGTTTGATGACAGTGAAGCTGTGTACAAAGTAACACCCATTAGCAGTGTCTTACTTTTTATCAGTAGATAAACAGCCAAAACAAAGTGTTTTAGGCAGAGTATGAAGAGTACGGACACCAGAGTAGGATGAATAAGCTTTGCTACAGTTGAACATCATGAAAACTAAAAATTAGTGTTAAAGGTCTCTAAAGAAATCACTTGAAATCATGTGCCCCATGCAGAGGAGCTACAGTCTACAAACCTATTCTATACACTGTTGATTTCCCTCAATAAAGGCGTGAAAAGCTCCAGAATAGTGTACAATAAGAGTGGAGGTTGTCCTGGTCCCCAGAATAAAAGGTAATTCAGTCAAGTAAACCACGCCTGGTAAACAGACCGTATTTATCAAAAGTTTCTGATGACTCAAAGTTTCATACACCACATTCATACACTGATAGCAGAGGATGCTTTGGTGCTTGTCAGTATTAACTAACCCCATTTATATGAAAATCCAAGTCTCACAATGAGCCTGTATAAGAGCAGGTCTGAAACACTTGTCACTTTTTGGCATTCAAATGTGAAATAAAGCCTAACTAATGTTTCATTTCAATCCACTTTTTTCCTCAAGTTTTTGATTTTTCACCTAGATAACAATTTGTGGATGTGTAATACTTATTATTCAGGAATACTGTTGTGAAAGCTAAATATATTGTTGAACATGATGTCACATTTATTTAAAGTTTTTTCAATGAGCAGATGGTTTCAGGAGCTCTTATTGTTGGAGGATTTCTACAGTCCAGAAACTGATACCACTGTTTTTGTTTTCCTTTTAGGCTGGGTTCAGATTTGATTGTTTTTCGAGCTGTTCATTTAAATCGTATCATAAATGTCTGTTGTTGCAGCAATAAATACATTTTAATCGTATGCTGGTGTCTTTTCTGTTCAGTCACACTGAAGGAAAAACTGACATCAGTTTCTCAGAAGCTAAAAAACAACAACTTTGACACTGACTTAAATACACATGAAACAAAGTACAGTCTTTGTGTAATTCAGGTTATACAGTGAGGCAAATCCATTTAAGGTACAGCCCTGGTATCCCACACCGTGGCTGCAACACTACATAATACTGACCAAGATTTCAATGATTTGTGAGTGACTTTCAATGAGTGTTGCAGGGAAGTCGCCAGAGATAGAGATATCTCCACAGCCACAGAGGTCATGCAGCACTGTGGAGCCATACATATACTTCATGCTACATTACATCGACACAGATTTCCCTGTGAAGACGAAACTGTCTCCAATGACCACCAAGGCAAAACATCACCAAAAGCCTGAGCTAAGTGATGGCTGCTCAAAGAAGAAGAACCTTCTTTCTATCACTGCAGTCCATATCAAATATAAAACTGGCAGCCGAGGTCAACGGCTGAAGAGGCTGCCGTGCTTAGGGTTCAGACACCACATGCTCATTGGTGAGTTGTTGTAAATGACCATCATGATCACATCATGATGTGTAAATGTAAATATATACAGTACATATATCTTTTATAGTGTTAGATAATGCTATAAAGGACAAAGAATAAACCTTACCATGGGTTTGGGCAAAAAAACTAGTTAGCACTTTCTCATCCAGTTGGAAAGAAAAAAAAAACAACAAGTAGCTGGTTGCAGCAGACCTCTGTATAAGGAAATGTGCAGTGGGAAGTTGGACCTCTGCTTGGTTATTTGTAAATAAGACCATCTAACCAACTAAAGTTGTTCTTCGCAGTGTCTTATTTTAAGCCAACAGACTTCAAGAGGCTGATGTTTTAACTTGCAGTTAGGAGTTCATCCAGGTTAGATTTGTTTTGATTTTTCCCAGACAACAGAGTAATTTTTACCAGAGAATAGGCTTGATTTTAGGTCGAATGGCAGACAGTTTTGTGAATCTACCTACCATGAGAAACACACTGAAACAGACTGGTAACACACAGGCTGCACGCGCAGGTTTGCAGGAGCCCAGCAGAGGGTGCTCACCTGACACACACAATACACCAGTTTAAGTGGAAGCTTACCAAGAGCACATTACAAAAAAATATTTATGCACCTAAAATGGAAAAATTTGAGGAAAACAGTAGATGATGATGACAAAATATGGAGATGATGACATATGATGGCACGAGGAATCACTAACCTTGTTGCACCAGCTATCCAGAGAGTTGCTGTCTCCCTGTGTCACAGCTGAGAATCCAAAATCCAAATCATTAATTTTGAGACTACTGTTTGTTTAAAATACACACAAAATAAAATACAAATACAAAATTTGCAACACATTTGACGATGCTGTCCTCTACATGCTTCACAGTGCTCTGTCTCATCTGGAGGAACCTGGGGTTTATGTGAGGATCGTGTTCTTCGACTTTTCAAGTGCATTCAACACCATCCAACCCATCATACTCAAAGACAAGCTCACAGAGATGGGAGTGGATCCTGCCTGTGTTTCCTGGATCACAGATTACCTGACAGGAAGGCCACAGTTTGTCAGGCTGGGGAACTGTGTTTCTGGGACATTAATGAGCGATACAGAGGCTCCACGAGGGACAGTGCTGGCACCATTCCTGTTCACACCATATGTCAGACTTCAAATACAGCACTGAGTCCTGCCACATCCAGAAATACTCAGATGACACCGCTATTGTGGCATGTATCAGAAATGGACAAGAAGGTGAATACAGAGATCTTATGAGAGTCTTCAGTGACTGAAGTCACAAAAACTGCCTCCTCCTCAACACCTCAAAGACAAAGGAGATGGTTATAGACTTCCATAGATCCAAACCCCCTCTTCAGCCAGTGAACACCTGTGGAGTGAACATCGAAGTGGTGACGTCATATGAATACCAAGGTGTACATCTGGATAATAAGTTGGACTGGTCTAAGAATATAGATTACATCTACAGAAAGGGGCAGAGCCGCCTCTTTTGCCTGAGAAGACTCTGATCAATGGACGTCTGTAGTAAGACGCTGCAGATGTTTTATCAGTCTGTGGTGGCAAGTGTGCTGTTCTACGCTGCAGTCTGCTGGGGAGGAAGCATCAAACACAAAGATGCAAGACGTCTTAACAAACTGGTGAAAAAGGCTGTCTCTGTGGTAGGACTCAAGCTGGACTCAGTGGAGGATGTGGTGGAGAGATCTACACTGAGGAAGGTGGAGACTATTCTCAAGACCATGGACCACCTACTTCACAAGACCTTGATGGACCAAAGGGCCAATGGTGGTGGACGGCTCCTCTCCCTTCACTGCAGGACAGAAAGATTCAGAAGATCTTTTGTACCAACAGCCATCAGGCTTTATAACTTGTATGTAAATAATAGATAATTTTTAGAGACATATTATGTGAGACAACAGACAATTGAATTTCCTTTCGGAGATTAATAAAGTTGTTCTTATTCTTATTCTTAATACCACTAATAGCCAGGCTGGTGTTGTTTATGTAGGTCAAGTCTTAATTTTTTTTAGTTATGACAGACCTGTTTGTGACAGGAAAAACAGTTTTATGTTGAACAAATAATCCACTGGCTCCACTGCTGGGGCAGCCTTTTGGAAGTGCTCCTGACTGTTTATCTGTTTAGCCTAAATTGTTAATTACAAGCCCTGACTCCTGACAGCTTTTAAGGCTGAGCTCCGCTACTGTGAGAGTTAGGCCTATTTTTTTTGTTGACAAACGCCTCCTCACTGCTTAAGTAATCTGTCTTCATTTGTTACAAGCTTCTTAATGATGATAAGTATGATACTGCCTATGTTCTTGAAAGAACAATAAAGTTTATTTAATTTTGCACAGATCTGCATTGTTGTTGCATGATGATTGCATTGTGGTAGAAAGATTAATCGTATCGTCCTGAATTGGTAGATGCTTCATGTGAATCATAAATGTATTGTGCCGTAGCCTACATGTTGAGATGCATATCGTATCGTCATGAGGATGGAGATTTTCATCCCTAATATAGAAACTAGAATGAACAAAAATACACTCTTGATCAAAATCTTAAGACCAGTTAAAAAACTGCAAGAATTTATATTTAGCACTGTTGGACCTTAAGACGGTTCTTAGTAGAGCTTCAAAATGCAAAAAGAAGAAATGGGAACAAGAGACCAAAAATTTTGAGCAGGTAATTTATTGAAAACAACAATTTAACTGAAATAGGCTGTTCATCAGCTGATCAAAAGTTTAAGACCACAGCCTTTAAAAGCCCAAATCTGTGCGAAAATTTGGATTCCATGTAGTTTCTTGTCAAGGGGTCACACTGTCAACATCTCTTGATGGCAAAGGCAAAAAAGCTCACTGCTTTTGAACGTGGTAGGATTGTTGAGCTGCATAAAAAAGGCCTCTCACAACGTGCCATCGCTGCTGAGGTTGGACGCAGTAAGACCGATATTTTTCATTTCTTAAAAGATCCGGAGGGTTATGGAACAAAAAAATCAAGTGGTAGACCCCAAAAAATCTCACTAGCGCTGAGCCGGAGGATCCGAATGTGTGTCCATCAAGACGCGGGACGATCCTCATCCCAAATTAAGGCCATTACAGGCGCTGACTGCAGCCCAATAACAATCAGATGACATCTGCGAAGGAAGGGCTTCAAAAACAAAAAAAAAGTCTTCAAAGGCCACGTCTCCTTCAACTCCACAAAATTGTCCATTTGGGCTTTGCGAGGGAGCACCAAACATGGGACCTTCAAAGGTGGAACAAAGTTTTATTCTCTGATGAGAAAAAATTTAACCTCGATGGTCCTGATGGCTTCCAACGCTACTGGCATGACAAGGAGATGTTTTCTACGCGGCACAGGAGAGGGGGCACCATCATGATCTGGGGTGCTTTCTCCTTTAATGGAACAGTGGAGCTCCAGGTTGTGCAGGGGCGTCAAACAGCAGCTGGCTATGTGGAGATGTTGCAGCGGGCATTCCTCATGACTGAGGGCCCTTGTCTGTGTGGCAATGACTGGGTTTTTCAGCAGGACAACACTACAATTCACAAGGCCCGTCTGACCAAGAACTTTCTCCAGGAGAATAGCATCACTCTTTTGGACCATCCTGCATGTTCCCCTGATCTAAATCCAATTGAGAACATTTGGGGATGGATGGCAAGGGAGGTTTATTAAAATGGACATCAGTTCCAGACAGTGGATGCCCTCCGTGAAGCCATCTTTACCACTTGGAGCAACATTCCCACTAGCCTTTTGGAAACACTTGTATCAAGCATGCCAAAACGAATTTTTGAAGTAATCAACAATAATGGTGGAGCTACTCATTACTGAGTCAGTTTTTGACACTTTAATTTCTGTTTTTGGTGGTGTTTAGGTTTTTTTGAGCTGTGGTCTTAAACTTTTGATCAGCTGATGAACAGCCGATTTCAGTTAAATTGTTGTTTTCGATAAATTACCTGCTCGAAACTTTTGGTCTCTTGTTCCCATTTCTTCTTTTTGCATTTTGAAGCTCTACGAAGAACCGTCTTAAGGTTCAACAGTGCTAAATATAAATTCTTGCAGTTTTTTAACTGGTCTTAAGATTTTGATCAGGAGTGTATAAACACAACACTTTTGTTACTACACTAGTAGTAGTGTAGTGTTATGTTGTTATGTTACATGTTACATGTTATGCTACAAGATGCATCCTACATCCCGTCCACGAGGGACAGTCACAGACTGTGTCCTCACAACAGAAAGTGGCTGCTTCATAAAAGGTACAACACTTAGTAGTACACTACTATGAAAAACAATTAAATACATATATTATACTGTATGACTTTGGATTTCCCTGCAGTGTTGGGATATTTTGTTAGTTTGTGTATTTTCTGTCTCCTGTGTGACAATAAAGACTTTTGAACTGCTATTAAAGTCTCCTGCCTTTTGGGTCCAGTCAAAACTCTCAGCACAGAGTTAAAATATCTTTATGTGCACCCAAAGAAGCCTAAACAAAAGACACCTACCTCTTGCAGGAAGGACCAAAAATCTAAATACTGACATACAACTGAGTGGTGAAATCCAACAAGAGACACTGAAACAAATACAAAGTGTAATGTGTGTTTATTTAATAAAAATAACTGGAAAATTTTATTCACATATTTGGTAATGTTACGCATGATTCATTACACCAACTCTGTTCTGCTTAATGCCACTTGTTATACAGAAGAAGAGGAATACAGAGTAGTAGAGAAGAAAGAATAACAATTTGATTTCTTAAATCAATTGTTTAACTTTATTATTATTATTATTATTATTGTTGTTGTTGTTGTTGTTGTTGTTGTTGTTGTTATCATTATTATTCGGATTTGACAATGCATAAATGATTGGGATTCTGAATGGACGGTAGGTTTTGATCCGTTAATTTTGTTTCATCATTTTGTTTTGATTATCAAAAAGAACGTAGTAAAACAACAACCAATTAATGACAGATGTAGCCTGTGCGTTCCAACAAATGAACATAAGGACAAAAAGCCACTTCGAAATAGATTCCCGAGTTTACGAGGTGTCATTGAATGCACCGTGAAGCCGCTCACACGCTTCACCGTACGAGGCGGGCACTCGGTTTTTGAGTGAAGATGGCGCGACTGAGCCTTTCCGAAGCGTAGCTAGCGTGACCGCAGTGTTAACACTGGATCATGACATGTCTGGTAACGTTACTTACATGTTCTGACTTTCCTCTAACTGTCACTTACTGCGCGTTATTTTGCTGAATGTTTGCTCGGGAGCATGGTTACGTTGTTTTACTCTTGATGGGTTAGCTCTAAGTTAACGTTAGCCAAAGTCTGTTCAGACAAGTTGTAATGTCTTGATGATAGCATAAACAGAACATTGCTAACATACTACTTGAAGTATTGTAAGCACGTTCCTCGCTTGTTCCTCAAAAGGAAACTAATATAGAAATCACAGTCTGACTGCTGTGAGTCGTCGAGTGACGTGTGGAGTGTTTACTTAGTGGACCGAGCTAACCAAGTCAGGCTATTTGGGCGAACACGGATTAGCTAGTGACGAAATAACCCGGGAAGATGTTTAATCATAAGGCAGGTCGAATCTACATTTTTACTACAAGGCCCATGTGCAATACATCAAAACCTGTTCTACAAATGAAATCCTAATTCTCCTACATGTCTTCTTACGGTCAATAGGGGAGAGTGGGGTAAGTTGAGCCACCCCCTGTTTCTTGGAAATGGTAAAAGAAATTGATCATGTGACCAAATATTTAGGACATGGGCATCAATTCATGGAGTCTGTGAAGGGTAGAAGCACATGGGGGAAGGGGTTAGACATTCATTTACAAAAATAAAAATTCACTCTTGAAAGTGAATTTAGTCTGTCACAAGTTTTATTAGAATTGTGTTCAGACCGAATAAGATCATTTTAAATTTGTTTTCCACATCAAATTGTGGGATCTATGAGCTACAACATGAGGTCAAAAACTTAGCATAAAAGTCCACCGTTTTAGCTTAGAGGACTAATAAAGTCATAACAGTAGTTCTGGGGTAAGTTGAGCCAGTGGCTCAACTGAGAAAGTAAAGAAGTGATGAGAGGATCAGAGTTTCAGTTCAGATTGTTGAAATGTGTTACTTTTTCTTTTCAGAAATACAGCCGTGAATGTTCCGAATCACTTAAAGACATTCTCATGTTTAAATGACTTTTTACAAAACAGCTTTTTAGCAGTTATATCCAATAATAATAAAAAGAATTATTGTACCATTTGAATAGTGTATAATAGATAAAGATACACATGAATGTGAAATAGTGACTGTTATTTAGGGAGAGAGAAGGTGAGGGAGGGCTGGGGTGTAGAGTGGGGGGGTAGTAGGGATACGGCTCAACTTACCCCACTCCTATGATCAACGTACCCCATACACAGGGTAAGTTGACCATAGAAGACCACTTTTTTCGGCATGCTATATTATCAAGACAGTTATGTTTGCACTCATTCTGTTGGTTTTCAGGAATGCACGCCATCTTAAAATATATGCAGATACACTAGTTAGAAACAAAACTATGATTGCCTTGATGTAGTGATCCGAAATATGAAAAATGGCTCATCTTACCCCACTCTTCCCTTCATGTCTTCTTACGACCAATAAATGACACCAAACTGAACATTAAAAGCACTCACAAATTGTGTATGAAAATATGAGTGACAGGTATTTGAATGTGTGATTAGGACAGGAGGAAATAACTCATTCAACTGTTTAATTATGCATCCATCCTATTACAAGAGAAAGTTAGTGTTCTTTAAAATGAAAAATAGATGAAAAATTATTGGTATCCACCAAAATAAGATTGGAAGTAGCAGCAAAAACCTATATCAAGCATCCCAAATAGGAAGTTTTTTGGCTATGAGCAGTGCTGATCCTGCATCTGTTGTGACTGTAAATTAAGCCAGCTAATCTTAACTTCATTCTTCAGATGTTCCAGGTCTCCTTTTTTAGAGAGAGACACTGAAAAGCCTCTAATGATGTCCGTGGCAGTGGAAACAACAATAACAAGGATGCCTCTACCTATCCCAACATACTTCTCCCAAGCAGAGCAGTCTTTCTCCCTCAAAAAGCGCAGGCATCCTTGCTCCTCTTCATCTGCATCCAACTCGCCGTACTCTTCTCCTACCCAGCTCTCACACTCTGTGCCCCCACTGCCACCATCCAAGGGATGTCCCCCTCTGAGACGGTTGTTCCCACAGCATCTATCTCCTTTTACACCTCTGTCTGGTTCCCTTAGTAAGTCTCCCCCTCCCAGTTCTGTTTATGATCCGAGCAAACAGCAGACCTATTTCAGTCAGTGCTTCACCAACCTGGGCCTGCTGGGAAGAGGATCATTTGGTGAGGTCTACAAGGTGAAGATTTTTTTTAATTGTGTTAATGTGTTAACAAAAAAGAAATTAAATACATATACTGGATTTCACTCCCTATGACCAAGAATCCAAAATAAAATGTATTTCCTCAACATAACTTTTCTGTTTTTCTAGGTGCAAAACAAGAAGGATGGTCACCAGTATGCAGTCAAGCGCTCAGCTCATCGCTTTAGAAGTAAAAGTGAAAGGAACCGGAGTGTTAGGGAAGCCAGGAATCATGAGTGTCTGTGTCCTCATCCTCACATCCTTGATTTTGTGGCAGCCTGGGAGGAGCAGGGTCGACTGTACATTCAGACGGAGCTGTGTAGTACCAGCTTGCTGCTCCATGCAGAGAACCAGCCTGGTCCAGGTCTGTCAAAAAGAGACAATAAAATCTATCTTAATGCTGCATACTAAGCTATCAGGTTTAACTGAATGTAACAAACATTTCTTGCTTCACGAAACTCTCGGTAACTCTGCGTCTCTCTTGTTTAAAACATTATTATCCAGATGAGCCTGCAGCCTGGGCTTACCTGTGTGACCTCCTGTCAGCGCTGCAACACCTTCACTCTCATGGATTTGTGCATTTGGACCTGAAGCCTGCCAACGTCCTCATGACTGCCTCTGGTCGTCTTAAGCTGGGTGACTTTGGGCTGCTGCTTCAGCTGAAACAGAAAAGTTCTGAGTCTTTTGAGGAGAAGGGGAAAGAGGAGGCCCAGGAGGGAGATGCCAGATACATGGCACCTGAGCTGCTTCGTGGGGAGTATGGAGCTGCTGCTGATGTATTCAGGTGGGAATACTTTAATTCAGGAATAAACAGCATTTTCAAGTGTAAAAAAAACCTTAAATTAGTTTCATTCTTTTCTTATAGTTTGGGTGTTTCTATTTTGGAGTTGGCCTGTAATATTGAGGTTCCAAATGGTGGAGATGGCTGGCAACAACTCAGACAAGGCTGCCTTCCTTTAGAGATTACCAGCGGTAAGATAAGCTTTCATTTAAGATCTAATCATTTTTTTCACATCTGTCATTTCAGTTTGTAATAATCTTTTGTAGGTTATTTAGTACTTAAGCTGCACTCTTGGCCAGGACTCCCGATTCAAAGGGGATCTTTTATCTCCATGGATCGTTTTGACAAAGAAAATGAATGAAATGTTGGTGTATATTCACAGGACTTTCAGTGGAGCTACAGACAGTTCTGCAGATGATGCTGGCTCCAGATCCATGTGACAGGCCAACAGTCTCTGAGCTCCTCGCTCTCCCATCTGTCTGGAAACGCAGGTGGAAAAGACGCATTTATCTCATGGTGGCTGAGACTGTGTTGACACTAGTTTCTTTCTGCCAGGTAATGTCTTATACATCCTTTTGAAAGTAAACTTTGGTATATGTTTAAGTAACTGAAAATGTTGAAGCAAAGAGTATTGACTGCTGCTTTCTGTCACAGGAGTCATATTAGTATTTTTTATATTTTTCTGGTCTGTAGTCGGTGTTGTGCTGTGGCTGCAGACTTCTGTCTTCCCTTCCTACTCTTCCCTTTCTTCCCAATTGGAACAAGCCGGTACCCTGCACTCCTCCTAAGGACAGCTGGGACAGGGATCTAACTCTGCCCTTGAGTGCCATGCACGCTGATTCAGGGAGTCCAGAGGATGATGCAGCATTTGTGTTTGACGCCACAGACCCTGAGCTTTCCCCAACCCTCTCCCACAGGTACAAACACATTTAATTGATAAGCTTGTCACCTACTGCTTTTATTCTCAGAAAGTTTCCATTGATATAAATATACAGCAACAGCAAACTAAAAAATTAATTTCTGTTTTCGTACGAATGATCCGATTTTTTTATTGTCATCCTTGAACAGACTGAGATCCAGACTGTCTGTGGAAAGCACATCCACTCCTCTCCCAGCTTCACCCACCAGTCGTCTGAGTCTGGCCCACACACCCACTCATTCAAATGGGAGCGATTGGTTCTCCTGTAACTTGGCACACACACCCTCCAGCATTCACTCTAATGGTTCCTGCCGCACTCTCACACCCAACGGGAGCCCAATGCCTACAGGAATTCACACACACAGCATGATTGAGAACTCCACTCACAGCCAGCACACTTCATCCATCAGGTCCTCGCAGAGGCGACGCATCTGGGTCAGGTCTGATGAGTCTTTACCTCGACCCAACATTGAACCAAAGAACCTGCTTAGCTTGTTTGAGGAATCAACGCTGGACGGAGAGCCTTGAGTTTACATACAGGAGCCAGAGTTTTTCTCTTGAAATGTTTAGTGACACTGACCTGATGTCTGAATTTACCTAGTGTTCTGCTTCGTTTGTACAAACTGCTTCTGCCATTTTTCAACAATTCTACAAAGGCTTCTTCTGACATGTATTTTGAGAGAAAACAGTAAAGAAAACTGGTTTTGTTGTGTATTCAAACCTTAAAGCACTTTTTATGTTTGTGTAGGTGCAATCTGTTGCTGAAATGACAAGTCATGATATGTTGTTAAATAAGTTAAAATTTCCTTGGTATACTTCCTGACCTCATGAGTCCCAAAATAAAATAAACTGGGAAGGGAATCATATCATGTCCTCTTCATTTTTGGTATAAGTTATTCATAAATACAAATAATTTAGTGATCTCTGGAGTTAATTTAACCCTCACATACTGTTCAAATCCTGTACCCTCACAGTATGTTCCGGGTCAAAATTGCCTCTTCAAAGAGTTCAAAGAGCAGCTTTCTGTCACAGAAAGTTCTCTTGACTAGTTAGGTCATTTTGACCTCTGTCTAGGTGTGTCTGTGTGACTGTATGTCTGTGTGTGTGCGCGCATGTGTGTGTGTTTCTGTCAAGGTAATGATAGTTTCATAATGATTTGAATATATCTTTTTGAACAACAAACCTTATATTGAACACTTGTTACTGTTTGTCACTTGTCCCACACTGCTAGATCTAAAATCCAGCTAAATATAGATACGGGTCAAATTTGACCCATAACAGCCTAAGAGGGGAAAAATTTGTAGCACATAAACAAAAATACACATGAATATTTTTAAATTAATTTCATGTATTTTGGGCAACTTCAGGAAAAGTCGTCAAGTTTCAGGCTTAAAAAATGATGTTTAGGGTATTTTTTACTGCTGTTAAAAGTCAAAACGGGTCAAATTTGACCCGAACAGTATGTGAGGGTTAAGTTAAACTATCAGTGCACATGCAAATAGGAGTCATTACAACAATATTTTCAGTTGCTCTGGCTCAAAAAATGCAAAGATGTAAGAGCTGTTTTTTTTTACCTTACCAGCAGATGGCAGCATTGCACAGGCAAAATTCCAGCTGAATGAACTATCCAGAGTGATGGTGGTCACTTTCTGCAAAAAACACAAAATCAAAATGGGAAAAAAATAGTTTGTCTGCCAGAGAAGTTACAGCAGTGAAACTTTGTTGTAATTTGATCTGTCATAGGCCTTACAATGTTATTATCAATTTCTGCACTAATGTAAATGATGTTAAAAGTCTTTTAATCCAAATTCTTGATAATCTTCAATTCAACAAAAGCTCTGATCGTGTTTATCAGACTGCACACCAGACTTTAGTGTTATGACTAAAAACCTGCCAAAATATGAGTTTGGTAGTTAAAGGGTGTTTATGATCTATACAAAATATTGTCGTAATTATAGTCCCTAACACCCTGGGTTGCTTATACAGAAATATCACATATCAGTCTGTACATCAGCATGAGTCCCCATAGGATAGTCTCTTGATAAGTGAAAAATCTGGTGGCAAATTTAAAAAATATTGATACAGAACATTTTTTTAAATAAAAATGTTACACTTTTACACATTTTTCCATCTTTTCTCTCCTTTTAGTTAAAATGTCAGTTGAAAAAGAAAGATGCTCAAAGATGAGAGTCTATGTTTCCAGTCTTACAGTACATGATATGAACAGTGGAAAAACACTCATATCTTGTCAGGTGAGGGAATTGCATTACAGCCTCTGATTACAGGACAAAGATGACACATCTTTCCCAACAGTGTGAAGGTGTTTCGTAATTTCTGATTTTTTAGTGACTACTTCCTTTCCCACCCCCAAGCCTAATGCGATTTGTTAAAGCTTGTTTAAGCAGGAAGGACTGCCTACTTTACCTCATATATTACACTCTTCCCTACAGTGATTGTCACATTTTCACAGGTGAGCTACAGGACACTTCCACAAGTTTGTGATACTACAAAGCAAGTAAGTTGGTTGATTTTTTTTTGTTTTGTGTATTGAAATTGTTGTTTGTGCCATAACTAATCATGAAAATTAGTTTTTAGGTTCCTTCAAATCCTCTTTGATAATGATATTACTTATGTGAAATGTTTCAGTGTCTGGAGGGGAAATTGCCACTATGCATACTATGAAGTGCGTGACTGTTGGTGACAGTGGTGTTGGAAAGACCCGTCTACTCCTGACCTACATCAACAAGATCTTTCCCAGGGATTACTTAAGTTCCTTCGATGTATTAACAACCCAAGTAAACATTGATAAACAGACTGTCAGTCTAAACCTTGTGGACTCTGCTGGCAGCAAAGACTATGAGTACATTCGCTGTCTTTCCTACACCGAAGTCCATGTCATCCTCATCTGTTTCTCCATCGCCGACCCAACTTCATTTAGTAATGTCAGCCTCAAATGGGTTCCGGAGGCTAGACACCACCGCCCAGGTGTGCCGATTCTCCTTGTGGGGACCAAGAGTGACCTGCGTGATGATCAGGAGGTCTTGAAAAAACTGAAAGAGCAGAACCAGACCACAGTCAGCCTGGAGCAGGGGGCACAGCTGGCGAAGCAAATCAAGGCTGTTGGATATCTTGAATGTGCCTCGATCAACCAGGTTGGACTGGATGAGATATTTGATGAGGCTGTGCGGGCTTTTCTTAATCATCCCAAAACTAGAAAGAAACCCTGTGTACTCATGTAAGCTTGGTAACTGTTTGATAGTTTTTTGGAACACTTTTGGATTTTATCTATGTGAGATGGTGATGAAGTGTTTATAAAATTAAACCATAGGAATGAAGAATTTGGCCATTACGTGCTAATCATTGGGTTCATCAGATCAATTTTTTGTCTTTTATCGAGATAGCAAAATAATAATGCAAATAATGCTACTGTAGTACCTGTGTGCTGCAACATGATTTCATTCATTTTTAAGGAAACTTAAAAAAGAAAAAAATAAAGCTCAGTTCTGCTGATTTCCTTTTCACAGAAAACAACATCCATCAAACAAGGGAGCAGAGTTTGTTTGACTAGGATGGCTAAACTGGGGTACAAGGACTTATACTGGAGAGGCAAAAAATTAAATAATGTACCATTACTGTTTTCAGTGATCATACACAGTAGGGTATACCTTGACAACTAGCATCAGAGCATCATTCAGATGTTCTATAAGTTCAAAAAGACAATATCTACCCAAAATTACAATGTACTGAGGAATAATACAAACAGACCCCTCTACACTTAGTGTAAGATCAACTTATTAGCAGGTACTCATTTGTTACCAGTAGGCTAAATGTATTTTTAACAGTTGGACAGGGTGGAGACATTTCCTCATTTTTGATGGACTATTCCTCTCGTTTTCAACTGTCTCATAAAAAGGTATTAATTTTTTTATGTTTGAAGTGCCAATAAAAGTCGGTGTGTTTTGTTAATCTTTCTCTTCTTTTCTTTTTTTTATTTTATTTTGAAGGGCCGTCGTTCGGCCCTATGAAACTGTTTAACCACAATAAAAATATTACGGGGATATAAGGTAGGGAGGAGGATCGGAGTTTGAGTGCATGTCTTGTGCTTTCATAGGGGACCAATTTTTTTTTAAATAGAGCCGTAAACTATTGCTCAGTAGATAAGAAATAACACATCTTATTATGAAAAATTGAAAAAGTGTCGTGCCCCGGATATGGTTCAGGTTTTATTTCCGGATGTTGCGCCTTGTATATTGCGTTTTGAATTTAGCTGTGTAACATTGAAACCTTCTCCTTTTTAAAATTGTCTGTAAAGTGAGGAAATTTGATAGAAAAAAATGGCATGCTATCTTTATTAACAGCAGACGGGTTGCTGGAAGTTTAGGGAACTGTCGATAAAGCTCGAAAATAGCTCAAGTAGCTAACAGTAGTCCACGTTAAGCTTCTCCGCTGACTTCACGTCTCCTCTTCAGGTAATAATTCAGCTATTATAGCCTGTACAGACATAATAAGTTAACAGTCTTCACTTCGAACATGTTTTGAAGAATATTTTTGATGATTAATTTATATAATACCAGTGACTGTTGGGTTTATGATAAAATGATCTCAGCGTCCTGGTGCTGGATCTCAAAATTCAGCTAAAACTGGTTCATGTTTAGACCTGCTGTGGATGAACAGAGCAATAAATCTGCATGTTACTGTTACACTGACGAAGAGAGAGTCAACCTCAGGCAGTAAATTACAACAGCAGGTACCGATCGACTAATCTGACTGGATAAGAGGTCCTGCATCGGTACAGATACTGAGAAGTTAAAAAAATCCCTTTATGTCCACAATCACAACACTCTGCTTTGGACTGATACTTGCAATACAGTCGTTTAAGATTACAACAACTGTGTTTGGGGCAGTTAAAGCTGGTCATTGTAAAAGCGTTGGTTAAAAGATAGATTGAAAAATATGATTGACTGTACTTGATACAAAGCGGCTGCTCCGTGGACTCAAACAATGCAGCAGAGTCTGAGGGGAAGCTCTTGGTTGCTTAGCAACAGGAATGGAGTTTAAACTAAGTTGTCGAATAAGTGCAAAAATATGTCCTTTTTTTTACCATAATTTGCAGCTTGTTAAACCGTATAAGATTTACCACATACAAGGTTGTGACGATGTGCTCAGTGACTCATTATCGAAACCCCTCCTTACAGTTTTCCTACAATAACAACCTTGTAAATGCTGCTACCCTTGCAAAGGCTGATTATTATTAATATTTTTTTGTTCTTACCCTGGGTGTCACTTCATTACAGGATGTCTAAACTTGAACGTTTGAATGCCCGTGTGACCAAACTGTTGACTGATGCAGTGCAGGAGGTTCTGGAGGTGGTCAAAGAGACTGTGTCAGAATATCAGTCAAAAACTGCCCGAACACAGAGAGAGAACATGAGTCTGAAGAGGAGACTGCAGGAGCTTCAGGATCAGATAGCAAGAGATAACATAGGTGGGTAAGGAAAGAAACTCTCATGATCATCTGACATTAAAGTTAACAGTATTATGACTGATATGTGGATTAGCCTACTTGTTTAATCAGTTTTATTCCATTGGTATTCTCTTTCACAGCTGCTCCACCCACATGTCATCCATTACCTAAAGAAGGAGTAGTACTTAATGAAGAGCAGAGCTTGGACGTTGAATTTAGTCCTAATACAGAACCAGTGCTGGATCCTAACCATGAAGTAAAGCAGGAATCCAAACAACAGGAAAGCTACAATAACACTGAACAACTCTCTGAGTGCGACTCAGAGCAAGCAGCTGAACATTGCAAAGAACAACCAGAGGAGTTGGCTCACATTACTGGGGAGACAACAACAGGCCACACATCACACAGGGCTAGCAGAGACACTAGTGCTGAGATATCTATTTCAGCATGCACCTCACTCTCTATCACCACACCTGGGGTGAGCTTGGCTGTGATTAAAAGAGAGCCAGAAGCGACAGACTGCATCACTTCAGAACAGACATCTCTTCAGAAACGGTTCAGCGGATGTGTTGACTTAAGCTGTAACTCCTCTCGCCTCAACTCAGGCACACACAGGTCACAGGTCAGCGCAGAATCTCGAGGACTTCTCTTTGTCCACTCAAACCATGCCTTAACAAGGAGGCTTGGATATCCCAAGACCACCAGGACTGCTCTTGATGGGAGAAAAATCAGGTTAGAGCCTTTCAGGAGAGAGGAAACACACCTGTGTGTTGTGTGTGGAAAGTCTTTCAGCAGAGTTGGAAACTTGAGAATCCACCAGCGTTGTCACACGGGGGAAAAGCCATATGGCTGCATTCAGTGTGGGAGGCGCTTCAGTCAGGCTGGAGACCTGAAAAAACATAAAAGAGTCCACACAGGGGAGAAACCATACTATTGCAACCAGTGTGGAAAGAGCTTCAGTCGAGGAGAGAACCTAAAAAGACACCAAAAGATCCACATAGGAGAGATTTTACAGTTACAGCAAGTGTGGAGGGATCATCAACCCTAAGTGTTGTTTTAGACATGCTGTGAATAAGCACGACTTTAGGAGAACCAGTAAAAGAACATTTTTCCTCTTTCAATTTAGTTTGGGAATAGTTGTAAGGTATCTTATGTAGAAACGACAGAATATCGTCAAAGAATTTTGAAATTTCAGGAGGTGTTACTTAATGTTGTGGTATGTAGCAGGTAGTGTGCTGCTTACTCAAGCCTTTTTGTCCCTCTGATAATGTTGAAACAGGGCTTTAAAAGGCAATCACTGAACCAAAGAAGCTGAAGCTTTACAGATACTGATGGACAGACTTATAATTATAAAGTCAGTGCCTGAATTAGTTACTTTCAGTTCAGTATTATTTATTTTTAGATAATATTTGTTGTTCAATCTTACTTAGATAACCAGAACTGCCCTGCGCAGGACTTTCAAAAAAGGCACAAGTTAGCTTTTCTTTTGGTCATGTGTACAGCTTATTCTCTTACATTTAGTATGTAAAGCTGTGGACAATTTTTTGAAACTTAAAGACCTGAATGGCATGATGGTCATTTGCATTGCCTGATACGACAGACCGATTGATGCTTGTTGTATGCTGGATGTATTTATTGCAGGTTCATATGGATCTAAAATGAGACAAAGTAGAGTTTCAAAATAGGACAAAATCAATAAATTATTTCCAATGCAGAAGGCTCAGTGTATAATGAATTTCACTTCAAGTTGTTTGTATTGAGTATGAGTGAGAAATCATCACAAGTATACACACGATTACACACCACATGTAAGGAAGTAAACACACATGTGCACCCACAGCTGAATATTGTGCATCAACAAAATTCAACTGACAAAACAGTTCTCACAATTAATCTGCAAAGCCCCAGAAGTTCAAATTAAAAGAAAGGATAGAGAAAGTTAAATGCATATGAGCTCAGTTAGACTTCACCATCTATAGCCAATTACAATCAGCCCTTTGGAGGAATTAACCTGCACAGTTAAGGTTATACTTAAAGCACCCAAAAGACAAAGCACACACTTCTACAGCAATAAAAATAGCCCAGTACCAACTTACATTATTATTCTCATTGAAAGATGAACATATTTATTCATATATGGCGTCACTAAATGTAAAAGGAAATCAATACTAGTGAATGAACACCTTTGGGCAAACCTCTGTGTACAGCAGAGACTTATTTTGGTATGAGATTAATCTGATGGGTAGACAGTTAAGTAAATAAGAAGGATGTCTGGCATAAATAAAGTTTTACAAAAACTGTATCCATACTCAGACCAAAGTTGAAGAATACTGAAGTTCTGTTTACACAGCGGGGCTCGAGCTGTTGACGTATACCCTCACCTAAGTAACCAGGAAGTGATTGGCGCACACGCACGCACACACCCACTAACACGCACTCAGGAGGGAACTGAAACACACATCAATAAGGTGAGTAAACAAATTCCATGTGGGAGGCGTAAAGCTGGCAGGAGTTGGTAGGAGTTTAAAAAGAGGAAAAATAATGTTTTGAAATAGACAGCTATTATTGCGAACCCGAAGAGGCATATACGGCAACCCGGAAGGTGAGACGTAACCGCCTTTTAAACAGTTGTCAAGTTATTAATGGCGGCCACTTTGGCAAGTTTCCAACTACATACAACGACTAGAAAACACGACTGTTGAAAAAGTCGAAAATATGGTGGATGAGACACGTGAATTAATGGAATTTTGCCCTCACAGACATGAGATGAACTGAGTTCAAACCAGTTATCAATAAACTCATGATTTCCAGTCTAAATGGGGAAGTGAGCAGAGGCTTCAGCTTTGTTTATGTTGCAGGTTCAACTCTGAGCAGCCTGAGATGTTGAAATGAAGTTTGATGAAAAGATTGTTTCTTATTTCGAATCTTGCAACTCACCCGTGGACAAGAAAGGCTACCTGTTCAAGAAGGTAAGTTTTATTTGGCAAGATTTCAGATATTACTTCAGAGCATTCTTACAAACTGTGTTCATATTAAAGAGAAAGTTCTGGGGAAATGCTGGGAGTGTTTACAAGAACTAATGAATATTTTAAACCCACTAAATGGCTTAAAGCTTTTTACATGCCTCCATAAACTACTAAACTTAAGTTGTTAAGTAATAAAATAGTCAAAAGGTTTTTAAAAAATAAAAACCTCAGGGCTTTTCATGGAAGAATTAGGTTAATGATCAGTGAAATCTTATAAATCACTGCTGAACTCAAACAATGAAAATACCAAATCACATTTGAACAAAAGGGGAAAAAAGTAATTTTACTTCTTGGTTGTTGTAGCAGTAACTTCATAAACACCTCTGTAACATTGACCTCCCCTTTTGCTGTTTGTTTCCCCAGCTAGTTGTGTAAGATATTGAGTAAAGGCAGGATTTCTAACCGAATCACTTTACCCAGCATGTCCTAAATGTCCTACAGGGTGAGATAAAGACTTCCTATCAGAAGCGCTGGTTTGTGTTGAAGGGGAACCTCCTCTTCTACAAAGACCGGCCTGACGATCGGGATCTGACAGGAGTGATTGTTCTGGAGGGCTGCACCGTCCAGCTGTGTGAGTCCGAGGAGCAGTTCGCCTTCTCGCTGGTGTGGAACGAGCCAGGATTGAGGACCTACAAGTTTGCAGCTGAGGACCAGGCGAGCCAGGAGAGCTGGATCAAAGCCCTGCTGTCTGCCAACCACAGCTACCTGTACCTGCTGGTGATGGACCTGGAAAAGAAGTACAGAGGTAAGGGATGAAAAAGATGAGTGTCTGTCATCACATCAGGAGTGACAGAGAGATGTCTTTGTTCTGAGAGCAGCTGTGCAAGGCCACAGTGTTTACAGCCTCCACATTTGACACCATGCACACCATGGTACACAGTATACATACAGTAAAACGTCACAAAACCTGCCTTTTATGTGGTTTGGGTGTTTTACTTTGCTCACCTTTTCAGCCAAATATGTGTTTCATTTCGTACACTGTGTTTAATAACTTACCAAATCCCTAAAAGGAAACTTAAATGGCAGGGTTATTCATATAAAGTATTGGCTTTTGTTTGTTTCTATCAATTTTTATACAGGTTACTGTGTTGTGCATTGATAAACTTGTTATAAACTTAAATAATGTGCTGATGTGTCATATGTAACGTAGATCTTAGTGAAGAAAGAACCGAAAAAAAACTCCAAGTTCTTTTTTAGGGGAAGGAGCTGGACATGTAGCAGACGATTTCATCTCTGTGGTTGAACTAACAGTTATCGGTCCGTTTTTGAAGCTATCTCCTTAACATCACACCAATTTTAGACTCAGAGAAGGCATTTGTGATGGTAGAAGCAAAGTTGCTTTCGGTTGGGTCTGTTTACATTTTTACCAAGAGATTTAACCAGCAACCTTTTTTTTTACTTTAAAATGATTTTCCCATTAAATTTTAGAACCTAATTCAAAGGAAAGTAAATTAATGTGGGCAGGATTTTAAAAGATAAGATGAGGTGAAATTAAGAACTGGCCCAGATTAGACCCCTTTTGGGTATTGTTTGAGGAGTTTTTTAAGACACTGAATAAGAATTTAACAACACAGATAGCAGCTTTTCTTCAGCACTAAATATGTTTAGAAGGAAGGAACTCAGGCGGTCAGGACTGATGGTTTGATCACTCTCATTAACATGTGAAATAGCTGATCCAATCATAAGATGACAGCTCTAAACACAGATGTGATTTCATTTCATTTTATTTTTGTTCCTCCCATGAAAGTAAACAGTACAATACAAAAAGATGTCACACATGTCTACAGTAAATTTTCAAGTCAACAACTTTCATGATTAAGAAGGAGTAGTAAGAGTATAATTCCTATCTATGTCTGCCCCTAACCTCAGCCCAAAGAATTGTAATTATACCTAAGGTGCTTTAAAGACACATTCAGAGCTGGACTGCCTATGACCACACACTATTTACAGGGTTTGAATGAATATGTCTCAATCAGCTGATGCCTTGTGTACAAACTAACCACATCCTCGTTCAGACACACCAACATTTTGACATATTGTTCCTCAAAATTTTGCAACCCTTAAGTTTATCCCATAATTATAATGTAATTGATATTGAGATGAGAGAACTACATTAAGATAACCACACAATTTTAATATTTTGTTGAAAGCTAGCGAAAGATTGATTGCAGTTATACAGCAAAAACCTTTTGAGTTGGAAGGTACATTTGAAAAAAGGTGGTTGTCTTATTTCATAGGTCAAGACCTGAAAGTGCCAGGAGACTTCAATTCTTGTCTGTTAAGTGTATGTACCTTTAATAACTGATGGCCAGATGTCACTCACATGCACAGCACCACACAGTGATAGTCAGGAACAGAGACAATGAGAAGTAGGCTGAGTTTACCAACAACTGAGGCAGTGTTATGTGTTGATTGTAAATAATGGTTGTGTATTTGTTGTTTCTTTCCTCAGATTTGGTTGGCGAGTTTGCCAGTGAACCCACCAAAGCTTTCACCATGCCCAATCTCAGCTCAGCACAACCTGGACTTCCTTCAGCCTCTCTAAGCACACAAACTTCCACCCTCCCCGCATATTCAGCAACAGTCGCAGGAGCAGCATTCAGCCCCAGTTCCAGTCCGATGCTAACACCTCCGAATGTGTCATCCAAATCAGCCAGCAAAAGATCACCCAAACTGTGGCCCAAGAGGAGTGCTAACGTGATGCCTATTAACACGCCCTCTCCACCTTTGGGGGATTGGTCAGGGCTCTGTTTCAGCACTAAAGACGAGTTTGGCAAATTACATGAAGATTTTGGAAAAGAGGTGAAGGTACTGATCGCTGATTGGTTGAGGAAGGGGCAAGGTGGTGCAGCTGTTCAGGGAGAAGATTTAATAGATTTTGGATAGAGGATGTGGAGTGTTATCCTTTCATTTCAGTTACTTCAGTTGATGGCAAACCTGAGATGTGAATACAAATAAGGATATATTACTTATTTTATATCTTTGTACTGTATATGTTATATGGGTTAAAGAGTGTGATGTTTGTTTTTTACTTGTTATGCCATACAGTCAATAAATAATATATGATCTGTTTGATTTTTCTTTGTTATTTCAGTGGAGTAATAAAAAAAGTCACATTTATAGATAATAACAATAATTGCAAAAATAAAACAGAATCTGCTTTATTGGCCAATTATGTGTGCTCATACAAGGAATTTGACTCTGCTAAACTTTGCTCTCTATGTGCAGTCTTTACCTGAAATATGGCAAAAATTACAAATTATGTACAAGGCTTGTACGAGACATTTAACATATTTACAAGACTGTTATCGCAGTAGTGCAACGGTGACGAGTGCAGAGGAGAAATAAGTAATTGAAGAAATATTTATACATGTCATCGTATTACAGATGGGATATGTACAAAAGGTAAATAAAAACAGCAACAACATTAAAATAAGTTATTAAATAGTGGTGTGCAGAGGTACATGTCAGGTGAGGATGATGTATGCAGTTAGAGTATGTGGGGGAGTTGTCCTAAATGATGACAGTGATAAGGGCTGTATACAGTAGATGAACAGTTATTTACATTTACAGTGAGTTTTTGTTCACGAGTTATTACACAGTGGTCTTTTTGGTGCTCTGCAGTGTTAGGAGTTTATCAGAGTGACAGCCTCAGGGAAGAAACTATCTTTGTACAGGGATCTGTAATGGCTGCCTGAAGGGAGTTCAAACAGTCTGTGTCCTGGATGTGGGCTGTCTGCAGTGATGTTACCTGCCTTCTTGATTCTAGACCAGGGCAAGTCTCTATTTCCTTTGTGAAGGACGAAGGCCAAAGACTTAGTCAAATTTGTGTCCAGTTAAATCAAATTAATCTGCTTCTGAAACCTAATCAGACTCAAGAGCTTTCTACAGAAAAAGTACTTCATTTTCTTAATCAAACTAGTGTGTTTGGTATAGATACAAAAATCCTACTTGTGATAGCAATGAGATTTCAAACCATGTGTTTCCACAATCTTAGATTTTGGTTTATTGTCCAGACATAAAGCGAAAGAATCAGATATTCAGATGATTATGAACGTCAATCTGAACATGTCTGTTTGAACATTCAATGAAAGACTGTGAGATGTTTGATGCAAGCTGTGTTTGCTTCAAAAACCCTCAAAAAAGGTCCACTTTTTCTGTGTACCAGTGAACTGAAACTCCACTCTGTCTGCAAATCAGGCCATGTCAGTGTGCTTACAGCAGTGCTGAGGACTGACAGTTGTATGAAGGGGGGCAGAGAGGCAGAGCTAGTCTGTCAAATTTCAGTCGAGTGCAAAATGGCTGACAAAGAGAATGGGGAGGGGGGGTCAACCAGCTATTTCAGTCTCTTCAGCAGCTGTCTTGTTTTTATGGTCTTTGACAGGGCTTGGTCTCTTTCTCCCTTTCTGTCCTGCTCTGTCTCTTTTCACCTTCAAGCTTCAGCTTAAAGGCTCACGGTGTTCCTTGCGCAGGGCTCGACTATTTCCTGCCTCTCTGATGATAGCGCCGCTTGAATTGAAACGTAGCATAATGTCGAAATGGATAAAAATCAGCACTGAGAATATTAATGGGAAAAAAAGGTACAAATTGATCTCCTTTAAAGTAATTGGGCCTTGTTTTGCCCGTGAAACACAAGGAACACAACTGAGCAAAGACATGTTAACGCTGGTGCTGATTTCAATGCATACCACGACTGTACAGAAACCTGATTGATGGCAGCCAGTGAAGCTCATATATGGACTTAAGTGGGTGGGCCACTGTCCTCCTATTCTAAAGCAACTATACTGGGAAGCTTCATGAGCGACCCAAATTAGTGCACTCATGGTGGGAAAGCTGCTCTTTTAGCCCAATCATCATTTGTTGTTTTCCATCACAGACTGACCTAACATTGCAAACACAGACACTTACCAGATCCCGAGAGATGATGTTGAAATACGAGCAATTTGGTCCTCTGCTATAAAATGCTTATCTTGTACAAAGCTTTCTTTATTTTTGTAAGTGTAGATGTCAGTGTGCACTCACATCCATCAAAAAATGCACACGAAAAGAAATCAACAGCTGTGAATATTTTTTTAAGATCCCTTTCGTGTTCTGATTAATGCTCCGACAAAACATGTTTCTTAAGACACAGATTTTGAATTAATCAGAGTGTTTCTCATTTCTAATACCATGTCAGTGTCACAGTCCCTATAACATTCATCATTTATGGAGGATCATTATGTCTTGGAGCCTGAAAGTAGTCGTGTGTCACTTTTGGACCAATACCAATATCCATCAGCCGACCGCTTTCAAGTTTCATGTCTGAAATAAACCCCCCTGGCCATCACTGGCCATGTTGTAGAAACTAACCTATCATTTAGTCAGGCGATGACTTCCTGATATGTTTACTGTGATTACAAGCTGGCAACTTGAGCTGCTAAGGCCCGTTGATTACTGTTAATCCAATACGTGTGTATCAAGTAAGAAGCAATGACCTGTCATCATACGCTGAGTTTTGTCCTCTCCTACATGATATAAAGGAGGTGAAGAACAGATCGGATCCAAGAAGCTTGGAAAGAAGACAGGTTTGGGGGTTGTTAAGTTGTGACAGCATTCCTTGCCAATGGGTTTTTCCATATTAGTCCACAAATGGCGCCAAAGTTAGGAGTGTGTGTTGGCATTGAATTCACCTCATTCCAAGACTCCTGGGGCTTATTTTGGAGCACTGGTAAGCTGATCCCCTGGCCACCTTCTCACTCCTCCCTCTTTCTCTTACTTTCCTCTCAGCTCTGTTTTCCTGCCAAACCTGATGGTGTGGCTAAAGTTAGCCCCCCATGGGCTAGTATATAAGACCCTATGGGTGCTGATGCATACATGTCAGTCACATCGGCTTTGGCGTAGGCTTCTCTTCTTGACCAACAACAACCCCAGATCTTGAGAGATGGTGAGTGTGGCCATGATCCTTGGAAGAACAGTGTCGTGGGAGCTAGGATCATCTCTTCACAAAACTGATGACAGCATCAGTGACTCCTTTTCAGTCTGGATTACAAACTGTCAATGATGCTAACTATAACAATTTCTTATGCAAAGCCTCCAAACCTTTGGATTTGGACTTGTATTTAACTTTATTTGATGGGCCTAAGTGAAAAAAGAAAAAAAAAATCTGCATAAATCTCAAACAAGAGAAAAGAAGATTTTACATAATTGGATCTTTGGCTCATTAATGTGGGCTTCAAATAATTTACCAAGAACTTTCAAACCTTTATTTGAAATATAAAGGGGGAAAAAACTGTTCCATCAGAATTTTTTGGTTTGAAATTAATTGATTTTAAAAAATTCTGCTTGTTAGGCAAAGATGTGATGATATTTATGAGGCTTATTTTTTGTCAAAATACAATATAAGAGGAACAAGAAATGCGCCCTGTTGGACTTCTTATATAAGCTTTTTTTGTTTCAATCTTATGAAAGGCATCCTTGGCAGTTGAAAGACACAGCAAAGATCTCAGTTCCTTTTATTTTAGTTGGGTTGAACCATTGTTTTATACGTTTGAATTTTATTTTACCTTTTATTGTTTCACAGGCACCCAAGAAGGCCAAGAGGAGGCAGCAGCAGGGTGAGGGTGGATCCTCCAATGTGTTCTCCATGTTTGAGCAGAGCCAGATCCAGGAGTACAAGGAGGTAACGTTCTCTTCATCATACTCATTTTTTAAAGTCTTCTTGGTATATATAAGTGTATAAATAGATACATAGATTAGGGTCTTTAAGAGTCATTTCAGAAAAGACAGAATTTTATATGTATCATTTGACCTACCCTTGGTAGCTCTCCAAGGATTACACCTCAATATTCAGCCACATGACAGCTAAAATATCCTCATCAGCACCTCAGGACAGTAAATCCAAGTTGTTCCGATGACAGCAGCTACCTCTCCCCTGAGGTAGCTGCGTAATCCCCCTTGCAGACCCTCAAACAGACTCAGTGTGACCTCACTGGAATGCTGCCAGACAGCTGGTGAACACTTATATCAATCAAAGTAGGAGAGAGGCAGTCAAGGTAGAGAGAGGAAAAGGTTTAGTCTACTTTTAGCATAGATGGTTGTGGTTTTGTTGTACCATTTTAAAGCTGTAGCATCACTCTAAAAGAAAATTGGCATAATTGTCGCTACATCTCTAAAAATAGGAGTATTTATGTGTTTTTTGTTCTGTATGAAGGTGTAAGGAGCAGGGAATTCTTGGGAGAGTGGCTCAGCATTCCCTTTACAGACCTCAACAGGTGACAGAACTTCAGGGACAGGGTCGGAAGATTTGGTCACAAGGGGAGGGGGGTGACAGATGTAATCAATACTGTCTCCTTAAATGTCGCAAGGGGCTTGTCTCACATTCCGAGACCATTTTAACACCTTGGAAAGACAAGTGGCCGACCAGCTGCCAAGTCCCTGAAGGTTTTCAATGCCATCTTTGGTTTCTACACCCTGCCATGTGGAAAGGGAGAGGGAGCGGTGAAGGACAGCTCTACATTAACACGTTTATGTTGGCAGGCATATAATTATCATAAGCAAGTCTTATGACCCAGACTTGTGAGAAATATGAGACTCTTAGATTTAACTGTTTGATTTTATGGTTTTTGAAGAGCTGATTGAAGACCCTTTGACTTAAATTTTTTTAATCACCATATTCTTCTCTTTTTTTCCCTCCATCCTCGTCAGGCTTTCACAATCATCGACCAGAACAGAGATGGCATCATCAGCAAGGACGACTTGAGGGACGTGCTGGCCACCATGGGCCAACTGAATGTGAAGAATGAGGAGCTGGAGGCCATGGTGAAGGAGGCCAGTGGCCCCATTAACTTCACCGTCTTCCTGACCATGTTCGGCGAGAAGCTGAAGGGTGAGTGGAAACTTGGACTTTGTTGCCTGTCACCTTTGTTTTTGTTTTGTTTGTTTTTTTTTTCATTTTGAAACTATCATCTTCACTGTTATTTTATCCCTCATTTGCTGTTGTTTTTTTTAAATACTTTTTCATCTTAATGTTTTTTATATCCTAAATGTTTTTCTAATTTGTAGATCTCTTGTTCTTACCCTGTATAAGAAAGACTAAATGGCTGATTTTACTTTTAGGCGCTGACCCCGAGGACGTTATCGTGAGCGCTTTCAAGGTCCTGGACCCCGAGGGCACTGGTGCCATCAAGAAGGAATTGTAAGAGCCTTAATCTTGAGTCATAACAGCATCTCTATGTGAAAAACTCTTGATATTTAAACTTCTCTACTCTCCCCCTCTAGCCTTGAGGAGCTCCTGACCACCCAGTGCGACAGGTTCACCGCTGAGGAGGTGAGATGCTGACTCTTTGTCTTACACATCAATTGCACCCTGGTGGAGGTTGTTCACTTTTAAGCCATTTTCTTCCAATCTCTTCCTTTGCAGATGACCAACCTGTGGGCTGCTTTCCCCCCTGATGTGGCTGGCAATGTAGACTACAAGAACATCTGCTACGTCATCACACACGGAGAGGAAAAGGAGGAGTAAATCTCTCTCTCTCAAACTCTCTACCTCCGTTCAAAGCCATACTTACCCCCATCATCACCATCGACTCACTCCCTCTTCTCCAATGCCGCCACTACCTTGCACATGCTCACCCTCTTGGCTCACTCTTTCACTACAAAAAGACTTGTCTCCTTTATAGAGATCCTCAGTGAGAGGACTGAGGGCTGCGGGGGTGTTTGTGTGTGAGCAGTACCGACAGGGGAAACATGGGATTATTTTCAATAAAAATAATCTTGTGCTACTGAAACACTTTCTCCTTCTCTGTCCCTGCCTCTTCTTCCTCCTCTTTTTCCCCCGTCAATCATTCTGTCCTTCAGTGCTGAGGCCAGCAGTGCGAGCAACATACCTACATATGGCGTGTCAGTCAGTCAAACTCTTGGGTGCTATGGTGTAAGCACAGTAGCTCGCTTGAAACAAGGGAGCAGTCTGACCTGAGTGGTCTGTTAGTCTCAGCCTGACAAAATGTTTCATGGATTTGTGCCTTTTGTTTGTACAAGGAAGGAGTGCATAGCAAAAGAGCAGGAGTACTGTACTATAATAGTTTGCCTCCTCTTCTTTGGATCTGTCTCCCTGTCTTCTACAGAGGCGCAAAAGAAAAAGTTGCAGTGAGAAATAGGAAAGCTTGATTTTTCTTTGCCTTTTAATCTTGTAAACAGGGAAAGAGATGGTGAAAGATGGTGAGCGGGAGGCAGAGATGAAATAAACAAAATTAAACATCTTTGTTTTTTTGACTCTTCTTCCTCCCGCTTGCCGCTGTTTCTCTCCTGTGTTTGTGACTGTGCCTGTAACTAATAAAGAAGAACAAATAAAAGCCACTATATTTCCTATGACAGTGTCTGCTGGTTTAAGTGAAGGGGTGGGTTGTGGTGCTGCTGGTGGACACTTGCAATTCAATTAATATTTAGCAAACTCTTCAAATTTAAGTGTGATGGGTGACGATTTAAAGATATAAGATAACAATTACTAATAAATAAACTAAATTAAGATATTTTACGATACAAAATCAACACATTTCAAGCAAGGGGGGGACTAAGCTCCTTGAACTACTGCAATATAAGCTCCACAAGACTTGTGCTGTTTTCTTGGTGTTCTGGCTCAGGGACTGACAAGAAAAAACATGCAACCCCCTATTAAAGAGTCACTTAGCAATATAAACTGTCCAGTTTAAAATTAGTCTGACAGGTTGCAATGACATCCCTGCTTTGGTAGAGTGCAGCTGTACATACACCTCTAGAATCACATTGTGGGATGTGACTAAAAGATTCCCTGTAAGGCTTGTTCAAATAGTCACAATTCAGTGAGATCAAAATGAGATCTGTTTAAATCGTGACATCACCTGAGAATGAATCTCCTTAAAAGGAAAAATTTGTCATTTTAAAAAAATGGCTCACAACTTAACCGCATGATGTAGCATCAAGACAACCCTGTGTGTGTGAAACTCACACAGTCCTCACAGGAAAAGTTCCTTATCTGGTCCCAGGACACAGGATTATATCAATCTTTCCAGACTTGTTTGGACTTTCAGGTTACACAACTGACCCAACTGGAGGTTGACCCAAACCGCTGGCTCTTCCCAATTGGTCAATGCAAAGAACAGAGACAGAATGTTTATCATCTTTCAAACTAACTCCATCACTGACCATCGAAATAAACATTCATGCCTCAACCCAGGTCTCCCATGTGAGATTCACTGTGTTAAGTGTGTGAACACATGGAAACCCAGGAAAGGTCTGAGGAGCAGGAAGCTGACCTCCAGACCTCTGTCATAAAACCCTGCAACATTTTTCTGCACAGTCTAGAAGCCAATATATCTCTCTGAAGGTCTCCTCTAAAGGAGCTACAGCAGAAGACCAGCAACCCCTCCTCTCTCTGCTCATACACACACCCTAGAGACACTCCCAGTTTGAAGAACATAAAACCAGCAAAGTTTGGGTGCACTTGGCTTACTCTCTTAGTCTTTTTCCCTTTGAGCTCAGCCTCACTTTTTCCTTGTCCATTTCTACTCTTCAATTTTTTCCTCTTCTCTTCTGGCTTTACACCATGTGTTCATTTACATTGTTTGATTTTTCTTTAACATCGTCTTGGTTCAAGTTTTGAAACTTCAACTATTTTTGTTCACATAACAATCCAAGATTCAGTTTGTGATTTATTTTTCTTTAATTTTGCAAACTTGTTTTTGAAATAGTTTTGATTGGCCATCGTGCTTCCTTTTCATGGTTATTTGCGTTATTTCAAAGTTGCCTCTGAACGCCACACAGCAGGCCCAAAGTCATCCTGTGAGCCAGAGTTTTGCGGTGAGTCCAAAGGAGCATCCAAAGGATTCTAAAGGCGTTGGTTCTGCATTCAGGCCTGTGTGCTGTGACTCCTGGCCCACCTTTCATCTGACTCTCTGTCCTCTGCTGAGCCGAACCTCTTAAACTACCAATAGCCTGGACCTTCAGTGAACCTGCTCCATCCTCTCCAAAGACCAGCCTCACTAAGTATGCAAACTTTCAGAGCTCCCAGCAGGGCTGATGCTGTCTTATGCATCTCATGATTCAAACAATCACTAATTCGAGTAATCCTAAATTTATTCAAATCCGCATCTAGATTTATCTCCAAACCAAGGTTGTGAACCTACCTGCTAGCCTTGAGTATCTTCAGAACAGATGGGCTATATTTCCATAAAGCTTATTTGGAAAACAATGAATACTTTTCAGTCATTGCATAACTTCAAAAATTTGTAAAGCACTTACCAAATAATGAAAATGTGCCCTCAATCATTGCCAAAGCATGCAACACACTTTCAACAAAGGCCCTGTCTCTATCACTCAAGCTTTTTTGTCCTGATTTTACAGTAAAAAAAAATTCAAATCTTGTGGGTTGGGAAGGGGTAGGGGGGGTCTCATCGATACCAGAGTGCACATTATTCAAATCACAATAGCTATAACTAGCACGCCACTACAAGTAGTGGGCTAGCTCAGTAGTGGGACAGACTTGGCTCTTATTTTCTCTGTCTTTTACATTATTACCAGAAATCACCATGTTTTCGTTTGCCAATGCCACAAACGACTTCAACACAACAGTGAATTTTTTTCTGCTGTGTCAGGACTATCCAGAGGGTACATTTCTCTGGATTTGTATCACTGTGGTTTGTTATGTTTTGGGCTTTCCTGGAGTTCTTGCTGTCCTCTGGGAATTGTTACAGAGAGGAAAGGGAGGCCAGTTCACCCCTCATGATGTCTTTGTATTAAATGCTACCATTGTAGATGGGATTTTTCTGCTTTGCAATTTCCTGGAGCTGTGTAATTTTAAACTCTGGCATAACTCAGATTTTGAAACATTTGTCTTCTTTTTTTACGCATTCAATATGTCTGGAAGGCCTCTTTTCACTGCCTGCATCTGTCTGGACTGCTACTTGGCTGTGGTTCATCCAATTTTTTATCGAGCAAACAAGAATCTGACCCCCAGGATCCTGGCAGCTATCAGCATTTGGACTGTGGTAGTTCTTCATTCCTGTTTGAGTGTAAATTATTTGGGGGATTATAACAGCCCTTTTCACCTGGTGATCTTTGCTTTGACCTTATCCATAGTTGGATTTTGTGATGCCACCATCCTCTGGACCCTGAAGAAATTTAATCCAACAGGTGGAAGCATTCACCCAAAAAAGAAGAGGGCTCTGCAGGTCATCATCAACAACTTGGTTATTACCTTTACTTCTTATATCCCACCAATAATTGTTGTGATGGTGAATAGCTTGATGAACCTGGATAAAGTTACTCGTGAATGTCTTGTTTCAATCCCCATGATGTGCAGCGTACTAATAGGAAACACAGTTTCACCCATCATGTATTTGTGCAATCTGGGAAAGCTGGACTGGTTGAAATTTCTATGTCAGAAACAAACCCCATAAAACTTCAGATTTATCTTTTCAAATGTATTTTTCAGCTTGTTGTAGCCACAAAAACTTTGCCAATGAAATACTGAGGAAACACATGCCAAATTGGTTGTGTTTTTCTTTTTTTTTTTTTCTTTTTTTTTTTTTGGGGGGGGGGGGGGGGTTAGAGAAGACTGTCCTTTCTGTTGTAAGTTAAAGTGCTGTAATATATCTAGACACATTGAATATCATAATAGAATGCATTAATCAAATAGCATGAACTCATTTTGTTTTTGTTAACATGAGATTAGCATTTTGATGTTATTGCAGCTGTTGTTTTCATAGCACATTTTGGTGATTTAATTTGTAAGGAAATCTGTTTCTGGTGTATTGCACATTAGTGGTCTCTTATTTGACTAGATGGAGATTTAAAACATAAACTTTCTATTTTGTTGAATAAAAAGGCTGAAAATGACTTTTTTCTGTTAATTTTTGTTGTTGTTGTTGAAAATAGAACAAAGGGAAAAAAAAGATTTCTCTCTTTCTTTTTAAATGTTTTTAAAATATTATTTCTTCTTTGTTTCTTGAATTGTCATCAGTTTAGACCAAATATGTAAATACCTGAGTAGTTCTTTACTCTACCATGTAACCTTCTAACTATTAAATGCTAAAGTTGTCAGTTTTGATTGGTAATCAGCTGCTTACATAATCCAAATGATAAATGACACTCACTACTGTTTGTTTAACATCTTTCAGAGCTTACACCACCTCATTTACCCAAAAGGCAACTTCATTATTCGTGCTGACAGTGAGTTTTGATAAGTCACACAGAGAAATGAACAGACAAAGAACCAGACATTTTTCATGAAAAGGGGAGGCACCTTTCATATATACACCACATTCAAAGGCCAAAAACAAAAAGAAAAGCATTTGAAAACACTCACTTTGAATATTATAAATTGTGTATGAATAATAAGCAAACTTCTTTTCTGAGGTGTCAAATGATTTCGAGGTCATTCTGTTTTATCCTTCTTCACCACATATTATTATTATTATTATTACTATTATTATTATTATTATTATTATTATTATTTTATGATGGTTTGTGATGACGGTTTATTATTCATTTATTTTATTATAACTATTATAAGAAAGAGTAGTAATATTGTATCACAGATGTTTGTTTACCTAGAGTCATTTGAACAACCATGATTTAAAATATCAGTGAATCAGTAAATCACATGGTCTCGTGACGTTAAGACGCAAAACAGGAACTACATTTACCTACAGAAAAACTATCTGCCTTCAAAACAAGAGCTATGAGCGTTTCGCTTTAAAATACTATCATAATCCCTTCAAAATAAGTCGTCTAACGGGATAAAAAAATAAATCTAAAAGTCAATAGGAATGACAGAGTCTGATCGAAGTTGTTATTAAAGCAGAAAATTGACTTACGACTCATTGGAACTGGAATCTCACCCAAACGTTTTCATTTGCGTATTTTAATTTGGAAAGCTTGACCGGAAATGGTATGTGAGTGTGAAATTTGACCCTTATTACAGTGCAGCAGGGGACCAGTGGGCACACTGCACCGTAGCAGTAAAACATTCCGGGCCCGGCTCGTCGCCACCAACTCGGAATGGCAGTCTGGTAATGTGGGACGTTGGCTGTGGAGGCCCACGTAGCCGCTGTCGTCCCGCTGTGCCTTCGTAAGATCTGACGGGACGAGAACCACCACCATGGCCACGGCGATACCCCTCTGCACATCTGTCAGGCTCCCCGCTGTGGCTGCTGTCGTCTTGCTCCTGGTGTCGGCAACCACTGTACAGTCCTCCCAAGGCGATAAGGAGCCGGTTTACCGGGACTGTGTGAAGCAATGTGTCCGAACAAACTGCACCGGGGCTCGGTTACGTGGCTTTCAGTCCACCCAGCCGCGGTATATGGCGTTGACAGGTGGGTTGATATCCGTGTTAATGTCAGGTGTTTCGGTTACAAGAGTGCCCGTGCGAACTGGTGACTTCCTGTAGAAGTTAGTGATGGTGGTCGTGGTGAAGACAGCTGTCTCCATCAGGCACCATGTAACTACGACAACTACAGACGCAGTGGTTGAAAGTCACCAGTTGAAAGGGTCGCTTTTTAAGCCGAAACACTAGTCACTTGGGCTAACATAGCCAGTTAGCTGTTTGTCGTTACATCCGTCAGTATATTTGTTCTTAGCTCCGAAACTTACTTAACAAGTTGTATTGTTTGCTTAAGATGTTTTAACTACATCTTTAAACATCCACTTTGTGTCAACTACTTAGTTCTGCTGTTCTCTGCGCACGGATGTTATGGCTTCAGTGTGCTTGTTTCCTCGTACTGTAGGTGTGAAACTGTTGACCGAAACAGCCATGAGAGTTGAATGCCGGTTTTTCTGGCTGAGCAGTGTCACAAAAGGCCGATTGTTACTCTACCTACCGTCCCACATTAACAGTTGTTTACCAGTGTATGTATGTGTTAATGTGTATGGTGATATGAGAGATGTAAAAACAAAGAATAACACAAATGAGATGAAGTCATGAATTCAGCGTTAAAGTTTTAAGTCATTTGTTCATATATGTAAGTGTCTTGACTGTAGTAGTACAGATGTGTACTTGTCGATAATAATATCTCATCCATTTCCTTCCTAAACCCTTCAGTCTGTCAATCTACTTGACAAAAAACTGACTGAGACTTTAATTTTATTAAAAGAAAACTCATCACAGTTTCTGAGAGGAGAATTAGAACATCTTTGAATGCCTTGGTTAATTTGTACACAGCAGTTTTGTAAAGTGATAAGTTTAAAAGAATAACTGAAACTGTTTGAAGCCAATCATTTGACCTGTTAACCTGTCCGAGTCAGTCATCAGGTTCTCTTTATTTGTCCCTGTGTACTAGGTTGGACATGCCGGGATGACTGTCGCTATGAATGCATGTGGACCACAGTGGGCCTTTACCAGGCTGAGGGGTACAGAGTCCCACAGTTCCATGGCAAGGTGGGCTTTTACAGCAGCCAGCATCTGATCACTACTAGGGCTGGGCGATATGGATCAAAAGTCGTATCCCGATATATTTAGGCTGAATATTGATATACGATATATATCCTGATATTGTTTTCACAAAGTGAGAGCAAATGTTTAGTCACAGTCAAAGCCAAATATGACATGTAACAAGTAGTTCTATTTCAACTTGCCGATGAAATTATGCTAAAGAACAATAAAATGTAAATATAAATACTGTATAACCACAGGAGTACCTTTTTTTTAATTGGAGTTCCATGAGGTGCACATTTACATGAAAAATATATCTTAAATAAAAATAGCCCATAAAGTAAAATAGGCCAATCTTTTTCTGAAATAAATGTATTTATATAAGAAAAGCATCAATATTTTGACAACTATAAATGGCCTATTAAGATCAAATAGCAGATTTTCTTCTCCTCTCTAACAAATCCACAGATGCAGACAGCGAAAACTACAAAAGAATTAAATATGACAAACCCTAGTAAAGGCAGCATATACATGTATAAAGATAGAACAAAATAAAGTGCTCAGTTTAAGAAAATTGTTTTTAAACATCATTTTGAGATTACTTATCTGTCTTTCTTATCTTCTTAACAGTCTCAACCAGCTGCACAAGACTATCAACTCAGTAAACATTTCCCCCTCTTTCTTTTTGACTTTGATAAACAGGTAGTGCTGTCTTGAGGTAGACATTAGAGGACAGACAAGTGTGTCCTAACTGCAGTGCAAAAGCTTACTACTGGGGAGGACTCTGTGCTGGGTCCTCCAGAAGTTCTCCTGTATAGTCAAATAGAGGGTCTGCAGAGTCTAACAAAGATGTCAAATTTCTCACAGTGGCCATTTGCACGCTTCCTGTGCTTTGAGGAGCCAGCTTCTGCTCTGGCCTCTCTGCTTAATGGCCTGGCCTGCCTTCTCATGCTGCTGCGCTACCGGAGTATGGTGCCACGCCAGAGCCCCATGTACCACACCATCAACGCCTTCTCACTGGTGAGTGAAACCCTGGATTAATCTGAGATAAAGTAGGTCAGAAAAACCTCACTCAACAACCCTAGTATGACAGACACTGATGTTATTGTTTATTAATCTAGAAAACTAACATGGTTGCGTTTCCTTAGGTTTCTCTTAATGCCTGGTTCTGGTCCACAGTGTTTCACACCAGGGACACATATCTCACTGAGGTAATTGACAATGACTACTTCTGTGTTTCTTTAATAGAATCTTTCAATTAAATAAACCATCAAAAAAAGTAGAAAGTGGGGATGCAACCTCTGAAGAAATTTCAGTGTGAATACTTTATACTGGAAACTGTATAAAAAGTCATTTTCCACAGCTCAGGCCAAAGTCAAATCCACTTTTATCTAAGAAAATACCCATTCTGTCAGCCTCTAATCTGGCTTTACCTAATCACTGCTTATATGAGGAATACTAAGAGTTAAGACTAAGATTTAATTTTCCTGCCAAAGAGCCAAAATGATGAGCTCATCGTGGCTTAAAGCAAATGTTTTCATACAGCTGGTATGGTGTTGTGTCACTGTACATCAAGCGCCAAAATATCATTTCTGCTGCCAGAAAACCTGCTGAGAATGAGAGCAGTCTTTTCTCTTTTAACAGCTAATGAGCTTAGCCACTCAGTAGCATCCTAATGCCATTACAGTCTAGCTCTTCAGCTGTGTGCAGTATTAGGTCTGGGACAAAAAAAACAGGCTGAAGACTTCTATTGTCATCTAACTGGTCTCTTTTTGTTTGTTTCTTTGCTGTCTTGTTCTGTCAGAAAATGGACTATTTCTGTGCAACAGCAGTCATTCTTTACTCCATTTACCTTTGCTGTGTCCGGTAAGCTAAAATCATGTTTCTCAAATCATGGTTTCTTTTTTCCCATCATATTAAACTTAATTCACTCATTGTGCTGGTTAACATTTCTTCATAATCCAGTTTTCTCAATGAAACTTAAACACTGCAGAGACCTGCGAGAAATTGTCATATTTTTGTTTCATATTGTGGTTAATGTAAACATAATAACATAAACATAATAACACTCCATGTTTTTCCCTCTGTCCTCCTCCCCCTTCTTGGTCAGAACTTTGGGACTGAGGCGACCTGGAGTTTCCAGTATGGTGGGAGCCCTGCTCATCTTGGCCTTTACCTCGCATGTGTCCTATTTAACTTTTGTCAGTTTTGACTACGGGTACAACATGGCTGCTAACTGCACCATAGGTAAAGTAAATGCACAGAAGTCACATCAAACCCCACAGAGCTTATCTTTTGCATACATATACTTGTTCAATTACTCCCCTGATTGTAATGACTGCTTTGTTTTTGTGGTGTTTTGCTTAACGGTGGCCTTTATCAATCTTTATAAAGGCATGGTGAACCTCCTCTGGTGGTTGTGTTGGTGCTGGCAGAACCGGCGGACCCTCCCGTACTGGTGGAAATGCGGTCTGGTGGTCCTGCTGCTTCATGGTCTGGCCTTGCTGGAGCTTCTGGATTTCCCACCGCTGCTCTGGATCCTGGACGCTCATGCTGTGTGGCACCTCAGCACCATACCTGTTCACTTCCTCTTCTACAGGTCTGTATCCTCACCTCAGATCAAACCATATCGTGGAAAAAGGCGCTTGGTGACTGTATCTGAAAGAGAAAAATGAGCTGCTGTGTTTCATGTTAAATGACCCAGACTTCTCTCCTCCTCCAGTTTCCTGATAGATGACAGCCTCTACTTACTCAACACAGAGAAGATGGGTGTCAAAGTGGAGTAGGAGGAGCTCTTCACATCTTCACCACAGCTACTCTCCTGACCTCTCCGATCAGGGCGGCGGCATACCTGAACACAGACTTGGCTCAGCCTGCCAGATGACGTGCATGAAAACACAGACTTCCATCAAAGTAGACTTTGTTTACATTTTTGTTTTTACTTTATTTATTTGGGCGGGGTTGGTGTATTTCAATATTTTATTCTCTTATGCCTGCTCTTCTTCACTTAGCCTTTTGGTGATGGTTCTTCAGCCATCTGTCATAACTACAAAAACACAGTGAAGAAATAAGTTTTGTGTTTGAATTTTGCGTCCTTTCAAAATTGAGTTACTCCTGAAATTGGTCCCCTGAACATACACGACCCACTCACGCAAACTTCTGGAAGTCCAGCACAAATGGCAGTTTACTGCAGCTGACAATAGATGGCACCAGTTCCTTCAACAGGGTGTTACAACCTTCCCTCCGTGTGTGCTGGGATGTGTCTGAGCTGAAAGTGGACCATCGGGCACAGAGAGGTGGCCCTTGTGAACAGGGCTGGATTGTTCTAGAAAAAGGGGGGGAGCGGGAGTCTATGTGTGGAGGCTGTTCTAGCTGACTGTGACGCTTTTATTTTTTTTTCTCCCATCACACCTTTTCTTTTGTGCCTGTGTTGTTCCCACTGCTGCTTTTGTTTCTCCTCGTCATTACTCTCATCAGCTGCCTTAGCTGTTTTAATTTGTTGTTTATGACCAATTTGTGCTTCAATGTGCTCACGGTTTTCCTTTGATTACTTGATTTTGACTTTGGTTGGATAATGTCAGATGAACAAAGGGTGGAAGTATTTTTTTTTTTAATCACCTGGAATGCCTTTAAGTGTGAGGAAAAGGAGGAGATGATGAAGGTAGGAACGGCAAGCGGCAGTCAGGGAGGCTTTTTAAGGGCCTCTTAATCCTGGGGTTGGTTGGTTGGTGTGTGTCTTGAGTGTTTCGATGTTATTTTGACGCACATCTTCTTGATTTTCTTGCAGTAATGTTTCCCTTACACACACACAACCCAGTTGCTCCAATATTTAAAAGACTCAATCTTTCCATGTCTGCCTTACACACTCAATCATGACATTTATATTACATCCTTCTTTTTTTACAATCAAAACTTAACAAAAACAATCAGATTCATACAATGTATGTATCCATCCTTGAGTCCCCCTACATAAATGCACTTTATGGCTGTGTGTGTGTACATATATTTACATGCATTGTTTGTATGAACTCTCCTTCCCACACCTTTGTACCTCTGTGTGAGTTATTGAACAAAGAGTGTGTGTATGCGTTGCCTTGACTCAACATTATTTGTTGTTTTTTTTTTGTTATTGTAACCTGAATCACTGTATGTGTGAGAGAGAGAGGGGGCTAGATTGTGCTAGTTTTGCCCTTTTGTAAAACAACCTGTGTGAGCGTGCATATGTGTAGCTGTGTGTGCGCTGGAGATTTACCATGTGGGTGTGTGTGAGATGATGGGCAGCCTATGATGGAGGTAAAGGACAGAGGACATGGAGAGGTTAACAAAGGTTTGGCTGGCAAAAAATATCCTTGAAATCTCCGCAGTGATTCTTTGTAAACATATCTGCTCATTCAAATTTTAAAGAATACATTTAAATACCTAAATCCACAAATTTAGTTGTACTAATCAGTCACAAATTTTTTCAAGGCCCAAATGTGACATTAAACATCTAAGTCTTAAACACATTTGAATAAAGAAGCTTAGTCATGGCCTGTTTTTTGTTTATCAAACTTCTTTAACTTATTCCACTGATTTTTGTTGTAATAAGTTGTAAGTCTCATGAGACATGCCTGTTAAACAAATTCATGTTTTCACTCTGTAAATCTCTTAATTGTCTTGTTTCCCTCACTAATAACCACATCTCTCACTCATCTGCTGCCCCCTGCCTGCTGCCCTGTGCACCACCACCTCCTCCACTTGGTGCACTGTCCTCCACCTCACAACTTCTGTTTGACCAAAAAATAAAACTAAAAAAGGAAAGAAATGGAATAAATAAAAACAATCTTTGTTGATAAGGAATTTGTCTCAGTTGTGTTTTTTTCCCTGCCTGATTCATGTGTAAGCGCCTAGTTCTTGACCTCTGTTTTAGTAGCCCTTGAAATACAACTCCAGTTACAAAGAGTTGGGTCACTGTTTGAAATATTAATAAAAGCAGAGTTTGATTTTTTTTAAATGATTCAAACTATGTTTAGTTAGAAGTTGTGCAAAGATATTTACATTTTAATGGAAAAATTCTATTGTTTTATAAAATATGTATGCTTACTTTGAATTCAATGCCAGCAACATGTTTGAGAGGAGTTGATGTGGAGACGTATTTTCCTCTGTGTTGCACCACCTCTTCTTTTAACCGCACCCTACCAATGTTAGGTAACTGAAAATACCAGTTTCTGGGATTTTGAAAGTGAAACATGGTCCCATTCTTGCTCTACAAAGGATTTCAGTGGCTCAATGGTTCAGGGTCTTTTTTTATTTGTTTGTTTTGTGATGCACCAAATATCAGTGGGTGATGGGACTCTAAGCAGGCCATTTTAGCACCCTTACACTTCTACTACATGCTGTTGAAATACATGCAGAATACGGTTTGGGATTGTCCTGCTGAAATATGCTAGGTCTTCCCTGAAAAAGACACTGAGCATTTGGCAGCACATGTTGCTCTAGAGCCCATATATTGGTCAACATAAATGGAAACTCTCAGGTGTATAATCTTAATATGCGATTGGTACCTCTGTGCGCCATTCCATCAGGGATGTTGGTGCAGAACTGTGCGCTAATAAGATGGGTGATCCCTGTCCTCTGTAGAGCAGATTTTGATGTGGCAGACCACAGGGTACTCTTTCATTTCAGGTGAAGAGTCAGAGCTGTTGCCATGCTTATACATGAAAATGGGGGAAGATAAGAGGAAGGAGGCATCCTCATCAAAAGCCAAAACCTCCTCAACTGGTTTCTTCTGATGCAAAGTAACAATGGCTCTATATCAAGCTCGCTCTGGATGTTCAGGTGACTGACCCTACCTTTAAGGCTGGGCACAGCCACCCTTTGGGGGAAACTTATTTGTATGATGTATGCCCAAAACTCCAAAGTGCTGAGCCAAAAACAGATTACTCAAGGTCTACCTGTAGCCTTTTAATAAAAAAACAGAGGTAACGGTGCCAGTTTTTCCAAAACAAGCCCTTTACTCTATAAAGAGCTAATTTTTTTATGGCCAGTGTGAGTAGTAATTGTCTGTAGACTCACACTAGCAAACGGTATCTCTCACCCACTTGCTGCTCCATCCTCCCTTTCCCCACTATATGCAGATCCCAAAGGAATGGAGAGGCTTCACCATGTTTTATAAAGTTTTGAAACTGACTAAAACTGACCAGGTTTTACATGCTTCAGGCATATATCCAAGAGCTGAAACTTTTTTAAAAATCATTTACTTGAGCTTTCAGCTGAGAGAATCAGACAAAAAAGAGGCTCACATCTAGAGAAAGAGAACAACTGGCTCATGTGGAAAGTCTGTAACAACTTGTGTTTTGTGTGAGTAGTTTTTTGTTGTTTCCTGATAGCTTAGTGCAGCATAGGTCGGACTCTGACCCGGCTGCTGTGGGTGGGGAGAGTAGATAGACTGGGATGAATGGAGTTTATTCTTCTTCCTTCAACTCCTGATTTGTGACAGTCAAGTGAGGGGCATGAGAATTGTTGAGAGCTGGTATCTTGAAAACCTCTCTTGCTAATTAAGTCACAGAAGTCAACAGGTAAAGAGAGCGTAAATAAAAGATTCATAACTGGGCCCCAGTTGAAAGCATAAACTGTGGCCTCCTACCAGTGTGGAATGGGCAGTGCTTTTGAATTACCATAATGTACAGAAAAGTAGATAAAATTCAACAATCCTTGCAAAGTGGCTCCACACAACCTCATCAAAGCATGAGATTACTAGGTTCAAATTTGACAGGGACCTACTCCTGTGAAGCCAGGATGTTCTGTCTTATGCATAATGGATGGAACCTTTGAACTGCCATTGTTAATGGTTAAATTAATTAACCTGAACATCTAAGGCCTACAGATTGGCTGAGGGTTTGAGTCCTGATGGGGAACACCTGGTGGAGAAATGTTATGCTCTGTACTTTTGAAATGTGGATTAATAATTTAAATCAGTTCTCTTTTGTTTCATTTAAAGCTCCCGTGAGGAACTTTCTGTCCGTGTTGACTTTTGTGCCCACTGTGGACAAGGTGGCAACCCCTATGTAATTATTTCATCTCAACCTCCTGAAAAATGCATCAATTACCATCAAATCCCATATTATTGACATTTCACAGTATAACTGATCACTTATTGTGAATATTTGCTGCAGGTTGTTTCTTCAGCGTGCATACCACAGCATGCTGTAAAACATTACAGCCTCATTTAGTTATGTTCACTTAACAAACTTGAAACAAATTAGAAATTGAAATCATCAAAACTTGTGATAGCAAGTAGTATGAATGTGTTTCCTTTAGTTGAACCTAAAATCAACATAAAATTGTGAACTAAAACTACAAAGAAATACAAGTTCATTTAAATTAGTAAGAGACATTACCTTTACGATTAATTTAGAATAGTTCTTTGATTTAACTTGAAATATTAAGTTGAAACAACAAGGTTTCAAAGGTTGATCATCACTCATACCTTGGCTTGTAATGTTAAGGGAACTATGATATTGCAGTTAACTCAACTACGTGAACTAAGGCCACGTTCACACTGCAGGTCAATTCCAATTTTTTAACCATATGTGACACATATTTGATTTTTTCATGTAAGTGTGAACAGAGCAATTCTGATTTTTTCAAATCTGACCAGGCCTCTTTCGTATGTGGATATAAATCGGATATATATCCGATGTGACTGCAGTGTGGCCGCTCAGGTCACATTCATCCGACCTATACGTCATCAATATGCGACAAACGTCACCATTGTTCGACAACACAAACAGGCGCGGAAAGCAATTAGTGCTTTGTGCGCGTGCAGGTCACTTCACGGATGTATTCCGTTCACATTAGATGCCGCATTCATTGTTGCAATGTGAACGACCGCACAAAAAGATCGGATTTAACAAAAAATCCGAATTGTGCATCATGACCTGCAGTGTGAACGTAGCTGAAGTTGAAACGAAACAAGTCTTTTCATTGACTTAACTTGCATTTTCAAGGCAGCAGGTGAACTTGCATTTGTAAGTTAAACTAGCTTGGAATGTCTTACAGTGCAGCAGTTACAGCCATTGAAAATGACAGTGTAGAAATTGTCACTTAATAATGGTCTCATTTGATGTTGTAGATCAAAGAAATGCATTAGCTTCTGCTTATTTTAGTCTGTTTAATGACCTTTCAAAAACTCCTCACAGAAGCGTCAAGATGAAACAGGTTTATAGGTGCAAGTATTTAAGATTTGCCCAGTGATTTTGGTGTTAAATGGTCTTGTATAATCAGAAGAAATAGAAACTAATTACTTTTGATAGGTCACAGACATAATGGAGGTGTGGTTGTAGTAGTTGTGTTGGGTTGGCTATGTTAAGTTTCTTTTCATGGGGCCTGTAATTCTCGATGACCCTTTATGACGGTACTTTCCCTTTTACTTGAGTACTTACCGAAGCTTGTCACCCACCGCTGCTTTATTCTTTCAAATAGCGTAAAAAAAGTGGTTTATGTTGCTTTTGATAACGAAGTGAGGGCGGGCTGAGTCAACCTGCCACTCCCCGCTCAGGCCTTCACGGGCGCGCGCCTCCGCTCCTGCGCGCCGCTGTCACGCTTTACAACCAACAGGCGCAGAATTCCAGAGAGGAAGTCACTGAGATTGGGAAACGAACAACTCCAAAGGTGGCAAAAACACCAAATCTAAACTCACCTCCAGTCTGAGAGAAGTCACTGTACGGCAATTCGGCTTCGGGAGCAGCGAAAACCATAAAGTTTGGGGTATGGACTAGAGGCGGCGGGTCGCAGCAGATGGAGGCGGTGAGAAGTTTGGTGTTTGTCGGGGCCGTGCTGCTCGGAGTGACGGGCGCGTTGGGCAGAGAAGGTGGGTAACTTTCGCTGCGTTTTTCCTCCTTTAAGACACACATTTTGGAAAAATTGACACTCTGCCTACACGAGATATTGAAGTGAAATACGTGGGTAATGTTTGAGTGAATTCTTGAGGTTGAGCTTTCCACCAAAGAGGTTGATATTTCTAGCTAGGACCACATTCCTCCGTGAGTCCGCAGCCCTCGTCACTCAGTCACTGCTGAGGCTCGTGGGATTTATGAAGCGCTGATAAGGTGAAAAAATGGCACCTGTCACAGAGTTGTCCTCGGGTAAAAAAAAACATATGTAGGTCTAAAACTTTTCAAAACAACTTGTAGCACGGGTTTGTTGCACAAATAAGCACTGTAGTAGTAACAGGTAAGAAATATGAGAACCTGCTTTGCAGCTTAGGGGACAGATACAGGCACTGGGTGACTGGGTGCGCGTGCAGGCGGACGTTAGGCTGGTTTGCTCAGTGCGTAAACAAAAACAAACCAACAACAATAACAAGCGGTGCATTGTGTTCAAGGGATCATGACGATGTCAATTATTCACTTCTGGCTCTAAAGAGGACATTGTCTAATAGAGGGCTACTTGCAGCTTGAGTGCATGCCAGTAAAACTGGAGCTAACTTAAAGTGCAAAGAAGAGCGAGTTTGCAAGAAAATCACTGCAAATCAGGGTTTATTTTGAAAATCAGGTACTGCTTGGCAAAAGGGACATTAGTTAATTGTGTCGTTTTTTTTTAACAGCACCTGCCTAATCATTTTTTTACACCACAGGCTGCAGGAAATGTAGGACCTAAAACAAAACAAAAATCAACAACAATAAAAAAAACATTTAAAGTGACACTTGGGGGGCCTTTTAGTTTTTCTTCCTAAATGTTGGTTTTGCTTGAGGATTTGTCAAAGTAAAACCCTGTCAATAATATTTATTTATCTTCAGCTGTAATTTGTAATCGCAAGTGCATGCATTGCCTTTTTTATAGTTAGAGATTGAATGTTAAGAGGAGTCAATCATCAATAAGCCTGGCCATATTTTTGTGAAAGCACTTAATATGTCATTCAGTTTTTATTGATGTTTCCTTTTCAGTGATCATTACCTTGCAGAGGAACTGGGTCAGTGCAGTGCTTTTACATGATACCAATGATGTTGAATGAGACTTCTACTAAAGAGTCGTCAATAATTTGGAGCTAAAATTAATAAAATAAGGTCGACATATTGTACCCAAGTGCCTTTGTCTGTGGCTACCCCCACCTCCATCATCTCTACTACACACACTAACAAAGCCAATAGTCACAGGTGAAGTGATTTCAAAATACAGCAGCATTGTTGGTGGGAACAGGTTGGTGCACTTTGCCTCTCAGTGTCAATCTCTGAAGCATCAGTTCACAACCAGCGACGTGATTGGCGTGTGTGTGAGAACCTGAACAACGCATCACAAAAGCAGATAACTCTAATCAGCTGCAGCCACTAGGTGTTGTTTTCGTGCTAACACATGAACACACATCCTGTGAACCATGAGCGTGTGAGATTTCAAAGGTCAGCAGTTGTTTTTCTTTCAGTGGTCAGAAATAATTATCCTGCCCCTACACTGTTTGTATGATTGTCAATGTGTGTGTGTGTGTGTGTTTGTGTTTGTGTGTGTGTGTTCAAATGAGCCCAGTATCTGCCAGGTTCATGTCCTTGTCACACACCAGTGCCCTCATTGAGTGAAACTCACAGCAAAGTGATTAAGCTGTACTGAATGGCAGTCAGTGGAAGGTTAACCTGACCAGCAGTGACTCACACATCCCGACTGTGTGTCAGTGATCTGATCAATGTGAGGTGAGGCGGGGGCCAACGGTGGACCATCAACACCAGCCTAAAAAGAAGCTGTGGACACCTCTGTGCCTGCTTGTCTTTGGATTGAGATAGATGCCATCAATCAAATAATGAAATTTTCGCAGGCAATTCACAGTAACACAATAATTCCTGAGAGATTATCCTTCCAGATCCCAGTGATCTGATCCCAGTGATTTTTTTAAATGTGTCTAGCTCAAAAAAACGTCCACTAAAGAGAGAAATACAGATATAGTACTGCATATACAAGCTGATTTTATGTCATGTATGACATGTCACTTCCAATTAAAGAAAGTGTGGAGTAAGCTCAGAGTTTGAACATCCGCATCTGTATCTCCTCGCATAGTTAAAATGAAGCCCTAAACAGCATACTGTGCTGTTATTTTGGAGCCAGGACATATGTAGAGGTGTTATGGCTTAATCTCCAGCGGAAAATCCCTTAGGTTGACACGGCTCACAGCAGACCAGGTTCTTGTGTTGATTTCAGGTGGGCATTCACAGGTCAATCATGATGTTACATCCCCTCTTACTGAAATTGAATAACTAATTTGAACTTCTTTACAAAGTTAACAGTTGCACATAAATTAAGTTGATTGATATTCATTCATTAATATTCATCACACTAACTCAAAACTGTATGTCAACGAACATTTCAATGCTCTATATTTGCTAATGCTATACAAAGGGTTTTTGAAGACATATGTTTTTGCACAATAGTTTCTCAGTGATAATAAATTGAAGATTTACCAGTTTACAATAGTTGAATAAAAACCAGTGTGTTAACTGTCCCTGTTTTGGTCTCATACATGGCTAACAAATACTCTGCTCTTCAGTAGATGAGAGCCAGCCTGTAAATCTGAAGATATCTTGAAAGTGATCAGTACAAGCTCATTAAATAAGCGGTTACTCAAGCTCTTCTTTCAACTAATTTTATATTTGGTGCAGTCATATTGACATTATGAACAACTTACACATTTAAAACATATATTTTGTTATCACTCTAAGCACCAGCGTAGAGTTAATCAAAGTAGAATTGAATCCTCATACTGATAATGTTGTTAATGAAATGACATTATCTTTTGAATTTAGCAGATTAAGTCTTTTTCTGGGAATACTCTGGTATTTTTAACAAATGGCTCCATGGACTGATTTCAATCTGGTTTGGTAAGTTTCACAACAAAACAGTGATACAGAGGACTTCTTGACTTAAAACAAGGCACTATGACAATCTGAGCACCTTTTCCCTTTTCCCAGTATCATACAAAAGCATAAGAAGATATAGTGCAAACTGACAGTTAAGCATCCATACATAAATACTCTGGTTAAGGTTTATTTAGATTTTATGGCTCTAATCAAGCGAAGTTTTATTGGGTTTAATATTACAGATGTTTTCAAACTGTCTTAAATGTGTTTGTAGATGTACCTCTGGTGCAGAGGTGTTGTGTGTACTTGTGTTTATAGTCTCTGTATGACGGCTGAATGAGTGAGGAGCTCATGTCTGACGCTCCGGTACAGTACGAATCCTGTTCTGCTTGTCTGTTGAGCAATACCTGTTTTTTCTTCCTCGGCGGTAGAGAGAGGGGGAAAGAATGTGTTCAGGGAGGTTAGGAGAACTTCACAGCTCAAGCAAGATGCATTGCCAGGATTAGTGCTGCATCAGAATAGGGACTGACGTGTTAAATCTGCAGGCTGACACAATGACAGAGAAAGTCCTGATGGATCAGATGTTCTGTTTGTGTTGAGCTTTGAAAGGATCTGACCCACTGGGAGAAAGTGGAGTACAGAAGATCCTTTTAGGTTGTTCCCTCTGCGTGCTTCTCCACCATGGATCAGTCTAACTCCTGCAGTAGCATCGACGCTGTCATGTGCCTGTCACTTACAATGCGAACTCTTATAAACATGCACACTCCCTTTGCTAGCTGGCATGGAGCCACATGCAGGTGTGGCTTCAGGCTGGCTTTCAGTTTGCAGACACACACTCAAGCAGCATATGTGCACAAGACACACTCAGTTTACCGTCACATTCAGTCAGGAAAGCCAGATTAGGATCTAATCAGTAACTAATAATTTTGGCAAGATCGAGTAGATTTAAAAAAAATAAACTAAAAGTAAATCAACAAAACTCTGGGGGGGACCACTTATCTAAGGGAAATAAGATGATTAAAAACAATATAAAGGGAAAAACTATTTGACACTTTGCTTTGAAATATACAGTGTGATTTATATCTTTTTTACAGAGCAGACTAGTTAGAAATGGAATACAGTAAAAAGGAGATAGTAGAGCAATACCTGCCATAGCTGCACACACACACAGTGAAATTAAATTGTCAGTGTTTTTTATATTAAACATTTAATAGTTTGATATTTTATAGTTCTATTTAATACATATATTAAATATAAAGGGGTAAGTTGACTTGACCCACATGATATTTTAAACTTAAACTTAGCCAATAATGATGAAAATAGAAATAATTTTATAAGACATTTCCCTTTTTCAAATAGTCCTTATTATTTTCTTTGGGTTATTAAAAAATATTAAACCAATTAAAGTTTGTTTTTCAGAACCTTTTATATTTGCAATCATTAATATAATATTGAAAACTTCTCTTGAATGAGTGTATTTATCAAAAATAAAAGATCATTCTGCTAATTTGAGTAGCAAAGACCTAATAAAAATTCTATAAATTGTGATTCATATTGGTTCAATTTACCCCAAGGCTTTTGGTTCATCATTGCCCCATGGCCATCGTTTTGATAAAACCTAATTAATTTAATGCTTCAGAATGATATTTTGCTAAATGATTCACATAGTTCTATACATTGAATATCACTAACATGCATGATGATGTAGTTTAAGTTTAGACCTGGGTCCATTTGCTTTAACATAAAAATAATTATACCACAAATGTAAAAAATTCCACAGCCTGTTGGAAATGATGTTTGTGTTCTTATTTTAGGGTCACATAACAACTCGTGTATAATTTTAAAGATCAAGGGGATGGTTCGTTCATCTTACCCGTTCTGCTACATATATTTTAATATAAAAATAAAAAAAAACACATTCAGTAACATGACATAAAGGTTCTTTTATGAAACAGATGTGAACAATTACAAAACAATTCAACATTCACTCCAAACCAACAGTCACACTAAACCATGCAACATTCACTCCAGATCAACAGTCACTCACACGATCGCAACAAAACCAACATATATACTAGTGCACGGACAGTTTGAGCTACTGCCCCTTGAAAAGGACTGTTTTGGTGAGCTTCTGTCTCACATTGTCTTTCTGTAGGCTAAGCGTAGTCATTTTAGCAATGTGGTGCAACCTTAATTTGAAAAAAAGGGACACAACTAATGTCAACAGTGTGTTGTGGTGACTGTCGATGCCATAGCATGTATCAATGATATGGCTTGTCGAAAGGAAAAATTATGTTTTGTGTCTCTTGACAAATATGTCAGTTTTGATTGTAAAGGTTCCCTACACCTTGTTGTAGTTTGCACGCTTATTCATAAAAGTGTATGAGTGACATGAGCAAGTGACAGCCTGGGGTTCTCAATCCTTTTACACAGATTACCACCTCAAATAATGTTGGGTTCTTCTAGTAACACCATCATATCCTTTCCTGGGCACCATTGAGATGAATGATTTAATGTCAAGCCATATGATGCTCTTATTTGTCAGTGACATTCCACACGTGTACAAATACTCACAACATCAGGTGGAGGTTTATCCTGGTGCAGGTCCATGGGCAGGTATTCTTCTGCTCTTCTAGAGGCAGCTGTGCCTCTTGTTGCTACCGGGTAAAAGAAACAGTTAAATATTAAAATGTGCTTAATGCACAACACTTTATGTATTCCTAAACTTGCAGAATCATAAAACATTGATTTATCCATCTTTAACAGCTTGAATTCTTGTTGGCCAATGGTACACATACCCTCTGGAGATGAGCAGGGAAGTTGAAAATGGTTTGCACAACACCAGCTCTAAGCCAGACAGTCTGCCCTGTCCTGTCAAAATCCTCACTCCTGAAATGTTCGCAGCATAGTTTTTAGTTGAAACAAAACGCTCCCTTCGTAGAGCAACTTTCCATTGCCTCCTCTTCTCTGCGTTTTGGGGAAACCTTAAAAACATGAGAAGATAACGAGATATGAATTATTGACAACATTTTACACCCTTCTTACCTTTAACATTAATGGTAAAGACAAAAAGACAGAGCTAAATTATGATATTGTTGGGGTAATTCATGTAGCCTATGCTTGAATGCCATTATGTAAACTTCAATAACAAGTCAATAACAATAGCATGTCAACAAAATGTGAAAAAGAAATATTCAATGATTATTGTGTAAACAAATGGTAGAAACATTTTTAAAAACTTCAGGGTGGAAATAACTTGTATTGTACAAGTACAAATTTAACTAAGTTAGTAACAATTATCCTAAATATGTCCCTCAAGTCATTTCTTATGAGTGAAAGGTGATTCCACGGGCTCTTGTTTGAACAGAATGTTCATTTGAGCATCCATGTGCTGCACAAAAGTCTGGCATCTTGGACTGTCGGGGGTATTTCTGTAAACACAAAGCCAATGAATCTAAATTAAGGATATATTTTACTAATGAAACAGCTTGGAAATCATATTATTTATGTTAAAACAAAAGGGTAATTCTGCCTTTCACACCTGTAAAGAATCACGTCTAGGCTACTTTGCAATAGTCTCAGTGGACCACTATGTCACATTCACAACCTCTTGTTTCTTTGCTAGCTAATAAACACAACTACATCCACAAAAATCGTCATGTAGACAAAATATGTGGTTGTCACAAAATTATTATTGGTCTCACAGAAACATATATAATAACTGAAACTCCCAGATTGCAGCCTTGCAAATGGCTGTGACAGACACACAACTATGCAGCAAAATGAAATCGATTTTCGAAAAGAGAAGCTGCACTTTCAACATGTCCATGCGGCCTGAATCATAGCCACGTTAATAAGGTTTTTAATAAACCAAAACGTTTGTAAATCCGTCAAGATTTCAGCGAGTTAAGTGTATTTTTGTTTGTGTAGGTCGCTCACCTTCCATCCACTACTGTAGAGTGCGCAGAGAAGTCCCCCTAGGTAAGATGGCCGCTCGGTGACGACGCGGTCGAAAGTCCCATCATCCATCCAGTCTTTCTAAATATCTATGGGCTACATTCCGTCCTGCTAATGCATCAGCGAGTGCAGGAAGTCTCATGCCAAGTTTGAGCCTTCTTATGATGATAATAATAATAATAATAACAATAATAATAATAATAATAACTTTATTTATATAGCACTTTTAAAAACAGAAGTTTACAAAGTGCTTTGACAAACAGTTGCAAAACACTAACAACAAAATCCTGTTGTGTAACTTGTTGTGATACCAGAATAGTAAATGATTTCAAGATGCCAGTGAGGATCATCAGTTTTGTGGGTGACACACTGCTGAGTAGAGACCATCTTGTAACTTGTAGGGTCAAAGGTCACTTACTTAAAGCCTCTGAACTACAAACCTGGTGTCTCTGTGGTGAAATACATACATGTATGTCATCTTTTAGATATGCAAAGATGCACATTGCTGTGAAATGACACTTTCCAGAGTCAAAAATAAGTCAGGACCTGACTCATGGACAAGCAAAGGAACAGAGGGGAATTTTTTAACTGAGTTGGTCATCAAAGAGGTCATTAAAAAGATGTAATGATTGGATTCAGAGGGGCAATGAGAGCAAAGTAAGTGATAGAAGATTTTTAGACCGGGGGACTGAGGGGTGGGCTGCTCCTCACAAGGCTGCACAGACACACATGCACAGGCGTTGCTGAGAGACTTTTAGAAAGCAAACAATGTGGGAATAAAAGGAGAGGAAGCTGAGTGCTGGCTTTACACACACTTTTTAGAAATGGAAAATCTGCTCTGTTCCGGTGCATTTACCTAATCCCTGGAACTGGAGCTGTCCCTGTGTTGTTTGTGTGTTTGGTTTTGTAGTTGTTCATGCAGATTGCAGAGTTTTCGGGAGTTTGTTTCTTAAGTGATATTCTATCTGACTGAAAAAAAGATTTAAAGTTTAAAAGCACAACTCCCCTTTTAGTTTCACAACACGTATGAATATTTTCCAAGATGACATCAGTGAAGGAGGCTGTGATTAGTCATTTGATTTGATATATCTGACACAAGCTGGGTGTGTATTTTTGGCAGCTGCTCCACTAGTCAAAGACCCAGATTTTATGCTTGTCAGATTTTGGTGCAGACTTAATTTACATCTATAGCTTGTTAGCTCGGCTGCAGGAGCTTTAATGTGGGTCAAGTGCTTGGCAATCAGCAGGAAACTCCACACGTGGCAGACGCACATTCATGATAAGAGCATGTCTGAAGCTCAAACCTACTGAACTTCATCACCCTCGATCTTCCTCCCTGACAGCACTTCCTGTTCCTCTGATGATGTATCTGAGACATCTTTCCCCCAAAGGAGGGACAGATATAGCACTAAGAGAGGAGACAGAGGGGGGGTCTTCAATCAGGAAAAGTGGGTTGACTATTGAAGGACTGTTGGAGAGGAGCCAAAGGAAGTCATTTATAACCCCAGCAGAGGGACAGCCCACAGTGAGTGTGTGACTGCCTGCTAAAGCTCGGCAGCTATGTGCATGTGTGGGAGACAGCCTCCATGAATTGTAGAGCTGTATGACCCTGAATGTGACCCACTGTGGGGAATCTGTGCTCTCTGCTGCCAGTGGAAAATATACCGTACACACTCAGAGACCTACAGAGGCAGTGCAGACAGTGTGTGTTTCATACGGCTGTGTTCAAGGCCGCTTGTAAACAGTTACACAGTCAAAATATGTGCAGTCCACGTTTATACGGTGTGAATCATTTTGAGTCTCTACATAAATTCTCTGCCTGTAACTGTCAGTATCTCTTACTCATAAATATTAGGCTATCAAATTGTAAAGGTGTAGAATTTTTTAAATGATACATTTTGATCTCAAGGAATTATTAACAAAGACTCTGAACAAATATAAAGGAATATATAGTAATTATTCAGTATGCCTGAAGGAAGTTATAACTTAAGGGGAAAAATTAACCTTAAACTAACTTTAATTCGGACAAAGAAGAAGGGTTTTTGTGTTTCAGTGAGTGGGGTGAGACTATGGGACAGGTTTTCCATAGAGTTAGAGCAATGTTCAATCATGACAGTTTAAATGAGGTATGAAGACCCTCCTTTTCAGAGGTACAGGGATGAGGACGGTGTTGGGTAGTACTAAGTGTTATGAGGTTATTGTTTCTTTTATTTTGTTTTTTTGTTTCTTTCTTGTTTTATTTTGTTTTGTTGTTTTTATGTGTGCTTAAGCGGATGTAGATTTTGTTTTGTAATACAAAGTCATGAATGTACTTTATTTATCTATAAGTATCGGGTACATCTAAACAAGTTGCAAGGAAGCTTGGTGTGGGTAATTATTATTTAAAGGGAAGGAGTGAGAGTTCACAAGTTATTCTTCTTCTCACTCCTTTTTGAATATATCTCTGTGTTTTATGTTTAAATATTTTGCCTTACTTTTCTTGTTTTATTTTTTATATTTTTGGTTTGCATATTCGAAATAAACTTCAATCAATCAATCAATCAAAAATCATTCCCCTCTCTGACTGACATTCTGTGATCTGTGGTTAATATACGTGTTAAACAAGGAAAGACAAAACAAAAAACAAAACAGTGGCTCCTTAAGCATGTAGAGGACAAGAAAAGTAAAGACTGCTTTGACACAAAACAAAAGTTCCTCACGGTAGCTTTAAAATACCATCACTGTTGGAGAGAAAACTTTCTCTGCTTATTTTCCAACAAAATTTGTTGGTCAAGAGGTGTTTGGCTTAAAAAGTGTTTCTAAGGTGATGGAGTTATTGCAAAAGTTTTATAAATCAGGGAAAAGGGGCATGATTGGACATCAAGTGCATTTTCAGTTCTTTTTCTGCTTAGACCATAAACCCTAAAGATTTGAAATAATGATGGTATAAAGAAGAAAAATGTCACGTTCAAAGTTTCAGTGCATTTAGGTGATCAGTATTTTGTAACATTTTCTCTTTTTGTTGTAGTGTACTTCTACATAAACTACACATTGTGCTCTTGTTTTCTCTCCTCTTCTGTGGTGGTATCTTTTATGTTGATGGTTTTTGCACTCCATATGATTTTGAAAGGCGGTAAACCCGACTAGCTATCATAGTGTACGAATGTTCAATGTTGAGCGGTAGTGTTTATAATAATAATAATATTGCATCAGATTTCATATAGCACTTTATTAGAGACCCTCAAAGCGCTTTACATTGGATACATCATTCATTCGCTCACACAGTCACACTTTGGTGCCTTTTTTTTCAGTATGCCTGGGTACAGACATGAAGCTGGCCTTGCCCTCCAGCCTGGAAAATCACTACGAGATCCTGAAGCTGCTCTACACCGGCTGCCAGGTCGTCCACGGCAACCTGGAGATCACACACCTTCATGGAAACCCTGACCTTAGCTTCCTACAGGTGAAAAATTTTTTTTATTCAATCATCCTGTCCCCACCAAAGGCTTATATTTTTAACATCTGTATCTCTTCTTTTTCAGGGGATTGTGGAGGTTCAGGGTTATGTACTCGTAGCTCACGTGTCAGTAAGTCTGGTTCCTTTAGACAACCTAAGGATCATTAGAGGCAGTCAGCTGTACAACTCTAGCTATGCCCTGGCTGTGCTGGATAACACTCTGGGCGGACAGGGGCTCAGAACGCTCCGGCTCCGTTCTCTTACAGGTCAGATACTTGATTAATAAAATTCTGGACTGGACTGGAGCAGTGTGTTTTTCACTTCAGAAATGTTTGTATTCTCTTCCTTGCAGAGATCTTGCTGGGTGGGGTGTATATTTGGAGGAACCCTCAGCTGTGCTTTCCGGATGCCCAAAACATCATATGGAGGGACACTTTCGACGAACAGAAAATCCCCTCAAGGCAACTACAACTACAACCTCGAGCTTCAAATTGTAAGCAGCCTATATGATGCAGAAATAACACAAGAAAGAGGGCTTTTAAGTTTTTCAAGGACACTTTGGGTCATTTTTCACATAAACAAAGTTACTTCAAATTATCAAACAGTCAGGCACTTGATCATCGAGGCATATCATTTAAAGTTTATTCAGACTGAAATATATTGACAACAAACATGGTAGAATTTACTATGAATAAATAACATCAAATGACAAATTAACTTTCCTGTCAACTCCAGTTTGGCCAAGTGTATAAGCTGATATTTGCATGCTAACAGGTGAAACTAGAATGGTAAACATGACACATTTGGACTGCTAAACTTCACAATTTATCAAATGTTCGCATATTAACTAGCAAATATCAATATTGAGCTCAAGTTGCATCCTTGAAAGAACTAGCTTGTACCACAGGAACTGGTCAGATGTATCCTCTGAAGTTGAAAAGCTTTGTAGTGTGTTTGCTTGGATTGTACTATTCCCAGCATAGAGTTTTAATTCGTTGACAAAAGTGACACTCAGCTCTCTCTACTTGTTTTTGTTTTTTTGTTTTGCTGGTAAAGGTCCAAGTTGTGCCACTGCATGTAAGGAAAGCTGCTGGGGAGAAACTGCACAGGACTGCCAGACCTGTGAGTTGATATTGTGTGTGACAGTAACGCTAAACTAAACACAATTCCAGATCAGGAAAATTAAGACTCGAAACATTCCCTCTTCTATCTCGGTTTGCAGTGACCCGTATTAAGTGTACATCTGGCTGTCAGCGCTGTAAAGGTCCCTTACCAAACGACTGCTGTCATATGCAGTGTGCTGCAGGATGCACAGGACCCAAAGACTCAGACTGTCTGGTAAATGGCACACACACACACACACACACACACACACACACACACACACACACACACACACACACACACACACACACACACACACTGTTGCAACATTTGTTGTGTCTTTGTGTAGTCAGTCAGCCTTTTGTTTCTTTTGGTTTAACATATTTCCTTGTTCCTTCTCTCCAGGCCTGCCGTCACTTCAATGACAGCGGCGTGTGCAAGGAAAACTGCCCTCCCCCCACCATCTATGACCCGGTCACCTTTCAGACCAAACCGAACCCAAACAAGAAGTTCAACTTTGGAGCCACCTGTGTGAAGACATGTCCCTGTGAGAACCTTTCTTATGAAAGTTATCTTTTCAAAAAGCTGCAGCACAATACTCACCTAGTGGCCCCTCTACTGCTCCACCAGTGCACCTGATGATTGAAGCCTTATGCTGCAGGGCACCTTCAATGACAGTGGATGCTGACAGAAGAAAATATTATTTCAGTCAATTACTCTGCCAAGAAGCCCACACAAATTCCAGGAATTCAAACCTGACAGGATTGCAGTTACATTCCTGCTCCCGTATTGCTTTAGGCTACCAACTTCCCATTTCATCATATTTAAGTCAGACTCTTTTTGCCGTGAGGATACCTTTTAAACACCCTGTTTCCCATCTGTAGATAACTATCTGGCAATGGAAGCGGCCTGCACTTCGCTTTGCCCTAAAGCCAACCAGGAAGTTATCATTACAAACCCTGATGGAAATGAGACGCAGAAATGTGAGAAGTGTGAAGGAGACTGTCCCAAAGGTGAGATTATTTTGATCAGGACACTTTACACAAAATGTACTCTTATACACTCAGCGGTCTGTTTTGTGCCAGTGGTTCAGACTGCTGTTTAAAAGTTTAGGATATAAATATGTACCAAAAGGAGGGACCTTACATATCAATATAACTAACTAAAACCCACTTAAATATTCTTTCTGAGAGCATGTTGCACTTTGTCACCACAGTGAACCCCCCCCCCCCAAAAAAAAAAAAAGGTTTCATAAAGTACACATCATCTTAAAAAGTTTTGGTAAACACGGAACAACTAGTTATGTCTAAATCCTTCCAGAATCATCCAGAAGAGCACTTTTGACACATGAATAAAACAGGGCATTTGTAGCATGAATGCGCATTTTATAAATTTGGATCAAATGTGCAATCATATTTCAAGAGGGACCAGAATCCCTCTGAACCATATCTATGATTTTTTTTTAATCCAAGAATTCGACTCGCTACCCAAATAGTGTAAAAAACATACCTTATGAAAAAGCCAAACGTGTAGCTACTTTAAAGTCTAGAATAAAAACAATTTCACACTACGTGGTTCAAATTTCGTTCAAGGAATGACAAAGATAATTAAAGTTAGGTATTCACCACATGCATTACTTGATGCTGAAGCACAGATGATTATGTTTTGTTCTGCACATACTGATGTTCTGATGCATCACGTGCTAACAGTGTGATCAAGTGGACCAACCTGTTTCAGCTGAATCTTGTTGTTTTAACTCGGGTACGGGTTAGTAAAGTAAAACGACTGACAACAACAAGAACGAGGTAGTTTAAAGCACCCATCATCTTGTTCAGGTCATCGTTCATCCTTAGCATCCTTAGCACATTTGTTTTTAACATTATGGCAGTCTTATCTCCCCATGCCTTCAACATCTGAAATATACAATCTTTTTCAGTATGTTATGGTCTGGGTATAGACAACCTTGGCGTCACGGAAACCCATGGCATCACTATGGTAACATCATCAAATGTGGAGCAGTTCAACAAGTGTAAGAAGATATTTGGAAATCTGGCCTTTCTCCCTCAAAGCTTTGCAAGGTAAGAAACACAACAGGCAAGTCCACAAGACATACAAACTGTTTGAGCTCATAAAGAAACACGTTACTGAATCAAACCAAATAATCATACATAGTTTTAAGTCTATGAAAAGTAAAGTTTAAATGCCAAAACCTTAAGTTTACAGAAACTCTTTTGCTGAGGATTCTTTGTTCTGGTCAAAGTTCAAGTTGCCGACCAGCCAAACCCTTTAGAAGAAATGAACTTAGCTCTCGAAATCATGTTCACCCTCACTGTATTTTTGAGTCAAATATGAGAACCTGAGCTTTTGTAAATGTCTTCTTTGTCAAATGAAAGCAAAACATTTTAAAACAGGCAGTAAAACAATGATAAAGGGTAAGCAGACTAGTCTGAAGGCGCAGCAATAAAGTAAACAGCAATAATCAACAAGCCAGCATGGTCTGTTGATTCGTTTTTGTTCAATAGAAGGTTGTTGGATCAGCCTTCGTCAGCCAAGCAAAGAAGCCAAATCCCCGATAAGTCCTTTTGCTTGTGCCAGCAGTTCACAATGAATGTGTGAAATGTAAACAAACACCTGAGAATACCTGCACCACTACAGATTTTATCAACAGAGATGTTACAAGATGATTATTTAGAAATGGTCAAAGGATTGGTTTCTTTGGTTTTGTGCTAAGTTGTCATAAATCTTTGGAACATTGTCCAGGGACCCTGTGACCAACACATCAGGACTGAACCTGGAGCAGCTGAGCGCCTTTAAGAAACTGGAGGAGATTACAGGTGATTTCTGAATTCTTCCAAAGCCTTTAAAAAGCAATGAGAGGCAAATGAACTTTTTTTCGAGATTGAACGGATTCAGAAAATCAGCAAATGCTATTTTCCTGGCTAATCCTGTGACTTTTCTACCTGTGTTAAGCTTTTCTGTTCGACTTTGACATGCAGGTTATTTGTATGTTGATGGCTGGCCAGAGGAATGGAGCGACCTGAGTGTGTTTGAAAACCTCAAGGTGATCAGAGGCAGGACGCTCTACAAGTAAGACTCTAACAGCATGTCTGAAAACTACATGTTACCCATAATGCCTGTAAATACAAACTTAGTCTTTATTCTGTGTCACTTCTCTGAATGTGGTTGCCTACTCATACTTGGTATGCAGCTCTTAGTGTGTGAGTGCTCTTTTTTTTATGATCAGTCCCTGAATCAGTTAAGGCAGTTAGTTCACTCTTGGGGTTATAAAGGCTAATTATTAGCCAACACAGCTGCTGTTTACTTGCAACAATAAACAACAGTTCAAGTATATGAGATGCCATCCAGTGTAGCAAGCTCAATCTAGGTCATTCTGATAAACGCAGAAACTGCCTGTCTGATTCTGTGTGACGAGTGTAACATTATGGGACAGTGTTATCTTTGAAAATAAGACGTTTCTGTTGTTTCTTAAAGTTGAAAGCTGTTCTCTGCTCTGTTCATTTAACCCGAATTGATCCCTTGATTTGTTTTTCAAATCCTGTTTAGGGGTGTGTTTTCACTCGCAGTCCAAAATCTCCACATCCAATCTCTCGGGTTGCGTTCACTACGCAGCGTCAGTGGAGGGTTGGTCCTGTTGCACAACAATTCCCGGCTGTGTTACACCGATTCACTTCCCTGGGATAGTCTCCTCCATCCCACCCAGGGACCCCACCGTATAGTCAGCAACAACCAGAAACACGAACTCTGTGGTTGGTTTAAACACACACACACACACACACACACACACACACACACACACACACACACACACACACACACACACACACACACACACACACACACACACACAAACCTTATCTCATAATTCAAACAAAGCAATGCCAAGGTCCATTAAAGATATTATAGGTTGCACTTTGATCAGACACTTTTCATTTGGCAGCTATCTGTATCCAAGTTTACCAGCTCTGAAAAATACTAAATTAGATTTCTTTGATATTATTGATTTTAGGTTCATGCATTTTATTCCTCATTTGTAGAGGGTTAAGCTGCTGTTGAATATTTAACATTCATTTATAAAGGGTGTTTTTTTCTGCACTGCCCATCTTGAGTGTTTTGAATCCATTTCTTATGACACACATGTGACTTTGCAACTGAAGCCCTGACAAAGAGTACAACTCCTGTTGTTTTCTTTGTCTATTTCTGTTTTTAGAGGCAGAAGGACGTGTTTGTCACCCACTGTGTAAGGGGGGTTGCTGGGGTCCAGGACCCAGCCAGTGTGTGTCCTGCAGGACTTTCCAACGTGGCTCTGAATGTGTTGAGCAGTGTGATATCTACCAGGGGTAAGGGTTTTTTTTTATTTTTTTTATTTTTTTTTTGAGTGTGTATTTGTATATTTAGATCAGTATGTGTGGCTGTGCTCAAACTAAAAGACCAAATAAATCTCCCAGTTTAGAAGCAACTACATAATGTCCTGACGTTTAAAAACAAGCAGACTTTTGTGGAGTTGGCTGGATTTAAAGTTGGTGCCAATCCAACTAAGGGTTCACAATAAATCAATCTGAAAGCTTTTAACTTGAATTGTTCCCCTGAGCAATATTGACCAAACAAACTCTTGTGATAACACAGTGGACTCGGGACGTTTTTCAACGCGTAACCTAGGCAAACATTTCACAAATAATAGATCCATTCAGGTTGTTATTTTGCGATCAATTTACCAGCTGTGTGGTGATATACATTATATATTATACAGTCTTGATTTGTGAAAGTAATGCACAATAAGGAATACAAAGGAGTAAAGCCCACTCTGCAGCACAGCTTTGTTAAAAATAAAAAAAAACATGAGATTAACCAAAGCATAGCAGTTTCGTTATAGTACAACATGGCGGCAGCTACAACCAGTGAGACATGGTGGCTTAACGACAACATGCCAAAAGGACGAAAAAGCATGCAGTCAAAAAAATGTTGCATGCTGACTCTGATAGCAATAGGCTTAACATGTCAAAACCGAGTAATAGTTGATTATCTCTGATGTGCAAAATGATCATTTGTGGGTCTATGGATGGTAGTTCATGAGATATTCAGTGGATGAACTTTTGTTTATGCATACATTGTTTGTTCAGTCCTGTACGGTTCAGAGAACACCCTGTGCAGGTTTTCTGATAAGCTACCATGAGCAGTTATTTCCAGCTGGGGGCCCCCTCTCTAAAAGTGTGCAGCTTTTATGACTGTGTCAGGTGCTTTAGATAAAAGTATCCAACAAATTCCCAGACTGCGTTATGAGATGTTAAATTTCATTCTCACTGTGCTTGTGTTGCAGGTCAGTGCGTGAGTACACAGATGGGTCTTTGTGTGTCGCCTGTAACTCAGAATGTCGTCCTCTCAATGGCTCAGCTTCCTGTCATGGCTCGGTAAGATATTTATGCAGCGCTGTGATTGTCAGATATTGAATCCAAAGGCAAAAAATAAAGATCCAAGTAAATCCACGACAACATGCTCATCTCTTTTGTGAATAGGACGTATTTCTTCATTTATTTAGATCTGCCCCTTTGTGTTTTCAGGGTGCTGATGACTGTGAAGAGTGCCGAAACTTCCAGGATGGTGAGTCTTGTGTGGAACATTGTCCGAGCGGTATCAAGGAGGATCAGCTAACAGTGTGGAAGTACAGCAATGCTTCAGGGCACTGTCTACCATGCAACACCAACTGTACCCTGTCGTAAGTGGAAGACACAGGCACATACTTAAGATCTGTCCCAGTTTTTAGAGCTTTCTGTGTGTTCATCAGCAGTTATGGTTTTAATTTTATTTTTTTTGTTTGCCTGTGACGGTGTGCCTCATGGGCCAGTTTTGAGACCAGTTGTTATTTTATTTTTTAAGTCAATTCTCACTGTTCTGTTTCAGCTGTACTGTGATGGATGACAGAGGATGCCCTATTGACACCAGGACTGGGTGAGCTGCTTCAACTTTTCACACATAAAAGTGTTGTCTGTCTACATCATAGTTTAACATTCTTTCTGGGTCAAATGACGATCAACCTCCTGCAGAATTTTCTTTGTCCTTTCTGTGATTGAACTATTTCCTCTGTTTAGACCGGGTACAACCATCGCAGCTGCTGTGGGTGGGGTGGTACTCTTCTTCATCCTTCTGGCTCTGCTTGTCTTCTACCTGAGGAGGCAGAAGAAACTGAAGAGGAAGGAGACAATGAGGAGGATCCTACAAGAGCATGAGGTGGGTAGAGAGCATGATTAGAAATGATGTTTTTTTGGTCAAACTTGGTTTGTAGAATCATTAAAAAAAAGAATCTACAGGAGGGTGAGTGCTAAACATAATTGGGAAGAATGAAGCTCACCTTTGATGTCGTATGAAAAGCAATCTACCCTTTGCTTTCATTATGTGAACAGCTGGTGGAGCCTTTAACACCCAGCGGTGCATCACCCAATCAGGCTCAGATGCGCATCCTGAAGGAGACCGAGCTAAAGAAGCTCAGGGTGCTGGGTGCAGGGGCCTTTGGTACTGTTTACAAGGTACGAGCTACTTCTCAAACTTTAAAAAATGCACATGTTGTTGCCAAAATATTTTGTTTTTTAGTAGTTATGATGTGTTTCAGGGGGTGTGGGCTCCTGATGGAGAAAACGTGAAGATACCGGTCGCCATTAAGGTGTTGCGAGAGAACACATCCCCAAAAGCCAACAAAGAGATCCTTGATGTGAGTCACACGCACTTACATTCACATTTACAGCTCACTTAAAAACACTTAAACATATTCTCCCTGTGCTCATCAGGAGGCTTATGTGATGGCTGGAGTGTCCAGTCCGTACGTGTGTCGTCTGCTGGGGATTTGTCTGACCTCTACTGTGCAGCTGGTTACTCAGCTGATGCCCTACGGCTGCCTCCTCGACTACGTCAGAGAGAACAAAGACCGCATAGGCTCCCAGTTCCTTCTTAACTGGTGTGTCCAGATTGCCAAGGTATGTAAACAAGAACCTGCTGTCCTCTTTGTATTGGTTTAGTTAAACATAACCCCACTTCTACAGGGATAAGTTAGAGTAAAGATGATGCCAATCTTAGTATGTTACAGTGTTTTAATCTTGTTTCTTGTTTTTCCTTCTCAAAATCCTTGTGGTATTAGCGTGTATATTTGGCTTATGCATTTGTGGGTGATGGATCTGTGTGTATGTTGGGGTAGGGCATGAGTTATCTGGAGGAGGTCCGGCTGGTCCACAGAGATCTGGCCGCCCGAAACGTCTTGGTTAAGAATCCAAACCATGTCAAGATCACCGACTTCGGTCTGGCTCGCTTGCTGGACATTGATGAGACTGAGTATCATGCTGATGGAGGAAAGGTTAGATCTGGTGATTAGAGTCGGAGAATCTACATCTGCTTTATTATTTACTTTGTTTACATTTGTTCCATGTCTTTTCCACAAGGTGCCAATCAAATGGATGGCCCTAGAGTCCATTCTGCACAGGAAGTTCACTCATCAGAGTGACGTCTGGAGTTACGGTCAGTATCACTTAGGGATGGAAATGACTGTGAAGACAAGACTTGACTCAGACAGTAAATCAGTTTAAAAGCCCAAGATATTCAGTAGTAAAAAAATGTAGATAGCAAACGTGCACTTTTTGTTCTCAGGGGTGACAGTGTGGGAGCTGATGACCTTTGGGGCCAAACCCTACGACATGATTCCAGCAAGAGAAATCCCTGATGTATTAGAGGGAGGGGAACGACTCCCTCAGCCGCTTATCTGCACCATTGATGTTTACATGATCATGGTCAAATGTGAGTAGTTCTTATTGTAGCAATGATCAAAGTTTAATCAACTCGATATAAGGATCAATTTGGAAATGGTACCTTTATTTCTTTGTGGTCTATATTTTTGTTTTAGAGTTGCATGTTTTGGTTTGTACTAAGGATGACTGATTACAAGCTTCATTTTATGTTCTGGTGGCAGGTTGGATGATTGACCCAGACAGCAGGCCAAGGTTCAGAGATCTGGTGAATGATTTCAGTGCAATGGCCAGAGATCCACCTCGCTATGTAGTCATTCAGGTATGAGTTTGTTTGTCTCATGCTGCGGATGTTTGACTAGTAGTTTGTGAAGCATTTTCAGGGCCTGATTTTCTAATACATACAATTTAGGAAATGTACAACATTTGTACCTTCTCTTTAGATTTATTTTGTCCTCCATTTTCTTGCAGAATGATGAGCAGATGAGCATGTCCAGCCCAGTGGACAGCCAGTTCTTCAGGATGCTTCTGGAAGAAGAAGGGAACAACATGAGGGAACTGCTGGATGCAGAGGAGTATCTAGTACCTCAGCCAAACCTTTTTCCAAGAACTCAAATTGATGGACCTCAAACTAATGGGCCATCCAGACACCAGTCCTACAGGGTCAGTGGGGATGGAGGGTGTCCCTGATTTGTAATCACTTTGTAATCACATTAAAATATGCTGGCTATTCAAAACTTTTTGGGGTCCACTTGGTACATTAACATGTTAAATAATCAGAATTTTTTACCTGTATGACTGTTTCGTGGTAGAAACAACATCTTTGCTCATCTGAATCTACTAACCTTTTAATTTTTCGCCAGCAGAGCAGGGACCAGGGCTTGGATATTGACCCGTCCGTAGCTGGTGGTCCTCGTAGCATGTACTCGTCCCTGAGCACTCTAGGCCGCAGCCAGTACCCGACCTTACCTTTGGGAGCCAGCACCTCCAATGGCCTGTGGACCCCTCAGTACCCCACACTGGCTCGTAGCACCTCAGCGGGGGGCCAGTCTGACTCTGTCTTCCTGGATGGACCTCCAGATGATCCTTCCATCCCTCCTGCCAGTCCTGGACGCTACTGCAAAGACCCCACCTACTCTAACGGGAGCCAGGGTGACCTGGAGACAGATGGACCAGTGCCAAATGGATTTCATCTTCCTAACCATCTTCATCACTCACTGCCCAGGCGGAGTCATGGGTATAATCACAACCATGTCCTGCCAGGTGAGACCTTGAGGACATCACGTCAAGCATTGAAATATCAAGGACCTGATTATTTAAATTATTTAAATTGTAAATATATGGTAGCAAACTAGAACAAAAGCTGTCCCATGATATTTTTACATGCAGTCCAGACAGTTCTCTTTGTTTATTTAACAAGACCCAAAATTATTGGTATAGTTATTAGCAATAACAGGCAGGAAAAACTTCCTGGTTTGGCAACAAAAATAGACTCATAGGTGCACAACCATCTTATGCAATCTGATGATAGAAAATAATTATGAAAAGATGATAGGATTGATAATAAATCCTCTTTTTGCCTCCAACTGTTCAGAATATGTCAATCAGGAGATTCAAGATCTTAGGCCAATGGTCCCAGAGCGTCCTACAACTCTGCCTAGGAAAGGCTCCAGAGCAGACCGCCGCCTCCCGAACGGCCTTAGCTCTGGGCACAGCGTGGAAAATCCGGGTTATCTGGTTCCCTCAGGCACTGGAGCCTCTACGTCACCAGCGTTTGACAACCCGTACTACCTGGACCTTGTGGCCAAAGCCAAAGCTGTTGCCGGGGCTGCGGTGCTGGACGGCCCGGAGACAACAGAGACAGACGGAGGAATTCCCAGGCATGTGAATGGGTTTATGACGCCCACAGCAGAGAATCCAGAGTATCTCGGATTAGCGGACACCTGGAGTGGATATACTTGAGGGGGAGCTGGGAGTAATATAATGAACTCAAGAGGAGTCACAGATTGTGTTCTACGAGGAGCGAGAGGAAAGGAAGAAGAATAGTCCGTTTGCAAATACCAAGAGAATACAAACTGACTGAATCACCAAACCACCTGGCTCTGATGCATCATGATTCAACAGTGAAGTTTCTGTGGCATCGTTTGTATTCTGTCCTACTCTCAGCGCTCACTGAATGACTATTAAGTGCCAAAAGGACATGACTTCAGCCTGCGTTTAAAGAGCTCACATTTATCAGAACTGATCATGGTACAAGAGGTCTGATTAGCACAGAACCCAACATTTTACTGGATAAACAAAGCTTTTCTTTTCCAGCTCCATGCAAAGAATGTCTGCTGTTGTTTATACAGCATGTGAAGCATTTTTACACCCTCCAAAGCTCACTGGTGTGTACTGATATGCTTAAAATCCCAGTCAGAAGGTGAAAAATACTCTGAGAACTTCAACTCAGTGAGCAACGCCATGTATTGAAGGTGACGCTTAGTATTCCAGTCACTTTGTCTCTGACCTGATGGGGGTCTTCAACACACTCAAAAGCCATTTTGTGTTGGCCAGAGAAGGCCCTGCAGCCCATCTGGCCAGTGGACATGCTCTGTGAAAGAAGGGCATCCTGTAAGGAGAAGACAGAGGCATTGTGCTGCGCTGATGTATGTGGTTGTTAGTATCCGAGGCTGCAGCTACTTTGTGGTACGGCACATGAGATATGAGGTACGAGCAGACTTTTCAAGCTGTAAACATCTGAGAAATTATGTTTATGTGTAAAAGACAGAGGGTACTAGTCAAGTTGGAGCCAACTTTTCAGGGATTTTGCAAACACTAAGGGGAGATAAAGTGCATTTTAAATCTTGCACATTGCACTACATGTTAGGATACTGCATAAGCCGCCCCAGGATTGTGTTTTCACATTAAACCTTATGATGGCCTGTCACTGTGCAAGGAAGCACTACAAGCTAAAAGTGCGTAAACCGCACAAGAAGTGAAGAATTTGCATGTAAATATGCATGTGTTTATAGAACAAAAAGCAGTCCTGCTGTTTGTGTTTCTGTGTAAAAGTGAGCAATGCACCAAACACTGAAGCTGAATGTGAATCGGAGGAGGCAGAAAACATTGCTCCGCTCGGTTCGGACAATCAATGCATGGCTCAAATTCCTCTCAGCGAGAACACACTGGCATCCCAGTTAATAATCATCAGAGTTTTTTTTTTTTTTACAAGATTTCTCTCTTTTTTTTCCATGTAAGCTGGTGTTGGGCGGGGGGAGGTCTGAAGTCAGTCAAAGGAGCCTTTGTCAAACCCTTGTGTCCTTGTTGGAGAGTCAGCACTCGCACATCCCAGACAACTGAGATCGTCATAGTTGTGGAAAGTGAGGAGTAGAGTTTTTGGCAGAATGTTGTTGATTGTTTGGTGCTAAAAATCTTGAGAGGGTCTTAAAAGGAGAAACCAGACTATTGAGATGTGATCAAACCTGCATCAACACTAAGTTTTACTCTGAGAGTCTTTGGGAAACTGTTTTTCATCCAGACACTGTCATAGGGGTTTGGAAGAGTCGTGTTCCAGAAATGTTTTTCTTAGAAACTTAACCTGGTTTTATATAACAAAGCCGTTGATGAATATATTGTGTTATTTTCCAAAAACATAGCCAGATTACGTTTAAATACCTCATCCATTTTTTACTAACTTGAATTGGAATTAATATTGAGTAACAAGAATAACAATACATAACTCCTTTTTAAATATGCATTTAGTATAATGGATATAATACAACAATGTTTGTAGTGTAGTATAGTATTTGAAATAGCATCCCTGTTAGGTAAAAACCTCACATCTCAAGAAATATTTTGCTAAATTTGGGGGATTCGGGATGTTCTACAATGTCTGTTGCTATGGACTACAACAAACATGAACCTTTTTGAGGTACAGGTTCTCACAGGATTGTGGAAATATTTGAGCAGTCCTCACACATGCTTTCTTATCCTGAAGAGTGTGATGTTTTGTAGAAGACCACTACTTCATATACAATCACAGTTAACATGCTGGTGCTTACACTGTAGTGTATTCACTGTAGAGTCACATAGAGGCTGATTGATGTATGTACAGAGCCCAGGGTCCAGCACTGGCTGTTGCTCAGTGGCTTGGTTGGGACACATTACAGCCATCTCAATGTACTTCCTGCCAAAGGGAGCTTGTTTTGCCTTTTAAGTTGTGAGACTGAGCAGGAAGGTAAACTTGAATGTAAAAGAGGTCTGTGGCTGTTTTAAAATTGATCTACGTAAGTGTGTAAGAGCATGTAACATGTTTGCATCCAGGAGTAAACCTAATAGAACAGAGAAGAGTGTTAACAGGCGTGTGCTGAAGGTTTTGATAGAATAAGTATCTGCATATTACATTTTAAAGCAAATGTATTTTTTGTACTTTTTATGTTTTTTTTTGTTTGTTTGTTTGTTTGTTTTTTTACTGTACACAGTTTCTGTGATTTTGACAGAATATGAATAAAAACCTTTTTTTTTTTTTTTTTTTTTTTGGGGGGGGGGGGGGTTACTGTTTGGTCAGTATGTTCCATAATGTAAATGTGTATAATATATAAATAAAAAAACAATCACTTTGGTAGCTAATTTGATTGAACACAAACTGGAAACAATGAACAGATTGTGACCAGTGGAGCAACTATTAAGGGGGGCAGGGGTCAAATACATAAACAATAAGTAATTTTTTATGAAGTGGTCATTTTTGTATGGAATTGGTTGTATACATCATGTGTGTCATTAAAGTATAAAATGTTAAAGACTTGAAAATCTTCTTTAGAGTGGAAACTTTCACGCAACACAATGAAAATTTTAGAAAACAACATTCAGCAACCTTTTTTAAAACATATTTTTCTTCAAATTTGTTTTGAATTGTAGTATTGTAACAGACAGCTACTTCTTGCTGTCGTGCACATTGTTACATGGTCCTGCCACCCAATGGTGAAAACCAAAACTACAGGCACACTAACCTTTAAATGAAAGAGAGTAAATCTTTGTAAGTATATCAGTTAATCTTTAACCTATTTATCGTTTGTTTTGTGGTGTTATTTTAAATGGTACACTCAGTTTTAATGCAGTACATAACCACCCCTTACCTTCCCTCCTCTTTTATTCAGAGGTAAAACCATACTTAGGCTTGTCTGTCCCAGGTGGCAGAGCTTGTAGTAGGCCTTACTCAAATCCCCCAATAGATGCAGGTCAAGAGTCTCATCAGGGACCTGTCATAGCTGAGATTCACTAAGGGGTATCACTGGACTGAACTGTCTTGGCAAACAGACCACTTTAAATTAAGATGGAGGTCCAGAGTAGTTCTTGTAGATCAACAGATCAGGCTCAGTAAAGATGGGCCATGGTGGTGCAGTGGTTAGCACTATTGCCTCAGTTTTCATCTCTACATGTTGACAAATATGATATCTAGGCTTTTTGTTTATAAAACTCCAGTGAGACCTTGTTTGAAAAATGATCCTAAATGTCACTTGCATATTCAAATAAGAGATTCAGACTGCTTCATTACTGAATCCTCTAAATGAAACCAGACCGCACCCGCAGAGGAACTTGTATAAAAGAGAGTGAAACTAGCAAATATCTTTTCTTTTGTTTTGGACTCACTTCTCCAGTGTCGTATATCTCCCAAAGATTTTGCGTTTTTGATCATTTCTTTAGCGACCATAAAAGTCACCTCTGAAAAAAAATGTATCCTCATTTTCATCCTGACTCACAGAACATAACTTTCAACAATAGTAATCCTTCTGAGGATGTATTTGGACACTGTGGTGACCTGATGGCAGGGATCATAGTCTGGGCTTCTCTAAGTGCACTCTTCTCACTGATTGGATGTCCTGCATGTGTTGCTGTTTTGTGGGAACTCTTGCAGAAACACAAATCAGGTAAGCCAATGACCCCCAACAATGTCTTCATGCTTAACCTCACCGCAATGGACCTGGTTTTCTTGATTTTTGTCCCACTTGGGCTGTGCAACTTTTTTCTATGGCACACTGATTCCATAATAAAGGTCAGCAACTTTCTCTATGCTTTAAATCTGGCTGGACGACCTCTCCTGACAGCATGTATCTGTCTGGACTGTTACCTCGCCGTAGTTCACCCTGTCACCTACAGCAGAAGGAAGAGCCTGACCCCCCGAGTGCTCATGGCCATTGCTGTTTGGGCCATCACGCTAGCTCAAGGGATCATGTCCACAGTCTTCGATGAGTTAAACCACAGCCCCTGGGCCATGTTTGTGTATGTCATAGCACTGCCTGTCATCGTCATCTGTGATGTCTCCATCTTCTGGACTCTGAAGAGGTCCCAGCAGGCGGGAAAAGCCCTCCACCCGATGAAAAAGAAGGCTCTCCAGGTTATCACCAACAGCATGATCATGACTGTCACCGCATATGTCCCTCCGGTGCTGGGCTATATTCTTGGGGATTTGTTGATAAGTGATGAGAAGGAGTTTGACTGTTTTCTAGCAATACCCATCCTGGTAACCCCGACTGCTGGGAGTGCAATCATGCCTCTTCTCTATCTGGACAATCTGGGCAGCATGAAGTGCTGCTGCTGATTAGTGTAACATTTATTTTAGCTTCACTCTTACCTTTCGCCACTCATAAACTCAACCAAAATAGCAACTGAGTCCTCCTATTCTTTGTGGGGGAAATGTGTGTATTTATCTTGTATATTTATCTGTATTTTGTACAAATCAGAGCATCTTTTCCGGACTGTATTCTATAAGCAACTGGGATTTTCCATTATTTCATGCACATCCAACATGCTTTACATTAAACTTGTTTTAATGCTTTGTTACTTTTTGCATGTTATTGGTGAAAACCACTAAAGCTTAAATTATTTAAATAAAAAAACGTTTTTATTTTTTTTTAAATTGACAAATCAGTCCGTTCTTACTGATACTAATGAATCGTCCATTATAAAATGTCTGACCTCCAGTATACAGTACGTGTGTCTTACCTATGTATGTAAATGATTTTTTTGGAAGCTGCACACCTGCATCAGGGCATTTGTCATGACAGATGATCCGTCTTTCTTTATTATTTACATTTTCAATATCACCATTTTACATGAGAGACCACATGTAAATCTTCGGAAAAAAACAAAACAAAACAAACAGGCTACTTGATTATGTAATAGAAAAATTTTTCTTACCTAGTTATTGTATTATCACAGAGCTCCTGACGGGAAGGAGATGTTTGTTATATTGTGTGCACAAGGGGTCATTTTGGTGCACACTGTACAAGTTGTTCATGAAGTTGTTAGTGTAAACATCAGCTTTTGGTTACGGATAGCTGTTTATTCTTGTAATAGCATAATCATGTTAGGTATCGCCTAGCTGGTTTAATTGTAATAAGCCCATTAAACTGCCTGAACACAGAAACTGACCCACACTGCTTCATCGTAAGGTCGGTGTTGAAGTTATGATCTATCTGTTTAAATATAACATGCTAAACAAAAGGCCTTCTCTGATATACGGGATAAATATAAATATGAAGTTTGATATCACTGAGAAACTAACACATTTAAGCGAAACTAATCACATACTAAAACATGCCATAAGGATACAACATTCATATTATTCATATTCAGCTATGTTTTCAACATCAGGAAAGCTCCCATTTCTTTATTTCTGTCACCTGTCATCATAAGCTGGGCAGAGTCTAAAAGTTTGATAAGAAGTTATTAATAAGAGGGCATTTTGTTGTTCCCTACATGACATTTTTAAGATTCATTTAAACACACACAAGTTTTCAAGTTCAAATGAAGAGTTTTAAGATGAAAGAAAAGTTTGCTTTATTTCCATAATCACACAAATGTTTTACCTACATTTGATGAATAGGAATACAATAAATAAAAAAAAACAACATTAACAAAAAAAAAATAGTGAAAATGGAAAATCAGCAGTCTTATGTAACCTACATGTGCAGTTGGTAGGGACAAAGTCAGGACTTAACTTTTAAGACAGGAATCTGAAATCATTGTAACTATGTCAAATCAAAAAGCCTAACTATTTTAAGAGTACTTCTCGGCAAAGGTGGCATGAATTATGAGTTTCTGACACATCCAGGACATAAACCATCCAGTTTTCCACGATGATAAAGGTGGAGTAAAGGCATGATGGCAGATCCAGAGGATGAGATGATGGTACTGGGAATACCAATATAACATATAAATTTCCCGAAGTTGCAGAACACAGACGTCCCTATGACATACAACATTACAGGAGGAAGGTAGGAAAGTACTGTCATCACCAGGCTGTCTACGAGGGTCTGAATGGCTCTTTGCTTCTGTGGGTGAATGCTTTTTCTGCCGGTGTCAGACTTGACTAAAGTATGAAGAATCAGAAAATCACAGATTCCTATTGTTACAATAGTGATTATGTAAGGCACAGCAGGCAACATGGTGAAAAATAAACAGTAAAACTGATAGAATGACATCCCATTAGCAATAGCTAAAGCCCACACAATAGCAGCCATCACAACCCTGGGAGTCAGACCTCTCTTCTTGTGGTAGGTGATCGGATGAACCACAGCCACATAACAGTCCAGACAGGTACAGGCCATCAGGAGGGGTCTCCCACATGTGTTCAGGGAGTAGATACAGTTCCAAAATGCTTCAAACTCTTAATCGTGCAGGAGGAAATGATTCAACAATCCAGGAGGGATGAAGACCAGAAAGACAACATCCATAACAGAAAGGTTCAGCATGAAAAAATCATTTGGTGTGAGGGAAGTTCCTCTCCTGTGAGTCTTGAACATCTCCCAAAGGATGGCAACAGTGGCAGGAAAACCAAAAACAAAGACCAGACCTATAGAAACAGCCCAGACAATTCTTCCGCCTTCAATACCATCACATATGTCAAAAGTAAATTGTCCAAATGTCCCAGAGATGTTGGACTCATGTTTAGTGTGAAGATACGTCACACATGACATTGTTGAGCTGAGAAGAGAGATGCGGAGGAGTATGAAATTATGTGCAAAAAGTAAAAACGGTGATGCGATCAAAATCATATACTGTACCTTCTATGCAGTAGGTGTTATAGGTATGCTCCACATAGGTGTCATATAGTAAGTCAAGCACCAACAGCAGCTGTTACATAAACAGTCAAATTGATGACCTGCTGTCAATTGCACTTTTGCAAATTGCTGGTGTATACTATGGAAAAGAGCAGACTAGCAGGGGCACCTGCCCAAGTCTTGCAGTGAAAGTTGAATATTTATTTAAAAGCGATGTACACACTGCAGTTCCAGTTGATCAGTTCTGACTACTTAAGTAAATAGTTAAATTAGTAAAACAAGTAATTAAAGAAAAACAGCGTTTTATTTCTCTTCATAACATCAACATTTATTTAAGAGTTAAGAGCCCAAACCACACTTGTAATGTATGTAGGATATCAACTTTGATTTGTGATATTTCTTAAAGTTAATTACACAAGGTTCTTAAGGTTTTTGTTAAATCTAAAACACACATATGGCATACAAGAGTTAATGAAGAACAACATAGACAAATGAAACTCTATTAAACTCAATAAAATCAAGGAAATAAAAATAATTGATCATACAAAAATCTCTAAAAGGGCATATGACTATCTCCCTAATTTCACTATGTGTAACAAAATAGTAAATGCTAAAAACATGGTTTATTTAACAACTTAGTGTGTGGTCATATCAACTCTAAACTAATTAACAACAGCTAACTTAAACATTAATTCTTTAGAAGGCAAACTCTAATTCAAATAAAAATCTGGGTAGAAAAGGCAGAAATCAAGACTTCCCAAGACACCCTGGCCTCAAACCACCCAGTTTCTCACGATGATAAAGGTGGAGTAAAGGCATGATGGCGGATCCAGAGGAGGAGCTGATGGTCATGGGTATACCGATATAACATATAAATTTCCTGAAGTTGCAAACCAGAGGCTTCCCAATGACTATAAACAATACAGGAGGGAGGTAAGAAAGTACTGTCATCACCAGGCTATCGATAAGGGTCTGAATGGCTCTTTGCTTCTGTGGGTGAATGCTTTTTCTACCACGGTCAGACTTGACTAAAGTACGAAGGATCAGAGAATCACAGATTCCTATTGTTACAATAGAGGCAATGTCAGGCAGAGTGGTAAAAAAGCTGTAATACGCCATGAAAGTACAAAAATATGCAATTCCATAGGCAATAGTAAAAACCCAAACAATGGCAGCCATCACAACCCTGGGAGTCAGACCTCTCTTCTTGTGGTAGGTGATTGGATGAACCACAGCCACATAGCAGTCCAGACAGGTACAGGCCATCAGGAGGGGTCTCCCACATGTGTTCAGGGAATACATACCATTCCAAAATGCCTCAAATGCCGTGCTCTGAAAGATGAAATGGTTCAACAATCCAGGAGGGATGAAAAACAGAAAGACAACATCCATAACAGAAAGGTTCAGCATGAAAAAATCATTAGGTGTGAGGGAAGTTCCCCTCCTGTGAGTCTTGAACATCTCCCAGAGGATGGCAACAGTGGCAGGAAAACCAAGCACAAAACAGAGAGTGGTACAAACAGCCCAGACAATTCTCCCCCCTTCCATTTCGTAACACATGCTAAAATTAAACTCTTGATAAAAAAGTCCGGATGTGGCAGAGCTGTTAGGCTGACTCATAGAGCGTAGCTGTACTTTGAGTAACATCGTGAGGACTGTAGTGAACAAACACCTGGATGATAAAGACACAGAGCATCAAACAGACTTAAATTTTAGGTTATTCCAGTTTATGCGATCCAAACTATCAGCACATACAGTACCTTGCAATGAAGTTTTGGTAGGAAAGTTTTACAGAGGACTCGCTGTGTCTTGCTTCCTTGACTGAAGTGTCTAACAGCAGCAGGAGCATTACCCAGTTGTCACTGGGTAATAGCATAAGTCTTTAGCATACCCATTAATCAAATGAAGCTATCAAAGGCTGGTTAGAGAAATGATCCAAAGCTAGTCCTGTTTGTGTTTAAACTGCACAGCCCACAGCTGACCTCCTCTGATCTACCCTCACAGCAGGTCTCTGGATAACATGAAGCATGGATGAAATATGAGGAAATGTACTTTTCTAAAGGTACAGCTGGATTTTAAAAGACAGTAAAACATTTACACTCTGCTCCGTTTACAAGGCTGTGCTTGGCATGTTCGACAGCTTGTGGAGGGCATTCAAAAGCAAGAGTGAAGCCCTGCATTGACCTCAGTTCATCAAGAGTGATTTAAGCCAGACCAGAGTCTGAAAACACAATCGAAAACTCATCAATTGAGTCCTTTGGGGAGACTTGACAACCAAATGTTTTAAGGATGAGAAGGTGGAAAAAAACAAAGTATGTGGCAACATCCTGCACACTGCAGGCAAATTTGGTGTCAGACAGCTTTCTAATTGATTAATTCTTGTAATACTTGAATTACTGAGGTTCATCAGAGGTCAGCAGCTTTTGGGCTGTGGGAACTGCTGAAATTAAAAGGTGCAGAAACTTTATCGAATTCCTGGTTTAAATCTATTTTAAGCTCATATAAAAAAATTCAGGTCCAGCTGCTTTTGGTGACAGACATGTCATGTGTGCTGGTTAATTGACATCAACTCGGGCAATGTAGTGACTGAAGTGAACCTCTTAGTTGTGTTTATGATGCTGGTTTCTTTTCAGGATCCTCGATCAGAATCAGACAATGACTGAGATACATCAGATACAGATACAGTTACAGACAATGTGCACAAGAGGGAGCAATTTTGATGCTGCAGAGCTCAAGTCTACCTCCTCATACATAAGACTAGTTTGTTTTTGAGACAACCAAGAGTTAACTTTTAGAGGCATCTGAGGCATACACTTGAAGGCCATGACAATAGTTAAAAATGGTAATCTTTTATTTTTTCATCAGGTTTAGTGAGTTCAAAGTGGATTTGTTTCTTGGCAGATCTTATCTTGATGACTTTTGACAGTCAAATGTGAAACTCATGGTGAGTATTTTTTGCAGAAATGATAAAAACAGGGCTGTTTCTTTAGCTGCTTGTCTGGTGCCTACCCTCTCACTTTAATTTGAGATATAAAAAGTTAAGATTTAAAAATCACTTATCTTGTAGCTTTCGGTCTTGTTTGCTTATGTGTGTCATATAAAAGCATCAGTATTAATTTCAGTGTATTCTACAAAGATTTGAAAAAATCCTCATGGGAGCATTAACATGTGTTTTATATAAAAGTCATGGTTTAGCAGGTGACAGAAATTTGACTGGAGCAGGGAAAATTTTTCCTTGGATTATAGATGGAAGCTCAGACTTTGAGTTTTTAGATGATATGGAGATAATCCTGGTATAGAAGCTTCTTATATTTACAATCAAAACAAAGTCCAGGTCCATTGATTTCACTTCAGTACAGTCGTGTGAAATAAAAAAATAATAAAAAGCCTCTTGTGCATTCTTGGGATTTCTATGTCATGAAAAAGGAGGAATATCTAGTCTTAAAAATATGTTTAACATACCAGTAACATGTTATATTTAGCTGACCATTTTCTTCCTATGTAAACACAATAAATCAATTCACATCAGACCACTTCCCCTCCTATATGTCTGGCAGAGGACCACCAGACTCCTATCTGGGACATCCAGTGAGGCTGCAGGCCATTGAGGACCCTATACTGGTTCACCCGGATGAGAGAAAGATCAATAGTGTCCGATAGCCTCCCCCCAACCTGAATGGATCACTCGCTGCCACAACAACTGCCTGATTACGCCATGAGTCTGAGCCACTGTTGAGAAGATCACTATTAAATATACCAGGTAAAATTGTTTGGTTAGAGAAGGTTCTTTGTTTGAGAGAGATATAATTAAAAGTGTATTCTCCCAGGAAATAGTGCCAGGAACATCAAGAGTTATTTATTATACTTAAAGTTGTTGTAGTCTGTAATTATGAATTTTGTTTAATTGTGCATACATCCATTTAAAGGGGCAGGTACAGTAAACGACATGTAGGTTCTGGTGTCACCTTGGCAAGCAATACTTCATCTGAATTGAGCGTAATGTTGAAAACCAGCACTCTGGTGCATCTTCAGAATAAACATATCTCTGGCATGTTGAAGAGCCCCAAAGTTAAGATTCATAAGGGATTGCAGACCAGTTACAAGCAGAGAAAGAAAAGGGGAGGAGGAAAACATTTCAAGCTGATTGCTTGTTTCAAGAAATCTTTCAAAGCCCAATTGCAAACAGTAGCTTTCATTTATTGCGCAGATATGACAGTGTTGTAAAACTTATGACAAAACTAAAAGAAGCACAATGGAATTATGTATCCCATATTTTGGGACTGTTACTTAAATCTAAACAACATCGGTGATAACCGTTATTTCAGGAAAGGTCCGGCTCTGGTCTGTGGATTTCGGCCCTGAAATGGTGAACCAGGGAATTGAAACAGGATAGGGTTAGTCTTTACACACAAAATTTGGCACTGGTTAAAATTCACATTTAATTCTTACTCCATCCCTACAATCTAGGAACAGATAAAGAAGATATAAAACAGGAAATGAGATGTAAACATATTGTAATCCCTTTTCACCCTAAATCACGCACTTTTTGTTAATTTACAGTTGTCCTCTACAAAGAATGATAACTTTGCTGCAACGGCCAGAGACTGATTGTAATCTTATGTCAACATTTTGATGAGAAAGTTTCTGTAGTGAACCAGATTTTCTGACAATTGATGCTGTCTCAGTGTGCACTAATTACTGAATCTTGGGCCGGTCAATGAACCATTTTCAAAAACCTGTAAGTAGCAGGTGTTACTACTTTAATGCCCCACTGGCTGCCATAAAACTCTTTCACCAAGTGTGCTCAGGTGGCTGGTAGCACAGGATCTGAGAGGTGTTTCTGGATCTCAGCCAGTCCTGATGTGATGTCCAAGTTCCCAGGGAGTGATGGGCAGCGGAGTTTACCACCCAGCCCCGGGTTTTCCATAAAGGTGGATTTAACTGAGGTTCTGGGATGCTCTGGAGTCAGCCTTGAAAGGGTCTCAGTTTCAGGGCTGACGGTCATAAACATGGTGTCGTCTGATGCCACAGTCACGTGGATACCACTTGACAGTGACTCCTGGGACTTCTTGTTTAGTTTGAGATCAGTCTGAATGGAGCTCTAAAGGAAAGAAAAATATCCATGTAAAGGGCTAGCAATGAAAAAATATCAAAAATGAGTGTTATGAGTGCAATTCTATACTTGTGTAGGTGCCCGACTGTCCGTCTGCAATGGGGTAATGGGGTACATGCTGTGTGTCACCGTTGTCCCAGTCCCATACAAACCAGGGGAGTCTGTGGAGATGGTACCAGAGGATACAGTGCTGTAGGCAGGAGGTACAGGAGCTATCTGTCTTTGGAGAAGCTGGAGAATAACATTGATGTCTGCTGTCATACGAGTCTCCAATCTGGGAGAGAGGGAAAGGATCAAAGTGGCAGAGAGCATTCATCAAAGTGATTGTTTTCATCATAAACACTGTCAGAAAAAAACCTTATCAATGGCTTTAACTAATCTATTAGAGATCAGGGTTCAAACATTCAAGAAGGCCTCATTGAATTTTTTTTTCCTCTGCGTAAAAAAAGACAGGTGTCACGGTTTCGGCACCTAGAAGGACCCTTTAGATCAGCTATAAGCATAGTGAACTCAGAGTCAACTTTGGTTAAGAACTGGTTGCATATTAGTCAGATATTAGTGGCTGGGTAAATAAGAAAAAACAGAGAAACCTCATTTTCTGAAGTTGCATCAGCAAACTGTGTCAGTTTTATCTCTAACTGCACCTTTCTAAATTAAAACTCTTCAACCCAACAACAAACCACGGGTTCTAGTTTCTTTTTATACTCTATCCTGTCCCTTTTATCTTTAAGGAAAAAGACCAAGGTCATCATCAAACTCACCTATTGAGCTGTGAGTGTAAAACCTCAAGTCGTGACTCTAGTTCACTTGGCCGTTCTTCTGTGAAGGGTAGGGGGTGGTTAGGGTTGTGCACTGAAGAAGGTCGCCAGGAACACCTGGAGAACTGTTTTGAGTGTCGATCTGGCCAATACTGGTGTATCCCGGGAACATTCAAAGATGAAGCTAAAGAAAATGTAGTAGTAGTATGATTACAGTCACAGAAATATTCTAAACCGTCGTTTATATGCAGGTAAAGACCCTCAAAAGCACCTTCTTAAATCTATGACCAGTTATGGTGCTGCAGAATTTTGGGATTAGTGACACATTTCTGAATTTGAACAGTCTAAGAATTCAAGCATTGTAACTAAAATTATGTTGTTCCAATCTATGTCTTCAACAGCACTTTGAAGTATACCATAAGGCAAAACCCAAAGTAAAAGAAACCTCAAAATGTTTAGAAAACACACCCTTTAATGCCCTCAAAGCAGGATTTTAATTGAAAGTTGTTTCATCTACCTTGGCGGCCATGGTCCATCATTGCTTCCCTGCCCACTGTTCTGCCACTAGGGGGCAGAAGCTGCCCAACAGAGGGGGAGTAATCCCTTCTACCATCTCCTGGAGGGTAAAGCTCTACTTTGGTACCATGGGCGGGAGGCTTCACCAGTTCTTCACTTGACTGGGAACACAGAGATCCGCAGCTACAGTGGTCATCCCAGTGGGTCTGATTTGATGAGTGGCAGTGATGAAAGCACTGAAGGGGGTACGAGTCTTCGTGATCAATTCCATCTGTTCAGAGGAAAGATTTTGGTCACTGTTTATTGTTTATCTTACTCAGGATGCCTGTAAAATCGGAGCTTTCCCTGGCTTGTCTTTTTTCGGAGGAAAAATCTTCAGTCCATTAACAAACCATTGAAAACATGTTGACAGTATCCAGAGTCTACACAGCAACAATTACTGATACGACTTTTCAGGGCCCTGTATGCAAATCACAGGAACCATGTTGAGAAAAAAAATGCGTGCAAGATTCCTCACCTGGCCTGATTCGGCAATCCATGGCATGATTTCTGTGTCTTGGCCTGTGGTGATACCCACAGTCGTCACCAGACTCATCAGTTGTGATTATTGGTGGTATTTGATCAACCTAGTTTAAAAAAGGAGGACATTCAGTGTCTAAATTGTCTCTGTTGACCTACAGTGAGAACTTCCTGTTCTAGTCAAGACCTATTTAATGGCTGAAAGAATAACAGTAAGTCAGGAGATTCGGAAAAGCAGATTCAAACTATAGGTATTGAAATTCAACACCCCACACCGAAGAACACAACAAGTGCTCTTTTTAGTATTGCAGCTCCTTTGACCCTCATCTCATGCTATTAGCAACAATGCCCCTGACAATGCCAACATACATCTCTCAGGTCAAAGGTTATCTCAAGGTTTCTCCAGAAGTTGTCTGCAAAGCTGGGGTACATGTCCAGAACCTCCAGTAGGTCATCCCTTAGAATACGATGCAGGTCGCAGTAGGTGATGGTGTAGACATCTGAATTGGACTTTCCTGGCTCATCATACAGATGAATTGGCTCCCCAAAGATGTCATTCCTCTCTGCAAGATTTCCAATTCAATTTTTTTATTTTATATTGGTAGATATTGATTTAGAACACTTTTTTTTTTTTTGTAGAAACAGTAACAAAATTGCCCACAGCCATGTCTTTACCTAGAATGGCAACCACAACATCATCTCTGATGACCTGGATGGAACCACGAGAGACAAAGAAGAGAGAGTCCAGGATATCTCCGAAGTGGATCAGAGTATCTCCTGGGGGAGCATGAACTGTCTTGAACCTCATTCCCAAGGCGCGTAGACAGGCTTGACTGCCTCCTTGAAAAGCCTTGCTGTTCTGCAGCAAAGATCTGTTCAAGTGCAGACAGATGTCTGCCTGCAGAGACTCTGGAAATCCCTTCAAGACCTGAAGATAAGAAGACTTATTATCAATCCAATATACTTCTTATACATTCTGAATTAGAGGATTAAGGAGAACTGACAATTAAGTAGATAACACTTTCCACTTACAGCATTCATGTCAATACCATTTGTGTAGGACCAGGCATGCTGGAAGTATTCCTCCAACCTTTGGCGAAGGCTGCCCGGGATCTGGTGAAATCGGATAAACTCTTTGACCCGTAGCATTTGGGTGTGGTAGCGAGTAGTTCCAGAGTAAAGTCGCTGAATGATGGCTGACACATTCCCAAATATGCTGGCATACATGAGGGCTGGTAAAGAAGGAAAAAACAAGGACTTGGATCAGAAGTCCTTTGTTATGCTATCATTTAAGTTGTATTATCTGTTAGGGATTTCAACTTACAGCCAATGACCATGACACAGATGGAAAAGATCTTCTCTGAGTTTGTGTTTGGGGAGACATTACCAAAGCCAACACTTGTCAAACTGCTCAAGGTGAAGTAAAGAGCAGTGACATACTTGTCTTTGACCGATGGACCAGAGCTGGAGTCACTGTCGTTATATGTCTTGCCAAGTTGTTCGGCCAAGTTGTCAAGCCAACCAGTCTCTGTGTACGGCCTCTCCACAAAGCCAATGGCATACCAAATGCAGGCAAGCCAATGGGCGATGAGCACAAAAGTGCACATTAGCAAGAAGAGAACAGCAGCCCCGTATTCAGAGTATCTGTCCAACTTCCTTGCCACACGGACCAACCGCAGTAATCGAGCTGTTTTCAGTAGACTCGTGAGTGTCGCCATCTTTGGATTGATGAAGAGCAGTGGAGAGGGTGTTAAGGAGGAAATTATTTATTCAGTTTACAGAGCAAGAGGGGTTTAAGAGATTGATTCGACAAATGTAAACAGTATATGATGGTAAAGGAGCTTTAGTTCTTACCTCGTCAGACCCAGATCTGAAAATAAGGAGGTCAAAAGGGATTGCTGCAAACAGATCAATAGGAAACCAGCCTTTGATGTAGTGCTTGGCTATCCGGCTTGGCTGTGTGACCACCTCATCATTGTGGTCCACGTATGTGGTGCGAAGGTTGATGACTATATCCACAATAAACAACACGTCCACCATCAGGTCTGCCACATTTAAAGGGTTACATGTGTAGCCACAACTCCTATGGCGCAAGTCTCCATGTTCATCCAAGAGAAAGGCTGCAGAGTAGGGGGTGAAAACTGCTGTGTAGAGGACCAGGAGCAGAATAATCCAGTCCCAGAATGCCTTGAAGGGGCTGTAGTGAAGTAAGATCCACCATGTTGTCTCAGGCACCTGGAGTTTATATTCAGGCAGTACATCAGACTCCAAAGAAAGTACCTATAAGCATAAAGAGTGTATCAGTGTGCAGTGATTCTCAGAATGAACACTGACTGAATCAACCATCAATTTAGGAATTTGAGCTGATAAAATTGATTTAATATCATCCTAAAAAAACTGATTTTCTTCTCTAACACCAATGGTAACTCAAACGCAAGCAATCATAAGCTTGAAATTCGTTTCATCTTGACTTTCAGTAGATCCCAGCGTGGAACATCCATGTCCCCTAGGTAGTAACATTTTTATTCCTCTCAACCCCCATATCAAGCTGCAAAGTTTCCCCTTTTGCATGACCTGATTCCTCTATGCTAGCACACAAATATGGTTACATCCTGCAACACCAGCCGTCAAAAAATGGGACTTGCCATCAATCACAGACCTTCCGTTTCGGGTTGACATCTCAGTCAACCTCTTTTGAATTGTAAGTGCTTTTTTACTCTCTTGCTTTATTTTGGTCTGTCTAAATGCCAATCGCTTTGCTTGCATTGGTTTCATATCTGGCCCACTTCATCCCACAAACGCAGCGATGCAGAACAATGAGCCTGAGGGCTTCGGCAGCAACAACACACAGTCTGAACTGAACGGTGGCGAAGAGTAACTTTGCTTCTCATACCCAGAAGGGAAACATCCAGCCACCAAACCATCTAGTGATTTTTCCGCTTGCTGGTTAATTAACAGCAGCCTCTCTGAGCTTTGTTTTTAATCAAGTCATGCTTAATTATAGCTCTTTGTTGTAGACTGAACCTTTAAGGCAGTGAATTTTTCACAGTGCTCTGTTAGAGACTTTTCGATAGAGAATTAGAAGTGATTGGCAAATTTCAGTTCAGTGTTTGGAAACAGGACTATCTGATCACCAGTCAGGTTGATACTGAGTCCTGTCTTAATATTTTGTCCCCCCGTACCTGCGTGACCTTCTCTGTGACGTTCTGAGAGCGGTCCTTCACCTTGGAGGGGCTAAGCAGCTCCATCCTGGGAGTTGGTGGAGAGCGACATTCAGGGCCCATACTAGTTGGTCCCCCACTCTTCACAAGGTCTGAGTCAGACATGGAGCTCTGTTGGCCTACAAATGATCAGGGGAAAAAAAACTCATATTTAAGCAGAAAGGTGTAAAGAAATGTTTGTTTTACAACCCTTTGCTTTATTTACACATTTTTTTCTTGTTTTTTGTATGTATTATTTTCACCCACATAACTGCACTCCTTTAAATGTCTTCATATTCTGGACTTTTGCTGAATGTGCTCTTGTTTACTCTATTGAATACTTAGATCTTCCCTTTATCAAACTCCTCCCTGCTCATCCAAGAATGCATGTCTAGTTTTGCCCCTCCCAGCAACTAGGTGGTCTCAACACCTGACACACACACTTACAGCAGAGGGAAAAGCAACAGCTGAAAAAATAACTCCATTCTCACTGGTTGGTCAAACCTACAAAGAAGCTATCAGGACATCCACAACATCAAGACTGATTCAATTGAACATACCTGATTTAAACCAAGAATGTCAGATCCTTCTCAGCATCAAAAACTAAGCAGCCATGGTTCAGTTATCCATCCTTTGGGACACTGTTAGGACAAAACATTGACTCTCCTCCATTGTTTATATTCAAGCTGAATAAATGCATGTCTTCTCTTTGACTATCAGTGTTGAACTCACCACTCTGACACAGGGCAGAGGACTGGCCTGCAGCTTGCATGTTGCCGCGCAACACTCTCTAGCGCTGGGAACCAATCAATGCCATGATATTGGTGAGAGGAACTGACAGGACAATCGATGGCTAGCATTGATAAACAAAGCAAATGGGCTCAGAGCCATTTCACTGGACTTCCCTGATAGCATCACATTGCAATCTCAGTGCTCCTGTATGCAGTTTGGTGGTGCAGGTCTTAAAGTATAGCACAGTCTGTGACATACATGACAACAGGGTGTAACAAATAAAATCAACAGGCTAAATGTATAGTGCCCGCTCAATATGGTGCATGCATACTGTTAATGTGGCATCATATTGACTGCAGTGTTGACACCACAGCAATATGAGGGGGTAACGACCTGTGATGACATTGGCTCAACATGTCCTTCAGCTGTAACCTTCAACCACCCTTTGTGTTATAATAAATACAACAAATACCTTTTTGTGTTATTTTTAATTTTTCAAGTTTATTAGTAATTTAGCTTCACTTTACAGAATTTACAAAATTTAATACTACACAATTACCAGTCCTCTATTTTGGATCTAGACAGAACACAAGTAGAGGTAAGTTTTAAAGTTTGGCCTCACATTGCTTTTTAGTTGTCTTAAATTTTGGTTTAGCGATGGGTAACCCTTTTATTTACACTTTCATATCTTCTGTAAAACACTAACTTGGGAAATTGAGCTCTTTTAAGTTCCTGTAAGATTCTTTCAATTAAAACCACATGTAATAAGGGTGACAGGTACAGGGTGCACCCTGCCTCTCACCCACTGTCAACTGAAACTGGCTTCAGCCTCCCTGTGACCCCAAACAGGATTAGAGGTATAAATAGATAATTAATGGATTGATATGAAGAAGGATTTTACATTTAAAGAAGCACGTTGGTGAACAGTACTTAAAACTTTGATGAAAAAAAAAATGAAGTGGCAGATTTTGACAGACCAGGAGAAAACTTTTGGTGAACAAAGTCTGACATCAGAGAAGTATTCATGAAATTTTTACTGAACATATTATCAGATACATTTTAACTCCTCTGCTCATACTTTCATTCTGATGGTTTTGAGCAGTATGGCTAATGTTGAAAAGCACTGAAGGTATCTACTCAAAACTCCTTTCTCAGAAAATTGAATATTCTTCATGAAATAATAATCCAGAGTCCAAGAAATGTCGAGGAAGTGACCTCAGCTCTCAGCTTCGATATTGTCCCAGATTCGAACGACGTACGGACAGTCATTTAGAATGTCTATTATAGATGAAGCAGACTCCAGCTGGTCCTGGTTCAGAGGGGTGAGGGTACGGGGCACATACTCTAAACCTGCAGAGGTAATCTGCATTCCCAGATCCGTCAAAGATACCCGCACTTTTCTCAGGGCTGCCATATCACAAGTAAACTGCAGAGAGAAAAACAGAGTTAGAAACAACAGAGCTACTCAAGTATTTTTATTTAGATGATAATACATAAAAAAGAAAAAGAAAACCTCTACTACTGATGTCCCCACACAAACATATTTTGATTCTCTCAATTAGGACCATATTTGGACTGCACTGTGTAGTTTTATGTGTTTATGCAGCCAACATTAATGCTCCTGCTGTTTGTATCTATAGCACTCTCTCATAGATCTGCTCTGCACTTTCCAGACATCAGAGAAGACGCCTCTTCATCTCTGACCTGCAGGAGAGACTGTTCCTCCTCATCTGAAGTCTCTGTGACATCCTCGGCTCCAGCTTCAATGGCGAGCTCCAGGGCTTGCTCCATCGACAGATTCTTACCCAGCACCGCTAACACCCCCTTCCTATCGAAGGTGTTGCTGACTTTGTCTGACATCATCCACCTGTGGTTGTGTGAGGAATTACATCTCTGTGACACAAGTTCTCCACTTAGTTAAGAAACTATGTGAACATTTATGCTTTAATGTATAGGTCACAGAGTCTTTTTAGCTCCTGTGAAGCCGTTATTTTTCTTTTTTTGTCAATCAATGCTTCATCATCCACAATTTTAACCATCTTTTTTTTTGTGAAATCATGTAATGTTTTGTATGTGAATAATGAACTTATGCTGTAGAGTCAGACCTCAGGAAGTCTTACCCATTCTTGCGAAGCAGGTGTTTGATTTCACATGTGGTACGCAGGGTGTTGTCGGTCAGAACTTCAATGAGCAGCAGACATCCACCAGGTCCCCGAGCTTCTAACATGTGTTGAGATACTGGTTTTGACTTTTCCTGTCGAGTCAGAGGAAAAAACGTTTTTAGCATTTCTTATCCTCTTTTCTTCACTAATTTGTATGAAACTGTATCACGCTCACATACAGCAGGCTTGAGTGCAGCCTCTATTGTTGATTTGGGCATGTGCACTGCTTTGCACCGCTCCAGTATTTGGGCCAGGTTTAGATTCGAGTCAGGGTTGGGTCCACCTTCTGCAAATAAAACCAAAATATAATGTCGTGAGAAGACTGTGACAGAAATCATTGATCACTCTTGATCACTCTTGATCACTGACTACTTTGCACCTTTAATAGCTATCCTTATCATCATTCCAAACTTAGAGAATATCCTCGCTTTCGCCTCATCTTTGGGTCCTTTCACGTGTTTCACTTTTGACCACTTGTTGTGTCCAGCACACAGGCTGGAGCACAGATGCAGGGACTTGGCAGAAGAAGACCTCCAGACCGGGAACAGTTGGCATGGAGTCGGCGGGGGGATGGACTCCACCAGGGTCTGAAACCTACCTGAGACCGCTGTCAGTGATCGTGGACGCAGGGTCCGGAGAACCCTCAATACCGCTGCCCCCGCCATGCCCTTCACACACACAAGGAGAGAGTTAGAGAAGCCAGTGTAGCAGTAAGGTACTGTACATGTGAGGCAAAAACCGGACAGGACCCAGGCTTTTAACGAACCAGCAGGTGAACAATTTAACAACAAGTTAATTTACTATACAATCGAGAGTGTTCATATTTATACCGGCCAATGAATAAACCGAGCTTACAGTTTTGACAAGTAGGGAGAATACGCAGCTGCTGCCGTCCTTGTTACAGAGCTACTTCCTGGTTGTGATGACGTCAAAACGTAGTCGTTCAAAATAAAAGCTCAAACCTGCAACTTGGTCTTGCCCTTTCTCAAATTATTTCTGGAAAGATGTTTGTCATTTTATTTCTAGTTCTTTTAAGAATAATTTCACTCTTTGTTTTGAAAATATACTGTTTAGTTTCACTTCCTTTATACCCTCCAAAAACAAACATATATTAATATTAATATATTAATAATATATTATTATATAATTAACCTCATTATTTTGTTGGCTAAGTGGCATATCCATAAATGTAGATACATAAATAAAAATCCTTGCTTTATTTTTTTCAAAAATGAAACCAAGCTGTATATTAATACTATTAAAAATTCTACTAATAACAAAGCTATCAAGACCATACATTTATGTACTCTCTTTAATGTTTTTCTGTAAAGACTCCTGTTTTCATATATTTGTGCCCCCCTGGCAAAAAACTCCTTCTTGCTTGTGTGTTGAATTGTCCTGTTCTGTTTAAAGCTCAATAATGTTCTACTGGAAAAAAAAAAAAAAAACCTGCAACTTGGGTAAAAGAAAAGAAAAACTGTCAAAAAACAACGGTTCTTTATTTCTTCTCTGAATTTTATTGAAATTAAATAATCTTGAATAATTAAATTGGAGTAATTGGTAACAACTTTTTTAACCATTGATGCATAATGTTATTTAGACTTACTTTCACTAAACCGCATAAATCATGAATCATTTTTTTAACCATATTCAGTTTTGAGCAATCATATTAGCAGTTGTATTAGTACTCCTATTAATATGCTGCTGTCTTCCTTTTGTATGTGAAACAAACTTGCATTATTAAAGTACTTTGTTTTTTTTTTAGTGTTTCCTGTTGAAAAATCCAATTTGTCATAACATTGTGGGGGGAAAAAGAAACTTAAGAAGAACTGGTTTAAAAGAATTCACAAAAAGGTCACAGAGATGTTAAACGAAATTAAAGTATTCACATCCTGTGAGTTCAGCTTTTTGTCCGTCTCTTTTGGAGCATATGTTGTTTGTTTAGATAACTGTACCCTTGTACTTATTCTCACATTGATTTTTACCTTGCTTATTTATTCATTTATTTTAAGTCATGTACTAACTGTGTACTAAAAATGTGTCTTTAACCCCAGAGACCTGTCTGGTCAAGGACCCTGGATTTGGTCTCACAAATCAGCAAAAACCAGTTAAAATCAACATTTTTCTTTATGATTTTTGCACTATAACTGTGTATCAGGGATGTAAACATCAGAGATTACTGTTTTCAACTAATTGCCACAAACTATAGATAGTGTAGGTCTGGTCTGCATCAAAATATCCCAGCATGGGAACAGAGAACAGAATGCTCTATCGCTATGAGACCAAAGTTAATTAAATCAAATTGCTTCTGTATGATGAAGACAGACATGTAACTTAATCTTTGTTTCAAAATTTGCCAAACAGGAACATACTACTCAGTCCCTCACAGTGTCATCCTGGGTAGTTTTAAATGAAAAACAAAACAAAACAAAACAAAAAAAACCTTTCCCATACAGTGGTATTTGAGAAACTGGGTTAAAGGAGCCGTGGAAAACAAAAATGGACAAAGGAACAGAAAGAGTTAAGAAAGACATCTGCCACAGCCAATCAAGTCCAACCCTTCATGGCACAACAGCCTAAACAGCCCAATTGTGGAGGAGGAGATCCCCTCCACAGTGCTCCTCTCTCACCTCCTCGCATTGCAGACTCTGATCTTTATAAAGGATGTCCACTGAGTCTCCAGAAGAAGCAAAGAGAGCAGAGATGTTTTTAATGGATCCAAAACAACATGGCATCCTCAGCAGCTGATGGGACCCCACAGAGCAAGACTCCTAAACTTTGGATTACACATTTTTGATGGATCTTGTTAATTTAGGGTCCATTGTAGGTCCTCAGTGAAAGGGTTCAACATGTTTTCTGCACAGGGTGTTGCTGCTTTGGTTCTTCTTTATAATGTGCTGTTGGTGACTGCACTGGTAAGTATACTTACTTATACTTACTTATATTTTTTTCTTGCTAAGTTACTCAAAATTGCCGGAGTTTTACCAATACGCAATAGTTACTCCATAATTTCTGCCACAGTATGTGGACTTTAATCTTATCTGAGCAAAAAAACTGTAGTTTTCGTCATATTTGTGTAGATTCATGTGATATACTGTGTGAAAATTCAAACAAGCAAGGTAAATTCTCAGTCTCTTTAGCAAGTACACCCTTCAACAAAGGGTGCTTCTTATGCTCCAAATTTAAACTTTTCACACCTTAGCAGCATATCTGACACTTTAATATAACCCTGAGTCAGAAATAACACTCTAGTTCGGCCGCACTTTGGGCCAAATATAGAAAATTTCATGTACCTGTGACTTTCTTTGGAGCAAGCATTTTGGACATTGATTTATTTTGGACTATAGGAGTAATGCCAGCCATTCACAAACCAGACCAGAGATAGGACTGCCTGGCTGAGGACTAAGAAAAGTTAAGAAAATCAATTTCAAAAGTTTATCTAAGATGTCAAACAAAGGTAATTCAGAGCCTCAAAGTAATCGCCATAAGGAATGATGATGTGACCATGATGACAGACACAAAGAGAAGAGACTTAATCATCCTGAAAACAGTAGAACAAGATTTACTAAGGGTCTACATGGAGATCCCATTTATCACCCTGCGATAGAAAGCAGAAACATCATGACCAAAACTAATACCTTTGTACAAGTGTAGCAGCAAGATAAAAAGAGGGGGAACAAACTAACAGCTATCAGTCTCCACCATCAGCCCTCACCTGTAGTCTGATCCCACCTCACAGACCTCCATTATACCACCAAACCTTTTAACCTTTCACCCGGTGGAGCGCAACCTCCCATCTTTTCATCTCCCCTCAGGTCGATCTCGAGCCCGTCTTCTGACAGACTTACAACCTGCTGCTCAGTCAACCTGAAAATCACATTCACACCAAGCAGAGTCCTGAGAGAGTAAATTCAATCAGCAGACAAGCTAATTATTTTGTTAACACTCCCTGTCTGTCACTACAAAGGCTTCACGCTTAAATAAAAGAGACAGATTTCCCCTCACTGATTTAATTCCACTGCATGTCTTTTCATTTCAGGGGGTGTTTTGTTGTAAAACAGGTAGATCATCTTTTAGACATCCAAATTAATGCTGTTTATTCTAAATATCCTGATCAATAATAAGTATGTATTTTAAAAAAGGATGCACACAAAAACCTGAAAAAACACATTCACAGTGTCCACCATATAACCACAGCGAGTGTTTAAAACAGCCCACTGTGTCTGTATTTTCTTTGGGTAACAGTCTCCTCCATAAATAAATCTCTGCAGGCACTGATAGCTATTCATAACTGAAAGCTACAATAGTGAACACACTGTGATCCATTGGTGGTTTATTTTCATGCCTCATGCCAAGAATGTCAGTTATCACATACTCATGAACACCATCCATTTCAGCGGAGTTTCAGTCTGTTTAATCAGAGTGAGAGGTTTACTTCAGCTTTTAAGGCGTGTGAGATGACATGGCCGGAGTAACCAGAAATAATACAAGTCATTGCAAGCAGTAGCTGGTTTGAATCCTGGTTGTAACTCTTTTCTGCACATCCCTTTTTACACTTCATTTTACTCCTGTGTGTCTTCATCTATCCTATCTTGAAAAAGAAGGAAAGTTCTACCCTACCCAGTTTTATTAGTCTGATGTAGCGGTTCCTAAAGTGGGAGTGGGGGGCAGTAAGAAACTTACCAGTTGGCTTAAGTTGCAGTCTAATAATCTATCTATCAGTTTTTAGCTTGTCTTATGGCATTATTATATTATATTATATTATATTATATTATATTATATTATATTATATTATATTATATTATATTATATTATATTATATCATATCATATTATATTATATTATATTATATTATATTATATTATATTATATTATATTATATTATATTATATTATTAAAAGTTACTTATTCAGTTATTCATTACTCTAGTCTCTGATTAAAATGTCTCAACTTTTGTTGGATTGCCATGAAACATTGTGCAGACATTCAAGATCCCGGGAGAATAAAATCCACTGATTTTAGTGTTCCCCTGACTGTTCTCTCAGTGCTGTTCCCAGCCCTATTTTTAAGTGAAATCTTGATGGATTGCTATGAAACATAAACTTTGTCTCAAAATTGTACTAACTTTGAAATACCCTAGAGTACAACCTAACATAACAGGTGGCATTACAGCAGACTTTATGATGATGTTTCTCAGCTTTTTAAAATATCTGTTTCTCTCCTTGTACAGTCATCATTACTTCCTCTTGTCTCTCTCTGATCTTTTCTGGCAGTCAAACAGTCCTCAAATAGGTTTTTTAGTTGTTAGTTTTGCTGCTGTGTTGTGAAATAAACACACGAAAACAAAGCCACCTGTGTTTAATAAGGCTCTCAATAGCATGGCTGAGGTGGCCCTGAGAGCCCCTTGTAGACACGCAGCTTCACTTTGAGAGCAAAGAAAGGGGTTGGCAAGGGATCATGACATACTGCACCCACACACAACTATTTCACAACACCTGGAGGGAGCACATCAGATGGCCGACTGTGTTTGCACTTGACAGATCGCCTAAAATGGAAAGAGACTTCTGAAAGACATGACAATAAAATTCATGATGTATGTGTGGCGCTTAAAGATGGAGGTATGTAAGGATGGTATGCAGGGTTAGTAGCCTATAAAATGAGCTATGGATCTAAAAAATATACATTAATAGGCCTGAATGACACATTAAACTTGAGTATTACTTAAGCCAAGCATCAGAGGAAAGCATTTATCATGTAGAGCCATAAAATGAAGTCGCAAACCTTATAATGTAGTTTAAGTAAATTAGCAGAAAGCTGTCTGATTGTACAGGATAAAAAAATATCCAAAATCAACTTGGATTTCCTTTTTTGCATGTGTTATTACATAAAGACATGCAGTACAGGGTGATTTAGGCACTCAGAGTGGTACTTCTTATCTCTTTGCTTATCCTGTCCTTTACATGACTTAGAAGAGTTTTCTGATGCTGTAATCGTGTGGTCTGACACCTGACAACCCTTATAGCAGTTGCAGGCTTTAAGAACTTGATAATAGGAAATATAAGCCTTGTTGAGGATGGTCTTGTTTGCTTTTAAAGGTTATATGGAGGCATCAGTGTTTATATAATCATGGCCAGCTGAAAACTCCTCACTTGAGCTTTAAAGGACAGTCAAATGAACTTTCTTCTTACCGTATAGTCAAATACATACACTATGCTGGACCTTCTTTTTTTTTTCATTGTCTTATCTCATTTTCATCCCCTAGATAGACTCTGATGATGTCATCACACGAGACGAGCAGATTTACGTTTTGATTGGAGCTCACGCCAAATGTGAACGAAGCATCAAGGCACAAAAGGCCCTTGCTAAAGGTTTGTCTGCTGTATTTGATTGTTTAATTTTCTAATGTCTACCCCATGAATGTTAGATCATCCCTGAGGAGGTTCAATAAACCCTGGTTTCGTAGGTCATGTCACATGGTCTTTCCATAGTTTGAAATATATAAATTAATGCTTTGTATGAATATTTGATTTAAGAAAAACAAAATTAGCTTCCCTTGTCAGCATGTCTAGAGTTCGAGCTGAAAAACACCAGAGGTCGGTGAGTGCACATCCATTTACATAACCAGAAATGCTTTATATTCCATCCACTATTTATGCAGGATCAGATATAACACCCATCCAATATCCTGCTTACAAGTATCTCTGTCATAACACCAATGAATTCAGGTGTAGACAATGGCTGTACACTTCTAATTCAGATCATTACGCAAGAGCTGATCATTTGCAACAATGGTTTATTTTTAGGAAGAATTTTGTCTGACTGAGCCACGATCTGAAGAGTCAAGAAAGCAGGAAAGTGAACAGTCATAATAGATTAAATTTTGGCAGGTTATAGAATTGGTTAAAATTGATCATTTTTAGGGTCCCTTTGGGGGAGTGCTCCATCATGCCATAGGTTCTGCTGGATTTCTGCTGCAGATGTTTTGCTGCTGTGGACACACCTGCTCCAGCCGTTTCAACGATATGCATCACTCTCACCTCTGTCTATTTCTGTCTTTCTTCCTCTCCCTCTATCCCCTCTCTAAGCCCAGCACCGAAGCTGCAGATGACTGTCTTACATGAGTCTGGTTCTGCTCAAAGTTTCTGCCTATAGAAAGAAGTTTTTCCTCTCCACTGTAACCTGCTTAATGCTTCAAAGAGTTTCTCTCATGTGACTGAAGATGGAATGGGAGTGGGTCTGATCTTACAAGATGGGACCAAATCTTATCCCATTTTTACTCTAGGTCTTTGTATATAGAGTCTGGTCTAGAGCAGCTTTTTTTGTTAAGCGTGTTTGGATAACACTTGTGAATTGCTGCTGTGTAAATAAAGATTGATTGATTGATTGACTTTAAGAGCTACAAATATAAAAATTTCTATATAGTTATTATATACAGTTACTGCCACATTTAAAAGCTAAAACTACTGTATTGTCTTGGCTTTTCTATGGTGTTCACTTAATTGAAAACATCCAATGCATTAATGTGACATAATAATAGATGTACTAAGTACTCAAGCTACGATCCTGATAATCCTTGGCACTATACAGCTGGATTGGGTGAAATCCAACACACTGGCCAGTCAGACTTCGTGTTACCCAATACTCAAAATCAAACAGTCAGAGTCACAAAAAGACTCCTGGGCACAGACTCAAAGAGCACAGGGCTCACTGGTCCTGTGTCTACAGACAGCACTAAAATCCATCCAAAAAAAAAACTTAAAGTGTAACTTCATGAAGCTGTTTTTCTGTCTTATTTGTGAAGATGGTGAGTGTAACCCAGAGTGGGACGGGATCATCTGCTGGCCTCGGAGCAGAGCTGGTCAGTTGGTGTCTGTGCTGTGTCCAGAATACATCTATGACTTCAACCACAGAGGTATGAGGGCTGAGGAGACAGTTACATGCAGTGTTAGAAAAATGAAACTTTGACTTTGTCTGTCTGTAATATCCAATAACACAGGCCGAGCCTATCGCCAGTGTGACACATCAGGGAACTGGGAGCAGGTTCCCAGTATCAACCGGACATGGGCCAACTACAGCGAGTGCACCACATACTTGACCTCCAACCATAGGAGACAAGAAGAGGTATAACATTTGTGTTTGTTGGCTGTGCACATTGTTAATAGGTATAGGATTTTGCTGGTGTTTGTCTTTAAGGAAAAGTATGTTGTGTCTCTAATACTCTGAGCATGTTTTTGTTCTGCCCCAGAGGGTGTTTGAAAGGCTGCATCTCATGTACACTGTTGGATACTCCATTTCTCTTGCATCTTTGTTGGTGGCCGTCTCCATCCTCTGCTATTTCAAGTACGAAACAAAAAAACTTACTAAAAGTTACTATTTGTGGTTCATGTTCATAGTTTCGGTGTAAGACACTGATACCCGTTCTACTCAAAGATACAAACCTCATCTTTTTCTCTCCCCCAGGCGTCTGCACTGTACTCGTAATTACATCCACATTCACCTCTTCACCTCATTCATCTGTCGAGCTGTCAGCATATTCGTCAAGGACGCTGTTCTCTACAACATATCTGGTGACAGCAACGCTGAGCTCGAGTACACTGCACAGAAGCCCCATATGGTGATCCATCTTTTTTAGATATTCCTAAGTATTTTCTTCATTTTGTCATGTTGGTGTATATATTTTAGATGAAATTTAATGTTCTTTGAAGAAGTTTTTAGAATGACACATTTAATATTGTAAAAAAGGTTTAATGATGAGAAAACAACAATCAAGTCAACAAAAACAAAACAATTTTTACATTCGGGTGATGATACACTTTTTTAAACATTCTAAGTAATGTTTTATTGAAATTACTAAATTTCTTCTGCTAACTGCTGCTAACTGCTCCTAAATACTGCATACTGCACCTTTAAGGAATCAAAGGAAGTCAAGGCAAAAGTCCTCAGCGAGTTATACTTGGTTTGCCATGAGTTTACTTTAGACAATAACTTAGGTGTAGAGACAACATGAAACATTGGGCTAACTTCCAGGAGCTCCTCCTTGTTGTTAGGCAACCCTGCAACTATGACACAATCTTGATTTTAATTTAAACTGCAGAAGGTAATATACTGAATGATAAATTTGTTTCCTTGGGAAGGTGTTATCTGTTTTTTCACCTCCCCCGTCTTTAAGCACAGACAGGAGATTGGCTTCAAATATGGATTCCTAATTATCTTCTTCTTGGTCCTCAGGCTGGCTGTAAAGTTGCTGTCACTTTCTTCTTTTACTTCCTGGCAACCAATCATTACTGGATCCTGGTAGAGGGGCTGTACCTCCATAGCCTCATCTTCATGGCCTTCCTCTCCGACAAGAACTACCTATGGGCCCTGACTATCATCGGCTGGGGTAAGCAGCCATACACTCTGTTGTCACGAACAAGCAAACACCTTTAAAACAGATGTACAGTTTCCATAACTTATAACTCACTGGTTTCAGGTGTTCCCGCTGTGTTTGTGTCCATTTGGGTCAGTGCACGAGCATCTCTGGCTGACACCCAGTGAGTCATGTTTTGTTTTTAACTATCTAATATTAACACAACTATTATATCATAGACTACTTTAACTCTTGTGTTTCTGCTTTCAGATGTTGGGACATCAGTGCAGGAAACCTGAAGTGGATTTATCAAGTTCCTATTCTGGCAGCTATTGTTGTAAAACCACTACATTTTTGTAACACAGAAGTTTAACACTATTTGACATTTGGGTGGCCTTACTGTTCACTTCTACCTCTGCAGGTGAATTTCCTTCTCTTCCTCAACATAATACGTGTTCTGGCCTCTAAACTGTGGGAGACAAACACTGGTAAACTGGATCCTCGCCAGCAATATGGGTAACTAATTAAATACCCTTGAAAACAAAAACGAACAACTCGCTATTCCTCCCATACGTTTTATTTTTTGATGGTTGAATGTACCCAAAGATTATGCAAAAAAATACATTCATATCTCCATAAAGTCTAGGATATGTTGTGCTTTTCTGCAGGAAGCTGCTGAAGTCCACTTTAGTCCTCATGCCCTTGTTTGGAGTTCACTACATGGTGTTCATGGCTCTGCCGTACACTGAGGTGACCGGGCTGCTGTGGCAGGTGCAGATGCATTATGAGATGTTCTTCAATTCATCTCAGGTCAGAAAATCTTTATTAACTCTACACACGTGATTTACTATTGAGATGAACTCACACCACTATGTTTATAACACTTTCAATAAAAAGTACAAGATTTAAGAAAGAATTATTACAAAACATAAAGGCAGGTTTTGTGCTTTATTTGTTTTTAGTTTTCAGTGAATCCGAATATCCAAATGAGTGATATGTTCCAACCAATGACTGATATAGGTAATACACTTGAAGAGAGTTAAATGTGTAGATCATGGTTTAATGTTTGCATGAAAAAATTTACCAACATTCGAGAGCTCGACATCTTATTTAAAGCTCCAGTGAGGAACTTTTGGTTTGTGTCAATTTTGGCGCCCCCTGTGGACAAAGCAGATGATTAAGCATTATTATTCCACAAAAAAAAAAAAAAAAAAAAACATCATTCTGACTTTTGACAGTCATTTCTGTCATTAATAGTAAATATTTTATCTAAAAGTTGTAAAATCCCAGCTTGGCTGACACCTACCTCCTCCCACAGATTTTAGGTATTGAAAATAATAATATAAAAATCATCACTCTTGCCTCTGATGTTCTTGTTTGCTTTTATATATCATAAAAAGGGAGTTAAGTTGGCCAATGGTTAAGCAGCAAATAATTGTCTTAACTGCTTTAAGGATCAATTATCCTTTCTAAAATAATTTACAAATATATACAAATTGTTCTCTTAAGTGATGTAATTTTTGTGTTTTCAGGGCTTTTTCGTGGCATTCATTTATTGCTTCTGCAATGGGGAGGTAATAATTCTTTACATATTTAACTTTGAAGTGGACTTTAAGTGGGAATTCTCAAGAAAACTGGGAATCTCTGTTTTCTCCCTCCTGTTGCTAGGTGCAGGCAGAGGTAAAGAAGGCATGGTTAAGACGCAGCCTTGCGCTGGACCTCAAACAGAAAGCGAGGATGACCAGCAGCGGTGGAGGAGGCAGCTGTTACTACGGCGGCATGATGTCTCACACCACCACCTACAGTGTCAGTCTGTCTGCTGCCAATCCAAGAAACCCCTCCTTCACGTCTGCTGCAGGACCAGGCATCAAGCCACCACGCCAGAGCTCCCTCCAGCTCCCTAACACCCTGCCCGGATACATGCCAGGTGATACTGAAACCATCAATCCCAAACAGGAGTCAGTTTTGCGGAAACCAGCAGGGACTGAGTCTGGAGTTATCGCTCGTCATACCAAGGCCAGCAAAGGGAATAATGAGTCCAAAAGTCATGGAGCATCTTCAGCACACACTCGTGTGGCAGAAGAGTCGGAAAGCAGCTCATCTTTCAAAGAGCTGGAGACCATCCTGTGACTATTGTGGAAAAGTATAGATAAAATACTCTGTACACTTGTAGATTTAAGCTGTGACTGTGGCTCAGAAATGAGTCGGACGAGTGCTCGCTTTTCTTTTCAACGTGCCAACGCATCTTTGGTCAACATACTAAACCCAAAGTATCTTTTAAAAGCAATGTCCATGATTTAAAGGATGTATTGTTGATTCTCATTTGCAAATACAAGACTGCAGACTTTCTAAAATAGTCATTTAAATGGTTTTAAGTCTTGTGATTGTTTTGTGAACAATTCTTCGCCTCAAATCAGCATTTGGTGAAATCTTTTCTAAGGATTATTCACTGGATGATATCAAATATCTACAGTATGAATTGTAAGGGAAATCTAAAATAACCAAGTCATTTTAAGTATTAATTTATGAAACCAATTCACCAATGTGTTAGATCTGTTTAATTGTCTGTGTTAAACTGTGCATGTGTTTTTAAAGCCTATATAGAAATGTTTTTCTTCTGTTTGCCTCTATAGTTTTCACTTCAATGTTTTATTTTTACTAACAGAAAGAAGTGTCTGGACATGTCTGGATGGGTTGAACTTTTTGGTGCGCTCTTGTGTTTTGTCAGTTTCTTCTCAGCCTGACAGGACCCTAAGAGCTGACAGACAAACCTTTTACCCTCACAGTCCAAACATCAGCTCCTCTCTCAGTGTAACCTCTGCCCCGAACACCCTTACAACACTGTTCAGAATTTCACACGCTCCCCTGAGGGCTCAACTCACAGCCACAGACTCCTGAGCTGATGTGGACCTTGATCCTCAAGGTCCAAGTTACAAACCTGCAGCACAAGTCACCACTGTTTGCAAGGTAAATAAGCAGATGGGAGTTTAGTAGAAAAACACAACTTTTCTGTTTCCAGGATTTGTACAGTGTAAGATAAGTCTGTTTATTTAACAAAGAGGCATGCTTTGGGGGTTTAAATGGACTGGTTTTACCAGAGCAAGTGGTGTGAAACAGCAAAAATCTTTGCTATTACTGGGCAAAATATCCTTTCAACAAGTAATTAATAAATGTAGTACTGAGTTAGTAGAAAAGTCATTTCGATATGTGCGTAGGCTCGCCTTTTAGGCTTCTGATTTTCTGTCTTTTATTGTAGTTTCATTTATTTATACTTTGAATTTTTTTAAAATTCTCTTTATTTATGAAAAGCAAATATATCCCTGTAGAGAACCTGTCAGTGTTCAGCTTTTTGTAATAATATTGCTGTGTGGAAACCACCAACCATAAACAGTATATAAAATAACTATACTAATATTGTATATACAGTCTATGATATTGCTGTGTGGAAACCACCAACCTGTCATCTACCAACTTTATCTAACTAAAAGAAAAACTCTTGGTTTAAGCTTCAGCCAGGATGGTGTGAATCTTGACTGTTTTCCTTATTTGATATGTGTAAGAAAATGATTTAAACAACCTAAATAAGTGGACCTTCATGGCAAAAGGTCAGGTTATGTACACTGCTGCCTCCTGCTGTACAATATATATACTGCCAGTAAAAAAATCTTATTTTCTCTGAGTGTCAGCACAGAGCACAGTCAAAGAAATTAAACTGAGCATCAAAACTGTGCACCATGTTTCAAATACAGTAACACTGTAGGGACACACAGGCAGATAAAGCTGTGATTCTTCAGTGAACATGTAGTCCATATAGGTGACCAACACTTGTATACGAAAATTTAATATGGTTAGATTTTTCTGACAGCTGTTTACATTTTTTAGTTTTTTGTTGTTGTTTTTTTTTTAATGAAAATTTATGCCCAAAATCATCATGTAATTAGGAATTAAAACCCTAGTACATTTTTCCGAGACTTATCATGTTTAGATTTCAATAAATGCTTTTGATGAGGTCAAGTTTTCTGCATAGGTTGTCACATCTGAATCACAGTTGCAGCAGATCTTACTAGTATGATCTCTGACAAACAGGGTTGAGAAGCATTCAAACATATGGAACAACAGGGACTCATGTGCATGAGTGATTACTCCTCTGCCAGGACAAAGAAAAAAACCCTGTGTATGGTGGTAATAAGCTGTCAGCTCATTAGAAAGGAGAAGGTTGGTTTCACCATCTGATGACTCTAAACAGTGGATTCAGGCGAGAGGAAATCAGAAAGGAAAGGATGAGTGGAGAGGGCGCTTACTGGAAATTACAGCAAGAGGAAATGATCCAGCAAGATGACTGTGATGCTGCTGGTGTAGATGATATCATCCTTATTGAACTGTTAAACCTTTATTCAGAAGCTACATGGTTAAGCTACACAATTACTACACATGTATTTCTGTCACAATATTTTACCACAATGCTTTGTGCAAAAAGCTTGCCAATAAATGGCACTGATAAAATGGACAGCGTGTATATAACTGTACCAGAAACATAACACAAAATCAAAAACAGTGCAATAAATCCTAACACTTTTATTAAATTACATCTCTGGATTTTATCTTCCTTAAGATCAGAGGAAATTATACATTTGATGTTATATTTCATTCATGTATATTTGTGAATTAAAAACGGCATCCTACTTAAAGAAAAACTGTTGTGATATTTACATCACCCAAGGGCTCATCCAAAGGGGGGCCAAGGGTGACGAAGCCCTCTCTTGAGATCTGAATATCCCCTTTGATTGTATAATGGACAACACCACTTAAGTTCTACCCATGAGGAGACATGAAGCCAAAAGCAACTTGGGTTTATTCACATTGAGCTAGAACAGATGACTATTACCATTATGTTACTGAAAGTAGATAAACCTGCACAAGTTCCCCTCTGAAAGAGATATGCAATTGTGGTAGTTAGCACTTGGTGGTGTTGAGGTTCTGACCCATGGCGGTCACCAAAACAGGCATTTAACTTACTGACAAAAGGTCCAAGATCCTTTAAAGATGAAATTGACAGACACCATGGTTGAAAATAATTTAACATGCATTTTAATTCAATAGTCAAAATCTGTTTTCATCTCTTAACTTCACATAGACAGGGTTTATGACCTATACTGCAGCAGGGGGAACTCTACATCTTTATGTTTTACACTCAGTGAACATTTATGGCATCCATTTACTTATACAGTATAAGATGCACCCAAAAAAATCAAAGTATAAATAACTATCTATCCTTTGGGGGCAGTATTTACATTGATATCTGCTTGTAATTCTCTTGGTGTAGTGATAACACACTTTTCCTTTTTCTTTGATACTCCAATTTGTGACTCATGGCAATCATCTCCTTTTTACAATCTTGTTGTAAGCCTAGAAGAAATAAAACATTGACCCTCTGTTGTGCTTCTTTATAAAGTAAAAAGAAAATTACATGCAAAATATTATAGGCCTATCCTTTGAGAAGTCCATGATAAGTGGAGATAGAAAGAGTTTATTCATGTCTATTTTAAGCCTATCTATGGTCAAAATATGACCACAATGTTATTACAAACTATAAGTTCTGGTTCATTTTATTCCATCACAGTCAATGCTAGAAATGTATTCGTTTTTAAAAAATTTCACTATATTCAAGCCCTTGTGCAAAAAATAAAGATAACATTAAAAAGCAAGGTCTACTATTACAGTGTAACATCAGGCTACTGAAAGAATTCGTCACGTTCAGTTTGCGTGATGAGAGCTGATCCAGTGACGTCATGGTGGAGTCAAAAGTGGGCGGAGAGAGAGAGAGAGAGAGAGAGAGAGAGAGATGTAATTCAATCCTCCTCTGTGGCCCTACATGACCAGAGATAAAAACACACTCCAGAATACAGCGTGCCCCTGAGTCTCTGATGTCTCTCCCACCCTGAGACGGAGCTTTTCTGCGGGGCTGTCAGCGGCTCTGATGCAGACAGCAGGTATCTTCTCACGGGCATCCAGAAGAAGTGAATGAGGAGGGCCGGTGGCCAACAGGGAGGGGTCCTTTGAAACCAGGGCTACTTCCTCCTGGATGGAGCCCGGCTGTGTGCAGGCAACGATGGCCATGGGAGATGTCTCGAAAAAAGCCTCGACTCGGAATGTGGCGGTGGAGCGAAAAAACCTCATCACTGTCTGCAGGTCAGTCAGTGCTGGATGAGTACATCATTTGCTTGTGTCTAACTGCAGTCGCTCGAATTCAGATGATTTCGATACTGCTTTATCAAGTTCTCATGCTGTATAATCTGCTCTCCGACAAGAGACTGGCCCTGCTGGTTTTGTTTTTATCATAAATATATCCACAAGGAGTCAGACATATTTTGACATCCACGCTTACGTCATCCTCATAATAAGTCATTTTTATGAACCCTATACCGTCACTGGGCCTCTACCGTCACACGGAGCCTGCCTGTATATGAATGACCTTTACTATAACAAATTACTCATATTTCAAAACATACAATCCGAAAGAGAGACTCGTCTCTCTTTGTGGGTTTAGCCATGTCATCTTTGTCACCTCGATTTATTTCCTCCCCGCTGATGGCGTGGTTGCTATGACGACAACCTTCTAAGGGGCAAGGACTAGCTGGCACCCTAGGGACTCTGGGCAGGGAGGCATTGTGAGAGGCCTGTTCTCCAAGGCCTGACTGGACTGTATGGGGATTTTTATTGAGGCCTAGAAAAGCACAAGAACCTGCAGACGTATTATGGGATACATGCATGTCTAAGAAGGCAATGCATGTTTGCATAGGTGTGAACTCAAACTTTTATTAATATGCTCAGAAAACAATCATACACCAATCTATGCTGATAATTGATACATTTAATTTGCATGTTCTGTGGCTGAGTATAACCTTTGTATTTAATCTAAAAATTCATTACTACATAGCAAATTAAGGCTAATTTAATCGTCTGACAAAAAATGTAACAGTAACAGTTTGTCATGTCAAGAGAATTTTTTTCTTGGAGATGCCTCAACTGACAATCACTCCTGCACCCTAAGCTAAACAGGACATCTTAGCATCTTTCAGCTCATTGTTTTGATTTTCTGACGCTACAACTTAGCTGTGATGGCTAACTTAAAAATGTTTCAGCTATAGTGCTCTGAAATCTGATAACTTGCTTTGGCTTTTCTGTAAAAGAACAACTCACAAGTACAGTTTGATATCATCATCGTACATATTTTGTATATAAAGAGTCAGATATTTCACTCGGAGTAGGTTGAGACCAAATTCAGAGCTAACCAGAGAGTGAATACATCTAGAATAATAGTAAAGCCGGTGGTAGAGACCACTTTTTGGGGTCTTTTTGGATCTCAAGTCATGTAACTATAATCTGTTGTCTGGACAGTGATTTTTTCTGTAATGTAAGAAAACCTATAGCTATGTATTCAAGCATCAGTGCAGGTGAATAAGACTGCGTCTCTGCTGAGCCACTGACTAGCCTATCTAGGTCAGGTCCCGTCCCTGTTGTCTGTATAGTGAAAACACAGGGGACTGTGCTTGGCTTGAGGATAGTCGGCCAATTATTGGTCAGTATCGAGCCACAGTCAGAGCGTCTCAATGAGACATTGTTTATTTGGAACAATGGGGAGTAAAGTCACTTGCTTCATTGGCTTGTGTCAGGATAAACATTGTCTTTAAGGCCACAAACAGTCAGCAAACTGGCTGCATGATTTTTTGGCCTCTGAAGCCCAAACTCTGAGATTACAGAGTTCATACATGGCTGGTATCCATTAGAAGTATCTCTTCTCTATCCAATGCGTAGCCCCTGTTTGCCAGGACTATAAAGGCCCATATGGTCCCTTTCACCCTACAGCGCTCTCTGTGTCACTGGACAAACAGCATTTAGCAGATGCTCTTGCAGCAAATAACTCTCCTAAATTATTTAGTCTCCCGGAGAATAGTAAGGAGAGTCATTTTAGGATAAGGTTAATGGAGCCTGAAATAAACTTAACACAGCTTGAGGGGTTTTAAGGGTCTGTGTGTTATGGCAGATCATCATTTGGGGCCTAAAGCTAACAGTGCCCACTACATTATCTATCTCAGTTGCTTTGGAAAGTCCTCCTGTTTGTCTGCATTGATGTAGCAGTTTATACTCGTTTTGGTTGGTTTCCGAAGTCTCAAAAATGTTTTTCTCTGTCCCTGGTATCAACTGTGTTTGCTATGTGGATCATTCCCCTAAAGATGCTGGTCAGTGGGCTTCAAGGAATAGTTTATGTAGTGCAGGGGGAGAGAAAAGGGGCCTGAGACATGAGTTATTGATAAATTACACATTCTTCTGATTAAGTTTCTTTTGCATATGGACTTATAAAAAAACAGGTTTACCCTACACTTAAAAAACACGTTCTTAATCATGATGTTTTGGCTGTTTTGTGGGGCACCAGGAAGGATAAAGAAGATAAATTGAACATTGGCCTTAGGGAATAATATGGCTGAAACTATTCTACCCACACAAGCACAAAACCAGTGTGGGAAAGCTCAATTCTTGTTACTGTCTCTTAGCATGCTAGCAAAGTGAATCATCCAAACAGCAGCTCATATGGTACATCAGGCAGGAGTCATATATTTGAGCCGTCCAGTTAAAACTAAATTGAGTTGTTGTAGCTTCCTGAAAGCTAAAAGGCTCTCCTCTCAGTAAATGGGTGGATTCAGGCTTCAGAACGGAAATAAGCTCATTCAGCGAGTAACTGTTGGCACAAATGTGCAGCAGTAACAACAAAGGCTGCATATGGACTGAACAGATGTGTTTGCTGACTGAGATTTCTTTACATTTCACAGGTTTTGTGAACATTGCATCAATTCCCACCGTTCATGATGTCTTCACAGCGACTTTTCTTATCTTGTTTGTGAAGCAGGCAGTCCCAAAGGTCCAATTATAAAGTATCTACAACAAATACCCCCATGCAGTTAACTGAAACAAAGACAGCAGTAATGCATTAATCTCTCTGACTAATCCATCCCTGTGATGTCTGCATTACTGGCAACCAAACTCTGTCTGAAACTTCTTTGTCTTTTCTCTCATCCACTCACAGGTTTTCCGTGAAGACACTGTTAGAGAAGTACACAGCTGAGCCAATAGATGACTCATCAGAGGAGTTCATCAATTTCGCAGCCATCCTGGAGCACATCCTCAGCCATCGCTTTAAAGGTAATGAACCATTTAGGAATAACTTAGGAAGGGACTGCATGTTTCAGCTTTGACAGTAACGAGTAAAATAAGTTTAAATGCTGCATGTAAACTGGATCTTCAGTCACCATCTTCCACTGAGCTAATCACTACCCCTCCCAACCAGATTTCCCCTCAGCTCCTCCTCTCCCCTCCCTCTCTGCTCCAGCAAGCTCTGTCCACAAACGCTCCTGCTCGCTTGTATTGTTTCAATAAATTCAGATATAATGCAGATAAATACTTCAGATAATTACAAATGGTTAATTACATTAATTACAATACATTATTACATTAATGGTTAATTAAATAATTACAGTCCACGTAAAAGTAAAAAGCATTGGTGCTACTGTAGATGCCAACGGACTACCAGCAAACACAATGTTTGCAGGACTTCTACAACTAGGATAAAGTGACATAGTCCAGAACCTGAGGTAAACAGTTCAGCAACAGGTCCCGTTTGACAAGAAACTCTTCTGTTACAGACACTTAGCTTACTTTGTTAAAGCAGTTTACCTGTTCCAGCAGAAAGGTTGCAGGATCTGCAAGATCTCGAAGTGTCCCAATCGTTCATGCTCCATTGATGTTGACCTTGCTTTTTAGCTCTTGTTCGGTCTAACTCAGTTTTAAGCACCCGCTATTCCAACAGAGTCTCCAGTATTTACTTCATTTTCTTGATTGTGTTGGCAGTCGTGGCCAAAGGAGGATTCAGAAAAACTTCTTGTTTTCCTCTGATATTGTAGCACGCTAACTTTGTTTAGGCTCCTGAACGACACAGGGGAGCGGTGCCTGCCTCACAACCAATCAGCACTAAGGAGCAGCATCCACCTCACAACCAATCAGGTTGGGGGAGGCGGAGAATGGCTTTGTTTACAGTCAGAAAGAGCGGGCGCTCAAAAAATTTAAAATGTTGACTACACAGACATAAGAGAACACAGCGATATTATTACATCACCAAATTTCAGCAATAACTTATAACTATTGACTGATATTAAAAGCTTTTTTTGTATATACACCACAAAAAAAGATGCTTCTTTCACGGAATCCTGCCTACTCCACCTCTAAGTATAACATGCAGTAGCTGTGTGCTAGCTGTCTAGTAGTAGCTCTTGTACTCCTGTTACTCTCTCTGCAGGCTCAGGGAGCTGGTTCGATGGTCAGAGGAGTTTCTGGGACTATGTCCGTCTGGCCTGTGCTAAAGTCCCCAACAGCTGCATCAGCAGCATCGAAAGCATGGAGAACATCAGCACGTCACGAGCCAAGGCAAGTCCTATGGAGATAATGCAAGAATGATCATGTAAAGCAGATAAGTGATAGGTGACAGACAAATAGAGGAAAGACTGCTTTGTTGCTAGACCTTTTCCATACAACGGTTAGCTTTGCTATATCAGTTGGCATGGTGATCTCGCCAGGTTAAAGTCAGAAACGTTACACTGAAAACTACAACTTAAGAATTAGCAGAACTAATTTTTCTTTTTTGCCTTAATTTGCAGTAACAACCCTGAGCTCTTTATTCAGAAGGTATTTGTGATTTTGCAGCATCTAGGCTGAACTATAGACCATATAAAAAAATGGACTTGGTCTCAGTGATGTCCCCCGTTTGTTTCTGAAGCCACTCTCAAGTGGGCACCAGAGAAAATGCAGTTTTATGCCCTTCCTGCACTGGCTTCATATTTCAACACAAGAGATTACAGCTTAGGCTGAACGCACATGTTGATACTCAAAACTTTGACTGCTGTGTCCTACATGCTCTCTGCCAATCACTGGATTTGACCACACTGACTCCCCCTATTGTGAAATTGTGTTCGTTTCCTATGTGGATATCAGTCTCAGGACGTATTTTGCTGGAATATCAAATTTTGTTGACGGGAATACACAATGGCATCAGAGTCATTAAGCTGTGGTTTTCACAATCTTCTTGAAATGTAGTTTAAAAAGAGCAGATGCACAAATCATTTTTGAAAAGAAGGTCCAATAAAACTGCGGCATGAACTGGGGTCCTGCTCTATAGAGTTTATTAAGAAGTGTTGTAGAAAAAAATCTGTTTGAATGACAGGAGTATGTCCATTCTGTTTTTAGTGTCCTGATTCACAGTGAACAGTTATCTAAATGAGTATGCTTCATAGTTTTTTAAGAGGCTACTGAAAGTTCAAATTTATCCTTTGGCGGTATCTCCAGGGGCGGGCCTGGATGAGAGTAGCTCTGATGGAGAAGAGGCTGTCAGAATACATCGCCACCGCTCTGAGGGATAGCAGAACAACCAGGTCAGTTGCACTGCACACCCAATCTAATAGTACTACCTAACACGACGAGAGCTACTTCCTCATCTGTCTGTATCTATTTCCTCTGTTTTAGGAGGTTCTACTCAGAGGGAGCCATTGTGTTACGAGAGGAGGCCACAGTCCTAACAGGGATGCTCATAGGTCTTGGCGCCATAGATTTCAGGTGATAAGACCTAACCGTTTCACTTAAGCATTTTACTCCTCAAATTGATGGCTTGACAGAATAATTTTATGTATTTTTTATGTGTTTTTCCTCCTCAGTTTCTGTCTGAAAGGTGAGGGTTTTGATGGGAAATCTTCTGCTGTGATTGACTACACACCTTACTTGAAATTCACACAAAGGTATGTTCAACAACACTGTGCAAATTGATTTTCTGATTGGAGCTACATCTTTTTTGATCTTGCCTTTTTTCATAGCTGACATATTGTCATCTAAATTTGTGTTCCAGCTATAATTATCTAAGTGACGATGATGACAGGCATAGTGTTGATAGCAGCACGAGTGACGACAGCATCCCCGAGCATCCTTACATTCCCTTGGTCACTGACGATGAGAGCTGGAGCACCAAATGTCGCAAGATGGAGCAGAGGTTTAAGATTGTCAATGCTCAAAAGGTTTGCAGTGCTTATGTATTGTCTGTTTTAAACGTACAGCATATAAACTAGAATTCCCAAAGGACATAAATTGATGTCTTGGTAAAAGGCCACTGTTCTATATTCTGAAAAGTCAGATGAGGAGTTTAATAATGTTATTCTTGTTTTCACTGCATGGAGTGAAGAAGATATGGGTGCACCTCAACTAAACAGTGCCCAGTGTCTAATGTTTGGATGGAATGGATAATTCTTTTCACTCCATTTGGTTGTGGTTTGTCAGGGTTATCTTGAGGAGCTTGTGCGTCTGCGTGAGTCTCAGCTGAAGAACATGGAAACAGAGAACAAGAAGTTAAAGGCTCGACTGGAGGAGCTACAGAACCACAGCCAGCAGGAGAAAAAGGACCTGGAGGCCATAGTGCTGGAGCTTCAGGAGCAGCTGTGAGTGATGTACACTGAGTGAAGAGAAAAGATTTCATGTGCATATTACTTAATACAAGAATAAAGACTGAGTACAATAGTAGAAACATATTGAAGCCGTAAAATAAACACTGACTGTAATTTTGTTCTGTGAATTTCCAATCTCATCATATGTGTGATTTGTTTGCATGTTTGTTAGGACCAGCTTGATTCCATGTGACTCCAACCACTTGGCCAAAAACCTGTCTATCCCTTTAGTCAACCAGTGGCCGATGCTGCAGCCTTACAATGGCCAAGATGACATTAAGCTGTTCCGCAGGTGTGACTACGTGTTAATGCAGATTTTAATTTGATAAACTGTCTAAAAAGTGTTGAATATATATGGAAAGTAACACTTCATAAACATTTCTATAAGCTGCTATTAATGCTTATTATCACTCATAGGGGTTGTTAGAAAACCTTATGGATGCATTTATAAGGCTTTCTAAATGTGTTTATGATGCATTACAAGAGGAGGGTTCATATGAAGTGTTACCAGTTAATCTTTTGTGGTTTTGAGTGACTCCATTTACTTATACATTTATCGCTATGATCGATTAAAGCTGCAATTTTCAGTCATCCATTTTTTGGCAAGAGGCTCTCTACTCTTTTGGTATCTGTGTCTATTCTTTGTCTTTATTTTTGTTTACCTGTAGGAGGAGTTTTCCCAGCACAGAGCTGTTGTCAGTAGAGATCAGTATGGACTCAGACTCTCAGAGAACTGAAGGAAAACAGAACGGAGGAGCCTGGTGTACAGGTGAGTTTTTACACTGTATTAAATTGTGTTCTGGTTAGATAATGTGACTGGAACTCTGTAAACTTGAACTGAACCTTTACATGTTTGTTCCACCCCTCCAGAAAAGGACTACACCCCCTCCATGATGGGCCTCTGTGGGTCCTTGGCCTCCCTCCCAAGCTGCAAGTCTCTGGCTAGCCTCAAGTCCAGCGAGTGTCTGGTTAACATCAGCACAGAAAACAGTCCTGCCCTGTCACCCAGCTAGGGGGCGCCAAAGAAACACTGCCAGAGACACCTAACAGAGACAATTCAATATGAATACAGAACAGACTACTCTTGGTAGGCGCTCTATCCAGGCCCCTTCGTGATTCCCTTTATGCTCTGAGCCCTGCTCTCTCAACTTACACCTTTCAAGAGTTTGTGAAGAGGGATCTCCGTGTCTGGGTCTGCTTAATGATGGTGCAGGAAAAGCTGCTGTACTGCCTGTTGGTTTCCTTCTGTTTGACTGTCTTTCATTGTCCTGACATTATTAAGCCTCCTGAAATGCAAACAACTGGTTCAAGTTTTACCTTCAATGAGTCACAATGCTTGTTTTTGTGCAACTACAGTCATGTCTCCGTACTGGTCATGTCCATCAAAAGTCATGGTAGGGTTGTTCTGTATGTGTTTGTCCATCTGTCTGTGTCTCATTTGTATGTCAGTGTATCTTAATCAGCCTGTTGCATAGTTCTGGCAGTGCAGGATGGACGAGCTATTATTACCTTCCCGGTACAGAAACAATGTTTTCCATAGTATATTACACTGTTATAAGAAGGATTAAAAAAGGCAGTTTTATGATGACCATTTTAAAAATTAATAGATGACGGATGGTTAAAGTTTGGACCCTATCCAGCCATATGGTAGAGTAGATTCAGATTTTAGGATTTGACATTAAAGACCTGTCAGGTTACCAAGGTTTGCCGAGTCTGTACCATCTGATAAACAGACAAACAATGTACTGCATATAAATGCAGAATGCATTGGTACTATGCAGAGTGAATGTTTTCATTGTCTGTTTCGCTTGATAGAGCAGTTTGAGCAGGACAGGTATAATGAATGTGAAATGTGGGTATGAGTGACATTTATTTTTTGCTTTTATTTCACTTTTCTTAAGAAATGTTCTTTTTTTTATGTAAAAATGATTTCTTTACAAACCTAATTCTATTATTTATGATCATGTACTACAATCTCCTGCAGATTCAGCAGTTGGGATACATTGTGTTGTTTAAGACTACAATAAATTTGCCTTTTTTTGAAACACTCATGATGCTGCAGTCGTTCTTGCTATGATAGTAAATTTTGTCATTCATGTCATACCTATAGTACTGCAATGACTTTTGCAGTCCATTATTGACTATTTTATCCATTATTTAAGCTAAGAACAAAATAGGCATGAAAACAGTTACATTTCCATCGCTAAGCAGAGAGTTACTTTGCTGAATTGCATTATAAAGTGCAATGCAAACTCGCTAAACCTATGTGATGCAAAGGTGAACATTACCTGCTGTTAGCACTGTCACTGTGAGCATGCTGAAATCAATGTTTAGTCACATTAAAACTTTCATATGGCTGTAGACTCTGAGGCCTGCTTGGCTTGTGGTGTTCATTGTGGCTTTACTATAGGGGATGTAAGATAGTTGGTCTCTTGGTCTTGACATAAAATCTCAACAGCTAGATGAATGAATCACCATGATATTTTGTAGATGTATTTTTTTGCTTACTTAGACAGTCAAGATCGTGCTTCACAAAAGCTGGCCTACAGCATCTCGGTGCTAGCTTGGCTAAATGCTCCAACCACTCCAATATAAACTTAAATCCCTATTTCTAGGTAACTCTGTGTCTCCATGTCCTCTCTTTGTAGCTTAACTTTGTGCAGCATGACTCTGTCTCTCTAAAAATTGGTTTTTAATTGTTTAAATAAGGTCATAGGTTAGCATCATGCATTCATTAACACTGACAATTACAAAGAGCTAAACAAACAGAAGCAGGGGTCCTTTGGTAAGTGTTGGAAATGTTTTATGGAGGAGACGCATTCCAGATTGACATACTGTCCAATTAGCTGCTTGGCTGTAAAATGAATGGATACTTAGGGGTCAAGGAAAGTTGTGTGAAGTTATCGGGCTTTGTTTTTGGCTGTTTTGTCAGAGTGACATCAATTGTTGGGTGGAGTTGCACACGATAGATGAGCAGGCTGCTGGACACATAGTTCAACAGATCCCCCCCTGTGTGATAAAGTGTGCTTGACACACGTGTATGTTATCTAAACGTGTTCTGGGGTCTTGTGTGTGAAAGAACACGTTTAGAGTCCGTTTGGTTTGGGTGAGGTGACACTGGCAGCTGGTGTGGGATCTGCTCTTTTAGAGTGCATGCCATGTTATCTCTACCCCCTTCTCTTGTCCCACCATTGGCACTCCCATTTACTCACTGTCAGGACATTTATCTCCCACAATACACACTGTCCAGTCCACCCAGATGGTGCACACACACCCAGCTGGGCTGATTTTGTAGGCTTAAAAAAAGTTTAACAAAAGTGGACCTGAAATAAATAATTGTGAGGAAAGAGAGAATAATATCATTTTACTAACAGTAAAATATATCATTATCAATATAATTTTACTAACAGTTGACACTGCATAAAAAAGTATTCTGCAAACATGCTCTGTTTCAGAAAGTTGATCATATTTTTCTGCTGTTGTTTATCCACCCTGTTGCAACAGCATGAAAAGACAATATTTAGAGGACTGTTTGAAATCACTTTGTGTAATCCATCATACTGAAAATCAAACATACGTTCATATTTGTCAAACTGGTCAAATGAGGTAATGCAGTGCAGGCTTTCAAAACCAGTCTACTCTTACAGTGCATCACCATCTAAAATAAAACAATATAACACAACACAGGAAATGAAGGTCTTGGTGCTCAGGGTATATGAAACTAATCAAACAAAGTACAAAGGAGTCTCTACTACTGTACTTAAATAGGCTGCTAAAAAACATTGAATTTTCAAGAAAGGGTAAGCAAAAACTTCACTGTTATTGTGAAGTGTACATTTCAAAATAGTAAGCAAATGGGCTGTATAAGTGTTACATGATTTATATTTTGTCAGGATAACCTTACATGCAAACTGGTCTAGTTTTTTGCCCATTTGAGCAGAAATGGCGAGATGAGCCATTAAAAAAACAACTAAATTAGTGATTACATTAAGCTTGAGCGGTTTAAAATAAGCTTTCAGTATGTCTTCATCATTAAACATCATTTTTCACTGTATTTTGGGTCTATTGAACTAAAATGTGGTATTTTAATAGCAAATTTAATGGAGAAAATCAGTTAATATGAAGTATGGATTGGGGGCGGTGACAACAAAATTCATTGTCCAGCGTTTGACGTATTGATGGTGGTTTGTCCAATAAGATAGAAGTTGCTGCTTACGTCCACCAATCAAAAGTGACATCCAGGGCCAGGCCCGCCTCCTACATAATTAAATCCACACCAGCGTGCGTGATGGGTTAAGTGTTTGGAGTTTGCGTTGAAACAAGAACGCGGAGGTGGAAAATCACTCTGACCACCTCGAAACTTTCTGGCGCTTTTAATACGCTCCAGCGCAAAAAACGATGATGCAAAACACCTCATAGTTTTCTCAGAGGAAACAAGAGTTGGCGTTAAAGTGACTTTTTGAATCTGGAGACGCTTCCTCGTTCGACAACGGGGTGAAATATCTCAACATCCTCACAAAGAAACTTTGCCTGCTAGGCTGCTAACCCGCACTCAAGTCAGACAAAAACTATGTCCACCGCTGAAGAAATGACCTCAAGCTTGTGGTAACGTCTCATCTGTCGAGCCAAGGGTTGCTGGCAGTTGAATTTACTGGGAAATGCTCATCTTTATGACTCAAGGCTGAATTTTGTAACGGATTTTGGGTAGTCATCATCACCAGTGGAGGAAGGGTTACAGCTGGTAACTCAGCCACACAGCGCCCCCAGATCTCCACCAAGCAGGACATCCATTTCTACCGTGTAGCCCCAGGTCTGGAGAGATGTCAGGCCGGAGTGGAGTCCCACAGACCCGGGGAGCTGCTTTGGGTCCTCAGCCACTCAAAGCTACTGTTCCTTATCAGCTGTCCAGCAAACCTCGAGCAAACCGCAGAGATGGAAAGTCAGGTATGAGCTTAACACCTGTCAGGACATGTGAATCATGGGTAAATGACCCTGGATAAATGAGTTGTCGCATCAAAATAATGCCACTGTGATAAATTGTGTACTTGTCTCTTACTTTTTCCGTATACATCTTTACAAGCTTGCAGCTAACGATATTCCTCTGTAACTTCAAGACAAAAAAGTAGTTTGCAACACACACCAGTCTCCTTTTCATTGTTTAACTTATGTGTTGTATTCTTTATAAATGCAGCTGTACGTTTCTCATAGTTTTTTTTTTGTGTGTGTATTTTAATACAGCTGATAGAAAAAAATAGTTTATCAGTCTTTAATGTTAAACACTAGAGACAACATTTATTCTCAGTTATTAATCTGCAAGTTCCTCTTTAATCAGTTTAGCATGAAGTACTATTAGAGAGTTAAAAATGCATTTAAACACTTGGACCCATATGACATCTTTAGATTACAAACTCAAAGTCAAATTTTCATTAATGTAAATGTGATGACTGAACAAGGGAGATCTTTCATATTTGGGAAGTTGTAAAGAGCAAATATTTGTTTTCATTGACAAAATAAGCTTTCACTCTTTACATTAAAATATATTGGCCAGTTATCAAAATTATTGTCTTTAAATTAGGTCAGTACTCTGCTCCACACACTGATTATAACACAATAATAACCTTAAGTTTATGAGCTTTTTCGTTTTATATGTACAGTCATTGAAACTGGGTATGAGTAAAACTTGTAAAGTCATAGTGCACAGGTTTTTGCATGTAATATAACAAGTTTTTCTGCATCTTTACAGCCAGAAAATCCAAACCACAGCAACTGAGCTCTGGCATAAGGCGGACAGTGTCTCTTGATGCCATCATCGGGCCATACCTGCAGGGACACTGGCCCAAGGAACCTGAGGACCAGAGCAGTGTGAGCCGCAAGGACAAATCTACCCAGGTCAGCTCAGGATCAAATCTGTTTTTGAGTGTCATACAAAAATGGGAGCCATTATAAACAGAAATGAATATGTTGAGTTATTTTATCACGTTTTTAATAAGATAACAATGCTGTTTTAGAAATGAAACTTTTGCAGTTAAGTTTGTGGAGGGGTAAATGGGTCCAAGTCACATTAGGAGAGATTAGCTATCAGTTTTTGCAGATAGAGAAGTTGCTGCGTGACAGAGGGAGTGTCTGCTGCTTGCACACATATTACACAGTGAGAACCACAGCCATGAGAACAGTCCCTAAAGTCAGCTGATGAGGCCGTTTTGGCTGCACCCATCCTCTGTACTCTGTGTGCAGGCACTCGCCACTGCTCTTTGGTTGCCCACATCCTCCCTCCCCCCTTCTCGCTTTGTTTTTCAGTTTCTCCTGCTCTTTTGCTCTTCTACAAGTGTGAAGAGAGAATCTGTGGGTGTGGATGGTGTGATGTGGCTGCACATCAGCCTCTGAGACTGAGAAATTTTTGCTGAAGTGTGCAACTTTTGGCAAAAAATGTGTGAAGTCCTGATGTAATGTGTGACTTAAATGTTTGCAGTTTGAGATTTGTGCGTATTTGACTTCAGGCAACAACATAAAAAATCTGCTGATCATAGTATGAGAAAATAATGAGGTGTAATTGTTGATTTAAAAAATTTTTTTTTTTCCTCTGTAGACCCCGGACTCATGGTCAGATAATTACCAGAGCAGACGAGGCAGCAGCAACCACAAACGATCGGCATCATGGGGCAGTGCTGAGCATCTGCGAGAGGTGAATCTCAGCCTGTGTTGCACAATGTTTATTTCTGGCTATACTTGATATATTTTTTAATCATTGCTTAAGAAATAAAATGCCCTCTTCAATAATTATGACAGCATTGAGCAACAGGATACCAGATGACCTCATCTCCTAAGAAGCTTCTCCTTTCTGGTAGTTTTCCACCAGAGCTTCACTCCTTGTTATATCTTAGTCTGAGCAGATACAGAATCAGATTGTCACCTCTAAATGTCTGAAACACATCTTTGAAGAGCTGTTTCACATCTGTACATTTAATAGACTTCCTCTGAGCGCCTGTTTGTGTGTGCAAGCTGAATGACTGACAGTAACCTCTTGTTCATTTCAGATTGCTAAACTCAAACAACAGCTGCAGCAGCGCAGCAAACCTGCCATCTCAGGGGGGCATGACAAAGACCGCCAGCATGGATATCCTCAGGAGAGCTGTAGCCTAGGCAGCACACAGGTACCTTGGCATCATCCTTACACACAAACACACTGCTCTCATTACTTCACCCATGTTCTACAGTGTGTTTGTACACTTAAGAGGCAAAGCTGGCAAAATATTGTGTGGTGCGTCTGTTTCACTGAACAAAGTCTTCAGAGTGACTTAAAGGGTGCAGGAAGTGAGTGAACTAAAGCACTGAGGCAACAGGAAGACCACTACATCACAACAGCTTCTGCATTTCAGAGCAAAATATGCGGTTCTGCTTTTCAGCACAGCTGGTCTGTACTGTCTGGTTATGGGGCGTCTTACTCCACTGGTCCAAAGCAAGTTGACAGCAGAGAGTGTGATATTAAAAAGAAATACCAGCTGGTTTGAAACTACAGGTGTGTAGCTAGTTGTGAGAAAAATACAGATATTTAAAGTATGTGAACATATATACTGTATATACACATCAGGCCACAAGTTTGGAAGCAAGGCCATTACAGGCAGAACAGTTGGGAGTAACTTCAAGTTTTTGTTCACAATGCTTTTTTTAAATTCCAGCATGAGTTCCATGTATTTTGGGATGTATTTACTCCATGATCAGATGTTGCTTTCATGGAAATGCACCATTTTACTCCATTTACCTTTTAGATATACACTGATGTTAACAGACCATTGCTAAATATATGTCAGCAAAAGATAATAAGGTTTTAGTTTTAGGGTTGAAAACATTTGCAAGAGTCACAACTTCAGTGCAAAAGCAAAAAAACAAATCCCAGTTGGATTATTTACTTCAACTTTGTGGCTTTTGAGAGTCTGCATACAAAAATCCTAATAAATCGCAACTGCGTTCGAACTACCGCAAAAATGGCTAGAAAGAAGCAACTGAGTAAAGAAACAAAAGTATGGATTTGTACATTGAGGAAAGAAGGATACACAGAAAGAGAAATTGCAAAATACCTAAAGGTGTCTAACAAAGGAGTCCACTACACTCTGAAGAGACTAGAGGAACCTGGAAGTTATGATGATAGAAAAAGATCTGGACGAAAGAGAGTTACTTCAAAAGCAGAGGATAAACATAGCATTGTCATCAGTAAGAGAGATCGGCAAAAGACAGCACCACAAATAAGGCAGGAAATCAATATGACTATGTCAAAACCCATATCTCTGACAACCGTGAAATGACGTTTGAGAAAGGCTGGTCTGAAGGGTTGCGTATCTGCAAAAAACACTACTTCGTCCACAGAACAAGAAAAAGAGATATGAGTGGGCAAAAGCTCACAAAAATTTGACTTATGACGACTAGAAACATAAGTCAAATTGCACTGTTTGGCTCAAAACGCAGAGTCTATGTCCGCAGACGTCTGAAAGCACCATGTGTTACACCCACAATTCAGCATGGAGGTGGTAGTTCCATGATATGGGGATGTTTTGCAGGTGATAGAGTAGGAGATTTGTTTGAAGTAAAGTTTATCCTGAAGAAGTAACAGTACCACTCCATCCTCCTGCACCATGGTGTTCCATTTGGACTCAGACTTGTTAGCACGTAAGTTTGTTTTGCATCCTGCTTAGCTCTGTCAGGGTTACCTAGACAAAAAAGAAGAGGATGGTGTTCTTCAAAAGATGGTTTGGCCCCCTCAGTCTCCAGACCTCAGTCTCGATCGGTCAGAAAAACGTGTCCCACGTATCAGCAGTCTCTTTTTAATGAACTTAAGAAAGCTTGGAATGCAATCCCAGGAACATATCTTAAAAAACTTGTGGAACGAATGCCTGATATATGCCAAGCTGTTGTTAAATCCAGAGGAGGTTACTTTAAAGAAAGCAAAGTAAAAACAAAACTGTGGAGAAGTGGCAGAAAATGTGAATTCCATGCAGCCTTATTCTCATGACATTTGTTCTTGTTTCCTTAGACTCAGCCAATCCCCATTCCCCTCGCTCCTCTGTCCACGGTGGTCCCTCGACTGCGCTGTAGCGTGGAAGGCCTCAACCAGGAACTGGAAGGCATGTTTATCTGCCAGCCCCCCCATCATCAGCCCAGGGTAACTTTGATTACTCCTCCACACAACATACACACTCAAAGATTCAAAACTCTTGAGCAGAGGAAAGTTTTATGTTGATTCATCAATGTGGTCAAACTTTGCCTTTTTTTTGTCTTTTCAGCTTCTTGAGGTCCCAGACGGTCACAGGGCTCCTGTTCCACCACAGAGCTGCAGCAGTGGATCTCAGAGTGACCCTGCCACCACACCACAGTCCTCTTCTTCATTCTCTTCCTCCTCCTCACCCAGCTCCCCTTCCATCTACGTCTCCACTTCACCAACAGTCGCAGAAGACACACCACTAGAGCTACACCAAGGTTAGTCAGCCGATGAAATCAAAGGTGCTGTTTCAATATTGCTTTTACAGTTGAGTATTAAGAAACTTGCACATAACAAAACAGGTGAATCACTGACCCAAAAAAAGGAATCAACACCACTTCTAGTCATCTTCTGTGAGTGAGAGTCATCGCTTCAGCTGTGTGCACTGCGTTTTGGGTCTTTGCCATGCGTAACTATTCTTGTTCTCGCTGCAACTGCAGTTTTTGCATGTGCAGTGATGCTTAGTCTCAAACCAGCAGCTCGCAGCAAGAGAGGTCCAACACAGTGCAACAATAAACAGTGAAGCTGTCCCTTTCATTTCTTCATATGTAACCATCTGGCACATTAGGAGAGCTTTTTAACATGGACTGTGCAGGTGTCACATTGCTGCTACCAGCATTTTCCATTTGGTTCCGCAGGAGCCTGTAATAATCAACTCCCCTTATTGCAAAAAGACTGCAACCCCTGCCTCCCTCTAGTCACACACTCAGAGCATGCATGGGCATAAGGCACACAGGCAGGCTCTTCATGTGGTTGTTTTGGTATAGCTAGTTTTAACTTGTTATGTACACTATTAGCTTTCTATTGGTCCACAGATCACTTGTGGTGGAGAGTGATGAACTCTGTAACTTTCACAACAATTGTAGTCTAAAAGCAGAAAACCACTCTACGCATATAAAAAAACACACAAAATAACACAGTTGATGTTTTTAGATACAAGCAAAACTGGCAGGTCGGTTCAGCCTGCCAGTTTAGCACCCACTCCTTAGACTCTGCTATGAAGCCAATCTGATTTAATCTGAAAGATCTTCCTTAAAAAGAAAATGAATTTCCTGAATGGCAGCACGTGTTTCTCCAAAACCTGTGTAAATTTTTCAGCTTCAATTGTGCAGAGTTTCACATGCATAAGCTACCCACTACCCTAAGAACAATTGAATGCATCAAACTTTCTGAAAAGAGTCATTTCCATAGCTTCCCCTGACCCATAATTTTTGACATTTCTGTGCATGTGGATACTAACTTCAGTCCCTTCTACTTGTAGGTTTGACAGACAGCGCAGAGATGTGCCTCCTGTCTCCGTTTTTACCCCAGAATGAAGCTGACCTCTCTTTGCCTCTGCTCATGTCGTCCTCCCCTGGGCCCAACAAGAGCTGCTGCTTCCAGAGAGAGCCTCCAGAAGGCTGCGAAAAAGTCAGAGTCTGGGAGGAGACCAGGTCAGTTTGTTTGATTGGATTAGTTTTTTGGTTATGGGCTGTTAAATCAAGTCAGTAACTTGCAATGTATCAGCACCTTTAGTTACACAAAACCATTTCACTCTCACTTTTCCTGACCAGTAAAGGTTTTTTTAATGAGAATACTTTCTCACATCCCTGCCTCTCTCATCTTGCAGCACTCCACATCAATTTAAGCCGGCCCTCGTTTCCTCCTGCCCGGATCCCAATAAAGTGAACTTCACCTCCCATGGTGGCTCTGCCTTCTGCCCTGTCAGCCTCCTGAAGCCCCTGTTCCCCTCCATGGACCTGCTGTTCCGCAGCCTCGCTGTCTCTCCAGCAGGTAGCTGCTCGAGCCAGGGAACCATCCCCAGCAACCTGGCCACACCTCCTGATCCAGCCTCCAACACTACTGCTGCTGCTCCTGTTGTGGTGGGAGAAAGCTCAGAGGAGGGTCTGGCATTCTGATCTGTCTCTGTGGAAATTTAAAAAAGGCATAATGCAAATATTTCAGTGGTTGGTAACGAGTTTGTTGATAATGCTTTATCATAAGGAATAACCATTCCTTTTCTAAGTTGAAAAACAAAATAGTGAAAGTATCTTTGTGTGCTTCATGAGCTACTTGTTATGGATTGCTGGGCATAGTAACATGAAAATAAGTCCTTTTCGGATTCCCCTTTTTCGTAATCCAAAGATGTGCTTAAGGGCCAACACCAGAGGAAGACTTATCATGCCTTTCTCTTAACTCTTTTGATCACTGCACATTTCCCCAAAGAAGCCATGATAAACACATATTTCTCAATGCAGCTTTTTTTAAAAACTACCCAGAGGCCAGTGAAAACAAAAAAGTGTGCAACCAAAATGTACTAGCATTTGCCCTCTTTTACCTAACCTACAAAGCATGACAAATCAGTTGGGTACCAGATTAGAGAAAAAGACACCCTGAATTAGCTAACTGTAGACTGAAGGGGATTTTGTAGACTATGAACTAGAGTGGTATGAATCCCTGAAAGCTTCCGCTCATGTATTCCTGCTTTAAATAGTTGTACAGCTGTTATAATTTTGTTGCCATCTTGTTTACTTGTTAAAAAAGAAGTAATTTTTTTGCATGTTATTTGATACAAACCTGTTCTGCCGTGATGTGCGCTTGTACCGCTGTTTATAGATTTGAGGTTCACAGCCTAGTCGACTACCTAACCAATTTTAGTGGTGTAGATTTTTTCCTTGAAGATGATCTTTTTCTTCTGCCAAGCTGACAAGTTTTGACGTTCAGATAGTTTTATTTCTGGTAGATGTTTGCACAAATTGAACTGCTACTTTTGAGTCGCAATTCCTATTTTTATATTATCTTTTTGTACTTTATGTGTATTTTCTACATCTTTTTCAATTACCTGCAACATAAGCTAAAAAAAAGGAACCTGTTACATTTAGTTTTTTTTTCTGTCAGTGTAATCAAAGCAGGTGTTACATGAAATACTGTATCAGTGGATTTTTATGCACTTCCAGGAGAGGGTTTCTTCAATACGATAGTCCTGGCTGACAGTTTTGTTTGTTTGTATGTGTTTGTGTGGGTGCACATGGATGGAAAGTTACATAGTCTGGTTTATGACTTATTTCTCCTAGTTTTAGTATCCTGGTAAAAATGCTGAAGAATTTAAACATTGTCTTTCAAAATAAGCCTCATTTCAGTGTTTTTTGATTCAGTGTGGATACTTGGGATGTGCTGGTTCTCTCAGGTTCTTTGTTCTGTCCTCATAAATATATGACTGATAAAATCTTGTGTTTGTCGTTTCTTGAACTTCACTGGTATCTTTACTTACACTTTAGTCTGAATTTCAAATGCTTTCAGGAGATGAAGGCTTAAGTGGGGCATTGGTTGTGGCTGCTTGAATTATTGAGTCACAAAATTGAGCTGGACGTTTTTCACCTGTTCTCTAGAAACATCTTAAAGCAATTAGACTGATGGCAATAATATCGAACCGCATTTGCAAGACTCCATAATTAACAACAAAAAGGTATTGCGGTCTAGACCTTACTCCTCATAATCAATCAATCAATCAACTGTATTTCTATAGCACATTTAAAAGAACCACAAGGGTAGCCAAAGTGCTGTACAATGACACATAAAAACAAATAAAACAATCAAAGAACAAGATAAAGCGAGCAGAAATACAGTAATGCAAAAGAATAAATAAGTGTATAAATGAGGAGGCTCACGGCAAGTGCTAAGATGATAAAAAAACAAATTAACACTACAATGTACTAAAAGCCAATGAGTAAAAGTGCGTTTTTAAAAGGGATTTAAAAACAGGAAATGAGGAGGCCTGTCTAATTTTCAAGGGCAACTCATTCCAGAGCTTAGGGGCAGCAGCGGCAAACGCTCTGTCCCCTCTGAGCTTCAGCCTTGTACTGGGGACCGTCAGACCCAACATAAAGATTGAACAAGACTGAATCCCATCTTGTAAGATCAGAACCACTCCAAACCTATTTTTAATCACGAGTGTAGCACTTACTAGCAGCAAGTTACAGGCAGAAACCTTATCCAGAACCTTATCCAGAGGGAGATGCAGGGACAGAAATGGGTGGCAATTAACAACAGTAGAGAAGTATTTGTACTCTTTATAGGAACATGGTAATGGTAATAGACTGTTTGATTTAAGGCAAGTCGAAGTAAACAGGTCCACAACAGCAGGATGTCTGCAGCAGTGATCCTAACCTACAGCATGATGGAGCTCAGGGACTCCCAAGATGACTGGTCTGTGGCAATCAGAAATAATGATTCAGAGTTAATAACACAGACAGGGGATAGAGAAGGAGAGAGAGGTGTTCCCCTGGCAACCTCAACCTATAAGCATAACCAAGAGCTGGCCAGAGCCTGAACCAGCCCTCACTATGAGGTGGAGAGGGTGTCTGCCCTCAGATCTCAACTGGTAGATGATTACAGAGGAGAGGAGCCTGAAAACTGAAAGCTCTACTCAGACCACCTTTAGGGATTTTAGGTACAGTGAGCAGGCCTGCATGCTGGGACCACAATCTTTTAGGGGGGTAATAGGGGTATTAACTATGAGCTCTTTGAGATGCCTGACCATGAAGATCTTTGCAAGTGAGAAGAAGAATTTTAAATTTTGTCCTATATGTGATGGGAAGCCATGGGGAGGCTTATACATCTGAAGTTATATCACAGATTGTTGTCGTGAAATGTGTTTTTAAGTTCATTTTTTCACGACAACAAAAGTAGTTTTTGTTGAACAAAGGCGTTTAAAGTTCATAGTGAAGGAAATAACATATTAAAAGTCCGTGAAAAGTTGGCAAACATACATACAGACATACAGATGGATATCATTAAAAAGGAATGAAATCTGCTCGACATGGTCATTGCCAAGAGAGTGGGAACAGGGTACAGTATAATCAAAACTAATATAGTCTTAAACCTGGCTATATGAAGGCCGTGTTTGCACTTGGTTTCTTGAGATATATAAAACAATGTCCCCCTGGCACGTTTTAAAAATATTCAGTTATTGTTTGTTGGACGTGTTTGGGAAGACACAGAAAACAGAGGAGTGTTCTTTAAGACCTTGACTCGCAGTTGTACCTATGATATACAGTACATCAGGGTACAAATGTACAGCTGTTGTCGTTGCATTGTGGGATTGGCTAGCGGCAGAGGAGGAGGTGAACACTTCGCTGGACGTTCAGGCCTGTAGGAAACCGGCACGAGCTGCTTCACAAGAAGAAGCGCGCGTTTTTCCACTCGCAGACTTTTGGTTTCCTTTAATTGACTGTCAGTATGTCGTCTATCTTGGGACTCGTCGCCAAACAGCTTAAGAGCCACCCAGCTGTAAGTAAATTAAACTGTATTTTATTTCAATGCGTGGTCGACTAGGTGACATTGAAAACGAAAGGAGGAGGACGTGCGTAGGCATGCGCGCGTGCTCCCCTATCACACCCTTATTATCGGATGCGTTTTGTTATAGCTATTCGTTTACTGATGTTTCCACTTAGATGTACTAAATAACAACGATTTTAAATCAATAAAGGCATATTCATTTACAGTGACTCCACAACCTCTCATATGCCTCGACATAGCTGTTGAAAAAATAGATGACAAAGGCATTTTCAACACCAGACATCCTCATTTAAGACTAGATTTACCTTTCTGCCTCTTCCTTTCTTAACCGTATATTTATATTTTCGTTTTCCTCTCTTTTGGGGAGTTCTTTTTCTAAATGGGCTTTTATTTTGTTGGCTGTCACCCTCTAAGCTTCATAAAACGCTTTTCGCAGTTTAAATAATGACGCCACCTGCTCATGGTGGGTTAAAACAAAGGCAAATATTATAGGGTGATGGGGATAAAAATAACGAGTAACTGTATAGTGTGCTCTACTGTTCTCTACACAGCCATACGTGTAGGGCTCTAAAGCACGTACACTGTATAGTTTCCATACTGGCATGACTCAATGCTATAGAGCAATGCGGGAGGGAGAGAGAGAGTGTGTTTATCTACGAAAGGGGGTTAGACAGGGTGCTTTATGGCTGAGTCTGTATTAATAGATCACTGGTTACAAATGTTTTGTCCTTCAGTGGGAGTGGAAGCTTCCCTAGTTTTTTTTTCTTAATAAATTTATCTTTGCCTTCTAAAGATCTGCCATTTGGAGTTGTTGTAGGATTCATATGTGTTCCCTTTGAAATGGTATGCTATACTTATTTTAAGCTCCTGAGATCAAACATAAGGTCACAAACCAAATGACAAATTTGGGGGTCAAATTATGACTGACACAACAGAAATTTGATATACTTTATTATTTTCATCATGTCTCTCAGTAAATTTGGAATTATTCCTATTTTCAAGTAAAACAGCCGACAAGCTGAGAAAATGGGTCACATTTAGAAAGCCATTCAGATCTCAAATTTCTCCTGACTAATGAGTAAAACTAAACCTTTATGAAAAAAATGACCCCAGATTGGGTACATTATAATGTGTTTATCTCTCTACCTCTAGCTCATCCCCCTCTTTGTTTTCATTGGTGGCGGGGCAACGATGAGCATGATGTACCTGGGTCGGCTGGCTTTGAAGAACCCTGATGTATCGTAAGTCACTTCAAGTGTGTAGAGTTTAACATTTTATTTAATGCACGATCATGAACTTTTCCTACTTTTGCCTCCAGATGGGATCGTAAGAACAACCCTGAGCCATGGAACAACATGCAGCCTGACCAGCAGTACAAAGTATGAGCCCTCAGACATAGATTGCTTTAATAACTTATACACTGACTCAAGGGATGCACTTTTTACTAAAATACTCTTATCTGATGTTGACTTCCACTGATCAGATGATTATTAAAAAAAACATGAATTGTGCTTTAGAAGAGAAAACTTTCTAAAAGCTAATTGTATTCTGTGAAAAATGGCAATATCATGTTAAAGACACATGTAAAAGAAACATGCAACTTTGCAATAACAGTGATAAACTATGATCAACTGTAAACATCTATTTCAGTGTTGTATACACTATTGAGGGTAAGGCATTTCAATGCATGACACAGGTCAAATCAAATCAGTCAATATCTGTGATGCATATTTCTTTACATACAAAAGTGCTTATTTAGATTTAAAGTGAAAACATATTTGTGTAGGATGAGCCATATCTGTTCTGTTATCTTGCCTCAAAGTCCAAACCTGCTCACTCATACTGATTGTGTGTATTGTTTGTGTCTTCCAGCTTTTCACAGTTAACATGGACTACTCCAAGCTGAAGAAGGACAGGCCTGATTATTAAATCATCATGTACACCACTGCCTTTGATATTGTTGTCAGAGTGACGATACTTTGCACTTTTTTGCCAAATATACAACAGGCTCATGACACTGAATGAAGGTTAAATCACACACTGTGTGCTGCATTTATTAAACCTGTTAATTTCCATTATTAAGGGGAAAGGGATCATTCAGATATCTATGACTGTACAAATAAAACAGGCAACCACCTGTTTTATTGATTGATGAATTTATTTTTGTCTTCATTATAAATTATTAAAACTGTAAATTGCACCACTTCCTTGTGTTTTTTTCTTTGACACAGTAGTTATGATTATAATAAAAATGAGTCTAATTTGAGGCTTAAATCCTTGAAGGCTAAAAGACTGTATTAGTCAGTCATACATAACCATTCAAGTTGGCCAAGAATGGCTGATGGTAGAAAGCCTGTCTGATGAGTTACAGTGAGCAATAAATAGAATCAGTAGAAGTAGGACTTCACAAGAGCAAAATTAACAGAGTACGTCATAATAGAATAAAAGGAAACATTTAACCAAATGAGAGCCTAACGGGTGAAATTGGGTCATTTCCTGTTTATCACTTGTCCAGCTGACTCAACTGGATAACTGATAAACAACCCCCCCTCCCCCTTTTAACATCTTGATTAAAGAAAATTCTGTCTTCCCCCCACCCGTATCAGCCTTTACAATTTTAACACAGATTTTGGCACAGTTGATGAGTTGGATGGTTGTGTCTAAGTGTCTATTATGAGGTGGGACAACATTTGGTTTCTTTAAATCATCCAGATGAAGCAAAATGTAGAGGAGTAAACTGTGTTTTGTCTAAATTTGGTTTCAAGGATTCCAAGTAGTCTCAGCTGTTGTTGTTTTTTGTGACCAGCAGGGTGCAATGTTTTAAATGCAATTACAATTAGTTTTTGGTGCGAAAATGGGGGAAAATAATTGATCAGCTCGGACTTTTCCTGCTTCGGTGGCCTACATTTTCTTTTACTGTGCAATTACAAAATCGAAAAAATCCCATTTAATCTATCGAATTTTCATAAACAGATGCTTCTTTCATGGTCACTAATATATAAACACAACTTCTCTCCACACAGATATTACATATGAAATAATAAAGATATAACACACAGAAACAAATCTTTATTTTAACTGCCTGGTTTTCTCATAATATACTCCTGGTTCACCAGCAGTTTGATTCCAACGGTTTATTACTTATGAAGATTTTACTTCAAAACACAATATTTCAATTCCTACTGTGGAATTTAACATTATCATGAATGCAATTCCTTCTGGTGTCTCTTTATTATTTAGAAGCACAGTGGAGATATCAGCTCTCTTGCCTCTGGATCCACTTAAGCTTGAAGTCGGCAGGATTTGTTTCTCGACGACATGTAGCAACAATCGTGCTGTGCGTACGTTGTTTCAAAGGGACATTGTGTCTCTTCCTCATATATCTACTTATTGGAATAACTTATTACTGAATCTTGATTCGAAAAAAATCTGGATCTTACCAACCAAGTATATGATTAACAGCAAAATTAAAGAAGTATCTTTTAATTTAATCCATAATATCTATCCTTGTAAAATATTTTTCTCACAGCGTTTCAAGAGTCATATTGACACTAACTGCTCTTTCTGTTCACAATGCCCTGAAGATACCTTTTACTTATTTTGGTCTTGCCCTTTCTAAAATAATTTCTGGAAAGATGTTTGTCATTTTATTTCTAGTTCTTTTGAGAATAATTTCACTCTTTGTTGAAAATATACTGTTTGGTTTTACTTCCTTTATACCCTTCAAAAACAAAACATTATTATTATATAATTAACCTCATTATTTTGTTGGCTAAGTGGCATATCCATAAATGTAGATATATGAATAAAAATTCTTGCTTTATTTTTTTCAAAAATGAAACCAAGCTGTATATTAATACTATCAAAAAAAAATTCTACTAATAGAAAGGCTATCAAGACCAAAAAAAAACAAACTTTCCTGCTTCGGGTAGGCAAAACAAAGCAAAATATTTGCAGAAAGATAAAACAGATGTGTGTCATGTAGTTTTAAAGCATAAATTATATATTTTGTACAGTTTTAAGGCGATGGACAACGTGAAGGTACAGAGCTTCTCAGTTCAGACCCCATTTCTTCAGTATACTCCTGAGGCCCCTGTTATCCCTTGATTATCCAGGTGATGGCGGTAGCGCTGTGCTCGGCGGCAATCTGACCAGCGAAGGGGACGGGAACACCTGTTTCTCGCGAGATTTACTTGAAAATAACGCGGGGAAGAGTGAGGGTTGAATCCGTTGAGACAGAACGTCTCAAAAACTGTGAGAAGACAGAAAACGGTGTTACAGCAGCCTTAGGTTTGATTTTGGACTAGGTTTTGTCCGTTAAAAGTGCTCGTTTGTATGATTTAAAACATATTAGGTTTAAAACTCGTTTCTTAACCGTTTTAAAAGCTCTGTTGTTCAGCTAGCATCAGCTGACTGTCTCGACTCAGGGTCCAAATGGATCACACAGAGGACTTGTCCGCCCGGGTTCTGCTCAAACATATTCTTACGACTGAGCCACCGAGGACTCCTGTTACTCGCAGGTACTGAAATAGCACTCTAGATTTCATACATTTTCATGTTGTTGAGGTTTTGAATCAGCGTCAGTCATCTTGTGCGTAGTGTTTACGTAAATGACACCCGTGTTACTTTTCTTTTCAGCGCCTCCGCAGCTTTAGGGAGCATCAGTCCGACCAGGCGCAGCAGTAGATTGAGAAATAAAGAAGCTGGAGCTAAAACCCCGCAGGATATCCTTAGACGCAGCCTAAAGCACAAAATCCATGATGTGAGGAAGATGAGCAAAGTGCATACTGGGGATAAACATGCTGAATCTCTGAAAGATAATACCTCTATCCTCTTTCCAGAGCGTTACCCGGAAATCTCTGCCAGCACCCAAAAGGAGGACCACCTCTGCCATACTCAAGAGGACGCCTGCTCCAGCCTCCATGCTATTTGATGATGGAGACACACCAAGACACATTCTTATGAACATCCTCCGGACAGGTAAACGCACCAGACTGCTTAAGTATGCACATCATGCTGCTTCTATTTGCTGAGGCTTCAGTGTCTTTTGTAAAACAACCAGAGCCCGTGAGGTCCCCTGTGATTCATGAGAAAACTCCCTCAGAAGAGCCACAGCCTTTTTCAGCCAACTCAAGCATTTCCAACAGGCGCCCGAGGTGAGCAGAAGTCTCATGATGCAAAAGGGATGCACTGGCAACAATGTGATAAATGTAATCGCTCGCCAGTGACAACATATACCTTTTATCTATTTGAGGTCTACAGAAATGATGACCATTTGTATGCAACTGGTTAAACACTGTTATGATTGTTGACAAATCTTTTTTTTTTTTTGCCTGACATTCAGCACTGAGCTTTCAGGCTTAGACTTACCGGATTTAACGATCAGGGGTGCTGTAAGTACTGCAAAAGGATTGAGCAGAAAGAGACCACGTCGGAGCCTGAACGTAACGGCTTTTGAAAAGCGTCTCAGAGATAATGATGATGGTGAGTTTAAATTTACAATTATAGATGCATATACATCAGATTTCAAGTATTATTTTTTGTACACTGGCTCACAGGATAATGGCATAATGGTGTAGAAATGTGAGCTGCATCAGTGACCAGTTGCCTTGTTTGTTTTATTGAGGAGCTGATAAATGCCTGTGTTTACAGATAATGAAGGGCAAATTGAAGAAACATTGGGCAACAGTACATCACATTCATTAAGGTAGGGTACAGTCAAGCAACAGCATTTCTTTGATTTTAAGTTTGTCGTTCAAGCTTTTTTATTGTATTACCTTTGGGCCACTGTTTATGATGACACTATCAATATCTATAATCTATGGCCCGTCTAATCTGTCATGCAGTTCCACTTCACTGAGCCTAAAAACCCCTTTTATGGATGCTCACACTGAGAGGAGGGGTCTGCAGAGGAGAGTTTCTCACCGTCGTAAAATTACAGAGGAAGAATTTGGTGCTGCTGTGAATAAAAGGCACCTTGGAGGTAAATTACAATCAATTAAAGATGTGTTTTTGTCTTTTTACCTCATCTACTGTGCAAATAAATGTGTGCCAGAACAATCCAATGATTAAATATTTGGTAACATCTTTTTGTAACTTTTTTTCTGAGATTGGTAGAGAGCGTTATTCAATCTCAATGACAGCACACCTCAAATGAGAGTCAGAGTTAATTGGTGATAATAAAAAAGACTGATTTTAAAGGTTGATTTTTTTTTAATTCAATAATAATTCATATTCTTGTAACTCAAACAAAGTGATTATTTTCAGCTTGTAGTATAACACAGGGAACAAATAATGTTGAAGAGCCTTATTACCTTATTAATGAATGTTTTTCCCCTCCCTGTTTGTCACCAGAGGTAACCAGCTTTTTGCAGCCTAAGCAAGGTCTGAGTGAGACTGCACACTCTGAGGGATTCACTTTGGGATTGAGCAAACTCGGTGAACCCGATTTAACCACCGATATCATCCACTGTAGCACGGCACTGTATGCTCAGCCTGATGCAATGACTTCCAACTTCTCTGTGCATACAGGGACAGAGACTCAGCTGCAGGAACAGATATCTGAGATAAAACAGAGCAAGCTTAGGGTGGAGAAATCGTCATGTGTGTTTCCAACTGAAGAGGAGGCAGAACCTCAGGAAGAACAGCGTTTTTCTGAGTCCCAGGAGGACTCGGACAGGGGTGATATAGCAGAGTCTGATAAACAGGAGAATCTGGTGGCAGCCCACACAGAAGAGAAAGAAGTGGTTGATTATGGTACTGAAGAAGAAAACCAGGGTGTTGGAGTGGATTCTGAGCCAGAAGAGGATGCTGCAAGTAGGTCTCAGTCTGATGGAGAGGAGGTTATACAAGACACTCCAGCTGAAAAAGGAGATGGAGAGGAAGATTCTCAAACTGAGGAAGAAAGAGAAGGTGTTGTTGATTCTCAAAATGATGAGGAAGAAGATGCTGCTGACTCTCAAACTGGAGGAGAAGAAGGGGCAGATTCTCAAGATGGAGAAGAAGATGCTGTTGAGACTCAGTCTGAAGAAGAGGAAATTCCACCAGACTCTCATAGCCAAAGAGAAGATGAAGCAGTTTATTCTCAAACTGAAGAAGATAATGTCCCTGATTCTCTGCCTGTAGAGGAAGAGGAGGAGGATCTTGCAGATGATGCAAGTGATCCAGGGGATCCTGCAGAGGGTGGCTCGTTAGAATCTAAACACGAGGATGAGCACAACGAGGAGCAGGAGGAGGAAGATGTTGAGCAGGCGCCAGTGCACCTTGAACACATCAGTCGGAGAGCTCATCTCTCTGAAGGTGGACTTGTGCAGATCGCAGAAGCAGGTAAGAACATAACAAATTATTCTAATGTGAATTTAGGACCATAAAAAAAATATTTTTGAGAGCCTTCGATTGGCAGTTGTTGGCCCTTATGTAGAGAAGACAGGGAGAACATACAGATAGTTGTTGAACGACAACAGGTGGTAATTTCTCCACATAGAGAATATATAAACAAATCCTTAATGAGAAGGTTATTTCTTCCAGAGACGTGCAACTAAACACTTCTAAGATCCATGTTCTAACTGACCGTGGGAGATCGGACTCCCATTTCAATGCAACTCATCTTTACAATGACCAGTAGGACTTCTGTTAACTTAATGGAGTTTCTATGTTTAAGGTCCCTTATAATCTACATGGGGTCTAACGTATGTCGGCCAAACTTAACATAATCTTAAAGTGAGAATTGTGAAGCATAAAACTGCTATTAGAAATGATAGTATGGACTATGTCTTTGCTAGACACCACAAAGAAAAGAACTACAGGTCAGCTACTGCTCTCTAATTTACTTGGTACTGAAAGAGTGAGACCTAATACTAGAGGGTGCAATTTGGTTAAACAGCTCTAAAGAGGGGATGTCTCTAGATTCATATGCTGAACACTGTTGAACCATATGGACTTGATGAAGCACAGGATCTGAACTGCTTTGGTAAAAGTAAGGTTTTTCTAGACTAATATAGGTTGAGGCTGGACACTAGGTTCCGCCACACCTGCCCCCTTCCCATGTAGTCGTCACAGAGCTATTGCCAAGGTATTTCAGTGTATCTATGTTCATGTTTGTGCCACAACTCTGTTGTTTGTTTGTCGACAGAATTGTCAGATGGCAAATCCAAAGCCTCCACTAAAGCTGATTTACAATACAGCCTTGACACAGGGAGCCAGGAATTTGGTGAGACTTCTGTCAGATACCCTGAATTGGCTGAGACTCCATCCGAACAACAGAAAGAAGCTTCTGGTAATGAGGACGAGCCTGATGCCGACCAAGAAAACTCCTTTCATCCCCCAGAGGTTCTGGAAAGCAATGAGCAGCTGGGTGAAGAGTCACCTGAAAAAGCTGCTGCTCAGGAGGAAGAGGAGTGGGAGGATGAAGAGGATGAGGAAGACACTGAAGGTCTTGCAGTAGATCTTTGTGTTCTTGAAATCTTAAATGGTAAGAATAACACTTAAATTAGGCTCTATTTTGTTTGCTTGAATCTTCAGACATCCCAAGCAAGACTCCGGCTTTTGTTAAAGAGAAAAGGAACCTGTTTCAGCCTGATCCTCTGGCCTCACCTGTTCTCAAGAACACTCAAGCCAGGCAAGTGTCTGTTCCTGCTACTCTGATGTTTCTTGGAGCCTTTTTTGATAGTTGAAATACATTTTATTAGAATGTAACTGGTGTGGACTGTTGCATGATTAATCAGAGCTTTTGAGAAGTTCTGCTGATATGTTACTCCATCAGCAGTGCCAGTGATGGTGAAGGTTTGGCTGCACCTAAACCTAAGCAGGCAAGGAAGAGGGGGAAAAGGTCTGCCAGGAAGGAAGGGAGCCTTCCAAAGAGCTACCTGATGGGCATCTTTAAGCACTTTGCCAAAACTAAGGTCGCTGCCGATGTGTACCCCATCCTACAAGAAATGTAAGTGATAGTAGGTCACAAACTCTTTGGGCCAAGTGTGTTTCCTATGCCAACTCTGTTGTCAAGCTCAGTGATATCTTTGAGAGACATAGGTCTTCAAGACTGCGCTGTAAAAACACTTGCTTCATTCTTATTCACTCTCTTTAACAGAATGGATAAATTCTTTGAGCGGATGGCAGAGGACTTAGAGACATACGCTCTTCATGCAAAGAGGAAAACTATTGAAGTCGAAGATACTGAACTCCTGTTGAGACGGTTAGTATACTTTTTGTTAAAGTAACTTTGTATGTGGTTGAATGTGTTCCTGAGATTAAAAAAAGCATTTAGTGTGAATAAATAGAAAGATGAAAGCAAAGACAGATAAATAACATACAGAGGCATCTTATCTATGAGACCTCTGTAACATAGTGTTTCAGGTCTACACTCAAGCCAACAAACAGGTGAATAAATCTGGAGTTTGGGCTGGCACATCTAGAGTTGGACCTTTGGTCAGTGGCCCTGTCATGATGCGAGAAACCTAAGAATTAAACACTTTTGATTGCTCCTGTAGGGGAACTGTAGTGCCTTTCTTATATCTTTGTGGTTTTAAGTCACAAGTATCTGAATAAAGCATTTATGATCACAGCTCTTGAAGAAAAAGTCAAGCAAGTCAACAAGGTGCCAGAGATATTATTGTAGACAATAAACACAGAGCTAAGGTATCAGGCATTGATCACATAATTTCTTATTGAAGGAAAACAAGAGCTGACAGAAGGTTTGCATTATTCTTCAGATATTAAAAAGAGAGGATTCAAACAAACCAAAACCGTATGAAGCAGTATAAAGCCAAGACTAATATGTACCTCTAGATGGCAGGCTGGAGCTTTAAATGTAGATGACTGTGCCATGACAGACGAGCATAATCATTCAAACATACCAGAGTATATTCCTTATGTTTACTTATCTGCTGTATTGCAGGCAGGGTCATGTGAATGACAAGGTGCCAGTGGAAGTGCTGATTGAGAAATATTTGCGGATGGACCAGCGCAGGCTTCTGATCCCCATAGCAACCAGTGGAAATGTTGTTTTCCCTAAAAAGCGGAGGTGAATGACTGATTTCACAGAGACATCTTGTGTATTTTCTTCTCTCTGGTGTTACCTCCTAGGCTGATTTATCATTCACTTGTCCTGCCTTTGGTTTTGGTAAGTGATGGTTAGAAATATAAAGTTTTCTGTAAATGTGTAAATATAATAAGTTTATGTAAGCCTGAGGTTCTGTATGTCTGTAAAGATTTTCTTCTCTCTTATTATCTACTTCAGTGCAGAGTTAAGCATGTGAATATCTCGGTTGTGCAAACTTTGGCTTTTTGAAATCTGTGCTCTGCTTTTAACAGTCCAGATAACAAAAGAACAAGCATGTATGAACTTTCTGGTCTTATTTTTGTTAAACTTCTAATTTGTCATTATGACGCCTACGAAAGAGATGTGGATTTCTTCAATTAAAACATTGAAATAAAGCTCTCAGTTTCTTATTCTTGTCTTGATTGGCACCCACTGAAGAATTGGATAAAGAGGGGAACATTTTAAGATGACAAATAGCCCTCTGAAATCAGATTCTGAGAGTATGGACTAAATCCACCACAGTGACAACCTGACTATCCAAAAATCAGACACTTACTTCAACAGCACCCAGTAATCCATACTTTATAATGTTTATTTGCAAGTAAAATCTGGCCTGCTATACTGTGATGATGAAAGATATTTTATGAAATATCTTTAAGCCAAATATTTCAGCTTTAAAAAAATATATTTCTGGACCAAGATTTTTGAGGTAAGTTGGGTTGTTTTCACTGAAGTTTTTTTTTTTTTTTAACCATATCTCCCTTAGCCCTTTAACCAAATTGTGATAAGTGTTTATCACAGTCAGCAGAATGGGTACAAACAGATTAATACAATGAAATAAGCAACAGAGGTGTTTCTTTGTTAACATGGGTGGTTTAAGATGTACATAAAAGTTATCCAGGTGGGAGGATTAAACCAGAGATCAGTTTGATTAACTTTGAATGTGTCTTTTGAAGGGTTGACATGAATTTATTGGCACCAGACAGGAGCCGTTGGATGTATTCAGCAGTGTTAACAATAAACAAGTGAACTAAACTGAAAGTCGGGGCTTTGTCTGGTGATCTATTTCTACCCCAATAACAACAGACCTATCTTATCAGGATTGGTCCTTCATGGCACTTTTGAGCTATAATTTTCCTCCAAGACAGCGGGGGCGCTCTTTTCGACAGTGTCTATTCTGGCACCTCATCAGAGAGCTATCCTGCTAGCAAACAACAACAGAAGATCCCGGACTACAAGCGTTATAATTAAACCCAACGCGAAGGTAAGAACGTCGATATATAACATAAAAAGCGGTATTATAGAGTTGAAATGTCTTAAATAAAAAGATAAAGGGTGTTATATCTTATTTTTAGGGTGAGTTTATCGTAGATTTCTCCGACCTTTTTGTTTGGCTTAGGTTAGCCGCTACATTGATGGGACTGGCTAGTCCTAGTTAGCTCGCTGCTACCATCAGGCTCTGGATTATAGGTAGTTTACATCTTTCTTTTCACGGTGTAGCACCTTGTGAGTTCATTTCTTTCTCGTTGGGGGACACCAGACTTGACTAGGAGCGTCAGAGAAAGCCAATTAAAATCAAAATACAGTGTGCGATTATCTTTATTGTTGGCAGGTTTACTACCTGCTCCTGTCACCGCCTACATGAACTGCAAAGTCCGAGTTTCAGTTCCCAACATGAAATGCCACAAATAAAGAGATCTATAGTTAAAAATATGGTAGTCAGTGCATTAGTGGTAAATAAGTAGACGTCAGGAAAATATATTTCAGTCCTGGGCCTCTGCCATACTCTTTTAATAAGGGCTAAATAACGTGCTGAAGTGAATCATTTCATGTGTTAGTATGATCTCAGACAGCCTGTTGATCAGACTGATTCTTTCAAAATGTTCAAACACTCATATTTGATACACTGTCATTTCTAATTCATTGGGCTGAAGGGGATAGAACAGACAGTAAATTGTGATTTCCCTTAATACCAGTACACCAGTGAATTGAAGAGGCCAGTTTCAGTGAAACTAGACCAGTACCACAACATCACCAACTGAGAGGTTTCACTTCTCAATATGCAGACAGGTAGATAACAAAAGCTACCTATCATTAATGTTGCTAAGCTCCCCTTTACTGTGAAAGCGACTCCTGAGAGCACTATTTCAAATAAGTTACTACTATACACATAAGTCATTCACATTGCAATGATATCCAAATGACCCACCCCAGTCTTCCTATAATCACTTCTGTTTGTTAGTGGATATCTCATTGTGTTAGTAATTACGCTGAGAGAATCAAAAAGATAATCAAGATACAACAATACCTTTCAAGTTAAGGTAAAAACTCCACAGGTGTTTTGCTTCTTCCCTGAGCTGGCAATGAATTGATTACCGTCAAAAAACAGAATAAAATAAACAAAAGATGCACCTCTCACTAATAAATCAACTGCCCTGATCCAACACATTACCCAGCAGCACATCAGCTGCAGGCCTTTGAGCAAACAGTTTCAAACTGTGAAATAGAGACCCCTTCTGGAAAGCCACCATCTTTAATATACATGGGTGTAGCCTTTGAAATGAAGCTGTTTTGCTGTACTTGTGTCCTGTTTGCTACACAGTCTTATAATAATAGTAAAGGTGCTGCCACACTGGGATGTAAAAAGGTCTCAAATGTAGGCCTCTCCTTATGCCTTTCAAACACCAAGTGCACACATTTCACTTTAGCTGAGCTCACCTGAAGTGTGATGACTCACTGCAGTGGCACACTTTATTTTTTAAACCCTGCGAAAAGAAAGGAAATCAGAAAAAAAGATTGAATTCAGCGTTTCCTGTGATCAGGTTTTTGTGTCACAAAACTAAAACATAGCTGTTCATCGGCATATAATTTGCAAATATTCTGACATGTATTGTTTTATCACAATTTGAGCTTAGATTTTTCTTCCTCAAGCAGACAAACTATGAAAGGTGAAGGCCAAGTTGTCACAAGACTTCTAACTCACATGCTGTGGCTGTAATTGCATTAACAATATGATTAAGAAAACAGTGTTTGAGTTCTCTGCTGTAGGACTCCCTGGACTCCAATAACTATATTTTTATTGTCATTTTAATTTATGTTGAGCCTTAAATGTCGCCACCAAAGTAGGGACTTTTAATGTTAAATTGTTTTGTGATTTTTTCAAAAAAAGATGGCAAAACAGGTTGTTTTGAAAACCACTGACAGTAGACTTGTTAGGTGAAATAATAAAAATATATTCATGTATCAAATTAAAAGACAGCTGTAGTACATTTCCTCCGGTCCTCAGACACTTCTAAAAGCTCATTTTTAACCTTTAACCTTCTTGCTGTGCTTTGCACCCTGCAGAAACATCTGCCCTCAGAGGTCAACATGTCAAACATAACTGTTGGCAAAGGTGTGCCTTGGGTGACTGAAGATATTAGATATGCATTGAGCTTCCTCCTCCCTTCAACCCCTCGTGTTTGGAACTGTAAGGAAGGTTTTTGGTGTGTAAGTGCAGAGTGGAGGTGAAGCTTAGGTGCTAATGCTCTTTTTGCCCTGTCAAATCCCCCTCAATGTAATAGGGGGTCTGCACAAAGTCAGGGATGAGAGAGAGGTGAGCCAATTGCTGGAGCAAAATCAATAGTTCATACCTCTGTGAGATTGAGTTTTTAGGAAAGGAGGAGCCCCGTGACCGAGGGCAGAATATGAAATAGCTACCACAGAGGCCCTACACGCACTGTGCAATTGATTCTGGGTCCCTGTACCAATTATACTTTAAAGGTTTGTCTGCAGTCCTCAAAGACTGCAGCTTTGGAAATAGACACTGTGTTCACTGACACTTTGACAAGGGTTGCAATTTTTTTTTTATCCCCTTTGGATATGAGTGCATGAAATCCCTCCATTTCTTCAGTCTTTAATTTAGCAAAGAGATCGATTTCTTTTTTTCCTTGCTGTAGGAGAGTAAAGTGTCAAGGAAACATCTTTGTGGGCATAAACTCACTTTTGGATTATGTTCCAACGCATACACTTTGATGTTGTTTTGTGTAGTTTATTTTTTATTTTCTCTAGTCACTATACATTTTGTCTAAAATCAGTGTATAAAAAATTCTGTGATTTTCAGTATCCATGGGATAAATGCTGAAGACTCGCAAGCCAGCCGTATTTTTATTTATCTTATTCTCCTAGTTTTTTTTTAACATTTAACATTTATTTTAAATGTTAAATGCATCTGTCAAAGTACAAAACAAAGGTATCAGTTTTTGCTCAGATTATGATGATAGATAATCCAAACATTTTTCACTGATAAAAGTATAGATTTTTGGGGTTATTTTGGCTGACATCTCTGATGATATCACCTTCCTGATCTCTGCTCATGGCCATTTGTGTATTATTTCTTGGAAACTAGATCATTTTTGATGCAGGTTATTGCTACTGAGCAATTTATGGGATTACACTCCTTTTGACAGTTTATTATACAAACATTTGTTTTATGGAAGAAGCAAGTCAAAACTATAATGACTCTGACAGTGGTTTTCCACAAGAGGGCAGGATCTCCTGAAGTTTGTAGTCTCATCGGCAATTGCATGTACATCCTGTCAGCCTCCTCTCCTCTGAATCTAAATCTAATCTGCTGACAAGAAGGTGCAGAAAGCTACAGCAGTTTTTACCCATTTTAAACCTGGGATCTCCCTTAATTGAGTGACTATTCGTTCATTCCTCACTATTCTATCATTCCTGTAGCTGTTTTACCAAGAAGCCTTTACAAGTTTTGTTACACAGCTCTGCCTCAGTGCCAGAGGCAACACAGAGACTGTTACCAGTGCAATTTGTCAATAAGGTTCATTCATCTGTTATCACCTCTAGGCACGTCTATGCATTAACAGAGAATGTAATTCCTGTACTGAAAGGGCAGAGTCTGCCAAGTCTAAAAGAAACCCGACAGCATCAGGTCATAAATTTGAAATGGTTTGAATAACAAAAAACTAAACAAACAACAACAACAACAACAAAAATAAACACAACAAAACAAAAGTTATTACAAAAACTTAGTTTCTTGTAGAGGAAGAAACCGTCTTGGCTCTTTTTAAACTGTCTTGGTGTTGCAATTTCAGTTCAGTCTGACTTTGTCTTTGTCCACCTGTCTAAGAGAAGCTGTACCAGATGTTTTTTTCTCATACCTCTGTTTGATTCTATCTTGTCTCCATCTAACCACTTTGTTGTGGAGATTTATCTCTCTGACTGCTCCTACAGACAGCCACCTATCTTTCATTTGCCACCTGTTTTTTCATTTGGCTGCTCTATCACTTTACCTTTTATTTTCTCTTCCTGTTCCCCCACTATTTTATCCTGGTCTCACTCTGTGTCTCTAGTTAATGCTGTGTGGTTGGTGAGGTCTTGATACATTGTTTCTGTAACTGTGATAAAGAAAGCATTGTTTTGTATAAGTTTAGCTAATGTAATCGTAGGCCTGGCTAACTTTTGTGATATAGCTAATGCAACTCTGATTGTGATCACTTATGAAAGATAAAATATTTGGGCTTAAATTGAGACAGATACCAAAGGACAAAGGCGTCCTCTAGTACACACTTTGAGTAACACTCAAAATGTTCTCATTAAGGATTTCTCTTGCTGTAAGAAAAGGCTTGTCTTTGCTGCCTGCTTTGTTGTCCACTTCTAATGTGTCTTAGCAGTATCACCCAGTTCCTGCAGAGTGTAAAGGGGTATTATTCATGTTTGAACATCATGTCCACTCCAGGAAGGTGTTGCATTGAGTAGAGATAAGCATCTCTCTCTGTACAATACATAGATGTTCATGAAAGTATTACATATGATGTTACATGAGAGTTGTTTTGTACCAGATTTAAACTGAAACTACTCTTTAAGGCCAGGGGATTTATCTAAATCTGCTACACTCACAATCCTAGTCTCCTACACCTGTGGGAGGTGGACAATCAGGGCAAAATGACTGTCACTCTTTCTGTGTTGTAATGATGCTTTCAGCTTTGCTAAACAGAGCAGTCTTTACCCTTTATAGTGCTGAACTTTCATCCCTCCCTTAAAGCCTAACTGCTGTTCTTACATGGCTTATATGCACTTAACTGAAAACAGACAGCATCCTTTAGACTGCTCAGGAGGTACACAGTTTGAAGGAGTGAAAATCGGGGTGCTTTTAATGTCAAAATCACCTGTGGTTATTCCTTTGCAATTCTGCAACAGCACCTGATATTCTGCCATTTATAGGGGTAGGAAATACGGCAAAAATACCATATCATGTAACATCATTTGTTACTTTTGTTTTTTCTAGCTGTCACATTCTAGATTTTATGAAACCATACCGTTATACAAATTACAGACCAGTACAAGCAAACTGTTTTCTCAACTTTCAGAAGACCCAGCCCTAGGAGTTACAGAGAGTACTTTTCTCAACAGATTTATTCTGTGTGTGCAATTTAGCCGGCTTGTGCCAAGTATAACCGACAACCACAGACTGTATTTACTATGGACAACTTTGTTCCATCTTCCTCAAGTATACGGATTTGAAGTCGAGAAGCTCTCAGTAATCCCAAGTTTTTTCTCCATTTCCTGGAACCAACATCGCGCAGTAGCGTTGTATGCACTCCTCCACTTGTGGAGTAGCATTGTACGCATTTGGCGGGAGAGTCGCCGGGAATTGCTGTGATGATGCTCGGCTCAGACAGCGTATCCCCTGGGTGAGCTCTGCAATCTTCGTACGCTCATGGGCTGTATCAAGTGTCAATCATAGAAAACACGAACCTCCTAATAAATTTAAAAAATGGAGCTATACAGGAAAAAAGAGGACTTGAGCACAAACCAGTCTTACAGTAACTGTAAGACATGTCCATGTAGATTCTCATTCATCCAGGCCATGGTTATCTTAAAGACTCACAAACAGGCAACTGGACTGTGTAGAGTTGAGAAGACGTTTCGCCTCTTATCTGAGAAGCTTCTTCAGTTCTAAAAATTGCTAGTGAGAGGAGCAGATATTTATCTTACTGAAGAAGGGGACAGACAACGACTGGGAGGAGTTGGAAAGAATGGGTCGTAGAAACCCATCTCTGGGTGTGTGTCCCCCCCGAGGCTCGTTAACCTGAATTCGTTAACAAACTTTCATTTACCCTGTCAGCTCAGTCTTTACACACCACCATCCTCTACCTCCATCTCATCTCTGTTGCCTCCTCAGATTAGCCCAGATTAGTGATCACTGGAAGTTAGACACACTTTTTGCCATCAGAATTAGGGCTGAGACGATATGCTTTTCTCCCGATTCGATTCTTCTATGATTTTTTGGATGCCGATTCGATTTAAACTGTGATTCTCTGATATTGTTGATTTTCTTGATCTTTAGTTTGCATATTTAACACCAGTGAAACAGTTGAATGATTATGATTGTCTGCTGACTATTCCTGGAACCATATTTTCCCCAAATAATACACATCACATGTAAGTCAGTTTTTAAGATTTATTCTCATATTTGAAAAAAAAAAAAAAATTATTTAACAAAAAAAAATCGATTTAAAAATTGTAAATTTAAAAAATTGCAATACTTATGTGAATAGATTTTTTTCTCCCACTCCTTATTAGGGTACATTTATATATGTGTAAATGCTGTGTTACTGATAAGAGATAATTAAAATCTCGCTTCAGTTACAGAAAAGTTGCGAATCAAGAAGCTATGAAGAACTTGTGCCTATTTTTTGTTGTTGTTTTCTAAAGCCCTGTCATTCCTTCCACTGCAAAGAAATTAGCAGCTGTTGTTTGTTTGCTTCTAACTCTTAGACTACCCTCAGCAGTGTCACAGTCAGTGTGATCAACAGGAACAGAAACGCTCAGCCGTCACTGTTTGTCACACCACATTTTGACCTATAGATGAAGACGTGGAAGGCTCCGGGTGTGAGAGAACAGGGAGATGGATGACACGTAGGAGGAGAAGTGAAATGGGAATAACAGGTTTCAAACAGTGGGGTCAGAGTGGTCACAGATTAACGGTTGAAGGGTCTGGGTCAGAAAGCTGAGTAGCATTATAGAGTAGTGAAAAACAGTGTGAAAATAGTGCAGTGTGGAAGCGCTGACCTTGCAGAAGGATGAAAAAAAAAAAGCTAACGTTTCTGGCTTGGAGTCAAGATTGGGTCCAGTGCTGGTCCAGTAATTTGTCCTTATCTTCTTCATTATGTGTAGAAATGAGGGCAGTACAATAGCTGCACACTTTTATCACGTAATTAAGCTCACACCCTGACCTGTGTATCTTCTTGCCTCTTCCCGGGCTGAGAAGGACGGTTACTTTTTGTCCTTCTTGTCCCCAGCACCACTAAGCCTTGTCTCATGTGATGGATATTAAGCAGGGATATGCTATTTTTTAGGTATTTTCTTGTCATTTACTGGGTGGGAATTTTAGTACATTTTTGTACTATTTAGGCCCCTATTTAGAACACATAGGACACTGAACAGAGCAGGAAAGCAGGAGATAGCGTGGGGAATGGTATGGCAGTTTCAGCCATTTCAAAGTAGGGCTGGGCGATAAGCCGAAAATTTACTGTTACTGAAATTTATGACAATAGCTGACGTCATTTTGCTCATGTCCATATATTTTCAGTGTCAAAAAAATAAATAAAAGTTGGTTTTGGGTGTGTGTGGGTAGGCTACGGTTTCATGTACCTTTTAAGACGCTGTCCTACGTCAGAGATGTGACTCCACCCCATCCAGTCTGTAACAAAGAGAGAAAGACAGGTGAGGAGATAGAGGACAGTTCAAAAGTTTTGGCGGCGGCTGAAGTAGACGAAGTTAATGTGGGAGGGGATGAGCAGTTATCGTTATTGAGGTGAACTGCTCAATACATTGTGATATTGATTTGAGGCCATATCACCCAGCCCTTTAATAACATTTTCATGTCTGTTTTTAATCTGCTAAAACTGATTAGCTTAAAATGTATTCTGAAAGCTCTTTACAGTGACTGTTCACTCTATCATTCTATCAAAATTTTTATCCACAGGAGATCAGTGTCAGGAGAAGAATGGCAAAATCTGAGTTTTATTGATTGGGGAACTCATTAGTAGCATTTAGAAAACCAGTTCATGATCTCATAGAGGGCCATGGATCAGAGTTGAAGCTCATAAGAACAGTTTGTGATCATGCTGAGAAAGTTTGTCTAGAGTTTGTGTATTTGGTGGAGGGAAGTGTTCACACAAATCTGCTCCGACTGCTTGTGTGACTTGAAGCTAATTGTGTAAAGTTTGATTCTCTCAGGAGGTCCGACCCCCACCACAGTCCTGCGAGGCAGCTTGTTTATTTACAGTTCATTTTTGAGACTTAATTGCGATTGCGGTGGGTATTGATCTCAGAACAGGCTTGGGCCATTGATCTCCTGCTGTCCCCTGACGGGTCAGGGACAATTCATCCAGCTCCAACAACACCACAGACCTGAATGCAGGCAGGGTGGCCACATGAACACAATGATATTCAATCTTAAATGGATCAGTGAAAGATTCAGTGTGTGTTGCATCCTAATGAGCTGAGCTCTGTGTTAAAAAAAAAATGGAATCTGATGTAGAGGATTGTCTGCCTCTCGCTGTTTGGAGTTCAAGATGGGATTTAATTTCCAGACTGATCAATTATCACTCTCACATTGTCTGCTTCTAGGGGGCAAACTGCTTCCATCTGGTGTGCACTGATGCAGATGGACGTCAGGACTAAGCATTGACGAGTGGAAGCGACAGATTCGTCCTGTTCCTCACCCTCTTGCCCCCGACACCTTCTGTCACGCTGGCAATGTCAAGAGTCCCGAGTCCCCCTCCCCCTGCGGAAATGTCCAGCGGGCCTGTGGCCGAGAGCTGGTGTTACACTCAGGTAAAATGACCACAACAGACTCACTAACACTGTTCTCTGTGATCCCAAATAAACAGGGTATTTCACTGAGTGTCTTTCTCGTCTTCAGATCAAAGTGGTGAAGTTCTCTTACATGTGGACCATCAACAACTTCAGCTTCTGTCGTGAGGAGATGGGAGAGGTCATCAAGAGCTCCACCTTCTCCTCTGGGGCCAATGACAAGCTGAAATGGTGCGTGTCAGCACTATTATCTCAGTTTCTCCTTTTATCAAGCAAAAACTGAGAAATAAGTCCCAAAACAGGAGAATTGTCAGTTATTTCTGAACATCTTTATACTAAAACCAAAACTTTACTCAGTTTGTCCTCTAAGAGAAAACTTTGTTGAGTTTTACCCAGAATTAAAACAGAAAGAAAATTCAGACTGAACACCAGTTATGACTGATGCTTATTATAAATGAACATAATAAAGTAAGAATCTCTGCCATGTTGATTTCTCAGCTATCGAAGACACAAGATTTGTACCAAATCAAACCCAATGTTTTTTTTTGCTGGAGAGACTAAATGTTTCCCCCCTCCAGGTGTTTGCGGGTGAATCCTAAAGGCCTGGATGAAGAGAGCAAAGATTACCTGTCTCTCTACCTGCTGCTGGTCAGCTGTCCGAAGGCTGAGGTTCGTGCTAAGTTCAAGTTCTCCATCCTCAATGCCAAGGGAGAGGAGACCAAAGCCATGGGTAAGTTTGCCGGATTAAACAAATTTATTCTGCATGTTGAGTTTTAAAGTCTGGAGTTTTTTAATGTTTCAAATGACTTTGTTTGTCCTGCAGAGAGCCAGAGGGCATACCGCTTTGTTCAGGGGAAAGACTGGGGTTTTAAAAAGTTCATCAGGAGAGACTTCCTCCTTGATGAAGCCAACGGTCTTCTACCTGACGACAAGCTCACGCTTTTCTGTGAGGTAAGCATTTGAGTCCTCCTAGTTTAATACTCTGATGATGTTATGCGTGTAAAGCACCTTGGAGTTTAGGATTACATCAGTAATGTCTCTCTTCCTCTGCTCAGGTGAGTGTGGTGCAGGACTCGGTCAACATTTCTGGTCAGAATACCATGAACATGGTGAAGGTCCCTGACTGCCGGCTAGCAGACGAGCTGGGTGGCCTGTGGGAGAACTCGCGCTTCACAGACTGCTCCCTGTGTGTGGCCGGTCAGGAGTTTCAGGCCCACAAAGCCATCCTGGCAGGTATAAATTTTAATTGTTTTGAGTTGAATATAGGGCTGGGCGATAAAAAAAGGTAACGATATATATCGAAAATTAATTTCCCTGATTATCAATATGAACCATGGTAAATATGCTTTTTAATAGTCAGCATTCTGCCATGTTTTGGTAGACTATATGAATAGCCAATGGAAAGGGGAGTTTCTCCGGGTCCACTTCACACTGAACCAATCATGTGCTGAATAAGAACCAATTAGCAAACAACTGCATAGTAGCAGTCTGCAGCTACATGCAACCAGGTGAAGCCGACAGCACTATCGGTGAGAAGAAAAGAAAATGAGAGCTACCCCCCGGGCAGAAATGCAGATGAAGGCCCAACAGATGATGACATCATTGACAACACTGGCACGAAAACGTTGGTGGTGTGGAGGTATTGAAGCAGAGTCGGACATGAAGCAGAGTAGTGTGCACTGCAAATTATGTTGAGTACATGTTAAATTCCATTTAAGAGTAACAGGGAACATTAAAGGTTGACAAGTGATTTTTTTATAATGTGATACACATCGATATCGACTGATATGAAAAAAAATAAATTGTGATCAACTTTTTCCCATATTGCCCAGCCCTAGTTTAATTGTTTCCTTCATTTGTCCTCCTGATATCACAGTTACCCACATATTAACATTTCTCCTGTGCTGTTTGTCTCTGTGTTCCTCTGCTTCCAGCACGTTCCCCTGTATTCAGCGCCATGTTTGAGCACGAAATGGAGGAGAGCAAAAAGGTGAGCCCAAGCTCCCAAAGCTTTTTTTATTCTCAGAAATAAATTCATTCTGTTCCTCGGTGGTTTACCCCGCTGTGCCGAGGGTTTAAAGTGAGTGAAGGATTGTGTGCTGTCAGACGGCTGTTTGGTGAAACTGAATGATAGCGCACCTGAAATGAAATTGTCCTGCCGTACTTGAGGGTCAGGATTCATCCTTCACTGACAAAGCCGCAGAACCAGAGAATTGCTTTTTCTCATCTGTGCACATGTGACTGTAAGAAATGAAATTGCAGGAGAAGCTGCCCAGATGTTTTCTATTTTTCAAAACCAAGGCCGTTTTAGACTTCATGTTGAAACTTAACGTGAGAAAAAAGCGTTTTACACATTCATCAAGATTTAAATTTGAGACGGTGGAGCATTTCGTTAAGTGACAAGAACAATTCAGGCTAAGGTGACAGGAAAGGGATGCAAATTTGAGTTGATTGTGTGGAAAATATGAATGAGGTTTTTTATTTTTTTTATTTTTTTGAATTATCTGTTTATTGGCGTTTTCAGTTTGAACATAAACAAATTACATGTTGAGTAATTGTACATAATAAATCCCCCAGTCTCTCCCTCACCACCCCATGTTCCCAGATCCTCTAAAAGGAATATAAAGTGAGAAAGATAATAAATAATAATAATAAGGATAATAATTTAGATAAATTACACTATAAGTTATCTTGAACATACAATGTACAGAGAGAGTATTGCAAAAAAAAAACAGGGTTCAGAAAGAGAAATACAAATTAAATTGAAATAAAGGGGAAGAAAAAAATAAATAAAACGCAATGTTCAAGATCAACACTGTTCACCAAATGTGCAGAGTTAAGTACACGTAGATATAAGTACACTCATCCTATGGTAAATGCAGCTAGGGCTGTAGCCAAGTTGGGTCAGGAAGAATCCAAGTTTGTGATGGTAGTGAGGTTGTCAAAGTAAGTCTGAAAAGGCATCAGGACCTGATTAAATTTCTCCCTACTACCTCTCAAACTAAACCTAATCCTCTCCAGTTTAAGATGAAACATAACATCCCTGATCCATCTGACATGGGATGGAGGTTTAGAACTGTTCCAGATCAGCAGTATCTGGAATGAGTTTTAATATAAAGCTGAAAAAAAAAATTATGTGTCTTATGGACTCAACGCAATAAAAGATTCGGATGAATCCTAGCTGATTTCTCAAAAAGTCATTTTCAACTAGATTTCTTCCTTCATTTACAAAAGCTCGACTTACATTTTTCCCAAAGACTGTCGTCACACATATATTTGTTTTTGAAGTCTGATTCATTTAAAACTTCAACTTTCAATCTCATCACTTTGCACAACATTAAAGTCCTATCTGGCTGCATCTACTGCCTGCTTCAGTCAAAGAAGATAAGCTTTATTATACTTTTAACAGTGAATACAACAAATCCAGTTTTTCATTACAGGAAACCTTACTTCCACATAAAAGGAAAAGGTTGTACCTACTGTTTTGTTTAAAAATTTAAGCAAAATGTTTCTTAAATTTAGTAATTGCATTGTCCAGTATTTTCAGCCATATTGATCCACTTGCACATTTTTGTCCCTTGTCTGTTTCCGTCAGAACCGTGTGGAAATCAATGATGTGGAGCCAGAGGTTTTCAAAGAGATGATGTGCTTCATCTACACAGACAAGGCCCCCAACCTGGACAAGATGGCCGATGACCTGCTGGCAGCTGCAGACAAGGTGAAAAATTTTATCTATATTGAATTATTTATACTCTGTCATGTTGTTATTCTGTGGTCAGTATTTGAGGTTTGACACCTTAATTGTTAGAATAACTCAAACCCTGATGTCATATCCTGTGTGTTAGTACGCTCTGGAGAGACTGAAGGTGATGTGCGAGGACGCGCTGTGCACCAGTCTGTCTGTGGAGAACGCCGCTGAGATCCTGATCCTGGCGGACTTGCACAGTGCCGACCAGCTCAAAACACAGGCGGTCGACTTCATCAACTAGTGAGTTCACACACAGTGAGGGAAAAAAAAACTCCTCATCACTTCTAATGAGGTCTCTGACACCTTTTACGGACTCACACATCCTCCAAACTCCACAGAACGTTTTGTCGCTGTTGTGGTGTCTCTGTGTTACTTTACGGCGCTTTGTGATGGCAGCAGGGCTCGATCTCACCCCCTCGCTGCTTCTCTTTGTGTGAGAGTTAATGATTTAGTTTCCTGCGTCCTTTCATGGAGTAGACCGCTAATACACATCCGAGCTTTCAGATGGATCAGGACAACCTGACTCGTCACTACGTGTGCTGTCACCTACCCTTCACAGGGATAACCGTGTGATATTAACTCTGAGCGGCTGTTTACCTTCATGTTCAGCTCGCATAGTTTTCCCCTGCTCTTTAATACCTCATCATGTTTTTCTTGTAAACCGAAATATTTAGTCCATTAGTCAATTCTAGTTTTTCACAGGTTCATGTTTTCAATTTTTGCAGATGCCCCTATTTGCTAGTCAAAGAAAAAGAAAAAAATGAATAAAGAGAAGCTATAGAGGTATATTTTTTGCTCCTAGTTCTATTTTCATGGTTAAAAATATCAAAAGATACTGTACGGCACCTTTAGGACCAACAGTAGTTTACAAAGTGTTCAGACATGAAAACAAAGTTTTATTCAAGAGCAAAGAAAGAACCTGGACACGAAAGTCAGAAAACAGAATAAAGTGATGGAAGAACTGGATAATGAAATACTCAACCAACAAAAAACGAACATAAGATTGGGGCACAAAGTACCGCTCATGTACACGGCTGGTCATTTTTACAGCTTCAATTTAGCATCACTATCCATGGTGGGTTACCTAGACAACCTATTTATACTACACAGTCTATCCCTTTAATTCCAGCTAGTTTTCTCTAATCTAAAGTGTATATTCTTTGTCCCTTCAGTCACGCTGCAGAGGTGATGGAGACAGCAGGCTGGAAATCAATGGTGGCATCTCATCCTCACCTGGTGGCTGAAGCTTACCGCTCACTGGCTTCAGCCCAGTGCCCTTTCCTCGGACCCCCACGCAAGCGCCTCAAACAGTCCTAACAGCCTCACGCTGGGGCGTCTTCACCTCTTGATACACACAACACATGCAAACACACAAAAACACACAGATACCCCCATCAGACACACAGGGACAACCTTTCCCCTTGCTGTTACCTACCACACTACCTAGCCTCCCCCGAGTCTCCCCCTTCTGCCCCATCCAAACCTGTTGTATTGGTCTTTTCTGAAGACGGAGGTAAGAAGGAGGAGGAAGAGGAACAGGAGGACATGGAAATAGAAGAGAGAGGGGGCAGGTGGGCTTGTGAAGTGGATGTATGTCGTTTACAAAAAAAAAAAACAACCCTCCCCTCCTCTCCTCGGCTCTGGCTTATTGAGGTCTGACATTGTGCTCTTTCCCGCGTGTGAAGTCAAATCCTTCAACATCCTTCGAGTTCCTTCTTTGGAATCGGTTTGGGAGGAAGAACTGGACACCACAACCTAATAAGAGCCAACCGTCTACAAATAGGGAGGTTTAAAGGACAAGCGCAGGTAAATTTCAGTCTTTAACTGGCTATTTTATCAGAAGGCTTTGATTTGGAGCAGTCAGAGGCCCTCAAATGATGGACTCATGGGACTACAAAAGGAGCAGAAGTGGGCCTGTTAATGACAAACTAGAAGCCCCCTCAGAAAGACAACCAAGGGCTAGTTTTAAAAAAAAAGCAGAAATGGGACAAAATCATCAAAATAAATCTCCCAAAGAAAGTTGGGAAACATTGCACTAGAGCCACAGGTAAACCCTTGTCAACCCGTACCAGCAGGAAAGTAGAAATACTGTAGGCAAGCACACATGGACTTAAGACCTAGCTGGACCACCAAGAACAAGTACCCTTTAACAAGATTGATCTGAACGCATCAAAAAACGACATCTGCTTCCTCATTTCTGCTTCATCTGCATCCGTTTACGTTTTTTCAAACCCAAGGAGGGGAAACCAGTGTAGAGAGGATACAGAAAATTGCAACGCACAACCGGATGTCATTCTTGGGGAAATAGTATTTTGTCCGAGGATCTGTCTCAGCAGCCCCTTGAGAGCAAATAAAATCCAAGGCGTAGATAGACGAACCAACCCAGAGACGACAAACGAGGGAAACAAAAGAGTCAAGATAACATTAGAGTTCAATCAGGCATGTTAGTTTTCTTTTATGACTGACTTCTTATTTGTTTGTTCTTTTCCTCAGAAGTGTCATTTCTATTTTTTTCATAGGAATTTGTACAGACACAAGTGTTTTTGAAGCTGTGTAAGTAAACAGAAGCATTTTCAACCGTGATATTGAAAAAAAAAGTGGACAGATGTTTTCTTTGCAGGCATGAGGACTGAGGGGAAATGAAATTGAAATGAACACGTTTTAATGTTCAGAATCGAGCGAATGTGAATACAGTGTACACAGAGGCTAACCACATGACAAACATTTGAAGTTATCATTTTAAACCTGGTGGAAAATGGTGATCGATTGAAGGAACCATTGTTGTTTCTTTCCTGTAGATATTGCTGGTTATGAGAAGTGACACTTAGTTGTTGCCATTTTTTGTTCCCAAAAGAATAAACCACAACTATTTTGTATTGAATGCAATGCAAAGTTTGTCTGAGTATTTTATTTTAAGCTTTTATTTAAAAAAAAAAAAGGAAAAGACTGTTTCAAGCCATTTAAAGTTTTACAAACATATTTAATGACCTGTTAGCTATTTTCAGAGAGCAACTCATGTTAGCGAAGGTTAAATGCTGTTGTCCAAGCCAGATGGAGAAATTTTAAAATCTAGAAAATACTCGAATAGAAAAATGGGTTTCCAGTTTGCTTCATACTGAGATGGTAAGAATATGTGATGAAGAAGCAAGTAAGACATGTCTGTATTGATAGAAATAGAGGATTGGAGGAGGATACATTAGCCACTTAAGTCAAAAATAGTGCTTTAATCCAACACCATAAAATCATTGAGGATCTTTGAGCACAGATAACGTGGGGTTACAGTGTAACCCTGGTTCTCTGAGAATAGAGAATATCTCTCCACTACATATATTCTATATGTAGTGGAGAGATATTCTCATACGATAGAGAACAGCTGTTAAGCTTTTCAATTTGTTGATCTAACACTTGTCCTAAAAACTACAAATAACCTTTAGCCTTTTAAAGTTGAAGGATGCTGTCCAGTAGACTTTTTATTTTTAAGTTTTATAATTAAACTATTTAATCCACTAACACTCTAAAGTCACAACCCTTACATCAGTCAGTCACAGCATATATTCAGTAAGTTTACAGCAAGAGAGATGCTGCACCAAAATGTACACTTGATGGTATCTGGTACAGTAAAGTGTCTGACCTTTTATAAAATATGGTGTCTGAGGAAATCCTGAATTAATCCCTTTAAAACTACAGTAGTCCTTTCAAATGGAAACATCTCAACATTGTTGTCTGGCTTGAACTCAGGTTAGCCCTTTGGCGGATAAGCCTCAGAACTCTGGTAGTTGTAGTCCGGACAGACTTTTTGAACCAGTCTGTAGTCTGTGCTGTAGAAAGACACATAAATACAGATGACCTGAAAGGGTTTAGAGCACATCCAGGTGACATGGCTCTGCATCTGCTCCTGAGCGCAGGTTTTGGACGGGTCGTAGTTGCACAGCATTACCTTTTTGTTGCGCTCAGTTTTTTCGTAGTCCACCCTGCAGTTAAAGGTCTTTGAATCTTTTGGGTTGACCACACTTTGGCGCTCCAGATCAAACTCCAGCTCCTTCATCGGCGGGACGAGACTGACAGACACATTTCCGACACCTGTTGAGTTGTGACGGAAGTAGACTCCCAGAGAACCGTTCCTATGATCCACGATCTTCCCCATAATCAGGAAGTTGAGTTTAACAGTTTTGATGTTTGAGTAAAAGTCCCCCCAGCTGAACGTCCTGGAGAATTTAGACAGTCCATGGACTTTCATGATGGGGTGGTGCTTTGTCTTCAAGGGTCGGCCAAAGAATGATGGGGAGTTACCTCCAAGCATTCCCAGAAGTCTCTGTTTTTGAGGAGGCATTACAGGGAGTTTGGAGTTCTGACTTAAACTCCTCGTTTGAGGTGCCCAGGTTTTTTGCAAAAAAGAAAGTTCATCATTGTTGGGTTGAGGTGAAACTCTCCTGCTGAATGTAGAATTGGCATGATGCTCACCAAGAGCGAACTGGAAAGAAATTGACAAGAAGTTGGGCATTGAGTACAACCTAAAGCAGATTATTTGAATGAAAATACCTAAAAGCTTTTATTTTTGTCAACTTGTCAAATGCACTTCAAGCTCTACCCTGTAAGAATTTCCTCCATACAACAAACATACTGTCAGTAGATTAGACGACAAAAAGTCAGAATTTTTTCAAAAGCCAAAATGCACTTAAGACAACAACAGTAGAAAACAAGCCCAGTAATTCAGCAGGATTAAAGTATTTCTTACATGATTTCAAAAGTCAGAAATCCTCAGCAGACAACAGTCATAAGTTCTTCAAACACACTGTTTTTGCAGTGACATGCATTTACATACTTTGTATTCAGTGCCTCTAGTTTTATCAAACTCACCAAACAAAATGCTGCGTTCAGGAGTATCAGAATAACGCTCTGTCTGGCAAATACCCCCATGGTGCAGAAATCTCGTCTGAGGGGTCCATCCACCTTCACTTCCTGAAGTTCATTGTGTCTGAGTGAATTTGGGGATGTCTTTGCTGAGCAGCACCGTCCACATTCAGGGGAAACCTTCTGCAGCGTCCTCTCACGGCACACTCACTGCAAGGTTTTCTCAGACCTCCAGATTTTTTAACAGTTGAGCTGCGCCTGCCCTCTCTCTCTTCCTCTGTCTTACCCCCTCTCTTTCACACCCGCCCACCAATTTAATTAAGCGCATCCGCTGAGGGGATTCAAAGTGGGCCCGCCACAACACTGCATCTCCTGACTCTTCTACCTCAACTGAAAAACATATTACAAAATTCTCTGGGATACAATATAATTTGACACCCTCATTAATAAGAATATACTGTAATTGTGGTTCTGGGAAGGCAGACTGGTCCAATACAATGCGATACTGACATCTTGTGGTTAAACAACAAAATGTGACTGGTAAGCATACAGTTTTTTCAACTGTGTTTTCAACTGTTAGATTTGAGCGAATTTTTTATTGGCTGTGTAAATAAATAAATTCAAATCAACAAAATTATCTTAGGATCAATATTAGGTGTTAGCTTGTTAGTATATTTAGTTGGTTACAGTATAATAAATAGGATAATATCTGTATCTTCTCAGTATCTCCCAATAGATCCATTTTCTAAAGGACAGTTTGTAAGATACCATCTTATTTTTACGCTGATATCTGATATCAGCTTACTTATGGCCAGTGTCAATACTGCAAATGGGAGAGTAGATTGGCGCGCATATAATGTAGATATATATTGCTGATATACAGTATATTGCAGTTAATTGTCTTTTATTTTGTTTTTTATTTTTTTGCATCTGACTAAATATAAGAAAAATGTTCTCCCGAAGTTCATCCTCAAGTCTTTACATGCTGTTGATTTCTGGAACATATCTCTGCTTTTGCCTGATATCAAGCTCATGTTATACTTCTAATCACTTTGTCGATCAAAGTCCTTGTGCATTACTAGCAAAAAGAGATGATAAAATGTAACAGTACAATGCCAAATTCTTCTGAACAATCTACATTTTCCCGTCATTTCTTGTGCCAGGCTGAGCAAAAGGCAACACTGGAAAAACATTTCATCAGATTTTTTCTTCATTATGAGCCTGTGACCCAGAAAAGTAACAGATATGCTCAACCAGATTTGTGGATTGGCAAGTGGAACAGGACTGTAGGACCCCTGAGATTTGTTCACTGCAATTTAATTGCATGGGTTATCCTCGGAGATGATGATGATGAGGCAACTTATCGATTTCATGTAGAAATCATGAGCCTCTGTAGAAAAAAACTGAGATCTAGATTGAAAGCTACCATCTAACGCATGCTGAATTGACTTTTTTTGGTTGGTCTTGAAGCTTCACATTGAGCAATACTGCTATGATGGCCATACTCACTTGTACCAGGGTGCTTGGGCCTGGAAGATATGCCTTGTTGTATTATACACTCTGGAAGAAGTCAAAAGATGTTGACTGTGATCACAAGTACCAAAGAAATTCTAACAGAAGGTTTCTCAGCTGTTTTTTTTTATTGTATTAGATGTCCTTAATAACATACTAAAAGTTAACCAAAGTTTGACCGCTAGAAAGGTCATTTTCACGATGGCGTCCATGATGGGTAGGAAGCCTGGGGAGACACCTCAGGCGAATAGGGTAAACATTTTAAGTAACAGATATCACCATGAAACTTCCCAAGTTTATAACTTTCATTAGACAATTTTTTTTTTGTATTAAAAGTTTTGTCAAATGTTTTGTTGGAATATGTAAATGAGGCAGTGTCTAATTAAATATGCACTAATTTGCATACATTTCCAGAACCAAAAAACTGAACAATGGATAAAGCCCCTTTCAAAATTCTTGTTTTATTTTGTTGACATACTAGCAGTGGTGTGCACCGGTAGACACTAGGTGGTGCTAAAGCACCTGCCCTTTGCCCTTCGGAACAAGCAAGTGCCCTTTTGAAAGTTGTTTTTTTATTTTTTCTCTCTGTGGCCTATGCTGACATGATCATCTACAAGTGCTCGTCGATTAAAAGCATGTCATAATAATTCCCCAATCAATACTCCCTCAGCATTTTCCTGTTTATAATGCTTCACTGTAAAAAGAAGCACAGCATAGAGGAAATATTCAAATCTTCAGAAAAACATGAAGTCCTTAAAGTTGGAGTTTAGCTATGTGCTGGAGTGTCCAGGTTGCTCTGCAGTCCTCTAAATACTTAGCAGTGTGATTTTTGTGCCAGTTGCACCACCAGTTTTAGTTCTGGATCTTGACAAGTCTTCATCGGTGACATGTCACATTTTTCTGAAGACTTTTCATGAATTAAGCTGAAGGTTAGCTATCACATATATTTTATTGTCCCATACAGTTTTATTTCAATAATGATATGCCAAATATTTGAGTGTAGGATTGTTGGTATGAAAATCTATTAATCTATTAACTGAATCTGTCCAATTAAACAATGATCAATGACAATGATCAACTTTGGGGGTTTTTTTAAACAGGGGGACAAAGCTTTACAGATGTAGTTACTGCTCTAAAATATTGATATGATAGGAGTATATAGAGACTATTTTTAGTAGCCTTCTAAAGAAAATCGACTGAATTTAATTGAAGTAAAGGCTTCAGTGGAATTAATAATGAAACACAAAGTTTCCAGTTTTTGTTGGGTTACCTATGAGACAAAGGCCTACTTAGCTATAGTTTTCAAAACGTTGTCGTTTTGTACCGAAATAAGGAAGGTTTTTAAATTAAAATGCTTTTAAACTCTTAAACTAGTTGACGAAAAATAACCTCCACTTTACTTCAAGAGATATTTATATTCTATTGAGCTTAAAGTAAATTAAAGATAATATTAAACTTTTAGATATAACCTACCAGTGTAAGGGTTTTTCTAAAGTAAACAGCATTTTAAATCTCCATGGTAACCTGTAACGATGTAAAAACTTTAAATCATTACAAGCAAAAGAGAGCGGTCATTTCTGAAGATCAAATCTGAAGAGAACAGCACGAAAAACTTAAGCGGCTCACGAACTTACAACTTTTGACGGCTTCATCGTAAATAAAACCTCACCAGACGGCTAAGGACTCCGACAAACACCTCTAACCAACACCTGAACAGAGAGGACAACATCTACGACATGGAGACCGTAAGATTTCATGACAATATTAGCATACAAACTTGTGTTACTGTCGAGAATTTCGTGATGGTTAAGCGATGCATCGACAAGGATTAAATGTGTGCATAGATATTTACAGTGTTTATGACTTTAATGTGACAGGCATTATCAAAACTAGAAAAAATTGCATTTCCTTGCAGAAAATGCGTGGAAATGCTGAGTGCTGGAAGCTGAAAAAGCAATGCTAAACTGCTAAAAAAAATAAAAAATGGAGGAAGGTTTAAATGTAAACTTGGTTAAAGACCTGGAGAAAGAAAAGTAGAAGTTAGATGAAAGTGAAAAAGTACAAATAGTATGAATGTGCTTCATAAATTAAAATTGCATTCATGCTAAATAAGACTAGAAAAACTGTCTGAAATTGCAAAAAAATTGTATAAGGAAGAAAATTACCCTAAAACACAGAAAAGTAAGAAGCGGCATAAGTTTAAGTTGAAGTACTACAAGAAGTATGATAATAGGTAGTTGTACTAGTGATATTAGTAGTCATGTAAGCAGTAGAAGTAGTTTTAGAATAGAAGTAGAAGTCAAAGCAGTAGAGCTCGTGGTAGAAGTAAAAAAAATATTAAGAGAAGCAAGAGCAGTGGAGGTAGAAGTGAAGATACAAGTTAAAGTGATATAAGTAGTAATTGTAGTGGTAGAACTGGGATTTTGTTTGAAGAATTAAAACATACATAAATAATGGGAATGATTTTGAAGTGGGAAAAATTTTAAATAATTAGAAGTCCTGAAGTGTTAAACAGGTTTGAAGTATCAGAAAGGTTTGAGTCAGTTTGAATGAGTTTAGATTTGTCTGACGAATTTAATAATGCATGAATAATGAGAATAATTTTAAAGTGGGGAAAGTTTAATAAAAACAATCCTGAGTACACCCCATAATGTCCTCAATGAGCCTCAATGAATTTTTGAAGCCCAGAATAGTTTCTGTAGCTCAAAGTTTGTGGGTGGAGATAGGTGGTGATGCAGACACATATTAATTGTGTGTACATGCAGGTCTTTTAGACACAGACACACACGCACACACATTGTCAGACTGTGTGTGTCTCGTTAATGATTGCATCCTAAACAGCTGTGAGATCAAAGGCATTAACTGACCTACTGTTTGAATGAGAAGCTGCCTCTGGACTTCTTCACATAGCACAATTTCCTTATATCCCAGAATGAAAATAAGAACATCGTACAAATCCTCCGCCCTTCATGAACACAATGATCTGTTTTTCATGTCTGTACTCCAAAAAATGTGGCCACAACAGCGAGTTAAAAGTCGAGACGTTCGGATGGTTATCTTAAAAGTGATGCATTGACATCACATGAAAGTCCTGCCCACCATGTCAAAGACTCTACGTGCTTAAGAGCAGAAAAGCTCATGTTATTGTGAGAAATCTCTATAAGAGATTTTTTTATGTCTTCTGGGCTATTTAAAGCCGTCAGTCTGAAACTTATTTGACAGTTTCTTTTATACTAACCAATGCTTTCTTATTTCTTCTTTAAATCTGCACAGAAGAGTCAACCCACTCCTGGAAGTGGAGAAGCTCCGAGAATTGCGTGCTCGGGCTTCAACAGGAGGTAAGAAACACGTTTAACTTATGATGACAGTAAAATGCAAACTCAAATTTATAGGGGTGTGATATTAAACAGTAGTTTACCAATGTGTCTCTAACACAATCTTTTACCTCTTTTGCATTTAATATGCAGAGTGTAACATTTGAAACATGACAGAGACCTCCCAGCAGATTATAATCTGGGACAGTTCAGAGTTAAATCTGTGACAGTGCCAGCAAAAATCTAAAGATTCGCAAATTTAGGATTTGATTTTGGACTTACACTGTTTCATACTCTTTTTGTCACAAGACACACGTATTTATGTTATACATTTCAGTGGTTATTTTAATATCTTTCTCCATGTTTTATTAGCAGCTTAGCATTGCTTTTTCAGCATTCAGCACTCAGCATTTCCACGCATTTTCTGCAAGGAAATGCAATTTTTCTAGTTCCACTTAGACTTCCAGATTTGTTCACTGAAAATACAGTAGCCCTTACAATGGCTTCAAGTCTAGTTAAGGTACACTATTATTACAATACAATACAATACAATACAATACAATACAATGTAAATGTCAGTGAGCTTTTTAATAGGGTGTTGGATGCTAAATCTGATAGTCTAGGAAAGATTTTAATGTAAGAATGTTGTTAGGAGTTTCGATAAACGGATTTAAGAATATTGGATTTTCACTTAAACTATCAAAATTTCTGCCATGTGAGGAGTTTCGAAAAAAAAAAAAAAACTAAAGAAAACTTTTAATCATATATCTAAAAAAAAAAAGCTAAAAAAAAGTTAAAAAAGAAAAAAAAAAACCTTAAAGCAGGAAGAAATCTGAAAAAAAAATCTAAAGAAAACTTAAATAAAAACCCTTAAAAAAGGAAAAAAACTGAAAAAAAAGAAAACTAAAAAGAAAGAAAATTAATAGTATTTCTAAAAAAATCTTGAAAAAGTTAAAAAAAAAACTAAAAACAGACAGGATCTTTAAAGAACTAAAGAAAAACTAAGAAAAAGAAAAACAAAAAAAAAACACCCTAAACCTGGTGTTAAGCACAAATATATATATATAATGATTATATATTTTTTTGGGGGGGGGTTATGTATATTTATATATATATATATATATATATATATATATATATATATATATATCAATCTATGTATCAATCTATATATATAACCCTTAAAACAGGAAGAAAACAAAAAAAGGGGAAAAAAATAGTATTTAAAAAAAACCTTTAAAACAGGCAGAAAAATAAAAAAAACATAACACACTAAAAAAATAACTTAAAAAAAGAAAAAAAACTAAAGAAAACTAAAAAAAGAGAAGGGATAGTATAAACAAAAACAAAAAAACAGAAAGAAAAGTATATCTGAAAAAACACCCTATATATATATATATATATAAAACTCTAAAAAAGAAACTTTAAAGAAAAAACTAAAGAAAACTAAAAAAAGAGAAAGGATAGTATAAACAAAATAAAAAAACAGAAGGAAAAGTATTTCAGAAAAGAACAACCTATATATATATCTATATATATATATAGATATATATATATATATATATATATGTATATGTATGTATATATATATATATATATATATATAAATAACAAAAAACTAAAAAAAAAAGCTAAAAAACAAACTTAAAACAGGCAGAATAAAACTAATGAAAACTAAAAAAGGAGAAAGCATAGTATAAACAAAATAAAAAAAAGGAAGGAAAGTATTTCTGAAAAAAACACCCTAAATATATATAACAAAAAGAACTAAAAAAAACTAAAAAAAAACTTAAAACAGGCAGACAAAAAACTAAAGAAAACTAAAAAAGAGAAAGGATACAATAAACAAAATAAAAAAAAAACAGAAGGAAAAGTATTTCAGAAAAAAAACCACCCTAAATATATATAACAAAAAGAACTAAAAAAAAAAAAAAAAAAAAAATTAAAACAGGCAGAAAAAAAATAAAGAAAACTAAAAAAAAGAAGTAAAAGAATAGTATTTGTAAAAAAAAAACTAAAAAAAAAGAAGAAACATAACAGTATTTCTGAAAACAAAAAAAACTTAAAACAGGCAGAAAAATAAAAAAGAACTATAGAAAACTAAGGAAAAGAAAAGTATTTCTGAAAAAAAAAAAAAAAAACCACCCTAAACCGGGTGTTTTGCACAGAAAAAAAAACCCTTGCGGTTTTTCCCTCTCATGTGAGGGTTTTTTCCCCTCCTTGAGCTACCACCTTACCGTGGTGGAGGGGTTTGTGTGTCCCAATGATCCCAGGAGCTATGTTGTCAGGGCTTTATGCCTCTGAAAGGTCACCCAAGGCAAACAGGTCCTGGGGGAGGGACCAGACAAAGAGTAGCTCATCCAGACAGAGGTGCCAGGTAAAAAAATAGTAAAAAAAAAAACTGAAGAAAAAAAACTAAAGAAAACAAAAAACTAAAAAAAAACTTAGAACAGGCAGAAAAAAACTAAAGAAAACTAAAAAAGGAGAAAGAATAGTATAAAAAAAATAAAAAAACAGTAGGAAAATTATTTCAGAAAAAAACAACCTATATATGTATAAATAACAAAAAAACTAAAAGAAACCTAAAAAACAAACTTAAAACAGGCAGAATAAAACTAAAGAAAACAAAAAAAGAAGAAAATAGTTTTTCTAAAAAAAAACTTTAAAAAACTAAAAAAAACTAAAAAAAGACCTAAAACAGGCAGAAAAAACTAAAGTAAACTAAAAAAGGAGAAAGGATAGTATAAACAAAATAAAAAAAAACAGAAGGAAAAGTATTTCTGAAAAAAAACTAAAGAAAACAAAAAACAAGAAACAAAAAAATTAAAACAGCCAGAAAAAAACTAAAGAAAACTAATAAAAAGAAGATTAGTTTTTCTAAAAAAACTTAAAAAAAAAAAAAAAACTTAAAACAGGCAGAAAAAACTAAAGTAAACTAAAAAAGGAAAAAGGATAGTATAAACAAAATAAAAAAAACAGAAGGAAAAGTATTTCTGAAAAAAACACCCTAAATATATATAACAAAAAGAACTAAAAAAAAACAAAAAAAAAAAAACTTAAAACAGGCAGAAAGAAAACTAAAGAAAACTAAAAAAGAGAAAGGATAGTATAAACAAAATAAAAAAACAGAAAGAAAAGTATATCTGAAAAAAACACCCTAAATATATATATTAATATATATATATATAACAAAAAACTAAAAAAAAAACTAAAAAAAAACTTTAAACAGGCAGAAAAAACTAAAGTAAACTAAAAAAAGATTAAAACAGGCTGAAAAAAAACTAAAGAAAACTAGAAAAAGAGAAAGGATAGTATAAACATAATAAAAAAAAGAAGGAAAAGTATTTCACAAAAGAACAACCTATATATATAAATACCAAAATAACTAAAAAAAACTAAAAAAAAAACCTTAATACAGGCAGAAAAAAGTAAACTAAAAAAGAGAAAGAATAGTATACACAAAATAAAAAAAACGGCAAGAAAAGTTTATTTGAAAAAAAACCACTTGAAATATATATAACAAAAAAACTAAAAAAAACTTAAAACAGACAGAAGAAAAACTAAAGAAAATTTAAAAAATAAAGAAAAGAATACTATTTAAAAAAAACTTAAAAAAAAACTTTAATCAGGCAGAAAAAAACTAAAGAAAACTTAAAGAGAGAATAGTATAAACAAAAAAAAGAAAGAAAAGTATATCTGACAAAAACACCCTAAATCTATATATATATATATCTAACAAAAAAACTAAAAAAAAACCTAAAAAAAAACTTAAAATAGGAAGAAAAAAACTAAAGAAAACTTAAAAAAGAGAAAGAATAGTATATCTGAAAAAAAACACTTTAAATATATATATAACAAAAAAGACCAAAAAAAACTTAAAACAGGCAGAAAGAAAACTAAAGAAAACTAAAAAAGAGAAAGGATAGTATAAACAAAATAAAAAAACAGAAGGAAAAGTATTTCAGAAAAGAACAACCTATATATATATATCAATAACAAAAAACTAAAAAAACAAACAAAAAAAAACTTAAAACAGGCAAAAAAAAAACTAAAGAAAACTAAAAAAAAACTTAGAACAGGCAGAAAAAAACTACAGAAAACTAAAAAAGGAGAAAGGATAATATAAACAAAATAAAAAAACAGAAAGAAAAGTATATCTGATAAAAAAACACTTTATATATATATATATAACAAAAAAGACAAAAAAAAAACTTAAAACAGGCAGAAAGAAAACTAAAAAAGAGAACGGATAGTATAAACAAAATAAAAAAAGGAGGAAAAGTATTTCAGAAAAGAACAACCTATATATATATATATAACAAAAAAACTAAAAAAAAAACTAAAAAAACAAACTTAAAACAGGCAGAAAAAAAACTAAAGAAAACTAAAAAAAGAGAAAGGATAGTATAAACAAAATAAAAAAAACAGAAGGAAAAGTATTTTAGAAAAAAACACCCTAATATATAGAAAAACAAAAAACTGAAAATAAAACTTAAAACAGGCAGAAAGAAAACTAAAAAAGAGAAAGGATAGTATAAACAACAAAAAAAAAAAAAACAGAAGCAAAGGTATTTAAGAAAAGAACACCCTAAATATATATAAATAACAAAAACACAAAAAAACAAACAAAAAAACTAAAGAAAACTAATAAACAGAAGAACATTAGTATTTCTAAAAAAAACTAAAAAAAAACTAAAAAAAAAAGAATAGTTTTTCTAAAAAAAAACTTAGAACAGGCAGAAAAAAACTACAGAAAACCTAAAAAAGGAGAAAGGATAATATAAACAAAATAAAAAAACAGAAGGAAAAGTATTTCAGAAAAGAACAACCTATAAATATATATATCAATAACAAAAAACTAAAAAAAACAAACTTAATACAGGCAGAAAGAAAACTAAAGAAAACTAAAAAAGAGAAAGGATAGTATAAACAAAATAAAAAAACAGAAAGAAAAGTATATCTGAAAAAAACACCCTAAATATATATATTAATATATATATATATAACAAAAAACTAAAAAAAAAAACTAAAAAAAAACTTTAAACAGGCAGAAAAAACTAAAGTAAACTAAAAAAGGAGAATGGATAGTATAAACAAAATAAAAAAAACAGAAGGAAAAGTATTTCTGAAAAAAACACCCTAAATATATATATAAAAAAAGAACTAAAAAAAAAAAAAAGAAAAACTGGGAACAGGCAGAAAAAACTAAAGAAAACTAAAAAAGGAGAAAGAATAGTATAAACAAAACAAAAAAAAAAACAGAAAGAAAAGTATATCTGAAAAAAACACCCTTAATATATATATATAACAAAAAACTAAAAAAAAAACAAAAAAAAAAATTTAAACAGGCAGAAAAAAAACTAAAGAAAACTAAAAAAAGATTAAAACAGGCTGAAAAAAAACTAAAGAAAACTAGAAAAAGAGAAAGGATAGTATAAACATAATAAAAAAAGAAGGAAAAGTATTTCACAAAAGAACAACCTATATATATAAATACCAAAATAACTAAAAAAAACTAAAAAAAAACCTTAATACAGGCAGAAAAAAGTAAAATAAAAAAGAGAAAGAATAGTATACACAAAATAAAAAAAACGGCAAGAAAAGTTTATTTGAAAAAAAACACTTGAAATATATATAACAAAAAAACTAAAAAAAACTTAAAACAGACAGAAGAAAAACTAAAGAAAATTTAAAAAATAAAGAAAAGAATACTATTTAAAAAAAACTTAAAAAAAAACTTTAATCAGGCAGAAAAAAACTAAAGAAAACTTAAAAAAGAGAGAATAGTATAAACAAAAAAAAAGAAAGAAAAGTATATCTGACAAAAACACCCTAAATCTATATATATATATATCTAACAAAAAAAACTAAAAAAAAAACTAAAAAAAAACTTAAAATAGGAAGAAAAAAACTAAAGAAAACTTAAAAAAAGAGAAAGAATAGTATATCTGAAAAAAAAACACTTTAAATATATATATAACAAAAAAGACAAAAAAAAAACTTAAAACAGGCAGAAAGAAAACTAAAGAAAACTAAAAAAGAGAAAGGATAGTATAAACAAAATAAAAAAACAGAAGGAAAATTATTTCAGAAAAGAACAACCTATATATATATATATATATATCAATAACAAAAAACTAAAAAAACAAACAAAAAAAACTTAAAACAGGCAAAAAAAAACTAAAGAAAACTAAAAAAAAACTTAGAACAGGCAGAAAAAAACTACAGAAAACTAAAAAGGAGAAAGGATAATATAAACAAAATAAAAAAACAGAAAGAAAAGTATATCTGAAAAAAAAACACTTTTTATATATATATATAACAAAAAAGACAAAAAAAAACTTAAAACAGGCAGAAAGAAAACTAAAAAAGAGAAAGGATAGTATAAACAAAATAAAAAAAGGAGGAAAAGTATTTCAGAAAAGAACAACCTATATATATATATATAACAAAAAAACTAAAAAAAAAACTAAAAAAACAAACTTAAAACAGGCAGAAAAAAAACTAAAGAAAACTAAAAAAAGAGAAAGGATAGTATAAACAAAATAAAAAAAAACAGAAGGAAAAGTATTTTAGAAAAAAACACCCTAATATATAGAAAAACAAAAAACTGAAAATAAAACTTAAAACAGGCAGAAAGAAAACTAAAAAAGAGAAAGGATAGTATAAACAACAACAAAAAAAACAGAAGGAAAGGTATTTAAGAAAAGAACACCCTAAATATATATAAATAACAAAAACACTAAAAAAACAAACAAAAAAACTTAAAACAGGCAAAAAAAAAAACTAAAGAAAACTAATAAACAGAAGAACATTAGTATTTCTAAAAAAAACTAAAAAAAAACTAAAAAAAAAGAATAGTTTTTCTAAAAAAAAACTTAGAACAGGCAGAAAAAAACTACAGAAAACTAAAAAAGGAGAAAGGATAATATAAACAAAATAAAAAAACAGTAGGAAAAGTATTTCAGAAAAGAACAACCTATAAATATATATATCAATAACAAAAAACTAAAAAAAAACCTAAAAAAACAAACTTAAAACAGGCAGAAAAAAAACTACATAAAACTAAAAAAGGAAAAAGGATAGTATAAACAAAATAAAAAAACAGAAGGAAAATTATTTCAGAAAAAAACAACCTATATATATATAAATAACAAAAAACTGAAAATAAAACTTAAAACAGGCAGAAAGAAAACTAAAAAAGAGAAAGGATAGTATAAACAACAACAAAAAAAAAACAGAAGGAAAGGTATTTAAGAAAAGAACACCCTAAATATATATAAATAACAAAAACACTAAAAAAACAAACAAAAAAACTTAAAACAGGCAAAAAAAAAACTAAAGAAAACTAATAAACAGAAGAACATTAGTATTTCTAAAAAAAACTAAAAAAAAAACTAAAAAAAAAGAATAGTTTTTCTAAAAAAAAACTTAGAACAGGCAGAAAAAAACTACAGAAAACTAAAAAAGGAGAAAGGATAATATAAACAAAATAAAAAAACAGTAGGAAAAGTATTTCAGAAAAGAACAACCTATAAATATATATATCAATAACAAAAAACTAAAAAAAACCTAAAAAAACAAACTTAAAACAGGCAGAAAAAAACTACATTAAACTAAAAAAGGAGAAAGGATAGTATAAACAAAATAAAAAAACAGAAGGAAAATTATTTCAGAAAAAAACAACCTATATATATATAAATAACAAAAAAACTAAAAGAAACCTAAAAAAACAAACTTAAAACAGGCAGAATAAAACTAAATAAAACAAAAAAAGAAAAAGAATAGTTTTTCTAAAAAAAAAACCTTAAAAAACTAAAAAAAAAACTAAAAAAAAGACTTAAATCAGGCAGAAAAAACTAAAGTAAACTAAAAAAGGAGAAAGGATAGTATAAACAAAATAAAAAAAACAGAAGGAAAAGTATTTCTGAAAAAAACACCCTAATATATAGAAAAACAAAAAACTGAAAATAAAACTTAAAACAGGCAGAAAGAAAACTAAAAAAGAGAAAGGATAGTATAAACAACAAAAAAAAAACAGAAGGAAAGGTATTTAAGAAAAGAACACCCTAAATATATATAAATAACAAAAACACTAAAAAAACAAACAAAAAAACTTAAAACAGGCAAAAAAAAAACTAAAGAAAACTAATAAACAGAAGAACATTAGTATTTCTAAAAAAAACTAAAAAAAAAAGAATAGTTTTTCTAAAAAAAAACTTAGAACAGGCAGAAAAAAACTACAGAAAACTAAAAAAGGAGAAAGGATAATATAAACAAAATAAAAAAACAGTAGGAAAAGTATTTCAGAAAAGAACAACCTATAAATATATATATCAATAACAAAAAACTAAAAAAAACCTAAAAAAACAAACTTAAAACAGGCAGAAAAAAAACTACATTAAACTAAAAAAGGAGAAAGGATAGTATAAACAAAATAAAAAAACAGAAGGAAAATTATTTCAGAAAAAAACAACCTATATATATATAAATAACAAAAAAACTAAAAGAAACCTAAAAAAACAAACTTAAAACAGGCAGAATAAAACTAAATAAAACAAAAAAAGAAAAAGAATAGTTTTTCTAAAAAAAAAACCTTAAAAAACTAAAAAAAAAACTAAAAAAAAGACTTAAATCAGGCAGAAAAAACTAAAGTAAACTAAAAAAGGAGAAAGGATAGTATAAACAAAATAAAAAAAACAGAAGGAAAAGTATTTCTGAAAAAAACACCCTAAATATATATAACAAAAAGAACTAAAACAAACAAACAAAAAAACTTAAAACAGGCAAAATAAAACTAAAGAAAACAAAAAAAGAAGAAAAAGAATAGTTTTTCTAAAAAAACTTTAAAAAACTAAAAAAAACTAAAAAAGACTTAAAACAGGCAGAAAAACTAAAGTAAACTAATAAACAGAAGAATATTAGTATTTCTAAAAAAAAACTAAAAAAAAAAAGAATAGTTTTTCTAAAAAAAAACTTAGAACAGGCAGAAAAAAACTACAGAAAACTAAAAAAGGAGAAAGGATAATATAAACAAAATAAAAAAACAGAAGGAAAAGTATTTCAGAAAAGAACAACCTATAAATATATATATCAATAACAAAAAAACTAAAAAAAAACTAAAAAAACAAACTTAAAACAGGCAGAAAAAAAACTAAAGTAAACTAAAAAAGGAGAAAGGATAGTATAAACAAAATAAAAAAAACAGAAGGAAAATTATTTCAGAAAAAAACAACCTATATATATAAATAACAAAAAACTAAAAGAAACCTAAAAAAACAAACTTAAAACAGGCAGAATAATACTAAATAAAACAAAAAAAGAAAAAGAATAGTTTTTCTAAAAAAAAAACCTTAAAAAACTAAAAAAAAAACTAAAAAAAAGACTTAAAACAGGCAGAAAAAACTAAAGTAAACTAAAAAAGGAGAAAGGATAGTATAAACAAAATAAAAAAAACAGAAGGAAAAGTATTTCTGAAAAAAACACCCTAAATATATATAACAAAAAGAACTAAAACAAACAAACAAAAAAACTTAAAACAGGCAAAAGAAAACTAAAGAAAACAAAAAAAGAAGAAAAAGAATAGTTTTTCTAAAAAAAACTTTAAAAAACTAAAAAAAACTAAAAAAAAGACTTAAAACAGGCAGAAAAACTAAAGAAAACTAAAAAAGGAGAAAGGATAGTATAAACAAAATAAAAAAAAACAGAAGGAAAAGTATTTCTGAAAAAAACACCCTAAATATATATAACAAAAGAACTAAAAAAAACTAAAAAAAAAACTTAAAACAGGCAGACAGAAAACTAAAGAAAACTAAAAAAAGAGAAAGGATAGAATAAACAAATTTAAAAAAAACAGAAGGAAAAGTATTTCAGGAAAAAACACCCTAAATATATATATAAATACCAAAAAAACTAAAGAAAACTAAAAGAAAGAAGTAAAAGAATAGTATTTGTAAAAAAAAAAATACTAAAAAAAAACATTTTATTAAATAGACTTCAGCACCTGGTCAGCCTCTCAGGCACTGTTTTTAACTGGTTCACCTCTTATCTCACTGATCACCACTCCGTTTCAAATCCGTTTCAGGATTGATTGTAAGGTTCTTTTATTAATTTTTAGATGTATTAATGGTCTTGGCCCCTCCTATTTATCTGATGTACTTTTACCATATCAACCCTCGCAGACCCTGAGGTCCTCCGGCACAGGCCTTTTAACCTTACCCAAAGTCAAAAACAAAAACACACGGGGAGGCGGCGTTCAGTTTTTATGGTCCCCGGTTGTGGAACCATCCAACTTACCATTTTTAAGTAAAATCTTGGAAAAACTTGTTCTTCAACAAGTAAATGATTGAAAAAAAAAAAAAAAAAAAAAAACCCTTATGGTTTTTCCCTCCCCCATGGGAGGGTTTTTTTCCCCTCCCCGAGCTACCACCTTACCGTGGTGGAGGGGTTTGTGTGTCCCAATGATCCCAGGAGCTATGTTGTCAGGGGCTTTATGCCTCTGAAGGGTCACCCAAGGCAAACAGGTCGTGGGGGAGGGACCAGACTAAGAGTAGCTCATCCAGACATAGGTGCCAGGTGAGAAAAAAAAAATACTAAAAAAAAAACAAACCTTAAAGTGGGCAAAAAACCTTTAACACAAAAAACTCTGAAAATAAAAACAAAAACACCCTAAAGTGGGTGTTTGGCACAAAGAAAAAAAAAATAGAAGAGCAATCTTTGTATTTAAATACGATCGTTTAAATACAAAGAGCATTTTAGAGAAGTGCAAATCAGGATTTAGGAGGAACCCCAGTACTGAGACAGCCCTTTTAAAAATTTTGAATGACATCAGGTGCAATTTAGATAATGGCAACCTCACAGTCTTGGTCCTGCTGGATCTAACCGCAGCCGCCTTTGATGCAGTTGACCATCACATTTTATTAAATAGACTTCAGCACCTGGTCGGCCTCTCAGGCACTGTTTTTAACTGGTTCACCTCTTATCTCACTGATCGCCACTCCGTTTCAGGTCCGTTTCAGGATTGACTGTAAGGTTCTTTTATTAATTTTTAGATGTATTAATGGTCTTGGCCCCTCCTATTTATCTGATGTACTTTTACCATATCAACCCTCGCAGACCCTGAGGTCCTCCGGCACAGGCCTTTTAACCTTACCCAAAGTCAAAAACAAAAACACACGGGGAGGCGGTGTTCAGTTTTTATGGTCCCCGGTTGTGGAACCATCCAACTTACCATTTTTAAGTAAAATCTTGGAAAAACTTGTTCTTCAACAAGTAAATGATTGAAAAAAAAAAAACCCTTATGGTTTTTCCCTCCCCCATGGGAGGGTTTTTTTCCCCTCCTCGAGCTACCACCTTACCATGGTGGAGGGATTTGTGTGTCCCAATGATCCCAGGAGCTATGTTGTCAGGGGCTTTATGCCTCTGAAGGGTCACCCAAGGCAAACAGGTCGTGGGGGAGGAGCCAGACTAAGAGTAGCTCATCCAGACATAGGTGCCAGGTGAGAAAAAAAAAAAACTGAAAAAAAAAACCAAACCTTAAAATGGGCAAAAAACCTTTAACACAAAAAACTCTGAAAATAAAAACAAAAACACCCTAAAGTGGGTGTTTGGCACAAAGAAAAAAAAAATAGAAGAGCAATCTTTGTATTTAAATACAATCGTTTAAATACAAAGAGCATTTTAGAGAAGTGCAAATCAGGATTTAGGAGGAACCCCAATACTGAGACAGCCCTTTTAAAAATTTTGAATGACATCAGGTGCAATTTAGATAATGGCAACCTCACAGTCTTGGTCCTGCTGGATCTAACCGCCGCCGCCTTTGATGCAGTAGACCATCACAATTTATTAAATAGACT